CGAATTGCAGTCGGTTCATTATGTGGAACTTTGATTGAACGTGCCCGTTTAGCGGTTTGTGATGTTTGTGGCTTTGATTTAGCCTTTTCCTCTTTCACCAATTTCTTTGCAAGTTTCTCCTTTTCAAGAAGTTGTTTCGCTTCTTGGATTTTTCTATCTTCGCTTTCCTTTTTCTTCATAGCGGACAATTCTTGCAAGTTTTTTTTCCGTGTGGCAACGGCTTTCTTCAGAGCCGCTTCCTGTGCGGGTGTTCTTTGCTTTTTAGGTTTTAACTCTGGCTTTGGTGAAGGTGATCGAATCTCCGGTATTGAATCTTGTACAGATTCTTGTACCGTGTCAGTATTGGCAGGAGAATCGGCAGAGGCACTCGAATGATTTGGATCTTCGCTCATTTAACACGAGTTTTTATAAAGAAAACAAAATATTTAAGAGGAACATAGGTGCGGTCAGAGATCGTCTACATCGTCTAGAATGGCGAATCTGACACTTAAAGGAGAATTCAATGATACTTCTGTTCCGGTAAGGGAATTGATAAGATGAAACTCGACTTGAGATATGGTCTGTCCAACGGGAAGAAACTCGCCTGAATTTTCATATTGTACAATGTCCCCAAAACTATCAGGTACGATACTGCAACAGATTGATTGAGCGCTGTCGTTATAATCAACAAGATACTGGGTGCCTTTGCATTGAATGTTGGAAGTCAAAATGACAGGATATGAACCGCTTAAATTGACAGGATTCTTCATCTCGTGAGAGGAACCAAAGCCAATATCCGCTCGACGGGACATTCCCATAAGAATATAGGCTGTCGACCCACGATTGCCAGGAAGTATCTTGAAAGGAACAGAGTTGCTATTTACCGTTAACTTGCGTCTAACACCATCGAATGTAGCAGAGTATACATTAGAGCCAGCGGCGCTATTCATAGCGCTGGAAACAGCGTTTGGGAAGTCAACGATCGAGTAGTTACCATTTGGGATCTTTGCGTACAAGATGGTATCAGACCCTTGTTGGGCAAATGCGATAGTATCATTCACGTTATTTTCAACCAGATCCCAATCTTGAAGAAAAGAAAGGCTCAGTATTTTGAAAGCCTCGATCCGTCTAGGTTGGATGTTGTATGTACGTTGGGAGACGCTAGAGTATAAAATTTCTGAATACATTTAGTAATAAGGTAAGAGAATTAATGTCTTACAAACCAAAACCAATCTTTCCGAAGAAAAACGAGGTTCGAAACAAAATCATTCCGATCAACATTCAGGCTCCTCCCATATGTAGTACACTTATCGCACCGCGCAAAAGTGGGAAATCCGCTCTTGTATGTGGATTGATCGAAGATGTTTATGCAAAAGTGTTTGACAGAGTGATAATAATGTCAGATACAGTCTTGAACGATAAGAGCATAAAACAATTGGCACAGAGCACTAAGCACAGGAACATCTTTTTCACAGATGAAGTGAATAATGCCATGATAGCCGAGATTTTGGAAGATCAAAAGTTGCTGGCGGAAAGCGGAAAGTCCTTGCTGTTGTATATTGACGACGCTGGAGACAATGCTCAAGGGAAGGAGTTAAACAAAGAGTTGTCTAAACTCTATACGAAAGGACGCCACTTTCTCTGCTCCACCATGGTGTGTATCCAATCCGTGAGCGGTCAACTTACTCGAAAGATGAAGAACAACACAACAGAGTTTATAATCTTTAAGAATAATTCGGAGGATATGGAATCTTTGGCGAAATTATTGACAAGTGCGTTCAAAACAAAAAAAGAAGTTCTATCGTATCTTACGGAAAGCACAAAGGAGCCGTATTCGTTTGCATATGTGAATTTGGCAGCGGATGATGCGCGAACGATGTACCGGTATTGCGACAAAGACGGGTTTCACGACTTTTTTTAAATTGTTGGTTTTTGAATAGAAATGTTCTTTATACCAGATACTGTAACAAAGGAAACGTATGACACGGTTTTAGCAGCGCTTTCCCAAGATCGCCTTTGGTTAGACGTTGACGAAAACTCCAGAAAAGAAATACTCGAATCCTTACAAAAGGAAATGGCAGAAGCATTGGTACAGAAGATTTTAGGTGACCAGGTAAAACCTAAAGTCACTAGGCGGAAAAAGACCGCTTGAAGATTTCCAAGATTTCCGTCCTGAATAAGACGAAAAACTATTCTCCGAGTTGAGCAACAAAGACATCTTCTGCGCGACCAAACTCCTGAACAAATTGGTGCCATTTTACTATATTTGGGTTGTGCTTTTCAGGCTTTTCGAATCTTGCCTATATAGTATGACCTTTTGACTGAGCGCTCATGCCCGAGAAAAGATTCAGGTATTTTTCTCAATTTTTACCGAACAATGAAAAAAAAATTGACCACAACATTAATTTGTGGTCAATTGATAAACGAAAGATGGACTCCGACAACAAAGGCCCTTCATCTCTCAGATATGACCCCATCACTCCGGAGGATCTCCGGAACCTCACCAAGTTTTACTATCAGAATCAAAATTTTCTAGGACAAGACAAATTGTGGTATGCATATAGAAAAGCGTTTCCCAATAGCAGGATTTCGCAAAGAACCCTTCTTAACGACTTTCTCAAGAAGCAAGAGATTTGGCAGAGGTCTACAAAAGTTATGGGATCGCGAGGCTCGATAAAACCGATTTTGGCCAGAAAGGAAGGAAATTACCAGACTGATTGTATCAACCTAATGTCCGTACCATACGGTGGATATAAGTATTCGGTCAACGCTTCAGACATTCTCACCAAAAAGGTGTACAGTATGCCAATGAAGACACAAGATCAAGCCACTGTTGTCAAGTGCCTAGAAACAATGAAACGGGATGGCGCTGTATTAGTAAGTTTCACATCCGATGTAGGTACGGAATTTCAAGGTCTGGTGCAAGAGTGGGCTGACTCGAACAACGTGGAGTGGAAGTTCGGACAACCCGGTGTCCCGCAAGGTCAAGGTCAGATTGAATCCGTTAACAAAAATATAAAAAATCTGATCTATTCCTCGATACGTTTCGGAAAACGGGATTGGCCAAATTATCTTCAAAAACTCATAGATAATTTAAACAACACGAAAACGTATGCGACAGGGAAGGCTTCAAATGAAATCTTACAAGATGAACATGAAGCCATCTTTGATCGCATACGGAACAAGAAATTGAAAGGGGTGAAATCAACAGTTTTGAACGAATTTAAGATGGGAGATATTGTAAGAAAGATAATACCGTTACCAAGTGGTATTAAAAGACGCGCAAAAGTGGGGTATTTCTCGTCACAAACTTATAGAATTGAAGGGAAAGTGCAAAGTAATTATGCAGGTTATGTTTCATCGTACAAATTAAACAGAATGGATGGAACAAGACTTCCCGGTTTAATATCGGCTAACGATCTTCGAATAGTTCCATCAGGAACCGTCACCCTACCAGACATTGCTTCCCAGCCAGATCCAAATGAAAACAACGAATACAAAATTGATTCAATACTTGATTCAAGAGTAGTACGTAGAGGCAACAGAAGGATAAAGCAGTACAAGGTTCTATGGAGTGGTTATGATGCGTCCCAATCAACTTGGGAAGATGAAGGGAATCTCAAAAATGCACGGGAGACCATAGCCGAGTATGAAGAGCAAAATGGATAATACGTTTTCAAAACTTGTCATCTAGATTTAAATCATCATTAAGATCGTCAATATCCATCGCATCATCATCATTAGATGAGCCTTCGTTCTTCTCCCTGTGAAGATTATAATAGACTTGTCGTGTTGCATAGGAATGACCATGCTTTTTAGCAAACTCTTTTTGAACCCGAGGATCTCCGTTATCCAATTTGATCGAGTCAATCACTACGATTTTTCTAAGTTCATTGACTCCAAGTTCTTTTCCGATATGTTGTTTACAAGCGATCTTCATAGCCCTTCCAAAACCTCCGCCTTCATAGGGTTTACTTGCGTTGCGCGCTTTTTCAAACAATCTACTCTGTCCTTTAGCCTTACGAATATCAACCAGATTATCAATGTGCCTTTTAACAATGTCATCGATAATTGTAATAAGAACATCGGTGTCTCCCTTATTTGTATTACATGCTTTTATCAGAAAGGTATGGGTTCCCGTATCAAATGTCACATTATCCGCTTCGGAAATGTGCATAAACTTTGCTTGGCCAATGTCCGCTCTTCGAATAACATCTGAACCAACAAAACAAGCCGCTGCAAGCAACAAACCATACTTATAAGGGTCTTTGACGGCATTTTCTTTAAGTTGATCCAATTTCTCGTAAAGAGCGTTGATTAAAGGGTCTTTTTCAATGAAGCGCTTCGTTTCATATTCTCTATCCATTACGAGATCGCGGGCTTGTATCTCTTTACAACGATCGCTATTGATCTTGAGATAGAAACCTCCCATTTCGTCAATATGCGTAAGTTTGTCCATTGTGCACGCACCTAGGAATTGTTTCTTTGCAGTTTCACCGTAGAGGCTAGACGAAAGCCAATCGTACAATCCTATTTTTTCCTCGTTTGTCATAATTTTGAACATAGCAGACAACACCTTTGTACAATTCGCTCCATCGTCTTTGGGGTAATTCTTTTTCAAGATTTTCATGACATCGGTTGGCGATGATAGAACGTTCGGATCAAGAATTCCGTATGCTTCAAGTGCATTACAGGCAGAGAGGTATACCTTTCGGCTACTTGCAGCCAATCCTATCGTTCCATTCTTTTGATGGACGGTATCGGCATATCGGTTGATAAGTTTTTTTGCTAGTTCAATGTTCATTGCTGCGTCGTTCTTTGGTTGTGCATAAACCATTACTCGTTTTTACTCTTCAAATAACAAGTTAAAAAAAGAATCGCATATATCGATATTACATCGCTACATCGAAGTTCATGATCAAGCATATTCCAATTCCTCCTCCACAATTTGCTCCTCCTCCTCTCCAACGATTTCGTTTTGCTCTTCCTGCTCTCCAACGTCTTCGTTTTCCTCTTCCTGCTCCTGCTCCTGCTCCTCGTTGTTCTGCAAATTTTGTTCTCGTCTCGCCTGCGCCTCCATTATTTTCTCCTTGACCGTGTTAAGACGAACTTGTCTGGGGGTTATATCAACGCGTTCGTCTTTTCCCGGTTCCAAAAGGCGAAAACGGTTTTCCACATGCTTCTGGACGTCTTCATCGTACATCGTTGACACTTGGTGCGCGCCTTGTTTTACAAAACGCTTCAAGACTCGATTGATGATATCCTCGGTGAGATTTTCAATCGCTTTCCCTTTCGACGAGCGAAGTAGGGCAGGACATGTAAGAATGCCCCAACCAAATTCGTCGATAGCGATATACATATTCGTGCATAAGCGGTTGAACGATTTGATTTGTCGCTTTGACGACCCGCCCGCAAGAATCCCCTTCTCTTTCTCAAGTTTGGCTTTGAATATTTGTGTTCGCAACTGCTCTTTTGCTTCTTCGCTTTGCACATCTTCGTTGCCGGGACTATTTCTTCGCTGATCTACGAGCCACTTATAGTAGTAGCCGACGTAGTAATGATTCACAAATCGATCAAAATTTTCTGCGAGACCGGAGGTTTTCGACGAAATGAATAATTTGAACACATCGAGTTCGATGTCGGGGACATTATTTCGACTCGCTTCTTGACGAGGAGCGATTGGGTCGATGTTCACATGTGCGCCTCGCAGTGTCGTTTCGATGTGGTAATCGTTCCACACCAGGAAAGGATCCTCGGGTTCAATCTCAACACCGGCTGCGTTCTTCCGGCGAACTAATCCAATCTGTTGTGCAAAACGTCGGGCATGTGTCTCTTGAAGTTCTTTCTGTTTTTTCTGAAGTTCCGCTTCGCTTAATTCAGCGCGCTTCTTTCGTCTGTTGTGCCTTTGGACATCCGCATGTCCTGGCGGTTGTTGTCGTTCGGCAGGTCTGTTGTTCCTTTGGACATCCGGATGTCCAGGGCGTTGTTGTCGTTCGGCAGGCATGTTTGATAGTAGGATTATTGATGACTGGGGGTGCTACAGATGGCGCCCGACCTTATATATTGAGCGCACCTCCGGATTCATTATAGGTGCGTCAACAGTGGTGGATACACTCCATTGTTTTCAAACTTAACTCTATTTCGCGATAAGGAGTTACTAAAAGAGGAAACTGTCAAATTTCTTGACGGTTGCGGTATTGTTGAACTCCACTAACGAGCGCGGTTCAAAAATATAAAGTTATCTGCAAAAATAAAGTAAACAATGCCTGAAGAGACTTTCAAACCGTACACAAAGAAATTCAACCGATATGGACAAATCATCATTCCTTCGCAGTGTCGAAAGTGTCAAGATTGTGACGAAATTATTCCAATTATCCCAAGACGAGTCCTTTGTGGTAAATGTTGGTGGGGACAAACGTACAGGACCAAAAGGTTGGAGTCTAAATTTCGATAGCGATTGAGTTCGATGATAAATGACCAATACGATGATCTCACAGAAGAGGAACCGATGAAAGGGCGCTTTGCATATAAGCAAAATTATGAGAGACGTGAGCAGAAGAGCATTGTTTCAACAATGGCTTCACCGCACGAGATCCAAACAAAATTGGAAAATATAGTAGATAGAATGTCTGAGCAGATGGAAGCCTACAAAAAAACCGGCCATTACGAGACTTTGTTTCATGTGAAAAAGATGTTCCTATTGAAAAAGCCTCTTGAATACTTGCCCCGGAAGTTTAACGACGCAAAACTTTGGAAGCAGTTCCAAGCAACGATGTTCAAACATAGATTTGTTGCAAAGCACGCTTATATTTGCAATTTTTGCAACAAATATCACAAGACTTCGTCAGATTGCCTAGAGTGCAGGTGCTGTGAAGACTCCAATCCATTTGATAGACGGAGAGTTTGGATCATTTTGAATTGCAGCCTTGGAGAGCAAATCCACAACCACAAAAATTATGGTAAAAACTCACCACGAGGTGGAATGATTCCCCAGGAGTATAGTCACTACCGTGAGTGCAAAGAGCGCCTTGAGCGCCTTGAGTATCAGGAATACCCCACGTCTACCCAGACATCCTAAACTATATATCTAAAATTGTCGATTTGATCCGTTTCCAATGGACATCTTTGTCATAAATTTTAGAGTATAATGAGTGCCGTAAGTACTCTGAGTATCTTGAGCATCAGAATAGCCCCCCATCTTCCCGAGCCTCCTAAACTTTAAATCTCCAATTGTCGCTTTTGCGTCGCTCTCAATGGACATATTTGTCATACTTTTTTGAGTATAATGAGTACCGTGAGTACCGTGAGTACCGTGAGCATCAGAATTACCCCCATTTTCCCGGGCCTCCTAAACTATAAATCTCCAATTGTCGGATTTGGGCCATTTTCAGTTGGACTTATTTGAGATTCCTTTGTGGACATAATGTTGTCTGGAATCGTAATCTTCTGAACCGTTATTGGTAAAATTTGTCTTGATCGTTTTCCCCCGGGGCATTTTGAGATCAAAGTAATGGTATTTCGGTTTACCCCATCTGTTTCGCTAGATCCCGCACTGTCTTTGAAATGAATTTGTGTTTCATTCCATATTTTTCGTACGTTCCAATATATTGATATGCCATTTGTTCGCCTTAGTTCAATTGTATACTATTAGGCCATTATTTCTTTAATTGCTGCATGCGTAGACGCATCTGTGACATCGTCCAAAATGCGTTTAGAAACCTGAGAAAACAATTGTGTGCCTAACGTTAAGCACACACAAAATGAAAATGGCTGAACAGATCATTGAATCCACACGCTTTAGAAAGACGGCCGTTAAAGAGAGAGAAAAGCACGAAGTTGCACATGTCAACAGACTCATTCAATTGAAGAATTGTAAATTGCTCGACGTTGCCACTCGTGATCAAATCAAGAGGTACATGGATTTGAGGTTGAACGATACAAACAAATTCTATGTTCAGTATGTGTACTCCGAAACGTCTCCGAAGTGCCGGTTGTATGCGCGCCACCTTGTCGGCGGTCAAGGGTTTGAGAGGAATCTACGTTGTTACAGTATGGAGGACTTGTACATTGATCTCGACATCGAAAACGCATTTCCAAGCATTACCTTACAATTGAGCAAGAAACTGAAATTACCCAAATGCAAGAATTTGACCGAGTACGTTAGAAAGCGTGATACGATCCTTCAGAAATACGGGTTGAATAAGAAGTCCGTTTTGGAAGCGCTCAACAAATCATATGAAGTTCCCAGTCACCCGTTCATCAAAAGCATTCACAAATTTATATACGAAACTTTCCTCCCACCTTTCAAGGAAATGCCCGAATTCAAGGAACTTTGGGCAATTACCAAGAAAAACAAAAACGACGGAAATAGGGATGGTTCGTTCTACAGCAAAGTTCTTCAATATCATGAAAACATCATTCTTGGCGAAATGGAGACGTTCCTGGAGAGCAGTGGTTATGAAGTACCTGTTCTCGTATTCGACGGCCTTCAAGTTCTTCGAAACGAAGAGAATTTACCGGTCGACCAGACTCTTATTAATAACTTGCAGCAACATGTCAACAAAACGACTGGCCTCTCCGTCGTCATCAAAGAAAAGCCAATGAACTACGAGGTCAGTTACCTGGAGAAGTTAGGACTTGAAGTCATACCAATTGTAGCACAGAGCGATAGTGTGGAAGAGACAGCGCCTCTCATTAGATTACCGCTTTTTGAAGATCCTTTGTTAGATCAACTTGCCAAAAACGCTATTCTCCACAGAAGTCATGATGCGGTCGCTCGCTTTCTTATTGTTTTGTGGAGAGATGATTTTTACTACAAGAATAAGGTCTGGTGGTACTTTTCGTCCCATCGGTGGACTTGCGATTCCGGCGAGTTCTTTCAACATCGCCTTTTGACAGAATTGATGCCTCTATTGGAAGAAAAGACAAAATGGAAAAGTCATCAAAGCGACGAGCGCTTAATTGGTATGCTAAAGAAACTGTCGTCCTGTGTCGAAACATATCAGTTTTACCTCAACGTTTGTAAAACCTCGGCCCTTTACTTTTCCACAGGAAGATTTCCTTCAGTTTGAGCGTAAATTAGAGACATGTACAAATATTGTCTGCTTTCGAAACGGGGTCTATGATTTAGACAAATTGGAGTTTCGGAATGGAAAGCCAAACGATTACTGTCTCCTGCAAATTGGCTATGACTATATCGAGTATGATCCGCATGATGAGACAACGGTTCGTTTGAAAAGTCAAATTGACAAAGTTCTACCGATTCCGGAAAAAAGGGAATATGTTGTGAAAACTTCGCTTCATCTCTGGGGTGTAATCACAACGATAAGTTCAATATTATGGTCGGCCCGGGCGCACAAGGAAAATCGTTCCTTGTAGGATTAATGACCGAAAGTATGGATGTTTACGCAACGAGTTGGAACTCATCCATTCTGGTGAACGACTTTAACGGGGACAAAGCGAACCCGGAGTTGGCAGATGGTAAATATAAACGTTTCATTGAGATCCAAGAAAACAAGAAAGAAAAAGCCCTCAATATGGAGAACGTTAAAAAACTAACCGGTTACGATCCAGTCCGTGCGAGAAATCTCTATGAGAACGGTTCCAACTTTGTCATCAAAGCATTGCTGTTTTTGTCCGTGAATGATCTACCTGTCATCTTAGAAGTCGATAATGGTACGTGGAGACGGATCAACATAATTGCGCTTACAAGCACTTTCGTTACAGATCCGGCATTATGCGATCCTGACAAGCATATCTATCTTGCGGACAAGGGAGCCAAACGAAACCGAGGGTTTCAAGCACCGTACTTCATGTCCATTCTAATCAAATATTACAAATTGTATAAGGAAGAAGGAATCCAGACGCCGCAATCCATTCTCGATGATACGATCAAGTACAAGAGAAATAACGACATCTATCAGACGTTTTTTGATGATTGCTGTCTCCATGCACCTGAAAACAAGATTCTAGTGGAGGATATCCACAAAGAATGTATCGAGTGGGCCAAACGGCAACAAAATAAGAACATACGCATTAACCGAAACGATATGTTGAAATGGTTACAAAACTATGCTAGATCACAAGATGATATAACTTACCACAAGTGTCTTCGAGTTACAAAATATGTAGACGGTAAAGGGATGTCGAAAGTTTCTACCGGATTCCAAGGTATCAAATTAAACCGATATGAGATGCTTCCGCAACAATCGTATTCAGTATGTGAAGACTCGGCGGATGAGTAAGGAGAGTAAGGAGAGTAAAATGAGTATGATGAGTATCAAAATGACAGGGTGTAAATGTGACGGGCACGGAGAAAGTGAAAAGTGTAAAGGTAGTATATGGCGGATTTGTAGCATTGTAGTGGTGAAAATGGGTAGAAACCTCTGTATAATAGGGGGGGGGTAAGAAAAGAGTTTGCGACGGAGAGAGTTTTTTTTTTAAAAGTGCCTGTTTAAAATATAGTTTTTCTGAAAAAAAGAACTACAATACTACAGATGGCATTTCGATAAAAGATGGAGGGTAAAAATTGGAAAAGTGACGGGAATGGCTTGAGACATGGAGGGAACGGGGAAAGTGGTGAGAAAAGGGACTGTAGTGAAAGTGGTTGAATCGGTGGAGCACAAGGTTAGGCAATGGTTAAAAAGTGATGTATGGAGTGAGGTAGAAACGCGAGGAGAAGAGGATATGTAGATGGGGATGGAGGCGGACCAATATGGATGGCAACGGAATGAAATTGAGGGTAAGTTTTTAAAAATGGAAATGAGAATATGAAAGAAAAGTGAGAAAATAAAGGGAGAAAACGGCGAAATCTGGGAAAAAAGTTGCAAATTTGGGTCGAAAAAACCGAAATTTACGACAAAAATGACATTTCAAAATATCGCATTTTTTCGTGCGGGATCAGGAAGCGGGGATGTCAAAGTGATACTCATTCTACTCATCGTACTCATTATACTCACGCTTCTGAACATACGGATTTGAGAAATCACGGTGAAAAGGGCCGATTTATGATTCTGAAGCATTTGTGCGTCGGGGAGGGCTGGGTATTGGAGGTGTCAAATTGATACTCATCGTACTCACATAACTCATTGTACTCGCCCAACAGATAGAGTAGTTTTGAGAAAGTGGCTGAAATAATGGCGAAAGCGACCTTTTTGTGATTGTTTGGGCATTTGTACATCGGGGAGGGCTGGGTATTGGAGGTGTCAAATTGATGCTCATCATATTCATATACCTCATCGTACTCGCGCGACAGATAGGGTAGTTTTGAGAAAGTGGTTGAAATCATGGCGGAAAGGACCTTTTTGTATGAGATAGACAAATGGTGAGAGTCGGTGAGGGATGTGTTATGAACGGGCGGAGCCGATGGAAATAGAGGCGACTTGTGGTGCAGGTTGTTGACAGGTAATGGTATTCAGACCGAAACAAGAACTAGAACAAGACTAGGAAGAACTGGTGTTGATCTGCTGGGGGATCAGGAAGTGGGGAGCTCAGGGGAGGCGGCTATTTATGTTTTTCTGGGAAGGCTGGGGAAGCGTGGGGATGCAGAAGGGTACGGAATGAGAGGGAAGCCAAGAGAAGCGCCAAGGGTGGGGAAGCATAGAAACAGAAGACTGGGGATGGGGTGGCTACGCTGAGGCTGTGGGCGGGTACGTGGGGAAGTATGGAGAAGGGTTTGTAAGCGCCGAGTGTTGGGAGGTGTGGCTACGTGCGGCTGCGTGGAGAAATGAAGGCAGTGGCAGGTGTGGGGTAGCGCGGCTGCGTGCGGCTGCGAGGTTTGGCAGATGTCAGGTTTTGACAGGGAATTGACATTGACTGACTGTTGGGATGCTGTCATGAGGTAAGCGCATGGTATGGACGCGTCGTCTATAACATCACCCCCTCCTTTAGCCACGGCGTCCGGATGTTGTTTTGATGTTGGCAGGCTTTGGTCGGGGTTTGTCGGGGTACTTTTGGTGGAACTGGGCAACAAGCTCTTGACAGCGGGCAAGGTGTTCCACTGGCTCCCATGTGTTCTCCGAGCTTGGCCAACCCTGCCACTTGATGAGGTACTGAAGGTGCGTGCGTCAAATACGGGAGTCGAGAATGTCTTCCACAATCCATTCCTCCTGTCCTTCGACTTCTTCTGGTGGGGTGGGTTCTGGCTCAGTTCGCTCCGGAATGGTGAAACGTGGTTCAAGAAGGGAGACATGGAAGACGTTGTGAATTTTGTAGGATGGGGGAAGCTTGAGGCGATATGTGACCGAGTTGATCTTCTCCGTGATTGTGAAGGGGCCAATCTTACGGTGATCAAGTTTCTGGGAAGGTCGGAGAGTCTTGAGATTCCGCTGTAAGAGCCAGACACTGTCCCCGGGTTTCATGTCTGGGCCAGGTGCCCTCTTAGCATCGGCAAAGCGCTTCATGCGTCCTTGGGCCTCCTTGAGCTCAGTGGCAAGCTGTTCATGGATTTCCTTGAGATGGTTGGCACGAGCTTCGGCTGCAGGATTAAGGGATTCGGTTGTGGTCGCGGAAGCCAGACTGAATCGAGGATGGAACCCATAGTTGGCATAGAAGGGGGTTGTCTGGGTGGCGGAGTGGATGGTGTTATTGTAAGAGAACTCAGCAGAAGACAAGAGTTCCTTCCAGTTATCTTGTTGATAGTTGCAAAAGCAGCGAAGGTATTGCTCAAGAATCTGATTGGTCCGCTCGGTTTGTCCATCGCTCTGGGGATGGAACGCCGATGAGAGGTTGACCTTGGTTCCCAGGAGAGCGAAGAGACGTTTCCAGAAGTGGGAGTTGAACTGTGGGCCACGGTCAGATACAATATCGTCGGGGAGTCCATGGAGCCGGATGACATGGTGCCAGATCAGATCTGCAGTTGACTCAGCGGTGGCAGTTTTCCTGCACGGTACAAAGTGCGCCATCTTGGTGAACCGGCAGATGACAACGAGCACAGAATCAACCCCATCACTGGCTGGTAGATCCGTGATGAAGTCCATGGAAATTGACCCCCAGGGGCGGTCAGGGACCTGCAGGGGTTGGAGGAGACCGTAGGGCTTGTGTCTGCTGGTCTTGGCTTGAGCACATACGTCGCAGGACCTGATGTAGGACTTGACAAAACGCCACTGGCTAGGCCACCAGTAGTTGCGTGAGATGAGCTCCAGGGTCTTTGACATGCCGTAGTGTCCTGCCAAACGCGTGTCATGCATGTCCCGGCAGATCTCAGCACGGAGCTTGTTGGTGGGGACGTAGACAAGGTTGTCGTACAGCAGAACCCCATTTTCCTCGGAGAATCGCTTTATCCGTTCTTGGTCTTCTTGAGATTGCTGGGCAATGGGGGCCCTAAGCTGTCGCCGGATGGTTTGCGCAAACACATCGGATGCCAGGGCAGCTTTGATTTGGTCAAGGAGCGAGGAGTCCAGTGGGGTCAGATAAGTGGCGGCCAGGCGGAGATGGTCAGGGGTGAGGATCGTGGTTTCCTGGGAGCGGAATGCTTCTTCCCCCTCCCTTAGCTCGTATTCAGAGCGACGAGAGAGGGCGTCAGCTTGGTGTTGCTGGGTACCAGGGCGGTATGTGATGACAAAGTCGAAATCAGCAAAGAAGATTGACCAGCGGGATTGGCGGCGGTTGAGGGTACCGGTAGTCATGAAGTACTGGAGGTTCTTGTGGTCACAGTAAACGATGACCTTGTGGCGGGCACCAATGAGGTGGTGTCGCCATTGAGCAAATGAGTCTTGGATAGCCAGGAGTTCCTTGTCGTAGATCTCATAGTTGATTTCCTCAGGAGTAAATTTGCGGGAGTGAAAGGCCACGGGGTGGAGTTGATCTGTGTCATCGGGTTGAAGGAGGACGGCACCAAGGGCAAAGTCGGAGGCATCGGATTCGACAATGAAGGGCTTGTCAGGGTCAGGGGTGAGTCAGGATAGGTGCGGAGGTGAAGGCTTTCTTGAGGGTTTCAAAAGCTAGGTGTGCAGCGTGGGTCCATTTGAATGGCAAGTCTTTGCGAGTGAGCGTGGTCAGGGGTGCAACGATCGCAGAGTACCCTTTGATGAATCGCCGGTAGAAGTTGGCAAAACCAAGGAAGCGCTGGATGCCTTTGACATTCGTCGGGGGTTCCCATTCGGTAATGGCAGCCGTCTTCTTTGGGTCCATGGAAATGCCTTGCTGGGAGATGATAAACCCCAGGAACTCAACAGAGTCACGGTTGAATTCGTATTTTTCCGGTTTCGCATACAGCCCGTGCTGGCGGAGTCGTGAGAGCACCTCTCGGACGTGGTTGGGGTGGTCTTCTGGGTTTTTTGAGAAGATCAGAATGTCGTCAAGGTAGACCACAACAAAAACGTCGAGAATGTCACGGAATATGTCGTTCATGAGGTGTTGGAATACTCCAGGGGCATTGGTGAGCCCGAACGGCATGACATTATACTCGAATAGGCCGTAGCGACATCGGAACGCTGTCTTCCATTCATCCCCTGGTCGGATCCGAAGAAGGTTGTAGGCTCCCCGGAGGTCAATCTTGGTGAGCCGGCGTGCCCCTCGAAGACGATCCATGATGCTGTTAATCAAGGGCAAGGGATAGTGATTCTTGATGGTGATATTGTTGAGTCGACGATAGTCGACGCACAGACGGAGGGAACCGTCATTTTTCTTGACAAAGAGGACTGGGGCACCGGCGGGAGACTTGGAGTGCTTGATGAACCCCTTAGCTAGGTTCTCTTCAAGGTAGTCACAGAGTGCTTGCATTTCAGGCTCGCTGAGACTATAGATTGGGCCGAACGGTGGCTGTTTGCCCTCTTCTAAGTCGATGGGACAGTCGTAGGGTCGGTGCTCTGGGAGGGTATCCGCGTTCTTCTTGGCGAAGACGTCCGCAAAATCTTGGTATTCTTCAGGAATGATGGCCTTCGGATCTTTTGGAGGAGTGGTCGTCAGGGCTTGGGAATCTGACTTGGTCGGATTGGCGTAGGCAATGAATGCCTGGTCATGCCTTGCCGCCACACGGAAAGCTGGGGCGCTGATAAACGATACGTGGATCGGTGTGGGTGCTGGGTCCAGTGTGTTGGGTCTCTGGGCCAGGGAGACTGAAATCTCGTCTTGATGGATACGGATCAGAGGTTCAGGGGTTCTTGAGGGCTTCGGGCTAGGTTCTGTTGGCAGGGCATCCCAGGAGGCGTATTGTCCAAAACCGCAATGGCAGCGGACGCAAAGAGTGCGAGTCTTCCAATGTAGCTCCACATCATGGAGCTCAAACCAGGGAAGCCCCAGGATGATTGGCGCATGCGGGGAACATGTCACATGGAATACAACCTCCTCAAAATGGTCGTTGACCCACATGCCCAAAGGTTGGGTGTGATGGGTAATGGAGCCCGCATGGCTGGGACGTCCGTCAACCAGTTCAAGCGCAATGGGGTCCTCCTTCTTGACAAGTGGGATGCGGTGCTTGCGGGCATAACTTTCGTCGATGAAGCACGACATCGCACCGGTGTCGAGTAGTGCTGAAAGCTGAACTGGAGCTCGCTGGGCCGATATCTGCAGGGTAACAGGGTACTCGAATGGTGAGGATGGGCCCAAAGTCCGCATGGGTGAGGGTATCTCAGATAGGAGATTGACATTGTTGGTGGTCAGGAGAAGGGTGTTGCTGGAGATGCCAGGATCGGAGCAAGGTTTTGTGGCTTCTCCCTTGGCAGTACTTGCGTGGTGAGAAGGCCCAGGACAGGTGTTGCCCAGCTGCTCGGCCTTTACTGCAGCTGGACTTGGGCAAAATCCTGGATAGGTGCAGGTTCCTTCACCGCGACATTCGCCGTGCGTATCTTGTTCAGGCAGAGTTTGGCTATGTGGCCGGGTTTACCACAGTAGAGGCAAAGTTTGTTTGTGATGCGGTGTTGGCGCTCTAGCGGTGTGAGGGGTCCTCGCGGACGAGCAGCGTCAATGATCATAGGGTCGTCTGGGCGGTTGTCGGGGCTCATGAGGGTGGGGCTAGTGGTAACTGGCACATATGGCTGTCGGTTCCTGCTTCGCTCTAGACGGCGCTCAAACAATCGGTTGTCACATTGGATGGCCTGTTCCATCACGGTGTCGATTGAGGCGGTAGGGGGCATCGTGAGCATTAAGTCCTTGACGTCTTCTTTGAGGCCGCGACGGAAGGTGGCAATCAATGCCTGGTCATTCCATGACACATCGCATTGCAGCTGTCGGAATTCAGCTACATACTCTGTTGCTGCACGGGTTTGTCGAAGGTTCTGGAGCTTGTTTTCGGACGTGCGGAACCTGTCGCTGTCTCCAAAGACTGCTTGCATTTGCTGGATGAAATCATCCAGGTTCATAAGAGAATGATGGTCTTGTTCGACAAGGGGCGCCAGCCAGGCCTGGGCGGTGCCAGTGAGGTAGGTGCCAATAGTTCGTATCTTGGTCTGATCGTTGGGGTAGCGCCTGGGTTGGAGGGCGAACATGAGCCGGATCTGGTTGAGGAACCCACGGAACTTGCTTCGGGTGCCATCAAATTTGTCTGGGAGACTGATTTTGGGTTCGGGGGCGTGGGTGGCAGGGGCAGTGGTCTGGGTTTGCGCTAGTTCGGCTTGTAGGGTGGTATTCTGCGCTCGAAGTTCGTCAATCGCATTGCACATGGCTTGCCAGGCTTCGGCCGTGAGGGGAAGGGCGTCGGACATGGTGATTTGGCGTGGAGGTACAGCGGCTGGGGGTTGTTGAGCAGATCAAACTGTTATGAACGGGCGGAGCCGATGGAAATAGAGGCGACTTGTGGTGCAGGTTGTTGACAGGTAATGGTATTCAGACCGAAACAAGAACTAGAACAAGACTAGGAAGAACTGGTGTTGATCTGCTGGGGGATCAGGAAGTGGGGAGCTCAGGGGAGGCGGCTATTTATGTTTTTCTGGGAAGGCTGGGGAAGCGTGGGGAAGCAGAAGGGTACGGAATGAGAGGGAAGCCAAGAGAAGCGCCAAGGGTGGGGAAGCATAGAAACAGAAGACTGGGGATGGGGTGGCTACGCTGAGGCTGTGGGCGGGTACGTGGGGAAGTATGGAGAAGGGTTTGTAAGCGCCGAGTGTTGGGAGGTGTGGCTACGTGCGGCTGCGTGGAGAAATGAAGGCAGTGGCAGGTGTGGGGTAGCGCGGCTGCGTGCGGCTGCGAGGTTTGGCAGATGTCAGGTTTTGACAGGGAATTGACATTGACTGACTGTTGGGATGCTGTCATGAGGTAAGCGCATGGTATGGACGCGTCGTTCATAACAGGATGGGTATGGGAGGTGTCAAATTGATACTCATTGTACACATCGTACTCATATAACGCATGGTTCTTGCGGCGCAAGGGGACATCCGAATGTCCCAGTGGCTTAGATTGTGAAGGGAAAGTAACAGAATTTGACAGCGCGTCGTGGGAACTGAAGAACACGGTCTTACCCGACTCCTGGTTAATGGCTCATAGGCTGGTACGGTTAATGCATAATACCAAAGGTGTAGGATACATGGTTAATACATTACACCCTACATCAGGAATACGGTTAATGCATAACACTTTCAGCAGCCGCTACGGTTAATGCACAGTGTAAAGTCGAGCCAGGTACGGTTAATGCACAGTGTAATAGTATAGTGGATCAGTGCATAGCATAAACCATTGGTTTATGCTATGCACTGATCCACACGGCGGTCTGGCTTCGAATGCACGCTGACACTTCTATTCTCCCGAAAGGATTGGTTTTCCCTTGCCGTAAGACTAGCACCAAAGCTTTACAGTCTGTAAAACCTTCATGCTCCAGCGTGACAGAGTGAAGATCCGCAAGCTCAGCCTGCCTTGCCAGTTCACCACGGAGCAGAGCGTAATGTGAGAGGAGGAATGCAACATTGTTCCGCAAGTGCACGCCAGCCTCTCTGGTTTTCATCCAGAATGCCGCACTCATTCCCTCCAGTTGGGCTCCAGTGGAATATCCATCCAGCAGCGTCCCAATTCCCCTGTTGTTAAAATTCTCCCTGCTGATGCGTGTAGTATCTAGTGCGGTGTGTCTGACCAACTGTTTGACAACATCGTCATTGGGATTGGGATGGCTGTTGATTTTGAGAGCGCTTTGATGTCGCCAAAGGTCAACCAATGCTGAAACGTAACCAGTCACAGTGGACCGCCCAACAGTTCCAGCTTTGCCTCTCTTCCTCTGGCGTCCTATTACTTATGATTCAAGGAATAGGTGTAGCTGGTTGCTGGTGATAGTGTACCTCGTCTCCATAGGGAAGCCTTTGCTGTCACACCAGCTCCTAAACTCCCGCTGCTTGGGGCCGTACTGCTGAGTGGTCTTCTTTGGTCTGACGTCTGTCATCCTTTGGTGCTTCTGTTGGATGGAAAGCTCCATTTCCATCTGGAGGGAGGCATCTGTGACTGCTTGCTGAGAAGGCATCGCTCCACCTGGTGCTGCTCCAGCTAAGTGCATGGTGTGGAGTGGAATTGCTGCAACGTGGGTGATAGAAGGTGGGAGCAAACAGCTAGGTGCGGAGTCGGTGCGTAACTTACGCTGTCAGGTCAGGTCAATAGGCCAAATATGTGCGCATATTTGGCATCATATGTGCGGATATCTGCCTCACGTGACCGGTCCTGCCGTAATTGGGCCTCGGTCCTGACGCGGTCCTGAAACCCGATATATATATATACACGCGCTGTCGAGTTTTCATTGGCAATGTGAAATACATCCCGTCAATGCCAAAGCCACAAAAGCAACGCCAGGAAAGCACAAACCAAAGAACATCGTTGCCGGGATACAAAAACGTCCAAAGTAATAGGAAAGTCCCTTCATTCCGTCGCGCTGGGCAACCATGGATACGGAACTGCATCTAAGTGAACCGGAACTCTGGCAGGGGGACGTCCATCCTGCTGCAAACACCGTCCCATTCTTACTCAAGATACGCATAGTGTTAAAATGATGTCCTCTCAAACCGACAAATGCGCGCGCTTTGACGCCGGATTGCATGTCTTCATATATCTACGGATGAAGCTATAAAGACCCTGAAGATTTCGTCCCGTTCCTCGCCAGACAACACAACCTCTGGATCTGTTGTAGTCGTGGGGCTGATCCATCATTTTCCCGGACGATATAACCTAGACCCTCGCGTTTTTTACCTTGGGCCGGATGCGTCCAATCCAAAGTAACTCCTTCGTGGAGCTCGCATCCGAAGTCGATCTCCAACAAAACGGCCTCCTCTCCATCCCCCGCCTCTCGCACACTTCCCAGGCACCCCCGCCGTACGATGCAGGAACAAGCGAAGTGGTACCGTCCGACTCCTTCGAGGAGCTGTTCCAGCAACGACCGATCCCGCTAGGTACGGCGCAGCTTGCGTCGCCTGGAGGACATGAGGCGGCGTATCCACCACCGGCGCATCCGCAATTGAATGGGGAGACGAGGATTGATGTGTCGGTGCCGATTATGAATATTGTGATTCAAATTGTGGGGAGTCGGGGGGATGTGCAGCCGTTTTTGGCGTTGGCAAAGGAGTTGCAGATTTATGGGCATAGGTGAGGCGCATCAATCCGTGACGTTCACATCTCAAATTCATATCACCAAACAAACACAGAGTCCGCATAGCAACACATGAAACCTTCCGCGCCTGGATCCGCCGCAACGAAGTCGAATTCTACCCCATTGGCGGCGACCCAGCGGTGTTGATGGCTTTCATGGTGGAAAACAAAGGTCTGATACCAAGCTACGCGTCGATCGCAAAGGGGGATATCGGCTCGAAGCGGAAGATGATTAGGGAGATTTTGAGGGGGAGTTGGAAGAGTTGTGTTGAGGCTGATGAGGAGACTGGTATGTGGGCGGGAATATATGATACCCATTGCAAAAGGGTGGGGAATTGATGATGAACCGCTGGTTTCTTTAGGCCAACCCTTCCGCGCCTCAGTTATAATCGCTAACCCCCCCTCCTTCGGCCACATCCACTGCGCCGAAAAGCTCAGCATCCCGCTCCACATGTCCTTCACCATGCCGTGGGTGCGCACAATCTCCTTCCCACACCCGCTAACCAACATCGAGCACAGCAAAACCGTCCACAAGCTCGTCAATAAGATGAGCTACGGCGTCGTCGACACACTGACGTGGTTGGGGGTCGGGGATGTGATTAATGAGTTTAGGAGGGATGTGCTGGGGTTGAAGAGGATGGGTGTGCAGCAGGGGACCGAGACGGTGGAGTATATGGAGGTGCCCTGGACGTTTTGTTGGAGTCCGAGTTTGATTCCTAAGCCGGTTGACTGGGGGCCCAATATTGGTGGGTTTCGCGTTGACCGCCCTGGCAGTGGTGTTATGCGAAATGTCTGCTAAAATCTCGTTTCTTTCCCCGTTCCTCTAGCGATTTCGGGCTTCTACTTCCTCGATCAAGCCAACAACTACACCCCACCACCGGACCTCTCCACCTTCCTCAACCTCTCCCCCGCCCCTATCTACATCGGCTTCGGCAGCATCACTGGCCAAGATCCTGGCAAATTCACATCCACGATCCTCCAAGCCGTGCAACAAGCCGGCGTGCGCGCCATCATCTCCAAAGGGTGGATGAACATGGGCGGCGGGGAAAGCGGGGCCAAAAGCGGTATACCGGATTTGGGAGATAAAGTCCTCTTCATAGGGGATTGTCCGCATGATTGGTTGTTTCAGCATGTGGCGGCGGTGGTGCATCATGGAGGGGCTGGGACGTTGAGTGCGGGACTGAGGTGTGGGAAGCCGACGGTTGTGGTGCCGTTTTTTGGGGATCAGTTTTTCTGGGGGGCAATGGTTTATCGGGTGGGTTTGCGACTTTCAGGTTATTGCTTGTTCGGCGATGCTCTCAATACACACTCACCTCTCCAACGATTCATAGATGAAAGCCGGTCCTCTCCCTGTCCCCGCAAAAGACCTAACAGCCTCCGGCCTCGCCGCCGCCATAACCACAGCCCTCTCCCCCGCCACCGTTCACGCCGCTCAACACATCGCAAACCAAATGGCCCAAGAAAATGGCGTCAAGCTCGGCGTCGCATCCCTCCACGCCTCCCTCCCATTATCCACAACCCTCCACAGCGCACTCAACAGCACCTACGCCGCCTCCCTCTATGCGCCAAAACACAACCTCCAGCTCTCCCAGCAGGTCGCGCAGGTGCTCGTAGCCACGGGCGCCATAGCAGAAACTGAGTTGGAGTTTCTGAGAACCGAGCGGTGGTTCATCCCGCATGAACATGATGGGATACCCGGCACCGGCGCGGTGAGGGTGTTGATGGACAGGCTGTCGAATGTGGTGAGAGCCCCTGTGGCCGCGGCGAGGCGAGAGAGAGAGAAAGGGGGTGGGGTGTTTGCGAGGGGTTTGGTGGGGGTTTGGGCGGCGATTTTGGCGCTTTGTTGGTTGGCGTGCTGTCCTTATGAGAGTGAGTTTTTTTTTTGGCCATCGTGGTTGGATATACTGATGATGTTTGATGTACTGACGCACCCCTTTTTCCCTCCCGAACAGTGGGCTACTACACGCTAATAGAAGTCGGAGATTTCTTCCGCCGCTTTCCCCTCCTCTACGATCGGTACTCGCGTGAGCAATCCATCCGCCCCATCAACAACTTCGGCGTTGGTCTCATCGAAGGCTTCCGCCAAATCGCCGTCGGAGTCTGGGCAGCGTTCGCCGATATCTTCCGCCGCCCCGTCCAATACGGCCGCTCCCACGGTTGCTTCCTCGGCTTCTTCCTCGGCCTGCTCATCGGGTGTCTCAACGTCACAAAAGCTCTCGGCGGGTTATTGACGGGCGTTGGGTGTTGGTTGAAAGGCGCGGTGAGGCAGGCGGCGAAGCGCAAGCGCGCGAAGAAGGTGTTTGAGGGCGAGTTGGGCGTGCAGGTGCCGCCGAGGACGCCGAAAAAATGGTGGTGGCAGAGGAGGAAGCCGAGGGTTGTTGAAGAGGCGTGGTGGGAGGAGGCGGGGAGGAAGAGTGGGTTTGAAAGGGCGGAGTGTGAGCGGATCGTGAGAGAGTTTGAGATGGTTGTGGAGAAAAGGAGGAATAGTCGGTGGTGGAGGAGCTCGTAGTCGTAAAGATCCAGGCAGTGGGGAAAAGAGACGATGTGATACCTCGCTGATATTAGAGCAAATGTGATCTCTGACATTCACGGGAGTAAGACTCGGAACGAATGCGAGAAGGTTCTGAATATCTATTGTAGGCTTATTTTACATATAGGTCCTGCCTATATACAGTATATGTGCGAAACGGGAAAACTCCGGATCTACGATGATCTACGGAGGCGACCGCGGAGGTGGTACGAGAAATGGCGCTGGTAGTGATGTTGGCACTGATGGTGCGGTTAGCGATGACAGAGGGGGAAGTGATGGTGAGAACAGAGCGGGTGTGGACGCTGTATATGTACTGACAACGACCTTGGATGTCGTGTTTGCTGGGGATCCGTCTCAAACACGGCGTCCCCTTCGGCATCTTGGACCAAGTGTTCGATGGGTTCGGCGGGCGGGGATCCTTCCTTCTCGGCCACCTTGTCAGTCTTGGCCACAAAGCGGCTCTCGAAAGGAACCATCCGAATCTTTCGCCAGCTTCCGTGATCCGTCCCTTTGATGGTCAAGGGGTTGTTCGTGCACAAGATCATCTTGAAATGAGGATAGAACTCTCGCGCTTCTTTGAACAGAGGACGGTAGTCGATCTTGTCTCCGCCTAGCGAGCACTTCAGAAGCGACTCATTGACGCTCTCTCCAGAGTTCGTCTCCTGCATCGCTGCCAACCGTGCCCCGACGGCCTTGTTCATTCCCGGAGTGGCGTTGTCAGCGGGGGGGACCTCTGGGTCAACACCGTAGCCTTCATCGAAGCTGCGTACTGACCTAATGCCGCAGCGACGAGCGCTCCTGTTCGATGAATGTATTCGAATCGCTTGCAACCACCGGCCCCTTTGTGGCTCTGCGATTAGTGTCTACTCGCCTCGCATAGTGCAAAAATGTCGCGTACAGGAGCGAAGATTCCGAAAGTGGGTTTGGGGAAGAGGGGAAAGAGGGACGTTTGGGCGTTCACAAACAAGGCCCCGGAGAGGAAGGGGAAGCGGGTGTTGGAGGATGAGGATGAGGATGGTGATGGTCCCGCCGCCCCATCTTCCTCAACCTCGAACTCGACCACCAGATCCGCCACCAGATTGGCGGAGATGGTAAATGCAGTCAACACGCCTCGTCGCAAAGTCACATCCGGAATCTGACATCCTCCCATGACGAGCTGCGTTCCAAGGACCGGTACATAGACTCGGCATTCATACGTGTTGAGATCGACAAAAAACATATACAGAACATAATAATGAATGTTCACGAACGCTAACGCAACAGGCGAATGCGGACATGGAGAGAGATATTCTCGAACGCTCAATCATAAAGAGCAGCTCGCTCCCGTCCGATCCGCCGCCACGTCAGAACTTCACAGTCCGCCAGGACGCGCCATGAGAAAGCAATATGGCTGCATGATCCCAGCGGCAGGAACTCTTGATATACCATCAATAGGAATTTCAGAAAATGGTTCCAAGTTCAACATTCCAACGTCGCATCCACTGTATCTGACGTCGGAGAATAGTTTGGTCAGAGTATGATTAAGAGTTTCTGCGATCTAACTGAATATATCGTGCCCGTCGCGCTTCTTCAGCGTGAAACGTACAGTACGATGATCAGGTTGCGTATAATATTGGCATTTAAAGATCCTGAGTAATATATGGTCGCAACGTTCGTACATATCAAGCTAGGCGAATAAAAGAATGGACGAACGGCTCAGGAACAAATACTGTTGAACTCTTCATGAAATCAAAAAAAACTCGCTCCTGGGCAGGCTTGAACTGCCAACCTCTCGATTGCTAACTTGTGTTACATTGTGTAACTCTTGTGTAACAGTCGAACGCGCTAACCAATTGCGCCACAGAAGCTGGTTGAAATCCGATGTTTTTTGGAATATGTCGATGGCATACGCGGTTTGTGCATTGGTACCGCTTCAATATGGAGAAACCGCTTCCTGCCGCCCGTCTCCCCCTTGAGCAAAAGTCCGGCAAACGATAGCCCCGGCATGCCCAACAGCCCCGACAGTATGTCCTCATTGGATATCGATCTCCGTTCCGTGAAGGTGGGAGAATAGGCCAAGGCGGGTTAGGAAAGGATGAGGGCACCGAGGCGCATCCGTCATTTCTTCGTAATCGAGTTCCGTTCCGCAAAGGAAGGAAAATGGTATATCCAACGAGCGAAGCGAACGGTTTGGCAGTAGAAGCAAGATCCCAAGTCAAAGTCGCCAAAACACATTCAAAGATTGGCCGTATATAATAAAAAGTAATTTTACAGAAATGTCAGAACAATATTATGGTACAAATGTCTGTTTGAGTCGAGCCAGGCGTCCAGAGGGGAGCGTCTAACCGACAACTTGGGACTGAAAGCCCTCCTTCTCAAACAGTGACTGTGGGAGGCGCGGTGTATAAGGTGCGGTGAAAGTCCTGCAGTCACGGTTCCATCTATACGTAAATGCCAACGTCCGAAGTCCGAATACATAACGCCGTAGAGTCTGGTTGACGTTGGACACCGCAGGACAGCCTGGCGCCGAGCCGTTTAATCCAGTCGATGTTCGATAACTTGGATGTCGAGCACAAGTCTTGTAAGTCCGTCACCGCTCATATCCCTCCAAATGCAACACCATCCTTCCGGTCCTCCGCTTCCTCGCGACACCCACCGCATCCGCCACGGCCTCCAACAACGTCCGCGGCCCACACGCGTAAATCGACACATCGTCCGCTTCTGCGTGACGGTCCATGATCTCGGCGACGGTGGCGAAGACGTCGAGCCGTGTTGCCGAGGAGAGGTTGAAATTACAGGTGTGTGTTGATTCGGGTTCGACCTCGATGTATTCGTAGTCTTGTTGTTGTCGTCCATCCGAACTTGATGATGCTCGTCGTTGGCGTACGTGCAACTCACGCAGTCTCTCGACGTTCTCGCGATGCACGGCGCCGTGAGCTTCTTGCAGTTCCGCAAACGCCGACAGTTTGCCTGCAAACTCTTCGCGCGCCGTCCAGACGAAATCGACGCTTTGGTCGAGATGGGGGTTCGAGGCCGAGAGGACGTGGTTGGCGATGGAGAGGGCGCCGGGGATACCGCTGCCGCCGGCGATGGCGACGATGTGAGGCGATTCGAGGAAGCCGAGTGGGAGGTTGCCGTGGGGCCCGTCGACGAGGATCTGCGAGGAATAGAAAGAGGACGGGAAGTGAGATGATATTCAGACGGTGCAAGTCATACTTCGAATCATTTTCAACTCACCTTTATTGGACTATGTCCCTCTTCGCCCTTCCGCTTCTCCCATAACTTGATCAACGAGCTTGTCCACCGTCCTTGTTTGTTTGTTGGTTTGATAATCAACGTAATCACGTTGCTGACAGGCACCGCATCAGACGTATTTCGCAAAACCGTCTCCTGCGATTCTCCTCGGCGGTACTTTGCCTTCTTTTCCTCGCCGCGCGGCACCTCATCGTCATGATACACCGTCACAGGAGCGTCCCTGCCGTTGTCGTCGATATCCGGACCCACATATCCAATCCTCTTCTGCGCTGGCGCTGACGCAATCGTGAATGGATGCCACATGAAATGCGACAGCTCGGGGATCTTGACCGACACCCACTGACCAGGGGTATACACACCCTCCCAACCCGCAATGTCGACTCGCAGGTACCCACAGTCCTCCTTCCGCACGTCGATAATGTGGCATGTATCCCTATGCCTGCTGTACAGCCGCGTTGCGAGGTCGAAGACGTAGACGGCGAGGGCGGGGAGTGAGAGGTAGAACATTGGGCTGGCGTGCAGGAAGGCGAGGCCAATGCCGACGAAGGCGAGCATGTGGTTGAGGTAGAACCAGGTGTAGTTGTTGCGGCGGATGTAGGGGATGGCGTTGAGGCCGACCCAGAGGAAGATGAGGGCGGCGATGAAGCCGATTAGGGAGATTCCATTCTGTTCGAGAGGTTGAAAGGAAAGGCGAATGAGGCTCATTGCTTGTGTGATCCATACTTGATCATACTTCATTGTACTTGGGATCCATTCCCAAAAGCGGCTAACTCAGTACTTACCCTGTAAGTCGCAGCAGGCTTGAACCTCGCCTGCATTTGCCCAACAAAGCCTCTGTTCCTGAACCCAGGTGCCTCATGGGCAGCGCCATGGAGGAAGGCAAACAAGACGGAGGCCGCGCCGGACCATCGATGGAATTGGAGTGAGTCATCGTAGTCGATGTTGAGGAGGGAGGAGAGGATGCCTCGGCGAGAGATGGGAAGGAGAGCGAGTGCGAGTTGGATGGCAAGGGGATGAGCGCTGGCTCTGGGAAGTAACGGAAGGGGGGATGTTGTGTCAGTTGATGAGCTAGCTGAGGTAGGCAACGGTATCCTACGTGCCCTGAATGACTAGGACCATTACCTGAACATGTTGGAGCAAAAGATGTCAAACGTGAACGGGATATGGATCTCAGTATCATGAGCCATCTCGGCGCGTCGGCGATGTCCACCGGTGGCAGCACCACCCTTCGCCATCCGTTCCCTCATCTGCTCGACGCGAACCTTATTCGCCGCATCCCACCAATAAGCAAACACCAGGACCTGGAACACGATTACGGCCGTCCACACGAAGATCCTCATCCGGGAGACTCGACACCTCCCAATCTTGAAAGCCGTGACAGCCGCCCACTGTCGGCTGCGGCGGTGTTGGGCAGCGTAGACGGCGATCCCGAGGAAAAGGGAGAAGCCATAGAAGGCGTAGACGGTGACGAGATTTTGGTAGGCGTAGTCATCGTCGCGCTCGGAGCAGGCCTGTGACATGCAGGTGTAATTTTGGAATTGGCGCAGGCAGACGGCGGTGACGAGTGCGAGGACGGTGATGATGGCGACGCCACGGGTGATGAAGCGTTGGGTGGGCGCTGGGGCGCGTGGAGCCGCGATTGTGTGTGGTTGGATGCCCATGGCGGGTGGGATGCGAACCTGGAAAGGGGGGCCGCTGGCAGTAGTGGGTGACAGTGACAGCGGAAACCGGCGCGCGAGCGAGAGGATTTTGCGAGCGCTTGGATGAACTTGGAAGCAAACGTCCAAGTCAGGGCGCAGGGCAAAAGGGAACCGAGGAAACAGCCGAGGGCGATTATCGTAGACTATGGGACCCGGAAGAGCTATCCACGTAGTTTTATATCCAGCCTACCCAGGGATTCGCATCCGGCAGTGGGCTTGGAAAAGCTGGCCGGAAACGACGGGATTGACCCTGTATCCTTCGACGCTTTCGTAGCGAAATCCCTCATGTTCCGAGCATGTCCGGGCCGGGTTGGCTAGACACAAAAAACCATAGATATGCAATCGGAGAACGTCATGGTCCCTGAACGAGGTTTTGCGTCGCATTCTTTGGATCCGGGCCTGCCTGATTCATGATTGACTAACATTCCCGCAGTGGACGGTGCCTACGGGTAGCGCAGCGTCGAGGTTTTTCTCGCATTCCGTATAAAGAAAGGGGGTATCCGGGAACATTGGACAAAATAAGGGTCGAGGCCATCTTCTCCTCGTCTTGAAGGATACGCGATTTGGGGCCGGATCCACAACTCGGAGGGATCCGACTTCTGTGAGACTTTACTATCGCTGGTCGCATCAGTTTTTGATGGCGCGCAATGCTCCTATTCGGCAACGCATTCCGAGAGTTGACATGGTTTTGAAGTCCTTGAACACAAAGCACGCGTGCGACGTAGACGGAAGGCCACTACCGTCATCCGAGCCATATGCCAGTGCTGCATGGATGATGGCCGGTGGAAGCTTCTACGCCGAAGAAAGAAGGGGTTGGTGGATCTGGCATTCATACGAAACTCGAGAGAAGGCGGGTTGCATGATCAACCAACCCGCTCTTCGCTCAGCAAAGTTCCAAGTTCCAACTAACCGCCAATGCACAGCGTCATAACCGGTACCCACTGATCCCGTTCATCGATAGGCCACGGCTGCATCGACCAGCCGGTGAATTGCATGCATGTTACAGACGGTCGTCCGACTCTGACTCGTCCATTCGACCATTTTCTGAGCACCGAATATGTCGGAAGACAAAGCTGCGCAACGCGACGCGCCGAAGAAATTCTGGTCGACGAATTCCCAACTTCAAATTCACACCTCCCTCGTGAAACGTCCGTTCGTTCACCGGGAATCGTCATGATTTGTCGATCATCCCGACGGGATCCTTCACCCGGCGAGCTGATCGGAGCCCGTCGTGCAACTTGTTCGACTTCGCGGGTGTTTCTCTCCCAAATTTGGCGGATGTTGTGGTAATTTGTGTAACGTATTGTGTCCCGGAACCGTCCCGACCTTACCGAAACGCCGGGATGGCGTTAGTGCCGGAATCGCGCCGGAAATGACGGGACCTGCGCCCCTTTGCTCAGTGCTTCTTCGCATTGCTAAAGGTTCTTTCGCCGTCATATAGAGGTGCCAGGTGTGCCGAGTCTGCAGGCCAAGCATGGTTTTCTAAGGCGTTGCACGGTGCAGGATACCCTGCATACCTGACGGCAGTGGTACCCTGACTCAAGGTCAGTCGTGTGTGGAGTGGCATAGCGTATCTCGATCTCGGGCAAGTGAGCGAAGGTCACAGGCTATTGCAAACATTTTCCAGCAGGTCAAGCTGCCCACCGCGCCCTTGGCGCTAGTGGTATCCCGACATGGGCCTGACTTGGAGTCCCGCAGCGGCTACCTGGGAGTCAGGGAGTGAAGCTCCAACAAATAGTAGTCACGAATGAGTGGTCTGCAAAATACCGAGTGAGTCTCCGTCACCCTGGCTGGAGGCTACTCTTTGCACAACGGTCATGATGGCTTCAAGCTACGCATGTATGTCTGCCACTTTGACGGCCGCTGTGTGCGGCGACAGCACATCAGCAATGAGTAAACCGGGAAGCCTCAACCTTGGTCGCTTGCAAATCGTGCGTGCGCCTGCTGCTGCTGCTCTTGCGTGACACTTTGCTGCGCCAACCGATATTGCTTGTGCTCGTCGGGGGGAGGCAGCGGGCGGTGGGTGAGAGTTGCGCTGCCATGTTGTCTTTTTGACTTGTCGTCTTTGTCGCTTTCATTTGGTGGTTTCCGCCTTCCTGTGCCATCTGCCGTACGACCTCCCACCGAAGGCTGGTTCTGAGAAGTTGCCATCGATGGGTTACGAACTCAACGGAGCGGGCTCGCTGGTCCAGATCCGCAGGTCTAGCATCAATCCCTCTCCGTCCCCATGAAACACTCTTTGGCAGTTTGGCAAACGTTTGATTTTCCAACATGCAATCAAATATAGATGACCATCACCAATCCGTCTGCCGGAACCTTCCTCCTTTCCGGCACCGTCGCACATAGGTATCACCGCCCGCTGCACTGAAGCTTCCCCTCCCACGTTGAAAGAGTATCCACGATCTTCATCATTCCCAGATCCGCGGTGCGCAAGCTTGGCCCCATGATAGAGCATTCTGAGATATCCTCACACATCCGAGTCCAAGCGCAAGGTCACATGACGCGAGTGGATAGTTTAAGTAGCATGAGTCATGCATGACGCGTACATGACCTCATACGGCGTAACTCCCGTCCCCCCCGGTCATTCCCGTTTCCTGTCAGGCGCTTCATCCGCATCCATTCCTTTTTCTTTTTTGGGTGAGGCTTTTGCGGAGCATCCTTGGGACTGGCCCCCGCGCCCCCCCCCCATCATCATGTGGTCACTCCCTCCCACCCACAAGACTCAAGCAAGAGAAGGGAGGGTGAGGCCCGTGACTTGGATCTGGAAGCCCCAAGTGAAAGTGAGAGTGAGCGACGGGGAATCGGGTTGCAACCACAAGTTACTCCGTCCTACATATCATAGTACATACGCGGATCCCCTGCTGGGGCACGTTGTCCTTTGCTTGCTTCTGCCTCCCGCAACCTCCGGCGCATCCGTCCCTATCATAAATACGTCAAGTCAAGTCATGGGAGACGGAAGAACTCGCTTTCCCATCACAAAAAACGACGCTTTGGGTGGGCGCCCGTTCGCGCTGTACTGTATTTCCCATAGATCTCCTCTTTCACTGGCGGATATTCCCTCTCCCATATCATATCCCGTCTTGTACCATATATCAGACTCCACAAATACAGTACATCTGACCTATACGCCCTTTCTTCTCCTTTGTCGCCTGAACCGGTTTTGGAACAAACGCTTCTTTTTCCATTCACTCATCTCTCTCAGTGATCACTACCACCTGCTGCTGCATTCAGCGTCAACGGACGAGCCAAAAACAGCATCGAAATTATCAGCGACGCTCTTCATCGACAACAATAACAACCCCCCATCAACGCCCACGCACAAAAAATGCTCCCAACACCCCTAACAGCCCTCCTAACCTCCTTCCTCAAACCATCCCACCTCGTCACTCCAACAAACAACCATTGTACGACAAACTCCTACCCAACCGCTGACGACGATGCCACCATCACGCCCCCCAAAACACCTCGTCGTGGTTCGAATACGTCGTCAAGTGGATCGACGACTGTTGGGGATGTTGAGGAGACCGACGAGGATGGCGGAGTTTTTGGGGACTGGGTGAGGGAGGTTGAGAGGGTTGCGGGCGAGAATGGGAGGGGAACTTGGTGGGGGGACGATATGGAGGGTGACGTGAAAGAGGAGGATGGTCACATCTCGCATCGCGAACTCTTTTATCGGTTGATGAATGTCGAGGATTATCCTGGTATGTACCGCCCGATCCGCGCAAGCTTCCATTCACTTCGCTCATCCTAACATTTCCTCAACTTATAGACGTCCTGCCAATCGCCCGCACATTCCTCCAATCCCAACTACGCCTCTCCGCCATCCAAGCCGCCCACGACGCCGCTGCCTCTAAGCTCACCCAAACAACACCCCCAGCCACCCTCGGCGCCGCCATGCGCAACGGGTACGACCCCGCCGCCCTGGAATCCTTCATGCTCGCCCAGCACCAACGCACCATGGACGCGTACCATGAGTATCGCGCCGGATGGGATCGTCGGATGGAGGAGTGGGAGACTCTAAGAGCAAAGACGAGGAAGGGAGATGATGAGGAGGTGGATGAAGAGAAAGAGGAAGCGGAAGCCCTGCGATACGCGAATACGATGTTTCCGAGCCGGGCGTTCGCCGAATGGTGGCTGTTGCAGAACGCGCCGACCAAACTAGTCGACGGAGCGTGGTTACAGCACGTTGTAGGCAGCGGCACTTCCGCGCCGTCGTCGTCGGATTCCCACTCCCCATTCCCGCCTACAACAACAACCTCACCACAACCGCACCACCACCACACGCAAGCAAAACGCACCGCCCTCCCCCTTTACACCACCTTCATCGAAGAACTCGGCGACGGCATTCTCCCACAAAACCATGTCACGGTCTACACCCTCACCCTCTCCTCCACTAGCCCCTCCCTCCCGCCCGCCCACTCCTCCACCTTCGCCCACACACCCACCATCCTCACCCCCGCCTTCACCCGCGGCTGTATCCAGCTCGCCCTCGGCCAATTCTCCGCGCACGAATTCTTCCCGGAGGCCCTGGGATATAACCTGGGGTATGAGCAGCTCCCGCTGCATTTGTTGGTGACGAGTTGGGAGTTTGAGCGTATGGGATTGGACGCGACGTATTTTTTGCTGCATGTCAGTATCGACAACGCGGCGAATGGCCATGCGAGGCTGGCTGTCGATGCGGTGAGGAACTATTTGGAGTGGGTGAGGACCGTCAGTGGGGTTGATGTGTGAGTATTCCAAAATCTCCTTTGTGCTGTTGACCTCTTGGCATGACGTACCAACTGTATACTGACAATCTTCCCTTCCCCTGGTTCTAACAGAATGAACGAACATTGGCAACGCATCGTGGCAGGCTTCTACCTCTCTGAACGCAACCCGCTCCAACCGCATATCGATCGGCGCCGGCAACTCGAACGGTCCCTCACCACCCTCACCTCCTCCCCGACCACCACACCCACCCCGCACCAAATCCTAACCCACGCCGTGTCCCACATCCTCGCCCGGAAATCCCCTTACGCCCACCGCATCCACTCCCCGCACTCCCGGCTCGGGTCCCACCCGTTGCACTACTGGCTCGACCCCGCCCACATCCACACACGGAAAGATGAGCTGGTTGAGGTGTTGAGTAGGGAGAAACGGTGGGTGTGGAGAGGGAGGCCGGAGAGGAGTGGGTTGTTGGCGGGGTTGTGTGGGTTCGGGGGGCCGATGTTTGCGGTTTTCGATGAGGGGGAACGGAGGGTTCTCGGGGAGTGGATTCGGGGGTTGAGTGGTGATAAAGACGAGGTGGAGGTGGAGGGTGTCTCAACGCAGAGAGAGAGTGGTGGGAAATGCCCGGTTTCGGGACTTACCACCACGGGACCCACATGCCCGTTTGCGATTTCGAGGAGTACGGATACTGAACAACCAGGGTCGGATACCTCTTCGATATCTGACTCTCCGCCACCGACGTCGACGTACACGCACCCACCCGCCCTCCTATCCCTCCTCCGCGCCAAATCCCGGCTCGGGCGAACCCGACACAACACCCTCACGCTGCAAACCCCCACGGGCTCCACGATACGGATCAACGACCTGCTTGCGCGGGGTACCCCGGGGGAGATTGCGGATGCGATTGTTGCGAGTGGGATGTGTGAGGCGTTTGCAAGGGCTTGTGAAGTGGGGGGGTGTATGGAGCGGTGGTTCAATGGGGAAGAGAGGGGGGTTGTTTGGGGGTGGGTTCGCGAAGTTGCGGAAAATTCCGACAGTGCGGATGCGCAGGATACAGCAGAACCCACACGGACCGTCTCAGCGTCCGCGGACCCGTCCAGACCACAAGCCGCGGGCGCCGATTCCCCCAGCGAGTTCACTCCCACCCTCGCCGCACAACCAAAGGAGTTTGCAGCAGACCCCGACATAGTCTCCCTGGCCCTCGACATCCTCTCCACCGCGACCTCCCCCAGCACCACTCCACTCACCCACCCGCCACCCACCCCGCTCCCACCCCTCCCCGCCCTCCCCACCATCCCCTTTCCAACCCTCACCGCCGTCCTCCGCCAAACCTCCACCGCCGGCCACATCCTCGCGCGCAAGATCCTCGACACGCCCATCCCGGAGTTCACCTCCATGTGTGCCGACACCGCCGCGGGGGGGCGGAAGCCACGACCGACGACCGGGGCCGCGATCCTCCCCCTCCTACGGCTGCTGGCGCTGGGCGTACCCCTAGACCGGTATTTCACGCCCGCGCGGCACCCGACGGCGCTCGGGGCCGCGTTGGTGCGGTTCCGGCGTGCGTGGGTCGAGTCCGCAGTGTTCGACAGCCTCATCGAGCGAGCCAGCGTCGGTTCCACCATATCGCAGACGACCGGACAGGTGCAGGCGCTGGTCGTCCACCTCCTCGCCGTCTCGACCCACCCCACGCACGCGCACACGACGACGCTGCTGGCCTCCCTCGCCACACTCAGCGCCCCGGCCTTGCTCAACCGGATCGGGAAAATGACACATGCGCCCGCGAGGGAATGGGCGCGGTTCGCGACGGCCGTCGAGAAGGCGTGGAGGGATGTCGAGGCTGTCGCGAAGGCGGAGATGGACTGGAAGTGTGTGGAGCGGAGACGGGGGGAACTGGAAACGTTGTGGGAGAGTGGTCTGGGGATGTGAGGGGTGATTGGATATTGCGAGGGGTTGTGAAGCTGATGGGGGTTTTTTTGGGGGGGAAGGGGGTGTACGTAAGATATATATATATACCCCCCCGAACGAGGCCCCCTTTTGTGTTTATGGACGGTGGGGGTTTGGGCAATACATTTTTTCTGATACGGGATGATTGATACGTTGGATTTCGGCGGTGTTCCTCTCTATAGTCTCAGCGCGTGGGTTTCCACAAAAACAAAAAGAGCACTCGGCTCGACAATTGAATGGACCCCTTGGCAGAGCGGTATCCAAAGACGATGCAAATGGAGACGCGCCCCAAGCAGACTCGTTTCTTCGTCGCACGAGCGTCGTATTCTTCGCCGCATCCCGGGTCTTCCCGCACACTGAGGAAACAGCCGAGTGGGAAGCGAATCTCCGTCACGCCGAGAAGGGTTGTAGACTCCATTGAGCGCGCCAACCCGTATCGCAGCTCTCGACGCAAAACGACGAGCTCTCGCTGAACATGAACGTCACAAAGGCCGCTCTCGCCGCGGCCCCACGAGTGCCGAACGCGTACGCATGCATGACATGTCCGAACCGAATGTGCCCATCGTCTCGACGCAATTCACACACGCAAAAAAGAACTCCTGTCGTCCTAGCGCTGAAGCCTGGCGAACTCGCTCCCCCGCCGGCTTCAAGAGGAACCGCTACCCTCACTCCGCGACATTTCAAGCGGCCGACAAACCAAAAGTCCCAAACATGGTCATATCCCGCTCTTGCTGGGAGGAGGATGAAGATGAGGACAACGCAATTCAAAATGCCGGTCGGCTTTGAAAGAGCAAGCCGCCGGACTCTCCATCCTCGCGCAATCAGCCGCTCCTGAAATGACACAGGGAACAACGCGTTTCCATCGTCCAATGGACCATGGCGGTCTGCGAAGCCACTACCCTGGGCCGCACGCGAGACAATGAACAAAGCTATATCCCTGAGGCCCCAGAAAGCCGCACTCGAAGGCGGCCGGCTTCTCCGCTACGACCGTTGATTCTGTTCACCGCTCGGCCACATTGCCTCCTCCTCGTCCATAGACTCTAGAGGACTACGTTCCTCGTCCAGAGCACAAACTCGGGACCTAGATAGTAGCTGATGGAAATGCAACCGACTGTTGTATGCCGCAGTAGCCCATGCGTCAACTCGTTAAGGCAAATGGAGACGCGTCCGTAACGCGTACAATACATACAGAGTCAGGGTCTCATTGGAAATCACCCTCGGGCACTCACGTGACTTGTGGGCGATTTATTTCTCATGGGACCCTGACTGGACGGGACTGTGGAATCGCTGCGTGGAATGGGAGCGTTACACACACAGTACGCCCCGCAATATGAGAATGAGGTGTTCTCCTCACCACCCACCAGTGCCACCCCCTGCTCGATCTACGAATGATGGACTAGCGGAATCCATGAGATCATCAACAATGGTTGGTTTTGTGCTTCGTCCTTGTGCGCGCTACCACCTGCTATCTATATATACTGTGTTCAGCGCTCAACCCGTCGCGTCGCTCGCATGCATGTCCTCCATGAGATGTCCAGTCCTGTTTGCTGACGAGGCGTCCGTGAAAACACAACGTGGCTCGATGGGACTTTTTAACGTGCGGTACATCAGAAGCACCCCCGTCGGCGGCTCCTCTCTCGGTCCTCTGCCAGAGGTTACAGACCGCCGCCATGAGCACAGAGCCGTCAGCTCTCCGCCGGGCCACCCCCCACAAAACCGTAAAAGATCACGCCGCGTGCGACAATGCGTGTATACAGTACGTGCTTTATACGCAGGAATATTGGACTTGTGTGTGGCATACACCTCGCTTGGCTGTATTCTCACTCAAAGGGGGGCAAGAAACGGGGCCCTCCCAACCGGCTCGGCTCGTCAGCAGAAAAAAACCGGGCAAAGCACACCCAACGCTGTGGGTCGCTCGGTGCCAGTGTGCGAGGGAGGGAGCGAGAGTGGCGGCGGAGGTATTCGGCCTCAGCACGCACACCCACAAACGTTCCTTGCGGCCGGTCGTTGCGTTGCCCCCCCTCAGCGGGAAACGGACGGAGGAAAGGGATAGGAGGCAAGGCAGACCGGGACGGCGACGACCCCTTCTCCTCCCGTCGCCCCGCAACCGAGACAGAGTATATATATTATATAAAGCTTCCGGGTGTGAAAAAGTGCCCGCGACGAGATTCCAACCGCCATCTTCTTTGCCGTGCCACCATTGCCGCCATTTTGTTTGCCCTCATTCCGTCCATCCTCATCATCCACAAGCGAGGAGATTCCCATCGTTGCTAAACCACGACTCTCAAACTGCCACCAGCCAGCCACAAGCTGTAACACTTTGTGTGCGTTACCCCAAGAAGCCCCCACTAGTACTAGGCTAGTGGTCCTATATGCCTCGCCCTCAGCCCTTGGGCAAAAATTCGAACGTGGCCCAAAGTCGTAGCCACCCTTGGCCTCCCGGATTGTCCTTTCGTTTCCCATCTGGGACAGCTTGTCGCCCGCTGCTACGTGTTCGAGAAATATGAGCAAAGGTGGCTTTCCATTTCAACAATACCACAACCTGCATGAAGCCGTCGATCATAACCAACATCAACATCCGCAACAAGCGATGCATCCACATCAGCGATACGAGCAGCCACAAGAGATGCTCCAGGATCAGAATCGAAGCGTGCGACCGCAACATCAGCAGCAGCAGCAGCAACAGCAACAGTCGGCAGAGCAGCAAGATCAACAGCGCCAGGAGGTGTGCCAGGATCTGCGACAACGCATCGACATGAACGACCGACCGGATTTGAAGCCGTCGGAGAAGCAGCTGAGAACTGCTTGTGAGGTATGTGCATCCCGTTGCGCCTCTGTGTTCCGACAGCGGCTCGTTTCATATGAATCGCGCTGATGCATCTCGGCAATCTGAATAGGCTTGTCGCTATAGGAAGATCAAATGCTCAGGTGTGTGTTTGGAGACGTTTGTCTTTCGAGTTGTCTACCTTCTCAGTTGTCAAGCACGTCCGTTACCTGCCTTCGTCGTTCTCATCATCACTCTCCCTCCTCAAACCGAATCCGCAGGAGAACCTGAAGGGTGCGAACACTGTCGCAGCAAGCAGCAAGAATGCATCTACTACCGCCGTCTCAAAGCTGGCCGTCCCTTCAACGCAAGCAAGGCGATCAGCAGTAGCGCCAGTCCAAGTTCATCCACTCCCTCTTCGCCGGCCGCTGAGGGCTCCCCGTCATCGTCCATGGCGGACATCACCGCCATCCGCAATGGCGTACCCGTCCGCCTCCCGCGGCCTATGCCCGCAGCATCCGCATCACGCCACGGAGCAAATCGCCGCGGTTCCTCCGCGATGTCCATTAGCGATCATGGCTCGCCTCGTGACTCGCCGTCTCCTTTCGGTACCGCCCCTCCTCCATCAAGGCCAGTCAATGCCAGCGAATCGGCGTTTGATGAAGAGTTCCGCATGTATACGTTCCCGATGTCGGATTCGATTGCTGGGCATGACGAGTCTGGTTCCGGGTTTACTGACCCTGCGTATGGCAAGGACGATCAAGCGCATCATTCCACTTCACTTCGTAAGTTGACCCCGGAGTGCAAGAGACGGTCGCTGTCTTCATATGTTTCTACAAACTGTCCAAATCAGAAAGCGTCCAGAATCGCTGAAGAAGCGCCGCAGTCGTTGAGCGCTCCACATAGTGAGGAACAACTGCATCATGTGTGTTTGTTCTCTCTCGTGCATCAGCAGCTCTTACACGTTCGCAACACGAAGAATGGCTCGAGCCATGAAAAACCACGATGCTCACTGGCCGCCGCAACAGCCCACACGGGCTCGTCCGTGGTCCGCTCGGCATTCACGTCGTACGCGTCCGTACCACCCACCAACAAAGGCAAAGCACCCACCGCGCAAGCTCCTCCCAAAACTTTATCACCCGTCGAAGGCCTCCAACTCACCGAAACCTTCTTCATCACGCACCCGCTCTCCTACCTTGTCAACAAGACCCTCTTCATCCAATCCGACGGCTTCATCTCCCGAGACAGTCCGCTCTTCCGCGCAGTCACCACCGCCGCATACGTTGCCCGCAAGTCCATCGGGATGTGCGACTGCGAAGCTGGATCGGAAGACCAAGACATTTTTGCCATGGACGGCGGTGACGATGCGGAAACGGCCGCTGCGTGCTCGTTTGATGATGCGTATGCTGCGCGGCCCAAGCATGATCCTGCCGAGGATGCGCTAGAGACACTGCAAGCGTACCTGATCATGATCCTGCATCGCTTGGCTACGTTGACGCCAAAGGATGTGCTGGAGTGGCGCGAAACGGGCAAGCGGCTGCAGTGCACTTGGAAGCTTGCCCAGCGGTGGCGGCTACGGACTGCGTCGAGGAAGGCAAGCCTCCCTTCGTCGAGCGACTCCTCACACCCGTCTCCTCCACCACCATCATCGTCAACACACGGCACAAGACAATCCATCACCCAAGACGACGTGGAACGCGAGATCACCAACTTCTGTTGGTGGACCTGTGTCCTCCTCTCCCTCCACTACCGCATCGTCTCTGGCGAAAAAGTCGACTCGTTTCTCCGGGCTATGAAACCCGCCCCCGTGAACGCCGCACTGGTCATCTTGCAAGACGGGACAGCCGGATGCAGCGCCGTCGGCTCGATACCCAGCCACGAAGACAAGTCCTGTGTTAACAAAGTGGCGGTGAGCTTGCAGCGGTCAAGGCTCGCGACGTTTGCAGCTGCGATTCAGATTGCCGAGTTTGCGGCGCAGGTGCATACACTCAACCTGCTTGACGCTGAGATTGCGAAAAAGGAGGGCGAGAGTCACACTCTGAGCGATGCGAGCCTCCACTCGCAACAACACCCTGTGATGCCTCGCGCCCCACCCACGGAACCGCAGAAGCAGCGTGTGACGGCGTTACGTGCAAGTCTCATCAACGAGCTCGCGCGGCTATCGGACTCGTTTGCGTTTGATGAGGCGCGCAACTCGGCGGCCGAGGGCGGCGGAGATAGCAGTCGAGCGATTCGCCTGGTATCGACGTTGCTTCTCATCGATTTGCTGATTGAGCCCGGGTCCCCGTCGTCCTCGCCGACTGCGGCGAAATCGATCACCCAGCCGCTCGACGAGACTCATCAGCTCGCGTCCTATCCCACGCCAACCCGATCACCCGATCCCTTCAGACCCCTGCAAGTCTCCAGCGCACGACGTTGCCCTCCATTACAAGCACAAGACCAGGAAACATTCACCGGGGCATCGCCGATGCTCCTCCCCATTATCGAAGGCGTCCTCGAAGACGTGCGGTGGGTCGTCGTCAACGTGGACAACACGGTTGAATCCGACTCGTGCCAAAACTCGTACTCGAAGTTGTGTGTCATTGCCGTGCATGCTTGCATCGACGGGCTGAACAGTATGAGTCGTTTGCATGGAGTGAGGGAGGATACGACAAGGGTGCAGTTGGAGCAGACGTGGAGTCAGCTGGATGCCTTGTTGGTCGTGAAGCCGTTTTTGGCGGCGGGGGTTGAGTTGGTTCGGCCGGCTGCTGCTGCGCCCGAGGTGACTGTCGCACCGCCATTGCAAGATATGGGTGTTGCCAGTATGACGGAGGTAGAGCACGCATCTGCCTCTTTGTCGCCGCATCCGACACAATCGCAGAAACGATCGCGGGACCCGTCGCATGAGCGCAATCGCAGCCGGAGCAGGTCGCGGTCGTTTTCGTCGCCGGCCCTGGCGCTGAGAGGAGCGGATACATCCGAGGCGATTGCCATCGCCGCTCCAACCTCCCCGGCCATGATCCTGCCGCCAGCGCCGCCGCCGGCACCCCAAAGGCACCACTCATCCCCGTCGATGGGGACTCCCAATTTTCCCATGTCGGGGTCGCCGGAAGCCGTATTCCAAACCTCGAATCACCAAAGCAGCGCAGATTGGGCAGCAATGCTTTTTCCCACCATGTCTGCGCCGGCACCCACGCCGATACCGCCACCTATACCCATCAGCGCCGCCGCGCAACACGATCCCACCAGTATGTTATCCGCGCTCCCAGCCATGGCCTTCCCACAGCTCTATGCCTCCAATCCGCCACTGATGCACATGGCGACCCCCCTCGCCGCTCTCCTCCAAGCACACGCCGCAGCAGCAGCCGTCGCGAATGCCACTCCCGCACACAACAACCAGGCCCTCGCTCTCTCCACCGCCGCCGCGTACGCTCAACACCCGCACCATACCCACACATCCAACCTCCTCACCAACCCGATTTGGCCGCACTACCCGCAGCTGCCACTATCACTCAACATGAATCCCACCGACGTCGCGGCGTCCATGCTCCTGCAAGGCGTCGATCTGAGCATGTTTGTCCACCCGCACACGCAGCAACTGCTGGATCCGTTGCACTACATCCGCAGACACTCGGCGCCGGCTGTGCCCGTGCCCGTGCCTGTCCCACTACCGTCGCCGCTGACCGCCCAGCATCCCCCGCATCATCATGAGGCGAGCATGGTGTTGCAGGACGAGTTCATGATCCCGCCGCATATGCAGCGACACGAGCAGGACGGGTTGGCGGATATCTCGATGGGGATGCCGGCCGCGCATGACCAGCAGCAGCATCAGCTGGAAGGCCCGTATCAGCAGCAGCAGCAGGCGGCGGGCCTGCTTCAACAGCAGCAGCAGCAGCAGAATTATACCGAACCATCCTCCACAGCGACCGCGAACCCATCGGCGGCGGTGGAGGACGTGGACATGGTCGCGCTCATGGACACGGACCTGGACGAGATGCTGTGGAGGATGTGAGACTGGCGATTGGGAGCACCCCCCCCCCCCCTTCCCCCCCTCCCCTTGCGAGTTGGCTTTTTTTTAGGGTTTAGAACTTCTCGTAGGTTTTAGGCAATGTACTGTATATACCCCCCTTTTTCCTCTTTCCCACCTTTGTTGGGGTGGGTCCGTTTCAAAGACTTCATACTTGCGCCCTTTTTTTTTTCTGGACCCCTTCGGTTTGTGCAAGTCGTTCGTTGTATATACCTCTATTCTTGCACTTGGTCTTTTTTCTTTGGGGTTCTTGTAAGTAGGGTGTGTAGCTGGCTACAATGGCATTGGCGCTTTCACCGATGCGATGGATGGCTTTCCGCCGGCCCTTACCCGCGTGAGGGGGTTCCGGATTCGGAAGTGAATGCTGCGAGTCTAGTTCTTTTCGGATATTCGTTTCCTCCGTTTGGAGCGTTGTTCCCCATATCATTCGTTCGTTCCATTTCCCCTCCAAATGCGGGAAACCAGCAGTGATCTTGTGTCTATCCAACGCTTCTGATGGAATGCCTTGCGTGCACACGCAGCTCCATCGTCGCGTCTTGGAGCTTTGAACGGGATTCAGCACAACGGTAATAGAGAGGCTTCTGCGTCCCATGCGCATGCACACGGGAGACAAGCCGCTAGCCGAGCCACCCCGTTGATTGTTGCCGCTTTGATTGGTTGTTATCAGCTGTTCCGTCCTTTTCATCTCAGGCTGGGTCTGCATTTCAGCACGATTTGATGCATCCCATCATTCTTGTTTTGGGGCGTTTCCCTAGCGGATTCCACGACGGTTCAGCTTGACCGAGAGAGAGGCTTCCGACATCACTGGAACTACACTGTACACAGGAAACACAAACCGCCTGCTGGCTGGGCTGCTGCCTGCCTGCCCGCCTTGACGGAGAAGGGCGGTGCTAGGCCCGCCTGATCCACGATTGCACGAGTTATCCATGTTTTTCTTGTGTTCGCAAGCAACCTGTCAATATTCTCAACCTGTCAATATGAGTCACAGCGCGCGTGGAAACACTCCGTCTGCCGTCGCTCCGTCAAAACACCGACCTGTCAAAGCGGGGCCAACGGGCCGTCGCCCCAATCCAAGACTCCAAGGAAAACGGAAGCAAGAGCGCTCGGACGGAGGAAAACAGCAATAAGGATGCATGCGTTTCTTAGGGACTGGTACCTTCCGCCACAACGTGGCCGGCTACCTGTTTCCAATCTTTCTGCGTACCGGCAAAGACGTTGCGCCCGGCGGTGAGGCGGGCTCAAGAACAAACCGTATGAAGCAATTACCAGACACAAAATGGCGCCTGCTTTCAAAACGAGTTGCTGAGATACGGGAAAAACATGCCGTGCTTCGAAATCCACGGCCGAATGCAAAGTGATGATATCACAATCCTTTCCATCAAGCGGGATCAAACGTGTGTGCGGAGGATGTGACGGGGGAAAAGAAAGAGGAGGAGGGAATGTTTAACTGGGATTGTTCTCCCGGGTCGGCAGAGGCAAACGTTGTGGCGGTATATAATAGAAGACCGCCGGGGTGTCCTCGCACGGCCAGCCTGCAACGGCACTGGCACTGGACACCAAAGACCACCAAGGTTTCAAAAGATCAACATCTGCATCGCCCCAGCAAGGCCTTAAGCATGGTCTCTGTCGCGCCCGACCCGCTCACAATGCGGTCTCCCACCGAGGAGCTCCTCTTAGTTGCCCAATCCGACCCAGACCTGCACGCCCTGCGCATCTTACATCAATCATGGACATACACCGACATCTGGCAACGGGTGCGGTCCCAGGCATCCTACATCGAGCATCTTCTTTCCACATCGTTATCAACCGACTCGCCGCGCGGTGCCCCAGTGGGTCTCTACACGGGCATGGAGTTGGACTACGTTTCCGGCTCGCATGCAATCTGGCTCGCTGGCCGGACCGTCCTGTTCCTGAACCCAAAATGGTCGGCATCCGTTCTCGAAACCATTCTCCGCCGGTGTGGATGTGCGGTCGTGCTTTATTGCGAGGCGGAGAAGCCGGCGGTGCCAATACCGGGCGTCACCTTTGTATCGACTCGCGATATCCCGATTCTATCAGAGCCACATATCCCGTCACTCGAGAACGACCGTGTCATTTCTGTTCCGAGGATATGCTCCATTACTCCTACCAGGTAGGTGCCTCATTCAGGGAGCTTGATATGAGGCTACGATCATGAGGTGATGGCTGATTCATTCTTGCCTTACTTTTCACTAGCGGATCTACTGGGGTTCCGAAATCAATCGTCTATCCCATGCGCAAGTCTCTTGAAATCCTTTCGCAAGAATCTGATGACATTCTTAAGACCGACGATGTGCAATGGCTTCGTGGAGGAACGGTAAGGGTCCCTTCCCGATTATATTTCTAAGTTTACGGCATCACTAATTTCGTCTCCTGCAAACGCTGCAGACCTTCCTCCGCCCTTTGTTCGAAGTTCGCCGCTTCCCATTCAACAAAACCGTTCTGCACCTCGACCCGGGCAAAAGCATGGAAGACCAATGCCGCAATCTCCTCTGGGAGCTTCAGGAAAGCTCCCACACGGAGCCCATGCGCACACATTTTACGCCCAGTGCGTTTCGCGTGTTCTTTGAGTATGCCAAGATGATGGCGGGGAATACGTCACCGAAGTTTAAACGCATGTATTGGCTTGTGCTGGGTGGGGAGGCCGTGACGAGGGATCTGACGGCTATTGCGAGACGAATGTTTCCGAATGCGACTATTGCGTGCAATTATGCTGTGGGTATACAGCGTCTTCGTCTGACCTGAGTGAAACAACCAATCTTATGTACTTTTCCGCAATAGTGCTCAGAATCGGGCTTCGCAGGAATCGCACAATGCTTCATCGGCCCCGCAACAACCATCCCCCGCGAGATATGCTACCGCCCCTGTCACGGCTGCGAAGATCTGGTTCTCCTCGACCAACACACCTACACCCCACTCCCCAAGCATACCGGTGTCTCCGGCATCATCGGCTTCGTCACAAAGCACAGCGCCACGCACTACCTCGGCAACGACGCGGCGACCCAGCACATGTTCCGCGCCACCGCTCCCGAAATCAGCACTGACCTAGACATGCTAACCCTCATCTCAGACGATATAGGCGAGTATACCGCCCGCGGCGCCGTCGTCGTCAAGGGCCGCAAGTCACGCAACATCAAGATCAACGGCCTGTTCATCGACCTAGACGACGTAGAGAATCTGCTTCGGAAACCCCTCTCGGACCCCGCGGCGGGTGTAGCGGCGTTCAAGCTCATGAAAGGCGTCCACCGCGACATGTTAACGCTGTTTCATGCCGGGTCAGCAACGTCCGCCATGGTTTCGCAGTGCATTCGCGGGCTGTTGCAAGATTTGGTCAAGAACGATGGGCTGACTTTGCCAATCGCACCGCAGCATTTGGCGGAAATGCCGTTCAATGCCAGCTTCAAAGTCGATATGCAATTGTTGCAGACGTGGGCGGATGCAAGCACGCCGGTGGAGAACTCGGTGGGGCCTGTGGCTGCGGCGGAAGTCGTGCAAGACAATGTCAAGGGCCGGTCGGCGCCCTTGGGACCACGGAACATCGCGTCCCCGCAAAATGCCGAGGATGAAGACGTCGACGACTCTAAGACCATGTCGGCGAAAGACGAGAGCGTCCAGGATGGGTCGTCGTCGGCTAACGGCGAAGTCACGGCCCTGGCCAACCTGATCGCCGCGGATATTTCCAAGATCCTGAAGATCGACGCCAACACGATCGATATTACCGCGCCGTTGACCGATGTGGGGCTGCATTCGATTGCTATGTTGCGTCTGTACTTTAAATTGCAGACCAACTATGATTTCCAGGAAGAACAGTGCCTACTGTTTGATACCGAGATGACGCTCACTCGTTTAGCTAGGATGATGCTCGGTATGCGATCTGCCATCTTTCTCACTCTATACCCGCTTCCATTCACTCACTCATTGCTTCCTTGTCCGCTTCTCGTCACCAGCGGTCAAAGACTCATCCTCCGACAGCGACGGAACCCGAGTCGAAGAAGAAGCGGACGGCGCGCGGGGCACAGATACACAGACCTCGCCCGAAACGATGGACGAAATCCAACTCCAGAAAAGCATGCTCAGCATGAAAGACTCCCTCATGCAAGTCAAGGTCATCGACTCCATCGTCGAAGACGAGATAGAAGTCCAGCCCATCGTCCCAGACATATGCGACCCCTTAGCGTTCATGGACTCCACCACCGAGCTTCTCAAAAGCGGGAAAGTCGACCACGTGACTGTCACTGCCCACGGCACGGAGCAACAGAAGCAATCACACACCGGCGACCTCACCATGTACGACGGGCTCAGAACCGTTGATGTTTCGTGGATGACCCCGCTCATGAAACTCGGCGCCTCCCGACCATTGTCCGCGGATGATCTACTGAAATTGAACGTGAAAGATACGACCGAGACGGTCAGCAAGTCGATGGATGACTTTGAGCGCAGGGTGAGGGAGTGGGATGATGGAGGGAGAGAGGGAAAGGCACCGGGACTGTTTGGGGATATGCTGAAGGCAAACACAGGCTACATGTGAGTGCGCGCCCACCGACTCACCCCTGCCTTTTTTCGTGTACATTTACAACTTCTTCTTGGACAATATAATGCTTGTTGCAACGATTGAATGAAAGTAACTGACTTTGCTTTTCAATTTCCTTTACTTCCGTATCTATATTTGAAGACGCACAGCAGGCTTGCTCTGGCTCCTCTGCATTTCCGCATCGCTAGCGACCCCACTCTTCATCCAACAAATCATCATCTGCTCCCAAGCGCCTCCACGGCCCAGCGGCCCGCCCGAAGCCGTCGACAAGTACAACGACGCGATCCTAGAAGCCACGGGCGGGATGCCGTTGTTCTTTGACTCGATCTACATCAATGCAGGGATCCTCCTGGCATTACGCATCTTGTTCACATTCGCGGGTCGAGGGAGTGAGCAGATCATGCGCCGTTTTGCGCTTAATGTCAAGACGGCGCTTATCAATGCGGTGTTTGAGAAGACGCTCAGTGTGGATAGCTTGAGCTTTCAGCGGTTTTCGAAGGGATATGTGGTTAATCTCGTCACTGTGGATTGCGAAGGGGTATGTGTGCTTTTGTTTTGGATCACAATGCACCATGGAGACAGCATTGATTGACCGTCTCTTGCCGCCCGCCCAGATTACCGGAGGCTTGCAATCAATGCACGATCTCTGGGCGATCCCGGCTCAGATTGTCACTGTTTTGGCCATCATGGGCCACATCCTTGGCATATCGGTGTGGGCAGGCGCCGGTGGACTCATCGGCGCCGTCTTCGTCGTCATGTTCATTGCACCTGCTTTGATGGCTCGTGCGGCGCCGCAGATGTCCCGCTTCGATGACGAGAGGATCCGATTGATCAAGGAGACTGTGCAGGGTATGTTCGAGATGCATGTTCGCCTTCACATTTGTTGGGGTGAATACTTCCGGCTAATGGGTTTGCGCATGACAGGCATCAAACTCGTCAAAGCGCAAGTATGGGAACAGATCTTTGCGAGCAAGATCATTGCCGCGCGCGCCAATCAGGCAAAGAGTCTTTTCGTATTCAACATCGGGATAGTGTGCTTTGTTGTCGTCGGTCAGGTGAGTTTAAAAGCCCCGAGTACAAATGTGCCGGCTCTGGACAGGTTTGGCTGACCCACTTTTCCCATGTGTTAGCTTGGCACGACCATTGCACCCGTCTGTGCGTTCAGTCTTTACGCAGCTAAAGGCCATATGATGAAGGCCGCGATTGTATTCCCATCTATTGCGTTCTTCAGCATTTTGGTCGATCCTCTTATTGCTCTCCCGCAGACGCTCAGGTCTGTTACGTCAAAGCGCTAGGAGATACTTTGCATGGACTTACGCGTACTCAATCGAACAGCGGGATCATGAGCGCAAGTCAATCCTGGAAACGTGTGTACCAGTTCCTCACCGCCAAACGTCAAGTACCCGTGACCGAGAGGTCGTCGCACTCGGCACCCGCCGCGGAAACCAAGTTATCGTCAGAAACTGCCATTCTGATCGAGAAGGCGTCTTTCTCATGGGCGCCGAAGGAGTATCATACGTCCGTGGACGTCGGGGCGAACGCAACATCGGCTGTGCTGGACAGCGCTTTCCTGAAGGACATCAATGTGAATATTCCGAAGGGATCGCTTACGGCGATTGTCGGGGTTGTGGGATCGGGGAAGACAAGTTTGCTGTCTGCGATTACTGGACACATGCAATGCGTTGAGGGCTACGTAAGTGACTGAGGATTCGCCCACGCATGGCAAATAATGTCGCTAATCAAGTCGCATCGTCCAGGCGTACGTGGGTGGGACTTTTGCCTACACTTCCCAGCAGCCCTGGGTGCAGAGCACAACCGTGAAAGACAATATCACGTTCGGCCTCCCCTATGACGAACGGAAGCTACAGAATGTCATCCGCGCTACCGCCATGCAAAGGGATGTGGATTCATTCGAAGATGGCATCCATAGCGCCATAGCGGAGAAAGGATCCAATCTCTCGGGAGGACAGAAGTCCCGCCTGGCTTGTGCTAGAGCGATGTATAATGATGCTGGTAAGCAGGATGCTGCTGCTCGCAAGGCTTATGAAACCCGATGCATAACAGCACACTAACTGTGCGGCCCTCCTTCTACATGCAGATATATATGTCATGGATGATCCCCTCGCCGCTCTGGATGCCACTGTCGCTCGCGAAGTGTTCGAGAACTGCATTCGGCAGGGCCTCGCGTCCAAGACCCGCATCCTGGTCACCCATCACCTGGACCTTCTACAAGCCGTCGACTCTATCATCGTCATGTCCGAAGGACGGGTATTGGAGCAAGGGTCATTTACAGAGCTCTCAAAGGCGGGTACGCACCTCTCTGCTCTTCTCGCCGGGAAAGCAAGAGCATCGGAGGAGCAAGATGATGCCAGTGAGGCCACCACGGCCGAGGATCCAAAAGTACCTTCTCACATTGCGGCCACGTCGGCCAGCAATACAGCAATAGAGCTGTCGGCGGAAACGCTACCGGCGACGATCATAGCGGAAGAGATGAGTGACTCAGTCTCCTGGTCAACCTACCGCAGCTACATTGACGCAGCTGGTGGCGGGCTCATACTCGTTTCACTTTTGGTTCAGATCCTGCTCTACCAGGCGGGAAATGTCATTATGACCCAATGGCTGTCGTGGTGGACGTCGGATAAGTTTATGCAGGGAACGGATTGGTGGATCGGTCGGTACAACGCCGTCGCTTGGACGGCCGCCTTCCTTCTGAGTAAGTTCTCTTTGGCAGCGATTGCAGATCTCCTTTGAGACCTAACACTCCTTCGTTTCTGTCTATAGTCATCATGAACACGAATATTCTGCGCGGCGTATCTCGAGCATCCAACACATTCCATCAGCGCGCGGTCGAAGGTGTCCTCCGTGCCCCACTCTCGTGGTTCGAAAGCCAATCTGTCGGGCGTATTGTCAACCGCTTCTCTCGCGACGTCGCGGCCCTTGACCAAGCCATGATGCCGATTTTTTTTCAATTGGTTGCTGGACTCGGGACATTTCTGTCCATCGCGGTTACGGTTACGTATAACGTTCCAATCATGTCTGGTGGGTATACGAGTCCATGGCCTTGGCTATCTTTGAGGCTCTAGATCTACATCCGGCTGACACATGGTATTTTATCTTGCAGCGGTTCTTGGTGTCATGGTGATCGCCTACTACCTTGTCTTCCGATATTACCATCGTACCGCGCGAGAGCTTCGCCGACTTGAAGCTACCGAGCGCTCGCCGCTGTATTCGTACATCAACGAAACCATGGAAGGCATCCCCACCATATCCGCATTCCGCCGCGAAGACGATTTCCGCCATCGCGCGAAACAGTTGATCGACCAAAGTAATCGAGCATCCTTCCTCCGCTACAATGCCGAGCTGTGGGTAACCCTGCGCATGGACCTCATCTCCGCGGTCGTGATTGCGGTTCTCGCGGGTCTCGGCGAAACCTCCTTTGCGGGAACGGCATCCAATTTTGGCATGGCGTTGGCGTACTCGGCCGCTCTCACTTACATCATGACCATCATCGTACGGAGCATTGCGAACCTGGAGAGCGAGATTTACTCGGTACTCCGACTGCAGGAATATGCAGATCGATTGCCGTCCGAGGCACAGGGTGCAGACATTCGTGTAGATCCTAGCAAAGCGTGGCCAAGCCAAGGCCACATAAGGGTCAAGGGGTTCTCGGCGCACTACGCGAGCCGGCCTGACCGATTATGCCTGCAAGACGTCGATCTCGAGATCCTCCCCGGTCAACGCATCTGCATGGTGGGACGCACTGGAAGTGGGAAAAGCACGCTGCTACTCGCACTGTTGCGCATGATTGAGAGAGATGCGGGCAGCATTACTGTAGACGATCGGGAGATTCATTCTATGGCACTGGAGGATTTGAGGCATGGACTCAACCTCATCGTGCAAGATGCATACCTGTTTTCAGGTAAGCAAATCTGGCCGACTAGCTGATGCATTGCCTTTGTGAGACCGCCGAAAGCTAAGGCTGCGTCTTTCTTTCACAGGCACCATCCGCACCACCCTCGACATTAGGCAAAACCTCACCGACGAGCAGCTCTGGAGCGCGCTTGAAGCCGTCGACATGAAACCGTACGTCTCATCCCTTCCCCAGAAATTGGATACGCCTGTCACGGGCAACGGGGAGTCCATCTCGGCCGGGCAACGCCAACTCCTCTGCCTTGCACGGGCCGTCCTCGACAACCCGCGCATCCTCCTCCTTGACGAAGCCACCGGCTCTGTTGACGCGAAGACGGAGCAGACAATACATAAGATTATCCGTGAGCGGTGTCCGCACGCCACGGTACTGTCTGTGATGCATCGTTTGCAGGAGCCGGTTATCGCCGGCTTTGACAAAGTGTTGGTAATGAGCGATGGCTCCGTTGCTGAGTTTGAACGACCGGAGGTGTTGCTTGGCCGACCTGACTCGCTGTTCAGTCAATTAATGAAAGCGAGCTCAGGTAAGGACTGAATTCAGGTCATCACGGCGTACACATCCGCTTCCCATTTGATATTCGCATCTCCTTGAAATGTTTTTTTTTACGTAGACCAACATCTTAATCCGACCTCTTTTGCATTGTATCCCGACTTCATGTACATACATCAATGTTCACTCTGGCCTTACTCTGATATTCTGCCTATTGATATGTGACGCACAAAGAAACCTTGTAGAGATGAACGTAGAGCAGCAGCGACAGAGTTTTTGGGACCCGGGTTCTTCTGGCTCATTAGTACCCCGCAAAATCCTCTTCTCTGTGCAATACCCACAAAAATCGTGCAAACGGGCCGCTCCCTGGCGCTCTTCGGACAGAGAACACTTCTGCGGCTGAGGTGAGCAATCCCGCTCCTTACGAACTTCAACCCTGGGAGGCCAGTAAGGATGGACGAAATGTCGGAGCGACCGCAATCCGGTCTCCTCACCGCCGCCTCCGTGGGAGCAATATCTACATCAACACATTGATCTGATCTATGTCTTGCACTTTCGTAGCTAGACCACTCTATGTTGCTCAGGTACCGTCACAATTGTGGGGTGTCGATGATGGTTGTCGAGTTTTCCATGACGAGGACGGCGGTGAGCGGCATTATGAGGTCGTTTAGGAGCTTGCCGTAGAGTTGGTCTCTGAAAGAGATGGGGAAGATGATGAATTCATGAAGCTAAGTCATCTCTATCGGAGATGGACAGAGTTGCAGGAGAAGGCCCCAGGTATCTTCATGTACAGTACTGCCAATGTTCAAGTCCCGGGTAGATACCAAGCCCTGCGCCATCCCCATGTACACATTGTCCTGACTGAAAGCACGGCTGCAAGGCGACAACCCAGCAAAATAAAAAGACTATATCAAAAACACCCTTCTGCGTTCCTCCCCGTTCACATCTCCCACGCGTACAATAAATGCCTCCCTCCCAAACATCCCTCCCCGAAAAACGAGCTCACAGTTGCAACGGCAACGGTCGCCCGTATGATCCCAATTGTCAGCATCGACACGAATCCTAGCAGAACCGCCAGCAGACACACCTCATCAAGACAGGACAAGCCGCCCCTTTCGCACGTTATGATGACCAACGGGATGCTGTGTCGCGGAACTGCTCGAGTCTTCGTTGGGCGGGGACGATGGCGCCGCCCGGGGTTTGGGTCGTTTTCTGAACTCGAAGCGAAGAGCGGAGATGGGACAATATAGATATTTACGTTGCGGCCGAACCCCTGCAGCCAGACTCTTTCCTTGGAAATCCAGAGGGCACTCTTCTGTCGTATGTACTTGCAGAGTACGTTTCTCCCCAGCACTTAGCACGCATGGAACCGTGTGGAGGAGCGGATGAGTTTGCAGCTGCGCTTGAGAAGTCTAACAACTCGCCTTACTGTGAATTTGAAGAGCTTCAGACGATAATTTGCCTAAATTGTTCCCCCCTGAGTATGTGTTTGATTGCGGTCACGACTAGAAGCTATGTACAGTCGGCGGGAGCACCAGCGTCTAGCATCTTTTCCACAGCAAAGTGCATATACAAGGATGTTTCTCGAATGGATGGATCCTTGACGTCTGACCTCCAAGGTAAACGCTGGAGGTCTTGCAGTTGACAGGGTCCAATACTGTCGATTCCAAGGATGAGTCACCTGTCGCTTTTCGTTTTTACTATGCTCCGCGTCTCGTAAACTCCGCTCGCTGCATTTCCCCCTCGGAAGGGGAGCGTTTTCCAACCTTCCTTGCTTCCTTCGCTTGTATTCGTTTCTTGTACGTCTTCCCTTACATCGCAAATACACCCGCAAGGTGTTGACAGGGAACTGGAAGACACAGCAGAAAGGGATGTCGGAGTAAACCAAAGGCAACGGCAGGATATTCGGCCTCAGATGTCTACTGGACAAGCTATTGGCCCACACACATCCAGCTCTGGCAGCGACGTGAAGGATTTGAGCCTTATCATTACATACCGACGGTCAAACTTTTATCTGGGTGGATTCCGAAAAAAAATTGCAAATCTGCCTTCATCGAATACCAGCCAGAATACCAGCAGGACATGGTAACGCACCGCGCGGTCCATCGACATTAATGCTGCGACTCTGTAAAGTGTGCGTTTGCAACTAGATCACTGACGCAAGACAGCAATGGGTAACCGGTAGCTGTTCTGTATGACTCGAATCCAAAGGCCCTCCGCTGCGATACGAGGGAACCGCACGTAAAAAATACTCATAACTGGATCCGCTCGCAAACCTTCGCGCCGGGAGCGTTTTCCGGTCCCACTTTGTGCGTCGGCCATGGGACCTCTACAAGTCTGATTTCGTAGCTCCATGCTTAAAACGATTGGCGACTGCTCAACGTTCCGCCCGACACCGCGGCGCAGAGATATCCACAGTTTCCCAACACAGCACAAACGGAGCATACGAAGTACTACAGGAAGGAAGCTATCGAACATGGCGCCGATGCACCCTGCTCGTTGTCTACCACCACATTTGCACTCACATGGCCGGGGATTACAGCTCACATCCACCCCTGCCCTGCGTATTCGGCGGAGAGTAGACTGCTCAAGCCCTTCACATTCGTTCCCAACAAGAACCCGTTGCCCAATTACACCAGCCGCCGTCATTTGTGAGCGTCTTCGAACTCCATCCTGATCCATACACCTTCTACGATCTATCTACCCGCACGAATAATCGACAACAATGTTCATCTCATTTTACTCCGTTCGCGCACCCGTTGGGGAGGTTGATGTGAGTATATAGGCAAAATTGGGTGTACATCCACCCCCGAAAATCTTTTGGCGTTCGGCTGTTGTTTTTTTTCTCTTGCCATTTATTGGCATATGAGAATCATCCCTCTTCCTTTTGGGAAAAATCGTGGTTGAGGAGGTGAGCTGATAAGATATTGCATCCCTGGGAGCCTATGTCGCATGTGATCTGAGATGCTTCTCCCATCCCGCTCGCCACCCCCCAACTAGGGCATGCCGAGAGGCAAACTCGCATCTAATCTTTGCCTTTGCTCTTGCTCGTTTCCTTCCCTGTAGACGTGAACGCCGAGAACATTTTAGGCATACCCACCCTGTCTGTCGAAGCTTCAGTCGGACGCATCACCGGAAGACCCAGAGAAAAGCATGCATCTTCAGCGCATCTGCACCCTCACTTGAACCTCAAAACTCACCAGCACAGAACAGAGAAAGAACGTATAGCTAACCACAAGCTTGACGAGCCAACATACCCGCCACCCCCCGCATTGCAACCTGACGCGGGAGGATTACATCGCTCGAAAGTCATCGGGTAATGTCCACCGCCTAGCGATTGTCAATCACTTCATTTCCTCTGAGCTAATGCGACCACCGCCCGTCAGGCATTGCCCTCACCGAAGCGTATAGACATCCCTGATCTTGACAGTCGGTATTAGGAACCATTGAGATAATCACATATCACAATGGACCAGCCGCGGATGATCAGATGGTCGTTCCATGTCGCGACGTGGAAGCCGACGCCTGAGGTATGTCTCTTATGATCCCCGACCCTACTTGAGCGTTTTCGTTGTAGAGGGATGTTTTGATTTATGACTTCCGCATCTACGTGTCATTTGCCGAACTCTTCCATTCATGATCCTTCTACCCTCGGCCCAGTTGATCCAAACCCTCCTAACGAAAATCCCGGCGCACGAACGCACCAAAATTAAACGCTTCCGCTTCCCCATGGACGCCCGCCGCGCACTCATCGGCCAGCTCATCGCCCGCGCCGCCGTCATGGCGCTCATCCCGGCGCCATCAAGGGAAAAATGGGCGGACGTAAAGGTCGAGAGGGATAAATACGGGAAGCCGTTTTTGGTAAGCTCTTTTGCAAACCCATGTTGTTTGGTTTTTCGTTTGTTTTTTTTGCGCGTGTGTGGTTCTTCTAAGTGATTTCGCAAAAAAAAAAATGCAGTCATTTCCAGATATCCCCCACCTCCTCTTCAACATTTCCCACCACGGCGACTGGGTCATCGTCGCGGCCGGGTACGGGTCGCAACTCGGCGTCGACGTGTCGCGGTTCGAGAAGCCCACCAACGAGACCCTCGACGAATACTTCGCGGCCTTTGACGAGATTTTCACCCCGAATGAATGGGGGTACATCAACGGCGAGACAACACAGGAGGGTGATGGCGGCAGGAAGAGGAGCGCGAGGGCGGAGATGTTGCGCAAACATACTCTGAATGCGGAGCGATTGAGACGGTTCGTGACGCTTTGGGCTTTGAAAGAGAGTTTTGTGAAGGCGATAGGGATCGGGCTGGGGTTGGATTTGATGAGGGTGGAGTTTTGTGTCAAGGATGCAGTATGTACTTTCCGATTTCCCCTCTTTGCTGTGTGCTGTACGTGTGGATTGATGTGTTTTTTACGGGCAGGACAAGAACGATGCTGCTCCAGGACATGCACTGCACGACGACATCGCCGCCACCCCGCACATCACCGTCTCCCTCGACAACATCCCGCAGGCGCAATACACGTTCCACATGTCTTATCTCGACTCGTACCATCCGGCGGCGTATTGCTACCTTCCTGTGTCTGATAATCACACCAGTGAGGATACCGCTGTGGGGTCGAGTGGGAATGATGGGAGGAACGCAAAGGATGGGAATATGATGAGTGTAGATCATCGGGTCAATGGGCGGGGTGAGGGTATGGGGTTAGGAGAGGACGACAGCAAGGCGTGCGCGGGATTCAGGGAAATGAGCTGGGAGGAGTTGAGTGTGCGGATTGAGGCTTGCGAGAGAGGATGAGGGCGCAGATGGGCATTGTACAGTAGTTGAGTTGAGTTGAGTGGATGCGGAGACGACATACATGTCTAGTCTGGTCAACATGTAGTTTATATACCCTAACGGCGTACCCCCTTCATTGAACTGAACAAAGCTCTTAACAAATTCAATGTGGTGTTGATGATTCAAGAATATAAATGTACAAATATACGGAGAGGGAAATACAGCATAATGCACCAGGTAGTAAGACGATCGAATACACAATACAATAAACTCGAATGAGGAGAGAACGGGAGGCGAGGTCCAGAAACTTGAATGTCCGCCGCTAAAAGGTCGTAAAACTCTAAGACGCCCAACCTACTTCACCTCCCGTAGCGCATGGCCATGTCCGCTCCCACGTCCATGCACCATCATCTCCTCCGCTCGCAACGTATAATCACTCGACCTCTGCACCTCCACCAACCGTTTCCAGTTCGTCATCCCATACAACTGCCCAAACACGCGGCCAGGGTGGTATGCCAGCATGAGCGCGATGGCGCAGAAGATCATGGGTCCTTCGAGGACCATGAAGAGGGGCTCGTCGTTGGCGAGCTTGCCGCCGAAGCCTTCGGAAAGCTCGATTGTGCGGAAGGTGGAACGGATGAAGATGAGGATGGTTGCTGTGGCGATGGCTGGTGGGGGAGAGAAAGGGCAGTCAGTGTCCGACGAAAGGTAGTGCAAGGACAGAGGGAGGGGATGAAGACTTACCAAACTCGAATCTCTTCAACTTCTTCGAAGCCGCCAACTCGGCAAACTCGCCCTTCCCACCCACCGCCCCCATCTTGGCCGCCTTCCTCGCCTTCCACGAGAATTCCGCCCACAAGCTCAAAAAGATCAACGAGAAAAACACCTGCGCGACCAATCCCGCCATCATGATATGCACGCCGAGATCGAGCGTCTTTTTCGTCGTGGCGGCGCCGGCGAACCCGCCGCCGACGGCTTGCAGAACCAGCGAGATCTGGTCAAAGACGATGAAGACGATGGCGTAGGTACGAGGTTTGAGGCGAGAGTGTTCAAGGCCCTTGATGGCGACGACGCGCCCGAGGAGGAGGTAGATCGAGATGGAGATGAGGGCCGGGGCGATGGTCAACGGAACTAGGTAGCTATGAGAAGAGAAGGAGAATGGATGAGCGAAGCGAAGGGTTGATTGGAGGGATGGTTGAACGGATGAGCACAGCGACGGCCGCTTGCTTCAACTTGGTTGCGGGGATGGCTGAACGCTGCGTAGGTTAACTGTATCCAAGCGCCAGCGGGTGGTGGGACGGGACAGCTCGCTTCGCTCGCAAAAGATCCAACGCTTGCGGGTCGTCGCTGAAAACCGGGCTGAGGGGAGTAGTGCGCCTTTGAACTCGCTCCGCTCGCGCTCGCGAAGGCCAACGCTCAGGCTCCCATCGCATTGCAAACCAGCTCGCTCCCTAGGCTCGCTCACAACTTACAGCATGAAATAATCAAACTTCCAAGGATTCCCAGCCAACATCAGTCTCCCCAAATAACCGAGGATTTCCAACGTCGTGCCCAAGAACAACGGCACGGAGAAATCCCAAGTGCTGTACCGCCACGCCTGGCGCGCATGTGCCAACAACAAGATCGCAAAGATGGAGAGATAGATGGCATTTGCAGGGACGTTTGGGAGGTAGTGGATGTAGGCACGCTCGAGCGGACATTGTTCTGAGACGCCGTTGTCGGAGCAGAAGCTCGGGACGGTGATGTCGTCGGAACCCATGTTTTTGGCCGTTGGGTTTGGCGGGATATTTACGGGATGTCTGACGAGCGACCGGCGCTGGAGATCTGCTGGGGGGCTGAGATTTTAGAAAATGGATATGCGAGAGTGTGATAGGGTGCACTGTGCCCGCTTCGAAGCTTTATATAGAGTCTTTGCTTTGGATCCGCACATGCACGAGCAAAAGTCGACAACACGAAGTATTTGACTCCGTTTTTCGGAGGCCGTCTGAGTACATTAAGGCAATTTACGTACATTGTGCGCGGTAGCGGGTCCCTGACTCGCGGAAGCGAGCTGAAAGCGAGCTCTCGGATGGGAGTGAAATGTATCAGTTTTGATCCGTGCACAACGGAGCGTTTTTCAAAGTTGTAAGGTTGGATCAGTGGCCTATGAGTCCGCAATTCTGTGGACACTGGGGGCTGATGATAATTCAGGAGGAGGTCAAACCATCCAAGGGGCTTCTGGCAGGTCCACCGTCGTCTTATATATGATCTGGTTCATATAATCCATTGATGTACACATTTGTCGCGATAGAAAGGCGCAGAGGAAAAAGGATGCTTCCGCGAGAACGTGAAAATGCCCCGCACCTCCGTTGAACACGTTCTGTCATGGACATTATTGGACATGGACGGGCCAATAGGAGTCAGGCAGGACGAGCATACAACATCTTCGCACGGACCATACCATGCATGCCAAGTCGCAGAGCGAGAGAGAAGAGAGAGCCCCACGAAGCGCCGCCGGGCATCTATCTTCTCTGCCAACTTGCCCATGATGACGCTGGCCGTGCATTTTGGACTCCTCGGAGTGATGATTCTTGAGCGGCAGCGGGCTGCGGTGGCGCAGTCATGCACACTCCCAGTTCGTGTGACTCCCAGTTGCACGCGCTCATGTTGAAATTAATACGCGACTGCGCGGCGCGTTGGGCGATGAGGGGCGGGCGTCTCACAAGAAAAGTCGCCTGCAATAACGTCGCCCAAGACGACTACGCGAGAAGGAGGTTGGACATCGGGGAGGATATGCCAATAATGGCAACGTTCTATGGCTGCAAGGTTAGACACAGTCCTGTTATCTATTTGTATGTAGGGAAAGAATCCGCGATCCGGTCGCCAGGAAACAGAAATGGCTCAATTAAATACGATGGAATTAAATCAGTTCCACGTGACAGAATTGACAGTGGACGGGAATTGACAGGAGGAATGACAGGTTTAAACACCCCCACAAAAGACGGTCCATGGGGACGTACGGTGAAGCGTAACCCTTTCGAGTTACCTATTCCGCCCAATGTTTTCCCCCATCCCCCCCTCATCATCTCAACGTGGAAGTAAAGGCCTCCGTTATTACAACTGATTGTTGAAGGAATCGTCTAGATCTCGCACGCTCGCCTATGAGCGCATATCGTCCTGCAATATCGTTCTTAAACCCGTTTCACGCTTAGCTTCCCCAGCAGCAGATTTCACAGATCAAACGTTTTTTCTGTCCTCTACTCTGTAAAAATGCTGTCCGCTGTTAGCAAGCAATCTACTCCATCGTCTGCAGGTGCAGGCGCATCGTCCGGCATCACTGGACTGCGTAGCGCCGCCCATGCGCTGGATGCCCGCGGCAACCCCCGACCGTCGCAGCGCAGGTCGACGGGTGATACATTGAGCCAAGGCCCGGCGGTTATTGCAGCACGGTTGACCGGTGTCACGGAGGTATGTCTAACGCCGAAAAGGGCGACTCGAATTTGATTTCAGATTCAGACGCATTCTGTCGGCTCATCCAACAAATTTTGCGAATGCTAGTGCTCACGCCAAGACGACTGCCCCAACCTCACAACCCCCACGGGCATCCCTCTCCCGCACACAACGCACACCCTCCACATCGCCGGCCACCCGCTCCTCACGGACACAACCCTCACCGCGAAACTCTCCACCTTCACCCACTCCAAACCCCTCGAACGCACAGCCTTTGCCGGCGGCGCGGGCGCGTTCGGGTACTTCGAGACCACGACGGATGCCGCTGGTGGGTTGACCAAGGCGAGGTTCTTGCAAGGCGTCGGGAAGAGGACGCCGGTTTTTGTGAGGTTTGGGGGAATGCAGGGGAGGGACGGGCCGGATTCTGGGAGGGGTGTTCGGGGGTGTGCTGTCAAGGTGAGTGGATGTGTGCATTGAGGGGGTGAGTGTGGCGATTCTTTGATAATTTCGGCAACTTCCATTCGTCAGTTTTACACGGAAGACGGAAACGTAAGTCGCCTTGCCATTCCATTTTGCCTTGCATATCTTCTTGCATCCCATCTCGAATAACACACTGCACGGTATGTTCAGTACGACCTGGTCGGCCTCAACCTCCCCATCTTCTTCATCCGCGACCCCATGCTTGCCCCGGACCTCTTCAACGCCCTCTCCCGAAACCCCTCCACCCACCTGCCCTCGCCTACATCCACCTTCGACTTCTTCGCCAACGTTCCCGAAAGCATGCACGCGGCGACAATGCTTTTCTCCGACCGCGGCACGCCGGTGGGGTATAGGTTTATGGATGGGTTTGGCGTGCATGTGTTCAAGTGGGTTGATGAGGCGGGTGCGGTTAGTTGGGTTCGGTATACGTGGTTGAGTGAGAATGAGTGCGGTGAGTTTTTTTTTTGTAAAGAAATGTTTGAGGTAAGCTGGTGGTCAGGATTTCATCTGAAATCTCACAATGCAGAGGAAGCTGAAAGCACCGGCGACGCTGAAAGCCATGGTCAGTCGCAAGAATCCAAGACCGGGAAACGCAAACGACAAACCAAGAAACAGTTCACATGGCCCGAAGCCGTGCGCATGTGCGGCGAGGATCCCGATTTCGCCAAGGTACGCTTCCGTCCAGACCGAAACTTCAGAAAACCATGCATCATTCTCACCCAAACATCCCACGGCCCCAGCGCGACCTGCACACCCACCTCTCCACCGGCGGGCACGCAACCTGGGCCCTTCACATCCAAACGCTCCCCCCTAACACACGCCTCACCTTCGATCTCCTCGATCCCACGCGCACCTGGCCCCGTTCCCTCTACCCCCTCCAAAGAATCGGGCGCATTGTTCTAACCCACAATCCCGAGAACTACCACCGCGACGTCGAGCAAGCCGCGTTCGATCCAGCCGCAATGGTGCCGGGCATCGAGCCTGTAGGCGGGGATATGTTGATGAGCGCGAGGATGGCGGTTTATGGAGCGGCGCAGAGGGCAAGAGTGCAGGGGGAGGTGGAGCGGGCGCCGGTGAATTGTCCGTTCAGGGCGGATTGTGCCTGTCCTGTTGGAAGGTGAGTGTAATTTGGGTGTCCGTCTTTCTCTGCACATCGAACGTCGACGGGGAACGTCACGACTCACACACACAGCGACGGCTACTCCAACTACACACCCAGCTCCTTTCCGGCGAGTCCCACCGCCGCACTCGACGTCGATTGGCAGGCTTACTCCGTCACAACCACGTGCGAAGAGACCGACAAACCCGTGATGGCCACCCGCGCGTCGCCGTGGCCGCATGAAGGCCACACCAGCGAGTATGACCAGGTCCGGAAGCTGTATCTGGAGGTGATGACGGGGGAGGAACGGATGAGGTTGTGGGGTAATATTGCTATTTTGCTCAAGGTACTGCTCCAACGTTCCTCGTGGTGCTGAAAATACCGGATCGATGGAACACTGTCCTCTTTCCTCGCGCAGGACGTACCTCCCAAAACCCAACACCACTTCCTCGCCCAATGCCACGCCATCCACCCCAGCTACGCCTGCGGCATCCACGCCCTCCTCGGCTCTCCTACCACCATCACGCTGGACGAGGTTGCCACACTCGCCAAAATCGCGCATCGGGTTAAGATGTGTGGGTGGGATGTGCTAGGCCCGTTTACATCGAGCGCGGATGAGGAGAGTGGGGGGCTGAGGGAATTTTGTAGGGGGGCGTGTGATGACTGCCATACGAGGATTACTGAGTGATGGCGGGCTGGGAATTTGGGAAAAAGATCCCGCAAAAGGGAAGCCCTCAAAGAAAAACCCGTTCGCGGCAGATCAAGCTATGCGTCCATAGCGAAGGAAGAAATTTGCCCCAGACAAGCTCACATCATTCGTCGTATCGTTCGTCGTATATATATAGTGGTAGCATCCATGATCGGCGTATATCCCATCGATCGTAGGTTCTTTCACATTTACCTTGCCCCCAGGTCCCATGCGTTTGATTATTCATATGCATGTGCGTTAGATGTGCGTGGAGCAGAAACCATGCTCCCAACTCGCGACCGTACCATTTTGCGATTTTCCAGAAAACCATACCAATCGGCGAATTCCCTTCGAAAGCCGTAACACATGTACTTGACATTTTCTCTATATACATCTAAGAAAATGACACGTCGGCGTCATGAAATGGGAGCGGCAAATCTCGCAAATTGGAATTTCATTCAAAGAAGCCAGCTTCAAATTCAGATTGGATGGGGATGAGCACAGCCGCTATCTTCGGTGGATGCGTGAGGTATCTGGCAAAGAGGAGCGGTGGAAGTCGGGAATGATGGGAACGCGGCTACTTCTAAGAGAGGACTATATATATATCGGTAGCAGAGGATGACTCCGGGGAAGTGATCCGTCATTGACATTGCACCGATTTGGGACGGTACGTGTCGTTTATCTGCAGGTCGTTCATCGCCGCCGCCGCGTGCGCATCCTCATCTCTATCACCTGCCAAAAGTCAAACACATCGCTATCAGCACCTCAACGTCGATCCCCCCGAAATTTCCATCCCTCACACATACCCAAAATCATTCCAGCAATCCAGACTGGCGTAACCCCGTCCCCGAAAAGCGCGGTCCTTGGCGCCCGGAACCCAAACTTGTGCTTCAGCTTGGAATGCAGGCGCGTGACCGTCATCGAGTGCAGGCCGAACTCGCTGAGCGGTGTGGTGAGGGCGATTTCGGTTGGGGGTTGGTTGCAGACGGTGGCGATTTCGAGGACGATATTTTGGGCGAGGGTGTGGAGGGCGTGGGAGTGGGAGTGGAGTGGGGTGGGCATTTTTGCTGCCATTATGTTGCGGGGTATTCGAGCTTTGCGATGAGAAACAATTTCGACGGACGTCGACTGGGAAAGCGGTTGTTGATGATTGCGGGTACTAATGCCTCCCCAGACAGAAAGGCACTCACTCCTGTGCCTTTACTGTTCTCAACTTCTGTTTTACAGAACAAACTCGCGCGGATGGGGAACGCTCTCAGTCCTTATACCACTGCATAGCCACTTCCAAAAGGAGATTCTCGTGAAAGATCCGCCCTTGCATCCAACGCCGGGCCTGGGCTATCGAAGTTGCTATCGGCTTATCTGAGAGTCAATGCTTGACTTGGGTCTGTATTTGCAGCGTCGATCTCAGAGGTCCACGGAGGGTGTCCACTGTCACAGCCTAAGAATTTGCACGCACAACATCCAGACTCCAGAGGCTGGACTCATACGGATAACATCGTAACAGCCATTCGCAGTTAGGCACGACCACAACTCTCCGTTGTGCACAACGCACATTTGTACCGCAGCCTCACACGGGATACATTATCCGCCCCGTTTCCAATGGTTACAGCCCAACAAGGCACGTACAGTGCCATACACGGCACATGAGCAGAATAGCCGCGGGGTGTGTTTTCGGAAGCGTCGGAGGCCCGGGGGGTGATTTCACGGACAGACGGAGCGTTGTTGAATATTCCGGCACACTGTCAATTTCAAAGGACGCGCTGTCGCTTTTCGGTGTTTGCGCGCTCCGTTTGTGAACCATGAGCAGTGGCAACAGATGCCTGTGCATATTGCGCATTCATTCAAGGTCTGGATGCACTGGCCGAACGCTACGCACATGGCGAACCTACATTGGACGCCTCCGCGCAGAGGTTGCCCCGTACTTGATCGGCAGGCGAGGAACGTTTGCATTCGGTCTCGACTTTGGTGGAAGACTATCGACCCTCGTGCCACAAAGAGCTGGTCCATGAGCCACAATGTGTGTGCTCGTTGATTGGCAAGTTCACATGGTCCTCAGAGCCCTAGGCGAAAACTCCCATGTCCTTCAAGGAGTGTTTTTCCGCATTTGGTTTTGATACGTTGGTATGAGTATGTATTCTGATGACATGCAAAAAGAAAGAAAATACGCCGACAAAGCACCACACGTGCAAATGAGAGAAAGTGCACCCGAACAGCGAACGGGGCCTCACCCCCACTCCCCCTGAACACCAGGACGGATGGGACTACGGTTTTGAGATCACAACTCTACAACTCCGCCACAACCCGCTCCAACAAAAATTCCTTCGTGCGCTCATCATACACCGCAGCCGGAATCTTGATCTGTCCCCACCCGCTCTTAGACTCACGGACCTTGATGTCGCGGTAATCGCGGAACGTACCGGGAGCGAGCAGGCGGATGGTGGGGAGGCCCAGCTTGCCGGAGGCGAGCTCGCGCTTGTAGTTGTCGTTGGCAGAGCAAATTTGGGACTGGATTGCTTGGCGGGCGGCGGGGCCGAGGGGAATGAGGGGGTCTGTGGGGGAGATATGGAACGTTGGGAATGTGAGAAGACGGTGACGAGAGCGGAGGAACGGTTGAGCATACCAGCGCTCATCCCGTATCCGAGTTCCAGGACAAATCCATACGAAGGCGGCATGTGCTCGTTTTCAGGCAGCACGGTGAATTCCGACGCGATGCCAAGCACCTTGCACGCGGCGGCGGCGGCTTGCGTGAGTTCGTCTTCGGTGGTGTATTCGTTGGCGAGACGGATGGCGACGCTGTATAGAGGTGGCGATGATATCAATGAACAGAGAAGCTGAAGATGCGTTCTATTTGCCGGGAACACCTACTTGCGTCGCTGACGGAATCGCACCACCGGCTGGCCACTGGTGGGGTGGAACCCAACCACCTGCACAACGTCCGACATGCGGTACCTCCACAGCCCGTCGCGGGTGGTCGGGATGATCTCGTACTGCTTGCCTACCTGTACCTCCCACTGAAACGAATACAATTGCAAATGAGAGAACGTAGGGCAAAAAACATACCCGGGAGCGACAAACGTACCGGCGCAACAGGCACCAACTCCCCTTCCTCAGCTTCATCCTCCTCATCCGCGGGTAGAAACTCAATAACCTCATCCCCGCTAATGATCTCAAACAAGTTCATATCCTGCACATCATACACCCTCCCAAAGAGCGACTCCGACGATGTGATGCCCAACGAGCGGACGAGCACGTCGGGGCCGAGCAGGTGCCGAACGGAGGGGTAGGCCGCAAAGAAGATGCCGGAGCTGATGGCGACCACCGAGTCCAGGTCGGGCCAGATGCGTTTGAGGATGCCTTGGTCGTTGAGGGAGGATGTGAAGGAGCGGAGCTCGGCGGCGCGGTCGGGGTGTGGTGAAACGTGGCGCTGGGGGTATCAGAGAGATGAAGGTAAGAACGCGGTTGCTCGGCACTTAATCGGCAGGGGCAATAATCACCTCTAGTTGTTCCCTGACTTCCTCATACCCGTCCACGGGAGGGAGTACACCCTTCTCGACACAGTCGACCAACATAACCCAGTTTTCCTGCATCGCTCTGCAAAAGTCAAGGAGGATGGTGCTGAATACGAACGAGCCAAACGCTAGCTCCTTGTCGCAGAGAGCAAAGAAGGCGTGCAGGACCAGGTTCGCTTTGTAGTCGGCGACCCAGCAGATAGCCATGGGAGATGTTTGCGTCGGTACTGAGAAGGGATGAGCGCATTAACGGGCAGAAGGTGAAGGAGCGCCGTCCCAAAGCACAGGGTGGCCTCACCCTTGTATTGCATCCGATACGAATCCGTATCCAACTCCATATCCAACGCCATCCGAATACTACCCGTCGACATCAAACAAACCGGAATACTCTTCACCTTCTCCCCATCCGCATCCACAACCGTCACGACCTCCCTGTGCCGCATCGTATACATCACCAAACTCTTCTTCCCCGGCGCCAACTCCGGGTTCGACGCGCCCATCACACCCGCGGACCCCGCGCTCACTTCCGCCGGGTGGCGGTACTTGGGGAACAGTTTGGCGGTCTTGCCGGAGGTAGCGGACGAGTGGGCGATGAAGAAGGGAAGACCCGGGGCGAACATGTCTTCAACATCAGCTTTGTTGAGAGGTTTCGAGGCGAGGAAACGGCGGATGTAGGGCTCGTAGTCCTTGTAGGTGCTGAGGGAAACTGAGGCACGGAAAGTTTCGTAGATGTTGTCGGTGGGTTGGGCGGTGGTATTCAGAGCGGCGCGCAGGGGAGCGAGCTTGTCGGCGGTGCTGAAGTAGCGGGTGATGGAGTTGGTATTGATGAGGTAGTTGAGAGTCTTTGTGTTTCGGTCTTTGACCTGCTGTTCAAGCTCAGGAGTCAACTTTGTGAGCGGCGGGATGGCGATGGGACGTGCTTTGAGAGCCACCCCGTCGGCCTGAGCCCTTTGGGCTGGGACGGGGCTAGTGGCGACTGGAGGCGACATATTGATGTGAGTGAGGTGAGGTTGCGAGTCGATGACAATTCTCTTTCGGCAAGATAATGGGTTGAGTGTGGCGTTAATGTTGCCGCTCCTGAGTGGTATGGTGAGGCTCTGCGTAGAAGGCTTACGGGCCTTTTATACAGACGCTATGGTGGGTGGTACACGGGACGCTTCGAAAGTTCGGAAACAGAAAACAGACTACAGGCCAAACAAAACTTGACTTCCATGCCGCAATTGTGGACTATGCGCGGGTGCCATAACAATCCTATCATTCCCTGGAGCCGAAGCTGAGAAGCCTGAGGTCGACGGCGTGAACGGGCCGTTTCCACGATATTGGCTAGTGTGCATATAGAGCGTGGATAGTCCACTCCGTGCATAATAACGGGGCATGGAATCGGAGCTCACGTTTTGTGTACTAATGCGCAGGGGAACGCTTCGTATACTGTACATCGGCGCTTTTCCGAGAGTGACAGGATTCTGACAGCGCGCTGCGGTTCTTTCTTTGGCTCCGTCCGCGTAGACCGACCACACCGACCACCCGCATTTTCGCAGCTTTCTACACCGATGCAGCGTTGCGCTTTCAGTGCTCTTTAGATCGATTCCGATTTCGGAGTCCGAGGCGCTTGTAGGGATAGGGTTGTCGGCGGGCTTCTTCGCCAGCGGCCGCCGGGAAGGGATCCGTGAGTGGATGCCAGGGAGAATGCTTATCCACCTCTACTGTGCCATAACATAATAGGGGCAATTGCAGCAGCATGGTCGATTTGTCGTATCAAGGCCCCGTCGTATCGACGCCCCGAAGAAAGGCCCCTACGTCCATACTGTATTCGAGGTCATGGCCACCTCGCCGGGAACTTGTCTTGCAAATATGTTGCCCGGCATACCATGATGGCGTTCCCCATAAATGCTGCCGCCCCAACCAAGACGTCTACGATGTTCGTCGACGTCTTGTCTCGTCCTTTTGATGTTCTTCTTGTTCTCGCCATCCATTCATACTTCCCGCCCGCCCCGCCTCAGTTGGGCAGCACCAAGCTCTCGAGCCCAACTCTACAAAACGCTCGTGGTATATATATATTCTTCCGCTCGAAGACAGGCTGAAGAAGTTCCACTACTAAACTAAGTGAGGGGAATTCGAAAATTATGATGCTTATTTATGCCGGTTTTAAGTTTAGAATTGATCAATTTTCGCATTCATGATTGAAGCTTGACGTCCTTCTCGTGGCGGGTGGCAAAAGGCACGGTCCTCATTATAAGACTCTCCAATGAGAGAGGGCGAAGGGGCCAAAATTACATAGCGCAGCGGTCTCGTTTTAGACCTGGCCCATCGGCGTTCTTTCCAGAGACTCGATTTCGAGTTGACTTGGGATTGTGACGACTTGCCGCACATTCGGCCGAGTATGAAAGGCGAGTGTGGGGTGCGAGGGATTCCTTTATTTACCAGAATAGTATACCAAACGCCAGACTCCAGCATGTCCGAGAACGAACGTGCCCAGTAGGCTTGGTGAGTTCGCCTGTTCGCGCTGTGAATTCAGCGGAAGCTGTCAAAAGATGGAAAAGGGGCAAATATAGCGCGTCATGCTGTCAATCGGCCTCGTCCCTAGTCTTCCCTTTTCGAGCGCGCTCCCCTCATGCCCCCTGTTGGGTATGTGACGCTTATATCGGCTCTTCTGTGTGTTCTGTCGCCACTAGAATCGAGCAAGCTTGACCCTCACGAAGAATCACCCAACGAACCCGTCTTCTCCTCCTCAGCCTCCATCCTCACCAAAGGCTCCCCACCGACGACGACGCTGGCACCGCCATTCGCAATGCTGGCACCTCCATTCGCAACGCTGCCTTCCAGGGTAACTTTTCACAAGGGCTTTTGGACCACTCTCACTGACAAGGATGGTAGCTTGACGCAGAACAGAGAACCCGAGACCAGGATGACCTGGAGATGTTTATAGTTGCCGTCTTAAGCGGGCCGTATGATCCGAGCTTGCCGTCGCTCCCGCCAAGGGTTGATTTCTTGGGAAGTATTCTTACGGTCATCTTTGCCGCTGCCAATACCAGTACGCAGCGACTGCCTTCATCCTTGTCTCATCCTTGGGGGGCGCGTCTTGCTGAGCTGATAAGAGATCAAGAGGGATCGATTTAACTCCGCTTTATTCCAGGACGTACTGTATGTACAGGACATACAGAGTGTATATAATATAGGCCACCAGCATCCCTCCAGCCGGCTTCAGCATCACTCCAGCCTGGGAACTCCCGGCTGTCCCGTCCGACCACTGCCAACTGCTCACATACGGCACATTTTATTAGTGGTCGCTTTACCTTTCTCAGCCTTTCTCGCAACACGCAGGATGTTCCCGGAGCCCTCGTCCTCTCCGCCACCAGCAGCCACACCGCTGCTGGCCTTTCAGGCGACTCCGAAATGCACCAGCTCGTCAACAACCACGAGTGGTCCAAGACTCCTCTGGGTCCTATCCACTCCTGGTCATGGTCCATCAAGTCGACTGTCCGAACTCTGCTGGCCTCGCGGTACCCTATGATACTATTGTGGGGCAAGGAGCTGACGCAGATATACAACGCTGTACAGCCGCTGTACTCTCCATCCTTGCGCAATCCGCCGCTCCCGAACTGAAACAGGAACAGCTCATTTCCATCGTTCAATGGACCATGTCGGTCTGCGAAGCCACTACCCTGGGCCGCACGCGAGACAATGAACAAAACGATCCGTGAAGCCCAGAAAGCCACACTCGAAGCAGCCGGCTTCTCCGCCACGACCGTCGATTCCGTTCACGAAGAATGCACATTTGGTGTCCGAACAAAACAGGAGCTTTTCGGTGAATTCTCCAAGGTCAAGGAAATCGTCGCCTCCCTCCAGACGATGAAGTCCCTTCGACCCCCAAAGGGTTTCAGCACCCCCGGCATGCGCAGCGGTCCCGACGCCATTTACGCCAAGGCTTACCCCTCCAAAGAGGAGCGCAATTCCCACGAGGAGGATTCCCACCACACACGAGGTTTCCGCAGCAATGCACACAGCGGATATCACGGTCGTCCACGAGGTCAAGGCTATCGAGGCCGCGGCGGCGGCAGCTGCAGCGGCGACCGCGACGGTTCCAGCAATCATCACCAAAACAATTCGAATGACTCGAAACGATACGGCACCGAATGCGGCTTCATCGACAAATAAGCAACCTCCGAACGGAGTCCATTCGGCTCTGGACGAGGAACATAGTCCTCTAGAGTGTATGGACGAGGAGGAGGTTGCTTAGTATCCCACCGCATTACCCACCGCACTAAGCACCTCCTCAACATTCGCCGCATTCGCATCACTTTATTTGTCGACATCCTCGCCTTCCGGCGCGATCAACGACTACGTATGGGTTTACGGGTTTCCCGGGACATTAGGTCCCAAATGCGCTGCTCTGTGCGTTGCAGAGTAGCGTTCCCGAATAGCTAGCTCCCTCCGACCACCATCAACCATCCCTCCCTCCCACCGTAGCTTGACATAGCACTCGATAGCTCAAAAGAGATAAGGGGGAAAGGGAGCTACGGCTACGACTTGTTATATATACTGTCACTCGAGAAGAAAAATAGAGAAGCTTACTAAGCAACCTCCGAACGGAGTCCATTACACACACAAGGCCGAGGGTGAAGGCTGTAAGCCCGACAGTGAAGGCTGTACAAGTCCGCGATGTGGGATGTGCGTCATCAGTTTTTGCTTAGAGATAGCTTACCTCTGCAAAAAAAAACTCACACTTTGTTCTCAACTCGATCCCAGTAAATTGTGGGCCTAAAAGGTTCAAATCGGTGCACGAGTCCGTTAATCATCTCCATATTGTCCAAATAACACACGCAAGGACTACGATTTCCAGACATAGTGATTCGGTCATAGCTCAATGCTGAGGCCCCCAATTTACTGGGATCGACAATTAGTAAATCGAGTTGGTCTCGAGATTTGGCTCGAGTTGTGCGCACCTTATCGATAGCTGATCTCCAGCCCTTTTTCAAGGGGACCTACTTCTCAATATGCCAATTTACTCAACTGCTTACCGGAGACCAGGGTCTTGTTAAAGAGAGGCGGAGGAGGTCTACTCTGAAATTGAAGTCTCAAACCTGCTGAGGAGGTGGTTTGGGATCGAGGCAACCCGGCGACATCTGCTGAAATTTCCTCAGGTTTTGGATGCTGAGGTCAGCCTGATTGGTGATCTGTGCCACCACGGAGACAGTTCCCGCCGAAGATCAGGGATCTGTGCCTCCATGGAGACAGTTCCCACCAGAATCTATCCCTGGCACTGGGAAGTGCCGAGACAGCGGAATGTAGCTCAAAACGCCAGTAAAGTGAGGGGTTTTCTCAGTTTTTGCTTAGAGATAGCTTACCTCTGCAAAAAAAAACTCACACTTTGTTCTCAACTCGATCCCAGTAAATTGTGGGCCTAAAAGGTTCAAATCGGTGCACGAGTCCGTTAATCGTCTCCATATTGTCCAAATAAAACACGCAAGGACTACGATTTCCAGACATAGTGATTCGGTCATAGCCCAATGCTGAGGCCCCCAATTTACTGGGATCGACAATTAGTAAATCGAGTTGGTCTCGAGATTTGGCTCGAGTTGTGCGCACCTTATCGATAGCTGATCTCCAGCCCTTTTTTAAGGGGACCTACTTCTCAATATGCCAATTTGCTCAACTGCTTACCGGAGACCAGGGTCTTGTTAAAGAGAGGCGGAGGAGGTCTACTCTGAAATTGAAGTCTCAAACCTGCTGAGGAGGTGGTTTGGGATCGAGGCAACCCGGCGACATCTGCTGAAATTTCCTCAGGTTTTGGATGCTGAGGTCAGCCTGATTGGTGATCTGTGCCACCACGGAGACAGTTCCCGCCAAAGATCAGGGATCTGTGCCTCCATGGAGACAGTTCCCGCCAGAATCTATCCCTGGCACTGGGAAGTGCCGAGACAGCGGAATGTAGCTCAAAACGCCAGTAAAGTGAGGGTTTTTCTCAGTTTTTGCTTAGAGATAGCTTACCTCTGCAAAAAAAAACTCCCACTTTGTTCTCAACTCGATCCCAGTGAATTGTGCGCCTCAGTGAGTGTCTTTGATTCCGTCTGTGGAGCATGTTGCCAAACACTGTATAACTTACACATTTTGAAATGCTGCTTGCGTTGCTACTAGGGTATAACAGTGTTTCCGCCGAAAGCGGCGCAGACTCCTGCTTCTCTAGCCTCTGCTCCGTGTTGGCGCTAAGGGTGATCCGCGGAGCTAGCCACAAGACGCGCTTGCCGACGCCGTATCGCTTGATGAAGGCGACGACCGCTTCGGTTTTTCCGCTTCCCATGGGCCTAGTGAGAACGGAAAACTTGACCGATGGTCTCGTCCCCTTACCCTGCGGAAAGAATCGCCTGACGCCTTTTGGGTCAGTCGGTGCGGACATCGGTGGTGAGATGTCTCTAAAGTCATAGAACCCGCCGTGCACGCCTTCCGTGATCCGCTCTTCCGAAAGTTCGAATTGGTCTCGGAGGCGCAGGGTGACTTTTGTCTCCCTGATGTTCGGGAAGAACTGTACTAGGAGATGGTCAAGGAAAGAGCGCGACATGCCGTACTTACCAGAGCCGCGCCACGCTTCCTGTTGCTTCTTGAAGTACGTCACGCTCGAATCCTTTTGCTGAACCCAAGCCCAGAAGTCCTCAAAGTCGATCCCAATGTCACGACACCAGAGCATGACACGCCAGATAACGTCGTGCCGAAGAAAGCCGTCTTCCGCCCGCTTGGCGCAGGGCAAGATGGCAAGTTTGTCGAGAGGTTCTGCGGTGAGCCAATCGAAATCGGTGGGACTTTGAGGGTTTTTGTTGGTAAAGCCAGGATGCTTAACTTGGTGGCGGGGGAACCGTCCCGCCGTTTCGTGGCGAGTTCCGGGAGCATGGGAAAAGAGAGCGTCCCAATATCAACAGCATGATCGTCAAAATCGTGCATTACTAGGTGCTTTGACCATTCCGCGTCTCCCTCGATGTAAGCTTGCCTGGGTTGATTGGGTTTCGCCTGGTTAATGCACTTGAAGTTTCGGTTTTTCATGTAGACGCCGGTGTCAAATTCTAGCTCTTTGTATTGTTGGACGAAACGCACAACTGGTCCCATGGCCTCCAGGTTTTGCGCGTAAGGATGATGTGCCAGGACCCTTCTCTGCCCGATATCTGGAGTCGAGCATTTGGAAACACACCGAGAATGACCCTCTTGATTTCACTTAGCGGGGTCTCGGCTTTGTCCACATCGAAGTAGATTTTCCGCTCACGGTCAGGCACGAGAATCTCGTAAATCCCCGCCTTCCACCTCAGAATTCGCACAGCTGTTCCCTGGTGACGGCGGAATTACATTTCCACGTTGCCTTTACAGAATGTACCATATGGCTTCGTTGGACGGGTTCGCACACCTCATGTCCTTGTTTCCTTTACGAGCGGACATGCTGGAACCGAAGCAGATCTGCCGATGGTGTGGAGTAACGGCGGTGCGCAGGCTGACAAAAGCGGACTGCCATCTGACCCGGACGAACCGTTCGATTCCGGAAGCTGTTGGCCAGGGTGGTGCCGCTTCACGTTCGATCGGTATCTACATGTGAAGCATCCAGGCTGCAAGTGCACCGTGGATTGCATTGAAAATGGATCTTGATGTCCCGATTTTGAAGCAGCATGCGGGCCTCACTCCGGCGATGAAGGGTCGCCTGAATTGCGGAACGTCACATTGACATCCATCGTTGTCCGCTGGAAAACCTTTCGATGCTCACAGGCTGAAACAGGGCTTGAAAAGCCGATCTTAGCCCTGCAGTCAACGCTCACCCCGGGTCTCTCCACTGAACCGTTGCGGTGGTGGCTGGGGAAAGCGAAGGTTTATCGGAGAATCGAATACGGTTTTCAGAGTACGGGAGTTGTTGGTCTCTTGTATTAACAAACGGAGCTTCCGGTGAAGCTACGCAGTGCCACCTTAATATCCAGGTGCTTTGAGATGGAGCCCTTGACTTGGGGGTTCTCGAAAAGAAACGGGTTTTACGGAAGGTGCGGTTCGGTCGTTTACGTTCAGGGGTGACTACAAAACAACATTAGAGAGTTATTCAATACTACACACTACAAATCTTACGAGTTTTCAGATCAATCAAGTCCTCGGCGACGTTGGCGAGTACAAGCAGCAACACTCAGTGGTTGTCTTGTCTACGCTCTCGCTGTCTGCGCTGCGAGACAGCCATCCCCATAGTTCTCTCCTACCGGACAACTCCTTCAGAACCCTGCTTTGTCGCCATCCTCTTCAGTATCTCCGTCGGTCGTCTCCTCGCTCGCATCCTCCCGGAGAACTGGCTGGAACCCGGCTCTTTTTCAATCGGAGAGCACGTCCTCTGCAAGGTCATGATCGAATCCACATTCCTGCGCTTGGGACTGCCGAATCGTCGCGCGACGATACATTTTGAAAAAGCCGGATATGGCGATCGTGGCCGTTGTGGCGTTCGTAGTTGGCTTGCAGATGGTGGGAAATTGTCCACCGCGGCAGTGCCACACAGTAAGAAGGCACCCACCACAGCATAGATCCGTTATTATTCCCACATTATGCACGCTTAGTCTAATTGTAGCTGATTTTGGCTTTCCACTGCCGTAAACGTTTTGCTATCGGAAAGCGGCGAGCAGTTCGTTGGCTAGACTGACACTGGTATTCGGCAAATCGACAGCGAGTGTCTGTGTCTGTGTAGGCGGAAGTACTGCAGACACAGATTGGACACAGAAAGGCTGCAGTCGCCATTCATCTGTGCCATCACGGACGGCGCGGGGTCGAACGATTCACAATTTGGTACAGAATAATGATACATATACGCCGACGAAGTCTATGCACACATTTTTGAAAAGTCAGCCACTACATGGTTTATGGAGAGGAGAAAGAGAGAGCCAGTCTCTCGAAATTAATGTAAGATAGGGAAAGTTAGGAGGGGAAAACGGTTCACGCCGACCGAAGACGTTCTCCCGCGATCAAAGAAAAAACATGGGGAATGGTTGGTGTACCCGATATTCGGACTGGCAAGCAGAAACTTGCACGACTAAACGTAATCCTTGTTACGGTGGGGCGAAAACTCGACTTCGTTCTTGCTCGGCACGACGTTGGGGACCAGGAAGAGGATGACGGCGATCAACTCGGTGAGACAAGAGAGCGTGAAGAAGTAGATTTCGTCGGTGGCCTCGGGCTTGTTCCAGGCGAGGATTTGGTAGAGCTCGCGGGCAAACAGAAGAGCGGCGATGGCGGTGAGGACGAGCATAGACTAGTTGGATGAGTGAGAGGAAAGTCAGTCTACGCTCATGTACGAAAGGCGCGACGTTTCGTCAAAGGAGGCCACGAACAGACGCATCCGCCGAAAGACATAAAGCCAATTCCTGATGCGATCGACGTAGCGAAGTGCATGGAAACCCGTACACCGGAACTACTCACCCGGCTATGGTCGTGCCTCAAGACAAACAGGCAATTCACCAAAAGGAGCGCGACAAGAACCAAGAAGATCCACAGACTAACGTGCCTGAGTGTGTCTCCAAGAGTTTTCTTCTCGGAGCCCGGGTCCGCGAGAGCAAACAAGCAGGCACCGGTAATCCCGAGAGTGATGGCGGCGACGAGAGAAACTCGGACAATAATCAACACGCGGGGGAGCAGCCTGCCGAAGGGGCCACGCAGCAAGTCACGAACGACGAACGCCCTGCAGAAACGGAAAAACCCAGGTGAGACATTGCTACAAGTGGAATATATGGGAGAGCCTCTGTGATGCACAATCATGTCCATTTACTCCCGTCCAAAGCCCCTTCCGTTGCTATGCGCCCTTCTGTTCCGTCCTTCTCTCGGCGCTAGGATGTCCATGTTGAAAAGACGCGTATGCCGCAAGTGTGCAAAAGCCCAAGTCGAGATTTTCACACCTCATCTTTCCAGACCCCACCCCAGAAACAACATGAAAAGGCATAGCCGAACGCACCTGCGAACCAATAGGCTGTATGCAGAGTAGACCAGGCCGAAGAAGCCAATGGTGTAGATGATGTTGGCGGTCAGGACCCAGTTGAGGTCGTTCTGGAGGCTGTCGGACGCGGCAATGGCGGCACGGACGGCAAAGGCAGCCACTCTGAAAACGCAGAAGGCCACCATGAAGATGAAGACGGCCACAGGGTTCCTGCGGAGTTTCCACAAGAACACAAAGAACAGCGCGACGTAGACGACGAGGAAGACAATAGGGAGGGCCACCGAGTGGATCCCGACGGCGTCCGCAATGCTTGTTGGGCCCGGCATTGTTGAAAGGGTGCTCTGACGACAAAAACGGAACGGAGCAGCAAGTCAGCAACGGTGAACTGCAGAACGGGAGACTTTGTTTCGTAGGTTTTCCGAGGACCACACCACAGCTCGGCGATAAAGCAAAATGGGGCTCGAACAGGAACAACGGCCGAGGACGGGAGAGGGAAACCACGCCCCTATAGACTCACGTTTCTGTTACTTCTTAGAGACAGGACGTCAGTGTACGAGAAGGGAAGGGGGAGGATATCAAGATAACCTCTTTGTTTCTCGCACTAGTAGCGGTGGATAAAAACCGAAGTGAAGGCCCTTGAGCTCGCCCGTCGTACTAATATCTCGTACACCATTGCGCTCTTCATAGGTCGGCACCGTGAGACACTGAGACGTGCGAGAGCGAACCTTGATCATCACCGGTAGCAATGATATTGGGGTCCCGCGAGAATGTGCGCAAGTCATAAATTGCATTTCCATGGCACAAGCGGCATGAAGTTCTCAGCCTGTAATGGAGCCTACTATAGAGCCAACTGTATGGTGATAATTCCACCTACAGAACAATAACAACTTCTGGAGCTGTTACTGGCCAGATGATCTTTGTTGATGATGGGCGTCTTCATTACCGTTACCGGTTCGAAATGGAGAAGATCCAGCGGTTTGGAAGTTTTAAAAGAAAAGGGCCCCGACGATGGACGCCACTTTTCGACGCGTTGGGTGGGTGGCATCGTGGAACCGTGGTCCCTGCTGCAAATTGCCACCTTTAGTACTTTGAAGTTTGCACGCACAGCTTTCAAAATTCATGGTTCACACAATGGACAAAGCTCAAGCCGCGCACGAGGAGCTGCAGGGAGCGCAGCCGAACTTCGAAGTTCGAAGTTCCAAAGGCGGAGCAAAAGAGCTTGGCTCGTCTTCGCTCCGCACCGCCGAAGGAGTGCTTGGTGCTGTCACGTCAGTATACGCCCTGAGATGCTTTGGGCCGTCGGAGAATGATGTTCCCCCTTGAAATCCCTCCGTCGCTTCCAGGCCCGCTGGGCATCTTGGATGGACCGCCCCGCTCGGAATGAAGAAGCAGGAACGCAGCAGACATCGGGCCGTCTGTGCGGGTCCAACTGGCTACGGCGCCGTTGACATGACCGTTTCTCTTAGCGTGGAGGGGGATATTCTGACGACGGCGCCGTTGATTTGAGCAAAATCGGACCTTCGCCGACGATTCCCGCGCTCGCATTCGCAGAGACGAAACTTGGGTCATGCCAGGTCCCGAGAACCCTAGATGGTAATACCATCTGACTGAGGCTTATGATTGTGAGCGGGGTTCGGGGACGAGCCTCGCCGGCATCCGCAAGGCCGGAAACCTAGAATCTGTGCGGTACATACCCTGCAACATCAATAGCTCCGTCCCCGTCAGCCCTCTGCCTTCCAACACTGAGAGAACATATGCCCCGAAAACCCACACCAGCGCCCACGACTAGCGGGATGACGGCACGATAGGAGTGGCTGGTTTTGTAATGCTTCCTTCGGCGGCAAAGTCCCGTCGGCGGACACTCTCACAGTTCTACCGCATAGTCGACGGCTAAGATAGTCAGGGGCGGATGATATGGACCTTTGCAGGGACTGCGAACATCTGTATTCTAGCACCGGCCTTGCAGGCCGAGGGAGCATCGGCCACCATAAAACCAGGATGCCATCTGCCACTCCCCTCGGTTGTCCATACGGCGCCCTTGTCATCATTCCCTACCCTTCCAAGCAAAGAAACATAGAAAAGAAGGTCCCCTCAGCCTCCTGATCTTTGACTTTGCGTTCACCATCTCTCCGACGACTATTGCTTCTCTCGCATCGCTGTCATCAACTACAAATCGCCCGACACCTGTTTGCTTCCCCTCAAAGCAAACATCTGCCTCAATCAATCACGAAAAACAGACTCCGACAGTCATTAAAAAAACAGCTTCCTCAACAAATCGCATCAATACTCGATATCACACTCATCTCCGCACAATGTCCGCCAAAATCCCCGTCGCCATCGTCGGTCTAGGTTGCAAATTCCCCAAAGGCTGCAACGACAAGGAGACCTACTACGAGTTCCTTCGCAACAAGGGAGACGGCATGGTCCCGCCTCCCGCCAGCCGCTGGAACCACAAGAAGTGGTTCTCCGAGCGCAAGGATGAACCGGGCAAGTATTGCGCCCCCACCGCCGGCTTCGTGGACGATATCGACATGTTCGACCCCACTGAGTTTGGAATCAGCGTCAAGGAGGCGCAATTGCTTGATCCCTCCCTCCGGCTCTCCTTGGAAGTCGCTCATCAGGTAAGGCAAACGGGAGAAGGTGCCATATAAAATGGAGGCGAAAGGCGGTTAATCTAACCCATGTTCCAACGAAAACAGGCTCTCCACGACTCTGGCGCGGCCTACAGAGGCACCAACACCGGTGTTTACCTCGCTCAATTGTTGACCTCCACTGCTGAATTGGAAGACGATCCGTATGAAATCGACCACAACAATGGAGTTGGGAAATGCGTCGCTATTCGGTAAGTGGACGCTTGTTATGCAGTTCATCCTTGTCTGCAGAATCTCACATTTGTCGGTTTAGCGCGAACCGCATTTCCTACACTTTCAATTTGCAAGGGCCGTCCCTGGTCATTGACACTGGTATGTTCAGCTTCAATCATGTGAATCGCGATTTCCGTCTCATGCGCGCAATCTCCCGAAACAGCATGCTCTTCTTCCGGGACGGCTATGCACCTCGCCTTGCAAGCCATTCGCCTCGGTGAAATCGACCAAGCTCTCGTGGTCGGCGCCAGCACGATGGTGAACCCTGAGCACACAGTCTCCTTTTCCAAACTTGGCGTTCTTTCTGCCACCGGTTCCTCCAAATCCTTCGATGCCGCCGGTGACGGTTACGCCCGTAGCGAAGGTTATGCGGCCGTGCTCGTGAAGCGTCTCGACCATGCCATTCGCGACGGCGACAGGATCTACTCCGTCATCGCCGGAAGCGCCATCAATACCAACGGAAAGGGCAAATCGCTGACCATGCCCGAAGGCGACATGCAGGCAGAAGTCATCCGCACTGCTTACAGGCGCGCCGAGCGCGACCCCGCTGAAGCCTTCTTTGTCGAACTTCATGCCACGGGAACTGTTGTCGGCGATCCCATCGAAACCAATGGCGCCGCCAAAGTCTTCGCTCCGAATCGCGACCAATCCAAAACCCTTCGAATCGGTTCTGTTAAAGGCAACATCGGACATGCCGAGGGATGCTCCTTCCTCGCCAGTTTGATCAAAGTCACGATGATGATGCATCAGAAGGAGATCATCCCCAACTACCGCTTCAACAGCCCCAACAAGAAGATCGACCTCAAGGCCCTCAACATGCGCGTGCAGACTGAACTCGAGCCAATGACTCCCGAGCTCGCGGCTGCTGATGGAAAGTGGGTGGCTTCTGTTTCCAGTTACGGAGTCGGTGGTGCAAACGCGCATCTCGTTCTCGAGACTTTCGAATCGGCCCAGCAAATGATCGCACTCGCAGCCGAGCCTGACTCGATCCCGATGTCGGTCGCTCAACGAGCAAGCCAAGAGGAGAACGACACTTCCGGCGCCGTCAGCGAGAAGCGCGCGGCCGACCCGCATTACCTTTTCTCCATCGGCACAATGACCGCCAGCTCATTGACCCAATGGGGCAAAGACCTTGGTGAACACTTCGCATCCTGCGATGACGCCGACGTTCTCCGATCGTTGTCGCGCTCCCTCGGTCGTCAAGCCAGGGATTACCCTTACCGATCATTCGCGGTTGGCAAGCGACTTGACACCTCTCTCTCGTTCTCCAAGCCCGCCCTCAGCACCCACACGGCTAGGGCCAGCAAGAAGCTGTGTCTTGTCTTTGCCGGACAGGGACCTCAACACGTTGCGATGGGCAAGGAGCTCGCCGCAGCCTTCCCGGAATTCCTGGCCTCCGTTCGCCAGTCGGACGAGATTCTGACTTCCGTGTACGGACAAGAGTCCTTCATCGACCGCACTGGAGTTTTCGACCCCAACTCTCCGTGCAAGCTCCCCGCCAATGGTGTCTGGCCCGTTCGAGACGTCGTCTTCTCCCTCGTCTTCATGCAATGTGCATTGGTTGACCTCCTCCGGGCGAAGGGTGTCGCTACTTACGAGGTGTGCATGGGACACTCTATCGGGGAGATCGCCATGGGCTACGCTTCGGGACACTACCCGTCGAAGGAGATGGTTGTCGGGATTGCGGTAGCTCGCGCAGCGGCGATGACACACGCCGAGGGCAACGGTGCCATGGCCGCTCTCGGAACAAGCGCCCAGCAAGCCCGACTCCTCATTCGCAAGGTGCTGAAGCAGGAGAATAACGCCGAAAACGGGCATAAAGAAGACATGTGGATCGCCGGTATCAACTCTCCCAACGGAGTCACGGTTGCTGGTACCCATCACGCTATCGACGCTCTGGTTGCCCACGCCAAGAATGCTAGCGTCTTTGCTGCCAAGCTTCGCGTCACCTGTGCGTTCCACACCCCGCTCATGTCCAAGTGGGAAACTCTTTTCAAGAACAACGCTACCCCGGTCTTCGCCATGGGCAACGCTGCCGGACCCTGCTCGCGCGTCATGTCTACCGTTACCGGCGATTGGGTTGACGAGCTGAACCTTGAACTGGCTTGGCAAAACATTGAAAGCCCTGTACTCTTCGGACCGGCATTGAAGAAAGTGATCGACGAGTATGGCGAGGATATCGCATTCCTCGAGATTGCTCCTCATCCCGTCCTGAAGGCGTACATCGAGCAGTGCGGCGGCTCGTCGCCCATCAATTTGGTCCGTCGTCCTGATCGCAAGAACCCGGCTAGCAACACTGGTGAAGACTTCCAATTCCTCGAAGGCCTCGGCCAGTTGATTTCGTCCGGATACACTTCGCTGGATTTCGACAAATTGTGCGCCCTTCCATCAAAGGCACAAGAACATGTCGCCATCACCAATGTCGCCGACTTTGTGGAAGTCGCTCTGCCTCCGTACCCATACACCTCCAAGCGTTCTTGCTGGAAGGAAGACCAAAGTGCTTACTCCCGCAAGCACCAAGAAGACAGTCTTCCTCTCGGCGCACCTCACTTCCGCCTCAGTGTCAGCACCCACCCCGCCCTCGTGGGTCACACGGTTATGGACAGTGTCCTCTTCCCGGGGTCGGGATACGTCGAGGCCGTTCTGCAAAACCAGGCGATGGTAGTGAAGGACGTCATCATCGGAAAGGCCCTCGTTCTGCCTGACGCAGAGTCTCTCCCCATTCACGTCGCCTGCGCCATCGAAGGCGACAAGTTCCAGTTCAAGTCCGCCACTAACCAGGAGTTCAAGAATGGAGATGTCGTTTTTGACACCGTGCATGCCTCCGGCTGTCTGGCCTACACCAACCCCGCGTTGGACAAGCAAAACCCTCCCACCGCCGACATCCAGAAATGGCTTGGGATGTCTACCGCCAAGATGACGGGCGACCAGTTCCACGGCGCTATCCCAAAAGGCTACAATTACACCGGCTCCTTCCGGGACTTCCTGGCCGAAGTCCACCAGCTGAACGACCCAAACTCGTGGGGCGGCACATCTTACCTCGGCAAGTTTTCGATCAAGCAAGACTACCCCGACCTGTTCGACCGCGGCTATGTCCTGCACCCAGGCATTCTAGACAGCATGACTCAGATCGGTCTGGCGATGTTCATCCAATTCGAAACCCTCAGCTTCGACATGAACGGATTGTTTGTGCCTGTCAAGATTGGCTGCATCACGCGTTGGGAGGACTCCAAGTCCATTGTCGACGAGGTCATTCGCGGAAAGGACGTTTATGTCCATTTCCATTTCGACACCTGGTCTCCGGACGGGCCTTACGTCGCAAGCTACACTATTGCTCTCGAAGATGGTCGCGTCCTTCTGACCATGGAGGACTTCGAGATCGCGCGGCTACCAACCGAGAAGGCAGTTTGCGTGAGCGATGCCAACGTCAAGGAGAGGCTTACCACTTGCTGGCAGGCAAAGGAGATGATCCTTCCCGAAACCCGCATCCTGTCTCTCCACACCGACTCTCTGCATGCAACTGCTGCCGCTACGGTGAAAGAGATTATCGCACACACCGTTTTGCTCGGCCAGCGGAAGGCTCTTCGAATCGCCGACCTGTCTCCTGACGCCGCTTTGGCCAAGGCCCTCGACCCGATCTTGCTCGCCGTGGATGCCACTGAACTCTCCATAGAATACACTTGTGCGGCGGGGGATGCCGAAACGGCCGACGCAAAGAGCGAGGGAATGAAGTACGCTAATGTAGAGTCCGGCATCTTCGATCCGATCTCCGCGGAAGAGACGACTCTTCGTGCGGGATCCTATGACATCGTTCTTCACTCGCTGGATATTGTCGACCTCGGCGAACTCTGGAGAGACGAAGTTCAAGCGGTTAGCTCCCTGCTAGTTCCTGGAGGTTGTCTTCTGGCTCACGTCCCAGGTAAAGTTAGCCCTTGCTACCGCTTACTCTACAACCTCTCCAACCCATTGACATTGCTCTTTATCCCAGGTATCAAGGTCGACCTTCTCAACGACGTCTCTTCGTTCTTCAAGCGGACCGAGGACGACCGACTGGAACTCGAGAAACTTGACGACGGAAGCCATCTGCTCGTCTTCAGCCGTCCCGCGGTTCCGATCGAGTTCGCCGAAGCTTCTCCCGAAGACACGAACGGTCAGGTCACCATTTTCCACATGCACCGAGGCAATGAAGGAGAACTTGCGGAAGCTGTGAAGGTGCAAGCGCCTTCCACCGAGCTTTATATTGTCGGAAACGATGATGCCGCGGGCATTGGGGCTCTCGGCGTCGCCGCCTGCTTCGCCGCCGAACAGCCCGAATTCACTGTGCGCTCCATTCTGTTTGAGGACCAAACACTTTCTGAGCAGGACCGAAACGCCTTGATCTACAGTCTTCGCAAGAACCCCGAGCTCCTTGAACAGCACATGCGCCTCACGAAGGACGGCAAGCTCACCGTTCGCAGGCTCGTGCCCAGCGATCTAGCCGTGAAACAACCCGACGCGGAGCACATGCAACTGGTTCGATCTGCTGCCGGGAATTGGGAGTTGGCGGCTTATTTCCCTCAACCCGTCATCAGCAGCGAAGATCACGAATTCATGCAAGTAAAGGTGGATGCCGTGTCTGTCGGCTCCAACGTTGGCAGCACGGACAACGTTTTCGGATTCGTTACAAAAGACATTGTAGGAATCGCAACCTCGAGCGCTACCCGTCCCATCGCTGACGTGGTATATCCTCGCATTGCTGGCGTGGCACGCCTAGATGGCTCTTCGGCGAGTATCGAAGTCGCTGCTTTGCTACCTGCCCTGCTACCGATTTGGATCGCCTTCGTTGAACAGGGACTCATTCGCGCCACGGACTCTTTCCTCATCGCCAATGCTCACACCACCACGGGGTACCTTGCGGTTCAGCTTGCAAAGCGCCTAGCACCTTCTGGTCAAGTTTTCTGCACCGTCGACACTTTGGAACAAGCTCAACAGCTTGCCAGAGACCTTGAAGTCGAGCCCCAGTCTATTCTGCTCAACCGCGGTCCCGAAGAAGCATCCCGGAAGCTCAAAGCTTGGTTGAAAGCCAACCGTCGATCGGGCTTCGATCACGCAGTCAACACTACGGCCGACCGCGAGTTCGTTGCCAATGCTGCCTTCCTCACCCCTGCGGGCCGCTACGTTCATGTCAAGCGTTCGGCCTCCGAGGAGGTCCGCTTGCCTGCAACCGCCGCCGCCACCGTCACGGTATCCTTGGTCGATATCCTCAAATACAACCCCGAGGCCGTTGCGCAAGCTATTTCCAAACTGGTCGCCGCTCATCAGACAACACCCTTCCGATTCCCTGTCGAGGTTACGTCTTTCGAAGAGCTTCCCGCCGCTTTGACTCGAACGACCGACTTCGCTCACGACACAATCGTCGCTACCATGAACCCTCTTCCTGCTCCCCAGCGCGTGAACACGACTGTTCAGATCTTCGACCCCATCAAGACGTACCTTCTCGTCGGTGGATGCTCTGAGCTGGGTGTCCGCATGTCGCACTGGATGATCAAGCTCGGCGCTCGCAACATCTTCCTCACCAGCCGTCGTGGTGAACGCGCCCTGACCAAGGTCGACCGTTTCTATGTCCACCACTTCCGGGAGCTTGGAGTGCGCGTTGAACTTGTGGCCGCAGACGCCTTGAGCGAGGAACACATGAAGGGCTTAGTTGATGATGCCAGCGCTGTGGGACCTATCGGAGGAATCTTCATGTAAGTGTGCTTGACTTTCAAACTCCGTTACTACTACGTCATGACTTACACAATATTGTGCCCAAAAAAGGATGGCGGTGATTCTTCGGGACTCCATCTTGCCAAATCTTACCAACGAAGACTTCGAGACCGTCTGGGGATCCAAAGTCGGCGCGCTCAACGTTCTTCTGTCGGTGATGGAGCAGAAGATCAACGACATCGACTTCCTTCTACTTTGTAAGTGACCTGGGATTGCAAACGGTAGTGACTAATTTATGGTTATCAACTTAATGTTCTGCCCTGTAGTTTCAAGTATTGCGGCCGTCACCGGAAACGCCGGACAGTCTGCCTACGTGCAATCCCAATTGTATCTGGACAGGATTGCGGAGGAACTTCCCAACACGGTATCGATGGCCTTCCCCGCCATCACGGATGTTGGAGTTTTCCGTCGAATGTTGGAGCGTATGGCTGCCACCGGCAGCAAAGCTGGTGAGAAGCTGAGCAAGATGGGGATGACGACTGACCAAGTGTGCAATTTCGTCGGAGACGCTATCGCCGGGAGGAGAATCGGAAAGAAGATCAACTCCGAGCTGTCCAGCATCGCCCACTACGTACCGATGCTCGCAACGGACTACATTCCGATTACCTTCCCGACTTGCGAACCCCTCTTCTTCAGCCACTTGCTGGGCCACCGCCGGATTGCAAGCTCCGGGGACGGATCGGGTCAGCGCAGCGCGGCGGACGACACCGTCGTCGGCATGATCAGCGGCATGCTCGGATTGGAGCCTTCGCAGCTCACCGAGGAGGCTCCTCTTACCAGTTTCGGAATCGACTCTCTCGCGGCATCGAACCTGAGCAGCAAGCTAAAGATGAAATTTGGCATCGCTGTCAGTCAGATTCAGCTCCTGGGCCGAACCAGCATCGCGGACCTCAACACGATGATCGCGGCCGTTAACGTGAGCACCGCCGGCTCTGACTCCAAACAAGTCGAAGATGTTATGGAGGGCAAATACGGCGCGAAACTCGAGCCTTTGCTCAATGACAAGCTTGTGTACGGCCAAGCACACGTCACCGAGGCATCTGCGCATCAGTACCGCATCTGGGTCGCACAAGCTGAGGCCGGCAATGGCAAAAAGCTATTGGCTAATGCGGACAAGAAGCTTAGCCGCTTCGGAGCTACTCAGTGGGACACTCATGAAGGCTACTACGTCCTTGTTGCCGCCAGAGACGGCGATCTCGACGACCACGAGTACATGTTGGATGCATTTAACGAGGTTGTTCAGCGCCACGGAGCCCTACGCACGAAGTTCACCTGGGACGAGAAGAAGGGGAAGCTGATGCAAACCATCTACCCTTTCGTCGAGTTTGAACCCGAATTCATCGACCTGAGCATGCACGCCGATGCTGAGGATCGAGCCTACAAGATGTCGGTCGAAGCCAACTACGAACCCAACTTCAAGCTCGACAGCCTGCCGTTGTTGAAGGCTAGCCTTTACAAGGTTGGGAGCGGACGATGGGCAATCAATGTCATCATCCACCACATTATCATGGACGGTGAGTTTCGGCAGATGATGATTGCACACCTCCGCGCTGCATTTACTGATTCCCCTCCCTCGCTTATCCAGAGGTGTCCATGGCAATCTTCTTTAGCGAGCTGACAACGATCTACATCAACCGCACTGGGTCCGTTCTCAAGCCGTTGGACATCCACTTTTCCGACTTTAGTGACTGGCAAGCTCGCACTGCCGACGCACGTGCATTGTTGAGGGATGATCAGCTCGCATTCTGGAAGGCCGAGCTCAAGGACGCCAGGCCACTCCACCTTCCCCTCGCCAAGCGCTCGGAAGTCGCGCAGTCCAGCGTTACCCAAGTGGAATTGCTTGCCCCGCACGACGTGGTGCAGAACTTCGCCAACCTCGGCGCCCAACTCGGCCTCACCAAATTCGCAACGTTCTTCGCCGCCTACAATATCCTCCTGTACAAATACTCCTCCCAGCGGTCGTTCTGCGTAGGCACCATGGTCACCGATCGTGGCTCGCACCAGCTGACAAGCACCATCGGGTTCTTTGCCAACATCCTCCCCATCGGCGTCACCATCGACGAGAACATGTCCGTCACGGAGTACATGTCGGCCTTCCGCGACAACTTCATGGCCTGTATGGAGAACAAGGACGTGACCTATGAAGACATCGTTGGTTCCATCCGCCGCGGATCCGGGGAGCGCGGCCTATTCAAGCACTTGTTCTCGGCCGGCGGTATCGACCTCAACGCCATCCGCGACGCCCTCGCCGGGCACCACATCGACATCGAGCGCTTGGAAGGTCTGCCTAACCCCGAGGAGAAATACGAGCTCCTGCTGACGGCGATCCCGGACCGAGACGCGTTCGTGCTGCGGTTCAACCACTTTATGTTCTCCGATACCACCGCCCAGCAGTTCCTGCAGGCGTACGTATCGCTCCTCGAAGTAGCCGCCTCGAATCCGGACGTCAAGATCGTCGACATCCCTGCCATCAGCGCATCCGAGCGTGACCGTCTCATCAATGAGTGGTCGTCGGAGGGTGAGGTTGACCCCGTCGAAGGCTGTGTGCACGTCTTGTTCGAGGAACAAGTCATCCTCACCCCCGATGCCGTGGCCGTCACTTACGAAGACCAGTCCATGACTTACGCGGAACTCAACGCCCTCGCCAACCGGGCCGCTCTCTTCTTCAACCAACAAGGCGTCAAGGCCGGAAGTATCGTGGCACTCAGCATAGACCGCGGGATTTCTCAGATCGTCAGTCTTCTTGCCGTCCTCAAGTGCGGTGGTGCGTTCGTTCCTCTTGACCCGGATGACCCGCCGGCGCGTACCGAGGCCCTAATCAAGGACGTTGGCGCCAAGATCCTGCTCACCAGCACCGCCCGTGCGCGTCTCCTCGAGCGACGGATTGCGTCGCAGGCGCTTGTTGTCCGCATGGACGATGAGTTCTTCCTGAAGCGCATCTCCCGCTTGCCGGCTGAGGATCTCGAGATGGAGATTGCGGCGACGGATTTAGCGTACATCTGCTTCACGAGCGGGTCTTCGGGCAAGCCCAAGGGTGTCATGGTGGGTTTTTGTGCTTTGAGTCTGCGTGATATTGTAGGACGATTCCCATTGACTTCGAATTCTCTTCGTCCAAACAGGTGCCCCACCGCGCTCTCTCCAACCTTGTCCGTCATTCCAACGTTTACGGGTATCACGAAGGGGCGCGGGTCCTGAGTTCCTTGTCATACACCTTCGACCCATTCATGGTGGACGTCTTTGGCACCCTCGCCTGTGGAGCGACGCTGTGCATGGGACGCAAGGAGCTTGTTCTGGGCGATATTGGGACCGCTATCACGCAACTAAAGATCAATGTGCTGCATTTGACCCCCAGTATCTTGGCGACCGTCCCGGTTGCCGATTACCCGACACTCGAGACTGTGGTGGTCGCTGGAGAGAAGCTGAGCAGGGCGGTCATTGAGAAGTGGTGTAAGAGGACTAGGCTTATGAATATGTTTGGTATGTTTCTTCCTTTGGGCATGTTTTCGTAGGATCAACCCCGCTGACTCGAACCTCCCCAAATAGGTCCCACGGAAACCACCGTGGACGTCATCTGCGCCCACATCGACTCCGTCGACCTCAGCGGTGTCATCGGCCGTCCCATGGCCAACTGCCGCGCCTACATTCTGGATTCAAAGATGAACCCGGTGCCCATCGGCTGCGAAGGCGAGCTCTACATCGGCGGCATCCAAGTTGCTTCCGGATACTTTGCCGATGAGGAACGCACCGCGGAAAGCTTCATTCCTTCACCGTTCGTAAAGGGCGAGAGGTTGTACAAGACGGGGGATATTGCGAGTTACCGCCCTGATGGGAATATTGAGTATATCGGACGGAGGGATTTCCAGATTAAGGTATGTTCCATATGTGCATATCTGCTTCCGCTCCAACTTTTTGCCCCTTGTTGAGGCCTTTTCTTCCCGGTAATTCTAGCTGCGAGGTCAAAGAATCGAGCTCGGCGAGATCGAAGACACCATCCAACGCTACGAACACGTCCAACGCTGCGCTGCTGTCGCGCGTCCCATCCACGACGAACAAGCTGTCGTAGCTTTTGTCGAGTTCAAAAACACAACCACCGAAGTCGATGATGAGCTCAATGGCCTCAAAGAGCACATGTCCTCCATCCTCCCCCGCTTCCTCATCCCCTCTTTGCTACTGGCCCTCCCCCAGATGCCTTGCACATCCAGCGGGAAGATCGACCGCAAGCAACTGATGGCAATGGACCTCACCTCGCTGCTCCCCACCAACGACGCCGTCAGCGCACCCGAATCCTCCATCGAGACGGACCTTATCGACGTCTTTGCGACGCTGCTAGATATCGACCCCTCGACGCTGGGCACGCACCATGACCTCTTTAGCCACGGCCTGAACTCGCTGCTGGCCGTGCAAGCCGCGGAAGCCATCACCAAGAAATTCAACGTCCACGTGGGGCTCAACAACCTGTACATCCGCAGCAGTGTCCACGACCTTGCTGCGTTCATCATTGACCAGCTGGGCAGGGAGACGCGGCAGATCCAGGAAGCCGAGGATTCCGAACAAGATTTCTTGATCGAGTTGCTGCCTATCAAGAAAAAAGGGATTTTGCCCAGGTTGTTCATCATTCACGATGTGACGGGAATGGCGACGCCGTTTATGCGGTTGGGCGCGTTCATTCCGAACGAGATCTACGCGATCGGGGACAAGCATTTCGGACAAGCCGACGGGTTCGACAGTATCAACGAGATGGCCGACCATTACATCACGCTTATCCGCTCGGTGCAGCCCCTGGGCCCTTACGTGATCTCCGGATACAGTTTCGGCGGCAACGTGGCCATCTGCGTGGCGCGGAAACTGCAAGACGCCGGCGAAACCGTGCAGCACCTGATCCTCTTCGACTCGATCTGCATCCCGAGGAAGGAACGCATGTCCCTGAAAGCCACCGATTGGACCGCAGGCGCCATTGACCGCATCTCGGAGAACTTCCCAGATATCTCCGAGTCCTGGATGAATAGGCTCCGCACTGAGATTGGCAAGAATATCGGGAGCCTATTTGATTATGAGCCCCCTGCGCGGTATGAGGGGCTCGTGACACTGGTGGTGCCCAAAGACAGGGCCTGGTTCCGCACAGGGCGTGCGAGCGATTTTGATACGGGAATGGATGATTACAATGGATGGGGCGCTAGATGTGAAAACATTCAGTTGCGCGTTTCTGCAGGTAGGGTTTCATATCAGTTTCGGCATGGCATCATGCTCCACGTACTCATTCTTCCCCCCCCCCCCCCCCCCCCCCCCCCGGTAGGTCGCCACGATACAATGTTTGCGCCCGCACATGTGAAATCCGCCGCAACGGTCCTTAAAGAACTGCTCGCCGAAACGCCCACCGCACCTACGCCGGTTATCCCGGCACGGGAGCAACTCACAGCACGCCACCGGCATGACTCTGGTCTCGGCGGCCTCGAGTCCAGGAAGAATTCCGATTCTGAAGAGGCACCCACTACCGCCGCTGTCGCGAAAAGCGTGACGGAAGGGTTCAAGGCTCTCTTCAGTATTTAATTCTCGTATCATTTTCATCTTCATTTCTCTTGCCGCGGGGTCGGCGAGCGACATCTCAAGTTTCTTTCATCATCTGTGCTTTTGTTTCTTCATTCCTTTCTTACCATCATCGACCCTTTGCCTTTTTTCACGAGTTGTATGACGGCGTACGGTACATTGTAGAGGGTTAGCATTTCTGGGGATGGGTTGAGGGACTTTATCTCTGGTGTGTATCATCCTCTTGTACATTGTATGCTCGAATAAAACGAAAATGTGGTTTGATGAACTTTTTGTGCGAATTGGTGAGGGAAATGCATGCATATCGTTGCTCGTAGTACACCCAATGTCCAGAGGTGAGGAATGCATGAGACGCTCGAAGTAAATGGAAATTAAAACTTGCAGCCCCAGTTGGGGTTAGAGTTAGGATTCGAGTTAGTAACACCCAGCCTGAGCGGTTTGAGCGGTTGGAGGAGTGGTTTTTGACCATCCATTTCGGCTGGTTTTCCTGTCCGCAGGGAGGTGGGAAGCGCTCGCCGCAAGCCCCCGATTGACAGCATTTCACACCTCGGCGAGGTGTTCTTTTGACGGGATGTGACGCCGCGGGGAAGAGGAAGGGCGGACGCGCAAAAGAGGCTTCCACGCGTTACCTACCGACTACTCCGACACTCCTTGATAAATCCCCCCCTCTCTGCTACCCCTTCTTTTTCCCACCTACCCCTTCTTTTTCCCACCAGCAGAGAGATTGTGACTGCGCCGCTCCCATTCTTCGTTTATGGGGTGCACTCTGAACTACCTTTACCTACAACCTCGACCAGAGATTACCGTGGGAATAGGTCTAGCGAATCGCGGGGCATACGCAACCACTTAACCAAAACGTCTAGTTTCATTGACCAGTAGTGACTAAAAGGCAAGGCTCCATGACCTGAGGCGTGGACTTGCAGCCTGCGAAACATCAATGGGCTAGGCGGGTGAGCGTGAGGTTAAAGGGGAGGCGCCGGGATGGCACCGATGATCCTTTTGCCGAGGTTCGCTTTCTTTTTCGACTTTGAAGTATCAACCTTGACACTAGCGAGGAGAATACCACGGCGCAAATTCCTTCGCAATGTCGCGTCGGAGATGGTGGATTCGAAAATGGACGATGAGTGGGCAGGTCCCGGCGAGCATGAGTGCTGGGGAAGAGTGGGTCGGTAACATTCCTTACAACTCCGGGCCATGAGAAGGGAGCTGCAAAATCAACAAAGCTTCCCTACGACTTGCCAAGGAAAGAACGAGAGCAGAATGACCGTAGCAAGCAGGTTGGCAACGGAAAGTCGGAACTTCCGAATTGATCTTCGAGGCCTATGGAGTGAGCTTTTGATTTTGAAAGTCGTCGGGCAGACCGTTGGAGAAAGAAGTCCGCATACGTACGCAAACGGGGGGGGCGGAAGATGATGAACGCGCCGAGGTTGTCTTGTGGAGACGCCCTCGTCCAAGTCCTACCTTTCAACTCCGCGCCGTGACGGCTGACGAACTGATGGACGGAGACTTGGAGAGAGGAGATAATACGAACAGGGATAGCCTTCCGAGACAGGGCTATCCAAAGGTCCGCGTTGATGATGAGGATATTTGAGAAACTGCAACGACGAATTTGTGGAGTGACACCATTCAGATGTCCATGCCCAACCAAGACTGTCGCAATGCGCCATAAGCAAATGCGAATCCGCCTCGCTACAACCGAGCCATGGCTGCCAAAACATCCCCACAATGCGCTGGAATAGTTTCGCAAAACCTACTGGAAAGTACGCAGGAAAGTACGGAATGGCAGCCGCCGAACTGGTGTCACATTACCTTTAGTCATTGATCGACAACCCCGACGATGCGAATGAACAGCAACGCAATCACGATATGCGTGCGACTGTGTACAGTAAATGTACGAGGGCCGCACAGGGTTTCTCCTACACGCCAGCCTGATATTCCTGTACAATTTTGCGACATAGATGAGGTCACGGAAGTCAACCCCATTGAAGTTTGAAGCACATGAAGTTCGCCTGGGCAAGCTTGTTTCGTAGCCGTTGGTGCAAAGGTTGATGCTCAGACGAACGCAGGTCTTTGGGGGCGACGGTAACATAAGAGATCGAAGCGATCTTATCACATTCGGACGGTGCGGGACACTCCGTTTTTCCATAGTGTGTTCAGGAGGAGGACCATAGGTCCTCGGGGGACGTATATGATATAGGAAATCATATCAGAAATGACGGCGGAGGATTGCTCAATCGCCATGCCTTGCTTGTATAAATCCACACTGACCCAAGGCGGACCTCAAACCCGTTCAACGGCCATGCGCACGCACATGGCTTCCATGGTCTTCCAGGAACAGGAGGTATATTTGGCCACAATCAATGTCAATGTCGTATGGATTCGCCTAGCGAGAACGGTGTATGAAGTAGATATAGAGACAAGGTGAAGACAGAGAGAGATGTGCTCAGGGCTGCAGGTGTGTTCCTCAAACACTTTACAAAACACCAACCTCAGTGCCGCCAGCGAGTATGATGCAGTAAGTTTCCAGAGACCACCGGTGCTACCCCTCACAATTCACCCCTCCAAAAATCCCTCCCCTCTCCGCTGCACCAACGCCTTGTTCCTCGTAATCCGATCCGCCGCACTCGCACCCCCACCCAAAAACGCCTGCCGCTGCAAATCCATCATAAACGTCTCCTTATCACCATCACCCCTGTTTAATCTCGCCAATCTAGCCTTCATATCCCGCTCATCCTCCTCCTTTTGCGCTTGACGGTCGGATTCGACGCGTTGTGTGCGGGCGAGGTCCCAGGATTCGGCGTCCCGTTGCATTTCGGCGAGGCGGGCGGCGCGGTCGGGGTCGGCGTTGACTGGGGTGGTTTTCGGGGGTTCGTGCCTGATGGGTGCTGTAGTGGTGGCTTCCTTTTTGATGGGTGTCGCTGAGATTGTCGGTTTTTCTGAGCGTGATGGTGATGTACTTCGTTTCGGGAACTCGTAGGAACCCTGTCTTGCCCGACCGTTTCCATAATGCCGGGTTGGGGGCGACCGCGACCGTCTTCCCAACGACCGATCTCTCGAGTCAACCCGACGCGGTGCCGGCCTTCCCCTATCTCCCACGCCATTCCTATCATCCCTCCAATCTCTCCTGTCTCGAGAATCTCGTCGGTAACTGTTTTTCTTACGACCATCATACGGTGACCTTTCCCGTTTCACAGGCGGCGAAGCCGAATCCCTAGATGACGTCCGTCTCCTCCGAGGAGGAGAAACGCTATCATCGATTCGTCGATGTCGACGAGGTGGTGACACCGACGGACTTGTTGACGGTGACCGTAATCGTTTTCCGGACCCACGGGACGAATATGAGATGGGTGCATCGCGATTGTGGTATCCATTATCCGGTGACCGGCGACGTGGGGACCGGCTTTGCTGCGTATGTGCTGCTCTGGACTTCGGGTATCTGTTTCGTTCGTCCCTGTCAATGTTCTGTCGCCTGCCATCCCAATCTACGCTGCGGCTGCGACTACGACTGCGACGAGGCGGGAAATCATGATCTTGCCCATGTGCGCTCCGTCGTCGCGATCTATCCCGATCGTCAGACTCCTCATGTACCGCACTATCTCGCCTCTCTTCTCGCTTAATCTTTTTCTCTTTCTTCTCTTTCTTCTCTTTCTTCTCCTTCTTCTCCTTCTTCCCACCCTTCTCCTGCCGTAACCTCTTCAGCTCCACCGGATTATTCAACACTGCCTGCAACGACGCGTGCTCCCTCTTCTTGATAGCCAACATCGGATCCTCCCTAATCTTATTCTGCGTATCGCGCACGTTATTCGCGACAAGCCCATACTTGTTCACCGCCGCAAACGCCGCCGAGGCCTCCATCTCCTTAACCGTCTGCCCCTGCTCCACCATCTTATCCACGCGCTTCTTGCCCAACAGGTAGGCCTCGCGCTCCTCATCGACGAGGGCCTGGTTCCCGCTCGGGCCCGCGGAGTACATCCAGTCTAGTCGTTCGGCATGTTTGCGTTTTCCCGTGGCTTCGTTGAGAGCTTGCAGCTCCATCAATTGGCGTTCTTCATTTTTCTCTTTGCGAAGCTGCTCGAGCTTTTTTCGCTCTTCTTCGGCGTCGCGTTCTTTTTTCCATACTTTTTCTTGGTTGCGGAGGGTTCCTGGATGCCAGGACTTTTTCAAGTTCTGCGAGGAAGATGGGACTGGTGGTTAGTCCTGACTACGGTAGTGGACCGGTACTGAGCGTTGGATCGGTTGACGGCGGGGAAGCACTTACCAAATCTCCTCCTCCCATTTTGACAAGACGGCGCTAATTCAGAGTTCCCAAATATATCAACGTCCGTGACACGACAACGGTCCCTGGATCCAATAGGCAGGTGTATATACAGAGACGGGCTTTTGGGATTCCAGGGGATGAAGTTCCTGGGGATGGGGGAAAGGCCAAGTTGCGCAAGTGTCCTTCAAGAAGCTCATTAGTTGTTCTCGATCACGTGGCCGTTGGAGTTTATTACGCATGTTTTATTCCCTTGTCGCCTTTGTCTTCGAACTTCGAAGGCAACCAACAAAGGGAAGCCAACGCAGGATTTGCAGCTCGGCAGACTCAACATGCTGTCCAAAAGCTGACGACAGTACGCCAGTGAGGTCGTCCGCTATAACGACTGCGACTGTGAATCTCGCCCCACCCTCATCCTACGACGAAGATGACCCACGTGGAGTTGAGCGACGGCCGCACGCTGAAAATTTACCAAAGAAGTGATGGCTCAGAATACTACAACGATGACGGCGAGCGCAAGACGGTGAGGAGCAACCAACACCGCGTCAACCTCAACGCTACACCTCCCCGACCACGGCCGCAACCAGCGGTTGCCGCAGCACTTGCCGATAACTACGCCGCTTCAGACAATCGTGTCGCGCGTGAGTGTCCGTGAACCGTAAGAACTGTCCTGCGCGTCTTCTCACGAATCACGATATCCCACTTCGTCCCCAGCGCAATACATAGATTTAGAGCTCGTCCAGCCGGCATTGGTTCAAGATGACCTCTATGAGCTGGCCAGAAGATTCGCACGTCGTCATGGCGTGACTGGTGGTGGTACGATCGACATTGAGCCCCGGTTTGGTCAGCATAGGGCCGATCGCCGGCGGCATGGCGCAGCATCCGGATCCAAGATGTATTACGCAAGGGCAGGCAATATCATGAAGGCCGAGGATAGGTTGAATGAGATATTGGGCACTAGTCGCTCGAATGCCGAAGAAGGATCAGGGTGGATTTACTTGATCGTGCCGCCGATGCTTCATTAGCGCAAACACTCGCTGGCAGTCCTTTCCTTGTACCACCATAGATCGGACATGCTCTGGACTTGACCGCAGATAGTGGATTTTGTTAGATTGTTGGTGTCGGAATGATTTTGGAATAACAAACTCGGCTCAACGGTCGTTTGAACTGCATTGAACTGCATTGCGCTATTTTCATCTGTCGCGACTCGATGGGTCCTCACATGGCGCCCAGTTCGGACACGATCCAGGATGTCCTGAATTGCCATAGTCTTCCCTACAACGCAATCAGAGGCATTCCTCCTTCAATGCGTGACCATGCCCAATGACACTCCTGCCTCCGCCATGACCTTCTGATATCGTCGAAAATGCTCCACAATAAGAGGGCCGTGCAGGGCTGGCACCGCTGCATACGTCGTCCAAGGTTTCCCATGCGTCGTCTCCACATACGCCACCTCGCGAATGACTTGCCCGTCCCAAGCAGTGCTTTCACCTTCCTCCCCTATAGCCAGTGGAACGGGCCTAGGGTCGGATTCCGGCAGTGAAACGGGATAGTCGAGAATAAACGCCAAGTTTTGCTCCGTCAGTGGGCGAGTCCGATTCCCATGCTCCAACAGACGGCACACCTCCGCAGCTTTCGGATGCCGTAGGTTGATCACGAAGAAAGCTCCCTGCAACTCCACCGTATGCGGACTTCGCAGATGCCGGGAACATTCAAGCAACTTATACTTCGGGTCCGCATCCGACCCCTTATGCTCAGATAACGCAGGCATCACCACCCAACTGACGTATCGCGCTATGCAACTTCGCACGTGCCACTCCAACTCCTCGTTGCCCGTATATCCCAGAGCCGGGAAGGATATCAGAACGGCGGCTTTGAGGCCGGCTGCCAGGAAGGTAACCTCGCCGATGTGGGAGAGGTCTTGGAGCGGATGACTGTTTTGCAGAGTGATTAGGGACGTGAGTCGTGGGGGGAGGTCGGCGAAGAAGAACTTGGTTTCTGCGATTTCCATTCGCTGTAGGAAAAGGCGGAACCTGTCGTTGGGCACCAGAGCGCTTGTGCCGCTTGTGCTTTCGGGTGATTGAGCCATCTTTTCGTCCCCGACCGAAGGCAAGTCCATCATTCTTCAAGTCAGGGCCATCGGAAGCAATAAAACTGGGCGAAGGATCACATGACTTAGATGACACCTCCAAGTTTTGGGCAATCTCCGACCCTGTCAGTGTTTCTCTGGATTTTTGAGTTCTTGGTCCTGCGCGATTCGAAACGGCCAGGTCCGGCTGTCTCAGGCCAGAAGCGACCCGTTCCTTAGAGGCGGTGGGGTCCCTGGGTGACCTCGTGGCTAGCCCATGACAGCTGGACAATTGGACTGTACGCCGAAATCTCTGGTTGTGATGGACATTTGGCGAACGGTGAAATCCGTCCATCTTTCGTTCATCGTTCTGACCCGGTTTGGATCCGAAGAGTGTGACGGCTCAGTTCATTTCATGAAAAGCCGATGAGAAGCAACATTATCTATTCCAAGACGCATTGGAGTCTTAGTGCCCCCAATTACCATCTCCATTATCCACGCACGCTACATAATGCTATCCCTGCACTACATAACCTACCCAACATCCTAATCTCTATCCGCTAAAAAAAATCAGCATTGGCCCAGACTACGAAAGGTGGAACCGATTACTCGTCGTCAGCCCACGAAAGCGGCATCTCCACAGGAACAAACACAGCTTTCGGCGAGACGGTTTTCTCTGGTGCTTTTTGAGGGATGGCGGGCGGTTGTTGAGATGCTGCTGGTGTCCGCGGCGATGATGGTCCCTGGATTTGGTCGGGAGCTTTAAGGGCTTGTGAGTCCAATTGCGATGAGGGTGGTGCGGATGGCGTGGGATTCTGGGCGGGAACCCGCGCAATGTCCGCTCTCGACGCATCGAGACCGCCTTCTTTGCCGCGATTCGGCGGTGGCCCGGACGAGTTGGAACGAGAAGCATCTCTGAAATACGCGCCATTCCGTTCCGTAGATGTGTTTGCACCCTTTCCATGACGGTGCGCCGCGCCGACGAAGCTGAGGGTCGGTCCTGGTGCCTGTATCGTTGCTGCGGGGCCGTCAGCACCACCAAAATCATCGTCACCGTCTCCTTGAAGGGCATTGGGCGGTCCGGACGATTTGGATCGAGAGGCATCTCTGGAGCACGCGCCATCCCTGTCCCTCGATTGGTTTGCGAATTGTCCTTGACGACGTGCCGCGCCAACGAAGCTGAGGGTCGGTCCTGGTGCTTGGATTGTTGATGCGCTGCAGTCATCACCACCAACCTCATCATCACTTTCATCATCGTCAACTCGCGGACCAAGCCGATCAAAAATGGTCGATTTGGCTGTCGGTTCCCTCCTTGCATGCCCATCTGGAGTAACACAACGCCGTTCAAGCGTCCTAACCGAGCCTGACCGAGACCCATGGTTGCTGCCTCGTCCCCGATTATCCAGCGATCGGAACCCATCGTCCCGCCTAGACGATTGCTGCTCGCTCACATCTCTGGAATTCCCATTCCTTCCACCGCCTGCCGAACGACCTCTCTCTTTTTGAACCGGCACTTTCAGCGTGACCACGCGCACATCCGGGTCACCGTGTTGCAAATAGCTTAGACTGACCGTTTCCTCCTCCACATCCCACGGCTCCCTGCCATGCTGCTGAACATGCAGACCACCCCCATCCTCTTTACGTCCAGAACCTTTATGCGTATCCCCATACGATGCATGGCGGGGCGATTCCCGCTCATGCGACCCCTCAGGCCTCCTCCCACTCCCACCCCGACCCCGCCGCGCACTCCCACCTCGAGGCGACCTGCCCCTATCCCTATCCCTATCATCCCATCCACTGCTTCCCGGCCGCCCAGAGTCGACTCTGGCGCGGGATGCGGGTGGCGCCGTGTCGTTTGAGGCGGTTTCCCATGCATGGACGATACGTGTCGGGGTCGGAGTCGTTATTGCCGGAGATGGCGATGCGTCGGGGGTCTCCCAGGCGTGCACGACGCGGTTGGATCGGGATGGGGCCGTCGGCGTTTGGCCTGCGCTGGTGGCTTCGAGAGCGGCACAATCGACTACGGGCGACGTCGCTGTGCTGCTGCTGGGAACCCGGAGGTGTGTCGCAGGAATCTGGGCGCTTGTGGGGGATTTGCGGGCCGGAGGATTGTAAAGAGGGGCGTCGGGACGGCGGGTCGGGGATCGTTGGGGCGAAAGGCGGTCGGACATTCTCGCGAGGATGATGATGCTGGAGGACTTTTGCAAGGTAGGGATAAGGAGAAGCGACGTAGACAGGCCACTCTCCGCCGCTTTGCCTGGGAAAGAGACGATCTGTGGCGACAAACCTTGTTCGCATTTAGCTCCACCGGTAAAGTTTAAAAAAGGTTGCCCGGCCAGCCTGGGTTCCCTCCCGGACCTTGCAGAGGAGACACATGGGATATTGAAACAGCAGAGTTGAGGCGGCAGATCTACTGCTCTACTGGCTTTGGCGACTCCGAGGGTTTGCGTTACTGAAACTACCGAAAGTCTTCCCTAACGCCAGCGCAAGCACATCGCTGCGATCCTGAGACGATCCTTCTAAGCAAATGCGGCATCTGTGGTTGCGAAGCTGATGCGGATCATTATGATGACTAAACTGTCAACCTTGCTGAGTTTCAATTGACTGCAAGAGCGATACAACAAGAACACACTTGAACGGAAAAGATACCTTGCCAGACCACCCAACGACAGGACTTCGCGCTGTCGAATTCCCTTACGTAAGGTGCTGTCAACCGCAGTTTCGCCCATGTCGAGAAAAATCAGTTGAAACAAAGCTACAGTGGAATCGTGAGCCGGAAAGGGTCGAAAAACATATCAGCAGGCATTGGTGCTATCATGGACAAAGTAGACTCCGACTTCCTGCACCAGCTCTTCCAGGAGAATAACCAGCTCCGAGCTCAGTTCAATGCGTTACAGCGCGAAGTAAGAGCGCCGGGAAAAGCGGCTTTTCATATGACTGCAATCCAAACATAGATCATCTTACTTACTGTATGGTTCTCATTCGGCATTTGTTAATCGTATAGCTATACAACAAGACTGTACAAAATGAGACGCTGGATGAAGAGATACGGGATCTAAGGCTCCGGATGGAGGAGGAGAAGGCCCCCGCCGCGTCACGTCCCACGGTATGTCTGGGCTTTGGAGATTGTGCGGAATGCGAGAACGCCAGTCAAATGGCTCATTCATTGTCCTACAACCTATACAGACACAGAGTGCAGTCAAAAAGGGTCCACGCATTGGCAGCGAATCGGTAATGTGGAACAAATCTGTTTTGAACCCCAACACCTGCCGCTTCATCTCACAGACGTGCCCATCTCTCTTCTCTACCTTGACTTCCTGGCGTCCCCCTCAAGACAGCGCCGTCGGTGGCCCAAAATGCTGCTAAGGACCTCGCGGAGGCGCTGTTTACGCTCGAGCGAAAATCCGCGGAGCTGAAGCAAGTGAGAGAGGACCTGGGGAAGACACAGAGCGCGTATGAGGAGGAGGTCGAGAAAGCTGGTATGGGGCAAGCAGACATGTGGAGAGGTGGAGATTGGATTGAGATTGAAAGATCTCTCTCGGCGATATAGAGGATGCCAAGCGTCAGGCAAACGATGTGATGGACGAGCTGCATGATCTACGTCGGTTTCGTGCCAACGCACTGAAAGCCGAGGAGGATGCACAGAATGATCGTAAGTCTATTGTTCCAATCATACCCCAACGATTTGAACGGAGCATTTGAACTCTGTCCAAATTTATAGCCGATAAGAGTGGAACAGTATCCGACGACTACCAAGCCCTGCAATCCAAGTTTGACGAAGCACAGACCATCATTCAGCAACAGAAGCGTCAGATTGTGGATATCGCCGCTGACGCGAATAGGCGGCATAATGAGCAGCAGAATCAGCTGCAGGGCGTGGAAGCGGTAAGGGGGCATCAGAAAGCATAGAGAGAACGACTTTTCGTAAATCTGATCTATCCCCTCACACACATTCCGACAGCTAATCGAAGGCATCCGTAAAGAATACGAGGAATTCATCGAAATCACTAAACTCGAAAATGACGCCTACCGCACCGTTCAACAAGACGAATACAACAAACTCCGGGACGAATTCGAAACGCACAAACGAGAACAATTCGAAGAAAAAAAGCAGCTGATGCAGGAGTACCAGGGTCTGCTGTACGCGATGCAGTCGCAGTTCGACGAGTACAGGACGACCAGCGAGTTCCTGTTCAACGTGGAGGCGGCGAAGTTGGAGGACGAGCTGTCGAGTCAGGCGGCTCGGTATGAGCAGGAGATTATGTATGTCGTGCAGGCCAAGGACAAGTTTTATGCGGACATGATGATTGCGAAGGATGCAAAGATTATGAGCTTGATTGAGGGGAGCGATTTGCAGAATTTGATGCAGAAGCATGAGATGGTATGTCTACGTTCCTGGCTTCCCGCTGGGAGGATCGATTCTCACTGCTGACGGATTGCCTCACGCTCACGCAGGATATGGAAGCCCTCCGCAAAACCCACGCCCGCGAAATCGACCACCTCAAAACCTCGCAAGAAAGCGAACAAAAATCACTCGTATCCCTCCTACAGCGTCAAAACCTTTCCCTCGAGTCCAAATGCGACAAACTGCAATCACATCTCAAAACGCTTGAGACGCGGATCAAAGAGCTCGTCGCCACCGTCGAGGCGCGGAACAAGACCATCTCCGATAAGGAGGACGCCAAGGGGCGGCTGGAGACGGATTATGCGAGGAAGGTGGATGAGTATAATGCCAAGATGGGCGTGCTGATTCAGGAGAAGGAGCATTTGAGGCATAAGGTTATCAGGATGGCGTTGGATGCGAAGGGAGAGGGGCATAACTCGATTGCGAATATGCTGAAGAGGATATCGAGGGTAAGTTGCGGACCGCATTCCGATCCCTACATTTGTGTGGATGGTTTGGCTCAGCTGTCGTTTGCTTTTGTAGGAAACGAGCGAACTCCGGTTCGACTATGAGGGCATGAGCATCAAATACAGCTCTTTAATGAGCGAAAACCAGCTGCTCGGCAAACGGCTAAAAGAGCGCGAGAAGTTTGCTGAGTTCCTCGAAAAGGAGGTCGCGAGACGCACGGAGGAGTACAATAGTATGGTATGCGCTGGAGATCACCTCAGTTACTTCATTCCCCGTGAGGCGTCGGGAACTTACAACTCTTTCGTCTTCCACGTCGAATGGCAGACCCGAACGTTCGAAGACTTCCTTTCCGCACGGGCACGCCAAAACCGGAAGGACCGGGCAAGGAGGTTGATGAAACTTCACGGTATGTTAATCTCACCTGATTTCCAGATTATGCCCACCAGGAGACTCACTTGAGCCTGACTCTGCAACGAAATTTTTAGGGATAGCATCAGAAGAAGGCACAACAGAAACCATTCCAAAGGAATATGTCGATTCGCGAGGCGTATTGCGGACGCAAGTTCCCGGGAAGGAGGTGCGTCACAGAAACTACTCTGTGTATCATACCACATCTCTTCGGTATCATGCTAATGTATCCCACCCTCACTCAGATCAAAGCGAAAGGCACCATCACATCCTCCGTGTCCCAAAACCCGCTTCCGGCTGAAAAGGACGAACGGAGAGCGGAGCTGGAGCGGGGGTTTGCGTGAGTGTCTGCGTACTCTCATATCTTTTCCCCTTCCGAATCTATTTCATGAACATGTGGAAATCCGACAGTTATCTCCGCCGCTTCAAAACAATATCCCGCGCCTTCGCATCGGGCGACTTCCGTCTCGTGCCCGCGGCCGACAGCGATACCGCCGAGGGGACCGTGGGCAACTGGCAGAAGGTCCGGTTTGTCCCTCTTACCCCTCTCTCATCTCACATCTCACGTCTCACATCTCACCCCCAATATCCCCGCTTCACATATCCCGAACTAACACATTCTCCCAATCTCTCCCCACCCAGACGGCCCTCTACTCAAAACTGGAATCCGCGAATCTCGCCCTCGCACGGTTCTACAAGGAACCTCCGCGCGATGACCTCGCGACGCAGATCCAGCATCCGAAGCCATTGAAATATGCTGCGGCTGTCGAGGATGAGTCGAGCAGGGTAAGTCGGGTCGTTCATCGCGATAAGGGCGTCTTACTCAGTGTGCGAGATGGCCGTGGGATTGGGCACACCAACTCGGATGCACACAGATGGCGAGGCAGGGAAAGCATCTCAACACATCATGCACAAATCTAACCTACGATCTCTCCAATCCCTTCCCCATCCCACTTCCCACAGCCCCGCCTTCCACAACCGACCGACACAACCCTCGCACCCGGCCTCAAACTCTACGACGAAAAAGCGCACGATGAGGCGGCCCTTAGCGGGGCGAAGACGACAAAGACCGAGGTCGTGCGAGTATGTAACATAAAATCGCTGCCTGTGATGTTTGCCCCCCACTGAAAAAGCCCACTCCTGACAAACCCTCTCCCTCTCACTTTCTTTTGCCGTACAGAAGGAAGATAAACCGATGCTGATCGTCGGGAAGATCCGGTAACTCTCCATCCCGAAGGGTGGGCGCTCTTCACATCATTACCCTCCCGCCCGCTCGCCGGTCCTGTTTCCATATCCTCCCTGGCGGGCCGGCTGGCTGAGCTCGTACCCCTAGCGATCTTGATTTACTCCCTTCCTGCAAGTGTTACCGTTTCTGGCGGTTTGGACGGTTTCTCATTGGGCAACGATAAGTTGGGCTCACTCGAAACTCGCTAGGACGGGGTGTAAGGAAGGCAGAATAAACTTTGTATTATGGAATAAGAAACTTGTAAAGAAAAGGTATGAAAAGAGAGTACAGGGTAAGGAACATATGTGACAGCCGGAAAACACAAATACAAAAGGAACAGAAAAGAAACTACATAGAAAGGCAGAAATGTACGCCCAGATCCAGAAAACGATTAAAGCAAAGGGATTGTTCCAGAGTAGATTACGTCGTAATGTCAGGAAGGCCGTTGAGGATACGCCAGCGAGGCAACACTCAACGCCTCGCATACCGCCTCCCCCCTTCCCCAAATGACTGCTCAGACGCAAGCGAAAAACTCGGGTCATGCCCCCCTCTGAAGCTAATCTCCTCCACATCTAGTCCAAACGTCTTATCCAGCACGCCCGAGTACTCATTGCCGCGGTTCGTGTCGGCAGACGTCCGGGCGGAGACGGGGCCCGAGGCGGGGGCGATGTAGCTGATGCTTTCGTCGTTGGTGGTGAAGCGGGTGGTGTTGGGGTCGGCGGGGAAGGGGTGGGAGGAGGACCGGGAGGAGGTGTGGGATCTATGGGTGTTGGGAGGAATGGCGGTGTCGTCGCCGGCGGTTTCCCAGAAACGGCGGACTGTTGAGGCGATGTTCTTGCTTGCGGCGACGCCCCAGGATCGTTTTTCTCTCTTAGGGCGTTGAGAGGGCTGCGTGGGGGTAGGTGTCGGTTGCGCACACGAGGATTGTGGTTCATGACCGTTGTTGTATCTATTCGCGCTGGGCGGACGTTGACCTCTTTGCCCAGCCGAGGACGGCTGCTCAAAGTAGTCGGCCCCGCTCCTCTCGTTGGGAGTAGCGGCCACAATCTCAACCTTGGGAATAGATCTCCCATACGCTGTTGGGGGTTGAGTTCTCTCATTGGCCGGAGTTCTGCCTCTGTATGACATCTCTTGCGGTGTAACCTTATCGACTGGTCTCGAAATATCGCCCCTTGGGGTCTGCGTAGTCAGAGTGGGCGTACTTTTCGAAGCAGGACGCTCAAACGTCCTCGTGTCCAGATGATACACGGCCACGGACTCATTCGGTCCCAGCGTCCGTTTGGTGGGCTTCTGTTGTTCAGCCGTCGGACGATCCGAAGCACGGGTATTCAAATCATACGCCGAAACCGCCGCCTCCGCTTTGCCAATCGTGCGATTATGCGTCGTATTCTGCTGCGTGTAGTCGTCATGCCAAATCTCTTGTTCAGGCTCCTCTTCCGGTTCCGGGATGTACCCCTTCAGCTCGACGGTGCCGCTGGGCATGGTATTCAGCGTATTGTTCATTTGATGACGGTCGGAGTAGAAGCTTTGTTTCTTTCGCATTGAGGGGTGGTCGGGTTGGTAGTCTGTCATGTTGGATCGGGCGTCCGTTGCCATTGGACCTTCTTCGTAGCCCGGGTAGCCGCGCGGCATGGAATGGTACTGCACGGAGTCAACGTCATAGGTAGAGTTGGGAACTACAACGACAGCGCCACGACGTTCCGAGCGCGGCATCGACGTGTGTGCGTAGGGGTTTTGAGCCATTGGGGAGCCCAGTTGGCCCATGGAGCGTTGCATAGATAGATGCTGGGGAGCTTGGTAGGGGACTTCTGGGAGCGTTGGGAGAGATTTGCGAGTGCGGACGTAGGAGCTGGTCGTGGACTGATCCACCCCGGTCACTTGTTGCAAGCGCATTGCTTCCCATTCACCGAATCTGAGAGTGGTGACAAACCAAATGTGAGCTCCAACTTGCCAATGCGGTGATCATAAAGCAGCGAGTGCGTACGTACCTTTTGAGCGGCACACTCCCAACCTCAAATTCCCCCTCCTTATCCCCATGCCCATCCGCCTTCTCGCCAACCACCACCCTCGTCTGGCCCCACGAGAAATCGTCAAACCGCCAGAACGCGTACAGCGGCAGCACAAAGTTCCAGATCGGCAGGGCAAGCAGGTAGATGAACATGTAGCCAATGTACAGGGTCTTTCGCGTGGTGAGGCCGATGAGCATGCCAGGGAGAAGGAGTGACGTGGCGAGGAGGATCAGGGGAAGGGGCTGCGGCGATACGGCGGAGGTGAAGATGAGGACCCATGTTGAGATGATGGCGGCGGGGAGGATCGTTGTGCCGAGTAGCTCGAGCTGGAAGTACGAAAAGACGTAGAAACTGATGAGACGCATGTCCACCAAGTTGAGCTCAACCGCAAGGCAGATACTCACCGCAATGACAAACTGCATACTAAAGCAGAAAATCCCACAAAGGTCCCTAAGCAAAACAAGTTCCAGCAAATTATGCACCGTCGAGTTAATCCACCGTCTCCGCTGGCTCAACAGAACCGAAAATTTGTCCGGCACCACCGTATGGCACACAGCACTGGGCACAAACACCATCTTCCGCTTCGGGAACGATCGCAGCATTAGCGTGGTGAGGAACCGATCTTCTCCGAGCAACAGCAGGTTCTTCTTGTGCAGCGTGTCCACCGTGTTTTCGCTGTACTCTTCGACGATGTCGGGGTTGACGAGGATCGGGACGGTGGTGTTGCCTTTATGCGCGCGGATGCGGTACATGCAGAAACAGCCAGGGAGGCAGGTTACGCCGCCGAAAACACTTTCGAAGGCTTTACCGAGGTGGTGGGAGATGTAGTACTCGAAAACTTGAATGGTGGTAACCCAACTTTGGCGTTTGTTGGCGATGCGAGTCTCGCCACACAGTCCCATAATTTTATCGTCAGCTTTCATGGCCTGGTTCATGTGGCGAAGGGAGGATGGAGAGACGATGGTGTCGGCATCGACCATGAGAATGGTTTCGTACAGTTCGGGTGTGGCGCCGGTGATGTGGGCGATCTTGATGTACATGTCGTGATCCAGGGCTGTCATGCGGTCGGCAAAGAGGACTCGAGAAAGGAAGTTCATAAGGATGAGCTGAGAGTCTCGTTTGCCGCGGTTGCCGGGTTTGCCGGTGGAGGGGCTCTGCTCGGCTGGTGTACCGCATTTCTCAATCAGAACAATGGGGACGTGTCGATTGAGGTATGGGAAGTATCCGGCGTGCTATAGGAATGGGTATCTTAGCAATAATGTTGGGCCGATGATGCCAATGCATTCAAACTTACCACTTTGGCCATGTTGTGCTGTTTCGCACCATCCGCAATAGCAAGGTAGCTTTTCGGAAGTGCCTGGCCCAACTCCGGATCGGGAATGATCATATCGAGGATGACCTCCGGTGTAGTCTTTCCCGTAGCTTTCCAATCCTCGCCTTTGATCAATCCGTCGGCAACGACATACAGAAGCTTCTTATCATCAGGATAGTCCGTAGCAGCGAGAGATTCCAAAGTGCCGCGAATTCCTTCAGCGCCTTCCGAGTAACACGTCACGAGCAGGATCGTGTACATGTCATCGTTCATGGCGATTTGAGGACGGGCGACGGAGCCAACGGGCAATCCATACGGATCGTATGTGTTCCGCTTGGCCGACAAGCCTGCGGAGCGGTAGTCGTTGCTGTATTTGCTCGTTTTGAATGTGTCTGAGAAGAGGTAATGAAACGCTAGAGCCATGATGAAGCGCGCTGCGACGACACCCAAAACCACAATCATCAGAAGAATCATTATGGTCTGGTAAACGGCGCAACCGCTGCTTTGTCGATCAACGTATCCGACTTGGTACTGCTGCAGTAAGCATTGCATGGCCGCGCGACCCTCCGACGATCCCCCAAAGAGGTAGGTGATGTCTTTGCCAACACCATCTTGCAAGATCTTGTTTAGTCTGGACGACGTCACAAACCGTGTGTCGTTGGACCGCGCAAGATACTCCGTGATGTTCAAAACAGCTCCATTGTAGACCACCAAAGTGTGAGGCGACGACACGCGTGCGGCAACTTCTTCCCAGAGAAAGAAGAGTCGCCCACTCGTTTTGACACCCTTCAACCACGCCAGATCTGGGCACGGTTCTGCAGGCCCAGGTGCGAGCGCTGGGGACAAGGGATACTTGTTGGGAATAATGCAGTCGGACTGCTGCACGTTGGAATATCCTGCACACGCGTCAGCGGAGTAGCGGCGGAAAAGGCGGGTGACATCGACGCCGTGCCAATCATCAGTCAGGTTGACAGTCGACCTTTGATGAAGGACGTCGCGAGTTGCCGCAAAGTCGTAGAGGGTGCCGGAAATGACCACGTCGTCTCGATAAGGAATCACATTGGGGTCGGTTTTGTTGAAGAAGGCTGTGTCAGGAGACGATCCGTTGGGACAGAGCAGGGGCTTGAGGCCATAGGTGAAGAATCCAACAGTGAGGCACAGCAGCCCAACGATCATGCACAAGGCAACCTAGGGGTGTTTCACGTCAATAGCAATTCCTAGGGCTATCACATATGGGCAACGGACTGACCTTCTCCCGCCAAGCTTGCTGAACGTCCTTTGTCTTCATACCGCCGCAAGCGCTCATACAACTCGGCCAAATGCAGCAAGTCATGATTTTGGCGGTACGCTCCCACCAGTAAGACTCTTCCTCCGGCTCCGCTTCGGGCGTCTTGTACTGAAGGAGGGCATCAGTGGGAACTCCATTTCGGCCTATGCGGGACGGAGTGGCGCCTGGATGGACAAAAGAATGTGAGCTGTCGAATTTCATTTTGCCAGCCGTCCTCGCGTCTCCCAACGTACCAGCTCTAGCAGGCGGTGGCCCGACGGTGGTCTTTCTCAACATGGCGCGCTGTGATCTTTGACGCTCAGGACGTACGAGCGTCCGCTGGCGTGAGAGGCCGGCTGGCTGGTCTTCCAGGCCATAGCTGGGACGCGAATACATCGTGGGAAAGTGCTCGTAGTTCCCGTTTTCGGAAGGTTGATGTAGTCGAGGGAACCAGCCGGACGTGGATGGGACAGTGAACTTGGTGCCTTGTTCGTCTTGAAATTGGGCACCTTGTTGTCAGAACTTGGGTGGGCAATGTCGGCGGTCGGGAATGTGAAATGGGCTGCCGAAATGGCGCCGGTCGGTTCAAGGCCACAAACTTGGTCTTAAGCGCCCGTCGCAGGTGCCGGGAGAGCTGAGTGACGGCGACGTGGGTGGATCCTATACCTCCCTCTGAAGCTGCTGACTTTTGACTGCAGAGTTGAGGACAGAGTGGGAAAGTCCAGCGCCCTCTGGAGCGGCAATCAATGGGGAAAAAAGGGGGTCCATTTCCAGGGAAAATGAGAGGGGGGGGGCGAGCGAGGATCCGCGCAAATGGGGACGACGCGTTGCGCAGACAGGGCCCTTATGTCACTCCCTCGCTATGCATCCTACGCGTGGACCGCACTCCGACAGTCTGACAGTCTGACTCGGCAAGGTGCAAGTCATCGACAGGAAAGGAGACGGCCCCCATGTCATGCGTAGGCACTACAGTCCGTGCGGTCAAATGGAGGATAGGACTAGGAAGGGGTATCCTCATGTTTACTGCAGTACAGGTTCTTGCTACCTTCAAAATGCCTATACGACACTAGTTGTTCTACCTACTACGGTAGGAAAGGTGCTTGAAACCGCAAGTCCTGGCAAGAGCGAGCGATCGCTGCGACATCCAGAGTCGTCTCCAGAGTAAGCCGGACTTCAAAATCTAAGTCTGATAAAGACTCGTGTTTGCGGTCGTCTCGACGGTCTCAGTAAAATGCTGCATGACTCAACATTGCGCACATTCCCTCACCCTCTCCCCACCACACCCTCGCTTCGGTGATCTCGGTGACGCTGTTTTACTACTCCCACTCCCATTCCCACTCCCACTCTCACTCGCCTCGCTCCCATCCTCCGACTCCCCCAGATGCTGCGATTTAGCGCTAAAATACTTAAACACGCAGTTTTGCGCCGTTACTGTCGTGTAAGCGTGTAGTGGATGGCCTATGGGGCGGCAAACATCAAGAGTTTGAAAAGAAAGGTAAGAAGGGATGGGCGTGAACGTACCGGCGGATCGCTTGAGACATCCGGAAGAGTTGTTTTTTGAGAGCGGGATGTTGAGTGATTTTTCGGATGTTGCCCAGTTCACTGCGTTCTGTAAATATGGAGTGAGGACCCGTTTGCGATTATGCGAGACATTTCATGTGGCACGCACCTTTTGTAGCCATCCTTTACATTGACGGCTCTTGAGTGAGCGCACGTCGTGGACAGAATCCGTGAATGCAATCGCTGTCAAAAGTCCGATGGATTTGCGCTCCGTCAAGACGACAAAACTACTCGATCACAAACATACCAGTGACACGTTGCATAAACTCGTCCTCTATAATTGTCCAACTATCAGCTTCCGGCCAGCATCATGACAGTCACAATCAAGATACGACACGCACGATACTTGTCCAGTAAAGCTAGCGTGCACACGCCGCCATAGCTATGCGCCACTATGAAAATCCCTGCCGCTTTTGCTTTCCTATCATCCTCAGACGTCAGAACGATCTTCAGCCGACAGCTTCGACAGCGGTTTCTCCCACACATACCGAATGAAATGCTGCCATACGTATGATGTGTGTCTGACGGCCGTTTCGCTTCCTACCGCGCAACCAGAGATTATGAGAAGCCATAGTACCGCGTTCCCCCGCGCCACTCGAAAGGTACCTCGGATAGGTTTCTATGAACACATTGTCAGCCTCAGGGCACAGTGCATAATAAGACGCAAAAAGTAGCGGAACACCCACTTCCGTCGCCGAATCTCGCGTTTCGTTCGGATCCAGCACAACAATCCCATACCCCTCGCTCTTCGCTTGTACAATGTAGTTGAAGAAAGACCCCTCCTGCGACCGATTCCGTCAACAGTCGTTCACGGAATCAATCAATGGGGCAAGAAAGATGGCGGACTCACATTGATGCTGTCATTCATGACGATGCTTCTCGCCCACTGTCCGACGCTAGAGTCCATATCAGATGTTGGTTTGCAATCGCCCACAGACGCTGCTAGTCCCGCAACCCAGTCGCAAATACCTCACGCCGACGCCAGCAACGAGCAGAAGCAGTCTATCCGCCGTAAAAGCGTCGGGACTGTGCTTTCAAAGACTTGAGCCCTCGCTTCGAACGTTCATATTCACTTAAAGCGGCCCCATACGTGAGGAAAATCTTGCTCGTCGGCTCCGTCAGATTCGCATCCACCGGTATCACGACCCTATCGAATCCATGCGTCGCTACAAGCTCGTCTTCAATGTATTTCCCAACTACGTCTATGGGGTGATCAATCCCGCGTCAATCTTCACATTCCACACGCCCAATAACATTTCTCGTTCGCGTCACCCACCAGCAAGTGCCTCATAATGCATCTGATTCCACCGCTTATCCCCCTGGCGGACGTTGAATTCGAACGGCTCGTCATTGGCGATCTGCCGTAACCGGGTTTCTGAGTCGATTTTATAGCCGAAGTCGGCGAAGGTTGTGCCGAAGATTGGTGTGAGCTTTCGGGCGGGGGTTTCTCCTGCCATTTGTGGGTGGGGTTGAGGTGGGAATGAGGGCAGGTACTGTAGATATGTGGTTTGTTCGGGGTCGGTTGGGAGGGTTCAACGCAGCGAACATGTTCTCACGCACTTGGTCCTTGCTGATGAGACGCGTAGCGAGACGGCAGGCTCGATAAATTTGAAGCCCTCAGGCTAAGACCGCGCCTGGCATACCCCTTTCGGAGACAGGGTCCAACATTCGAGATGACACGACAAGCAACTGGCATTCAATAGCCATACATATTGGTCTTCATTTAAACGTTCAGCCTATAAGATGATTCCCGTGCCCACACTCTATTGCTGCATAACCCATTGGTCCCCAAAGACGTACATGGAAACTCTTACAATACAAGTCCCATGTAAACTCCAGATCGTTCAACGACAAAAAGTTCTCATTCGGCAGCGACAGGCTTCCACGCCTTAAGAACGGTAGCCGCAAAAGTCTTGCCCTGCGTCTCGGCAACCTCCAACTCGAGCGCAGACGGCTGCCTGGATCCATCCCCGTTGGCAATCGTGCCTGCGCCCCATGGAGAGCCGCCGATCACTTCTTCGTTGCTGAAGAGGACTTTGCTTTGGTATCCTGTGTACCCATAATAAATCAATGTTGAGTAGCCCCCAAAACTGTCATCAACACGGGAGATGAGGGTGCTTACCAAGAGGAACAAAAATGATGCCATGGTGAACCAAGTGCGGGATGAAGGTGTAGATAGTAGTCTCTTGACCACCGTGCTGGGACGCAGTGGATGTAAAGGCGCCAGCGTACTTTCCGATCAGTGCGCCTGTGGACCAGAGACCGCCGGTGGCGTCCCAGAAAGCTTTGACTTGCGCTGCGGGGACTCCGTATCGCGTGCTGCACGGAAATTTTCACATCTCTTTAGTCCCATGCATCACACCCAAACAACGTTGCTCCAAAAAGCCCGCAAATAAACCTACGGAATCCCGAACAAAAACGCATCAGCCTTAACCAAGTCCTTCGGATCCAACACGGGGATATCATCAAACTTGGCCGCATGCATCTTATCCAGCACCTCCTGAGGCAGCGTTTCGGCGACGCGGTACAGCTCCGCGTTGACCTGCCCGCCGTCGTTGAGGCCTTTGATGATGCTGTCCGCGAGCGTCTTGACGTGGCCCCAGGTGCTGTAGATTACGACGTAGATGGTGGGTTTTGACATGGTGGGGTTTTGATGAGGGTGAAGTGAAGGTGAGCGAGGTAGTTGTGGTCGAGGATGCGAGGTTGGGATGGCGGAAGCTGGGGTTGGATGTGAGATGCGGCTTTTGACGGCTGAGGTTGGCAACTCCGACAGCGTTATGGTTAGATAAGCGGTAAACGCGATGCGAAATGCAATCTAACCGTCTTGAACAGAGGCCGCTGAGGCTGTCGACCTGTATACCGAGCGACCCATAAATGCCTCGTCCGTACTGTAGTCATCAATACACAAGGTTGGAGAGAAGAAGGCATAGGAATCTACCAAGGCCAGATTCGGTCCTATATGCAAACCTACAGGTTGAGCGAAGACGTGAGCAACTCAAATGCTATCGGTATTAAATATTCCAAAAACATTCCTCTATCTAACCTCTATCCACCCGCCGCAATCCAACCTACGCCTTGAACAAACCTCTACACCATCTCCGGCACCACAACCCCCTTCTCTCCCCTCCCGCCCTTCCTCCACGTATAAACCCTAATAAGCACCAAGATTCCCACATCCAAAATGCCCACCGCCAAATAACTCCCCGCATTCAGCCAATCGAACGGCGGCGGCTCGAGCCCAAGCGCGATGAGCGAGAGGACGGCGCCGAGGATGTCCATGAGGAGGAAGGGTTGGGATATTCCGTCTACTATGCTTGTTCCTGGAGGGGAGGGAGGAAAGGAGGGGTTGGGTTGAGCAGAGTTGGATGGGAGGAAAGAGGAGGGGGGACTTACGGAAGATGTCGATGTACTGCGGGAGGAACCCGCCGATGATGAGGATGGTGGGCATAATCCCCATGGCTGTCACGAAGTCGCCGCCGCTTTTTGTGCCGGCTTCGTCCGCCTGATATAACAGCAGCCAAACCAATTTTAGAACCAATCCTCTTGAAGCTTTGTCCATCGGCTTCGCACGAAAAAAACGTACCGCACAAATCGCATAATACAACCCAGCCTCAGCACCACCCAACAGCATCAAACACACTCCCAACATCCCAACCGCCACCCACGTCCTCCCAAACACCTTCTTCCACCTGCCCACTTTGCGGCCCCCATCCGATCCCTCCTCACTAGTATGCTGTCCACCTTCTTCCCCACGCTCAGCAGGATAATGCAAAACCTGCACAAAACAAACCGCCGCAAAGAACCCAAACAAATTCGGCTGTATAATCAGCGGAAGCTTGAGGCCCGAGTACAGCGCGTACGCCGCAAAGAACGGCGTCCAGATCGCCCAGAGGAACATCATGGTGGCGCTGAGGCCGCCAGTGGATTTCGCGCGGAAGGATTTCAGTACTGCAGATAGGGAGGGCGACAGTCAGTACGAGTGACGTTGCAGAGGGCAGGATGGAACGGTACCTTGGGGAAGCAGCTGGAAGGACCAAAAGACGAGGGCGGCGTAGCCTACGACCACTGCGGCGGTGTCTCTGCCCGTCATACTGTGCGGTCCTTTTCTATATGTTCTATGGTACAGGTACTGTCTCTCGAGTTGCTTGTCGAATTGCTCGCCGAAAATTCTTCTCAACGCAGAAACCGAGAATTCCGAAAGCAGCAAAGTCTAGATGGGTCTGCACAGAAGGCCACTGTTGGCATGCTGCCGTGTACACTGTATCTCTAAGTGGAAGTGGCTGGAGGTTCGTTAATGCTGTGCGTTCGCCGTCGTCGTGGGCTCTCCGGCGTCATTTGGAGTTCGGTTGGACGGGAGGTGAAGGAAACCCAAGAGACGCAAGGCGCGCATTTCCACGAGCGGTTTCGGCAACCGTCAACGATCGAGCGACCTGAGCACACGGAAAACAACGCAAAAATGATGATCTGAATTGGCATAGTATGAAATGTACAATACGGAGTCAGGGGCTCTGTGGGGAGAGCATCCCAAAAAAAAGTTGTGCGATATTCCGCACTGAGATATGATTAATGGAGGGTGCGGTGCGAAGTCATAGGAGGTGTGGATGGTATAGGAAGCAGAAAACGGTATCCGAGTGAGGTTAGCGATCGTCTAGTTCCGCAAAGCCGGCGGCTTGTCAGCGTTCCAGGAGAGGTAGGACCGGTCGCCGAGTTTCCTAACATTGCACAAAGTCAGTCTCATGCAGAAACCCACCGTTATCATGTAAACATACCTAACCCGAACGACCCACACCACAAACGCCAAAAACCCAGCCAGGGCACCCACCGCCAGCAACATAATCCCCACAAAACTCTCCCGACTCCCCAACGGGCCTAACGTCGAGAAGTACACGCCTTTGGTGCCCTCAAACCGCCGTACATCGAACCGATCCACAATCGCTAGCTCATACACCCCCTTCACCAGATCCGCGTCCGCGTTCTTCCCCCATAATTTCCGAAAAGATGGGAATCCCGCTTTCCGCATCCAGACCATGAGGCGTTGGTCGGTGCTGAGGTCCGGGTGGTTGGTGGCGTTGTAGCCCTGGGGGTATTTCCACCGCCATTGGGGTGGTGGGATGAGGGTGGTGGGGATTTGGGAGGCGAGAGAGGGATCGGTGAACCAGGTGGAGAGGGCGTAGGATTCGCGGTCTTCGGGCCAGGCTATGTCAGTTGTGGCGAAGGTGTAGGGGGTGGTTGTTGTTGGGGCGGAGCCGGTTGGGGAGAGGGCGCCGATGTCGTCTACCACGGTGGAGAAGATCTCGATGGTCAGGGCGTGCAACGTGAGGAGTGCAAAACGGACTCGGCGCAGGTCATACCCGAAAACACAGAATTCGCAATCAACCCACACGGATAATACTGCGCATCCGTCACCGCATTCTTCACAACCGCATCCCGTTCACCTTCCCCTTTCCTACAATCCGGGTTCATATCCGCCATATTCCCCACCCCCTGCCACGTCCCCACCTGCCGCGCCTTATCGCAATTCGCATACTGCAGCCACGAGCATATCCCCGTGATGTCCCCTGCTTTCATGAACGCCTTGCCCTTCAGTTGGTCGTGAGACAGCGATTTGACGTACAGCCGGTGATTTTGGTAGAAATTTGTCAGCGCGATGTACATAAACACTGGGGCGGGGAGCGTCCACCCGACGGCGAGCTGCAGCGTGCATGTGGACGTCGCAGGATCGTATTTCCACGCCTGGACATTGGAGGAGACGTGGGGAGGTGGCGGCGCGTAGGTGGTGGAGGCGAGGGTGGAGCACTCGGTGTAGTCGAACCCGATTTCGGAGAGGGAGGTGTTTGCGTGGTGCAGGTAGGCGCCGAGGGGGATGAAGAGGGCGGCGACGAGGAGGAGAGGGGTTGTGACGAGAGCGGGGGTTAGGATGGGGAAGTAGTAGGGGAGGTTTTGCTGTTTCCATGGTTTTGCTAGGGGAGTGCGCTTGTCAGACTCCACACGTTCACATCATCTACGACAATTCATCGCATTACTCTCGCACACCACTTGCCTGCACCCATACAAACCTTTTTTCGTCCTCCCCGGTGGCGCCTGCGCCTGCCCCAGCCCCGGCGCCCGTCTTTCGCCCTGCCTCTCACTCGCCCCACTCCCATCCTGGTGCACCCCCCTCTGACTCCCCGCCGTCGACATCTTCCTCAAATGGACCGTCGAATTTCCGACGTCGGCGGCTACTGGTGATGGCGTGCTCGCTGTGGATGGTGAGTTTAGTTGGGGTGGCGGTTGCGGTGGGGATTGCAATGGGTGTGGGATGCTCATTTGGCGGGATGGAGAGGATGAAGGGATGGTTGTCCCTACTACGCTTTGTGGATGTGATGGAGGGATATCTGTGCAGACTACCGCCTTTTGAGTGGTGGGTTGCTGTGGTGCCTGTGCTGGGTGATGCTGGGAGTGATAGTGCGGCCTTGCCAAGGCCACGCTGCACAACACGAAAAGGAGCCTCAATTGTCAATTCACAACGCCTGGCAACACCTTCACTTTCTGGCTTTCTGGCGCGCGTGTTTTCCCCTCCTGTCGGGATTCCGTTTTTTCCTCCTACGAAAATTGACCTCGATCCCCGGCCCGCCATACTCTATCAGTCTGCACCGGCCACAGCATACCTCAAACCCCCCTTGCCTTCACCGTCAACTTCACACATCCCCTCGTGTCGAACATCACTCAAAAATGTTCCGCCCAACCCGCTGCTTCAAATCCCGCCCACGCTCAGCACATTCCTCCTCACAACGACCGTCCTCCTCTTCGGCATCAGCACCACCACCAACACAATCGCAATCATACCGTCGCCCCGCTGCCGCATCACCACCACCACCACCGCAACGGACTTTCTCCTCGTCTGCGGCACCACAATCAACTACCCCCATGTCGGGGTGCCATATCCGGCTCGCCACGGTATGTGAAAACCCCGATATAGCGCTTCTGCGAGCGACGGTTATGTTCATTCTCCTTTTGCCTCTTAATTGATCTTTACGTTTTTTTAGACGACAGCATTGACATCTTCACTGATACCAACATCGCTAGCCGAGAGCGTGCATATGCGGAGCGCGGCGGTGACGTTGGCGAGGGGTGTGGGTGGGGGGTGTTTTTCGTTGGAGGATCAATGAGGTTTTGTGGCGAGACATGGGAAGATGGGTGAGGAGGGTGGTTGTGAAAGTGGCGCGGCGAGGTGGGATGGGCATGCAGGAAGTGTGAGGAGGACACGGTGGGGTGGCATGCGAGAGGTGAAGATAGAATAGATTTGAGATAGACGAGACGGCCGGAAACGAGAGGAGCCGGAAGGAGCCGCGAGGAGACACAGATGAGACGACACGAGGGACAGCATGTGTATTTATATGTAGATTGAGGGCTCAGATGGGGCTACCGTGGACGGGGTGACATGTGCGCGATATGTCTGTGACAATCCGAAAACACACATGATCGTTTGTCGGGATGGTGTTTGCATGGGGTATGTGAGTGCCACCGCCGCCCTCCCGTTAGGAGGGAAACCACTATATCAACCCACGCACCTAAAGACACCACCAACACCACATCCGAGTCCTCGTGCGGGGTTAATCCAGGAGACGTATCCTCTCCATCCCCACCTCAAACAATCGGATTAATATAAAACAACACAACAGGCGCATAATCCTTATCGCCAATCAACATCGCCAGATTCTCCTCAATGTGTGCGTCTTCCCCTGTCGTTGCTGCTGTCGAACTGTTTCCTGTATTACCCGCCAGTTTCGCAAAGTGCCGGTTGAGTAGATCCCGGAGCTTGCGTTCTTGTTTTGGTTTGGTCTGGAAAAAGGGAGCGTGAGGTTTTAAGGGACAGAACTTTTCGGGATGTGAGACGAGTACGGGGGACGAGAACGCACCTTGATAACCATAGGCTGGAAATTCGGCGGCAGGCCGTAACGGAGGATGGACTCGACAAACACTCGCAGGGCTTTGAGGTGGACGTGACATGCGTAGGCTTCGCCGAAGTTGGCTTTGCAGAGACGGAGGAGGGTTGTCTAGCGGTGGGGATAAAAAAGGGGTTAGTGATCGAGGGGTAAGTATGGGATGAGGAATAGAAACCTACCCATTGCTCGCGCTCCGTGGCACCCATCTCTGCCAGCTGTTTCTTTTCGGCTGCCATTGCTTGTACGTCCCATTTGAAATCGCGCACTGTGAATCTGCAAGCGAGACCAACACGAGGTGGATTAGAATTCGCTTATCTGTAGATCTAGATCTATAGAAACCCCCAAAACAGAAGAAACATACTTGTTCTCCCTCGCCTTATGTTGAAACTCCTCCACCATGCGTTGGAACAGCGTCACAGTGAACAAGGCGTATTCTTCGTCTTCCGCGATTTTCCTACGCAATCCGGACCGTCAGATCCAGCCTAGGTCTCATCCGCGGGGCGGCCCACTTACTGCGAGGACCGCGGAACGACCATCTGCGTCAGCGTCTCGTATTTCGCTATCCAGTCGTTGATTAATGCCCTAGATGGGAAAGTGCGCATGAGGTTACAGTTTCACACACGCTTCGCGCCTATTCGGCAAACTCACTTTGGTACAGCGACGATGAGCGTAGTCAGGAACTCAGAATCGTGTATCAGATGATCCTTTTTGACGATATCGTTCAGACTCCGCACAGCCAGATTTCCTCTACAAACGAAAATGTCAGACAAAATGTCAGACCCCTCCAAACTCTAAGAAACCCCGAGTCCAACACGTAACGTACGTCTGTTTCCTCTGTATTCCCTGCAACGCCGACTTCACAGCCTGATACGCGGTCATCTTGCTCTTCATCAACGCATCGATCTGGTTCACTTCCTACTCCCAACACACCAATCGTTAGTGGCACCGCTCTCGTGTTTCGCTCCCACCCTCTCTCTCGCATTTTGGTGGCTCATACTTGTAAGATCAGATCCGCTAGCTCTTTCAGACTCTTGTCCGTCCGGTACTTCATCCCGTTCCATTGGAAGCCGCGGAGGTATGCGTCGAGGCCCTCTATTCATTTTTCCCGCCAGCGGCGCGTTAGTATCCCCCTGGTGCGCTTCAGCACCCAAAGCCCCCATCTTTTTCCGAGGATTCCTCACTTTCATTGACGACTAAATTATTCTTCCACTGATCCACATCGTTGTTCAGCAGCGTCTTCATATTCTCTGCGATTTTGACCGCGATGCTTTCAGCGGCGAGGTCGTGTTTGGCGAGGTCATCGGAGAGCACGACTAATTGGTCGAGAGTTCCCACCTGAAGTTGCCATACAGAGCATATGCGAGCATCATGTGTGAGTAAGATAGCTTGACATTTGCATTGGCCGCAACCACATGATGCTATGACCACTTTACCTTGAATTCAGGCAAAGAAAATGGAAATATCTCAGCATAGTCGTTGTGCTTTGAGGCGATCTTGTCCTTGAGTTTGTTGACTGTGTCCTGCTTTGTGGGGTCGCCGGGTGCGGAGAGGAAGAGGTAGGGGGAGTGGAAGGCCATCCTTTGCTGTGTGTTTGTTCTGTGTGTTGGGAGGTGGTGGGAAGATGGGTGGGATGCAGGGTGGGATGGGAGGGATGCTCAAAGTGCGAAAGGAGACAACGTCACGGCCGGTGGGAAAACGCGCGACTTGAGGAAGCCCCTTTTACTTCAAGAGCTCCCCACTGCCACATATATGCAGCCGGATATACAGTACTGTACAGTACATGTTCCAGCCAGGCTATCATCGCACCGTCTCCATATTGACTGGGCTCGGTATAGTAGTACCAACGAGGATCATGCAGAAAGCAGTGTTTTGCTTGCAAAAAACGTCTCTAGATGTCATTTTTCGAACTATATAATGGGTTACGACTAAATGAACTCCAAATGTGCTGGTTTTGAATAAATTGGGAAGAAAAGCGCTCTTTCCCACACACTGCAATCTAAGGGCCACCGTAGCCGAGCCAAGCCCCGGAAGCCGATCCCCAAGGCGAGAGTATCGCAATCGAAAGTGCCCTCCATTCTTCCACGGAGATTCCAGGTCTCCCCATCTGGATGGACCGAACGAACCAACACAGAAGATCCCAAAAGGCTTTCCAAACGCAGGTGTCCGTTGTGCGTTCTCCACCTTGCCATCAACTTCTGAGGCTGGTGAAGGACTTGCGCTCTACAATCGATCGCTCCTTTGGCACTATGACGTCCATGCAAATCGCCGATGCTTCTTACTCTTCATCCTCTGCGACATTTCTCGCGACGTACTGTACGTTCCGGATGCGACCGTAATACCGCCGCAAGTGAGTTTCCGGTTCTAAAGTCGAAAAAGTGTTTCGCTGAAGATGTGGTGGTTCATCAAACTTGCTTTCTCACCTGTCCGCCGACATACGGCCCGTCAGTCAGCGGCTGACTTGAGCTACCTCCGACGTGCCGACCAGTGGACTGTGTGTGTATGACTGACTGAGAGTTGTCTTGGAAGTTTGGGGATGACGGAACTGGGAAGTTGTCAGGTCTAACGACCCTGAGAACATCCTCCTTTTAGGCCGTGGCAGATCATTTGAATTTAGGCAGGTTAAACATAGTGACCTCCTTTCTGCGCCTTCGCGTCTAAACAAACCCGGTCAACGCGTGGCATGGGCAAGATGGGCAAGACCCCTTTTGTCACCCACCGAACGCCCTCGAGGGGATAGCGCAATGGGCGTGTTCGTGGCCAGGTTCGTGGCCGCTGATAACCATCCTCCTCCTCCACTTTTTATTTCCCATTTTCCCACACCGCTCCTTCAAAACAAAAAGGTCTACCCGCCATAGCTTTGCACCTTCGAGGACCGCAATAGTGTTCCCTCCAACATACCTCACCACAAGTTGCGCAAAGTATTGCCCAGAAAATCACCTTCCTACACAAGTTTTCCTCCGCACAGCCGTACGGACACCGCCTACCCACGGAGAACGGCAGAGATACGAGGGTCGCGGGAAAGTACAGTGATAGGAGCGGACCTTTGGGTGCTGCTGCTTGCGATAGACTTAAACTATGAGCTCTGAGTCGCTCAACAGGTTAGTGCTATCAATTGGGGCTTGGCGGTCGGAATCTTGGGGCGTGGGAAAATATATCTCAGGTCGCAGCGCGCGGAATTATGCCCACATGGGAGTTATAGTGAATTGGCTTTTGCTCCACTAACCGGTCCACTTAACCTATGGCTTTTACAGGGGTGCTGATTTGACATACAGGCAATTGCAGGATGAGCTTCGCCAAAGAAAGGTAGGCCCATTCTGACGCGTTGCCCTTCTGAGAGATCTATCTCCTGGGTCAGATTCTCATCTGCACCCTTCCGAATAGTTACCAGCCACAGGCAAAAAGGAAGTTCTCATAGAGCGTCTAGAACTCCACGATGGCCTCTCCGCAAGCCAAATAAGCCTCTCCTCCGACGACAGCGACCCTCTAAAACAAAGCACCGACGACCTCATGTCCTCCTCCTTCACCAGTCAAAGCAGCCTGCACGACGCCACGGGCAAGCCACTCAGCATCCTCCACCGGCGGTCATCCAAAGAGTCTATAGAGCTGCGGAGAAAGGAGTTGGCGTTGCTGAGGAATGAGCTGTCGCTGTTCAGGTCGCCGGTGCGGTTTGGGAAATATTTGGGGCTTTACGTTGGAGGGAATGTGAGGACGGCGGTTGGGCAACTGTTTGCGCAGACGTGGGTTGTGGCGGTTTTGGCGGCTGCGGTTGCGGCGGGGGTCACGATATATCGGACGGATGGGCCGCATCAGGAGGTAGGTTCCAGCGAGCGAGAGCGACCTTTGGTGGCAATTGATGGTGAACGAGGGAGCGAGGGTGGCCGGCGCTGGCGACCGTGCTGCGAGCGGCAGCGAGACCATCGCGCCTCAAGCGCAATGACGCTTGATGACAAAGACTCGCTTGGCCAAGCCCTTTGTCCTGAAGGCGACACTTCCGGGCGCCGCACCGTCCTGCGTACTCAAGAATTGTCAACGCGTACGAAAAGGAACTGATCTTGTCTATTTGCGTTGACAGACTGTCAAGTTCCTGGAATCGAACGTGCTGTGGTACGGCTGGTGGCTACTACTAGGGATCGCGTCGTCGATCGGCCTGGGAACTGGACTGCACACGTTTGTCCTATTCCTCGGACCGCACATCGCCCACGTTACGTTGACAGCATACCAGTGCCAGACGACCGATTTCCCTATCCGTGGACCTGATAGGTAAGTTACTTCACGCCCGGAGTATATTCTCTGTGGGACTTTTCCTGAGCAGTTTATGCACGTATACAGCTTTTCATGCGAATCGCCAACCCAATCGAGAGGTGCATCGACCGCCGCTGCTATCACTGTATGGCAGATCGCGCGGAAAGTGAGATGGGAGAGTTTCTTTTGGGGCATGGGAACGTCAATTGGAGAGTTGCCACCGTACTTTGTCGCCCGTGCTGGTACGGATCACAAATCAGGGCCAAAACTTGCTTCTTTATACTAGACCAACTCTCGCTCACGTCCTTTTCCGTCCACAGCCGCAGAAGCAGGCCGCGACGACCAAGGCTTCGCCAGCATCGAAAGCGTGCTCAAGAAACCGCGCAGCCGGCGCACGATCGGCGAGAAGCTGCAGATTGGAATGTACAATATGATGCAATCGCTTGGGTTCTTTGGAATCTTGCTCTGCGCTTCGGTATGTCGCATCGTGATCTTGAGGGTTTTCGGAGGTGGGACTCATGGAATAGACACCGTTGAACAGATCCCAAACCCCCTTTTCGACCTCGCGGGAATCATCTGCGGCCACTTCGGCGTCCCGTTCATGACCTTCTTCGGCGCGACCTTCCTAGGAAAAGCCGTGTTCAAAACAAGCATACAGGTACCATCTGACCGCATCAATGCATTCACAACCCATCATTCGACTGAACCTTGTTACCACGCAGACATTATCGGTCATCCTGATCTTATCGGAGGACATCCTATCGTTTTTGCTCGCTGAGCTGAAACAGCACGTGCCGTACCTCCACAACCTGGTCCAGAAGTTCCTAGACGAGCAGGTGAAGCGGTTCAACAAGGAAGGGATCGAAAGTCCCCAGAACGTAAGTCACTTCTCTTAACTCACCAATCCCGTTACTCACTCACTTCATTTTCTCATCACAGTCCCCCGAAAAAGAGAACCTCCTCTCCTTCGCCTGGAACGGCATCCTAGCGGCCATGATCGGGTACTTTGTCGTCTCGCTACTGGACTCGCTTGCCGTCGCGCAGCTGAAGAAGGAGCAGGAGGCTGAGCTTGTTGCGATGCGGAGGGAATTGGAGGGGGTTGTCGGGGGGAGGGTTAGGGCCCGGGAGGAGCAGGAGAAGAGGACAGGGGATGGGACTGAGGTGGGGAGTGGGTAGAGATGTGAAGGGTGTTGATGAGAGGTGTTGATATGGGATCGGAGATGGATTCGGAGGGGGTGGCGCGACCGGCAAGCCGAAGGGATGAGGCCGGGTATGCATTGACGAGGACACGCGCCCCCGACGCCACACTTGCTTCCGCATCACGATAGCACCACCGCCACTTCCACCATCATTTGGGGAGCATAGTAAAGACGAGGCGAGATGCAATACTCTCTCATCGTGCATCGTGCCTGGCGGGACACCTCTACGATGCTACAACAAAGCAGTCCCGAGCAGCGCAGGGCCGGTCAGGACGACCCCAGGCTCGCCCGATTCCACTCCCGCTCCCCACACCCATGCAGACGGTCATGAAACCAAGTATTTCCACCCACCCTCTGTTGTATGAGGTTCGTTGGTTATGGGTTGGCGGGTCGGGTGGAGGTTGGAGGGCGGAAAGAGACGTACATATAACTGACCCCAGGGGTTTAATAGAGTTTATTGGAAATTTGTGGACTTTTGCGATATGAAGCCTTTGAAAACCATGCTTTACCACACCACAGATTTGGCAGCCTTCCACATGCACACACATACACCCACACACACACACACAGAAGTGTATATAGTTGGAAGCCTTCTGTTTCATTAAAATCGCCTCGTTAAGCAAACAAGGCCCCAAAACTCTCTCACGCTAGAAAGTGTACACACGGCTGGCTCGAAGGGAAGTGTAAATGGGGGTAGGGGGTGGGCAGGGTGAAGGAAAAGAGGGTTTTTCTTTCTATCCGGATTTGAACAGCAGAATTGCGATTTGGCCGAGGTAGAAGTATATAAAGTGCTGATAGGATTCACACAACGGAGAAAGGTCAGCATATGCCCGCACCATCCACCTGCGTCACCACCGCCCCAGCGCATCGCCCACCCACCCACCTTAGTCTCATGCGTAACATAACTCCCAAAGTTCCTCCCGACGATCGCATGCCAAGTCGGGTTATACTTCTTGTCAAACTCGCGCTTGATGAACGCGGCGATGTCCTTTTCGATGTTGTACTTTTCCATGGCCTGCGTCGCGCAGTCGACGGCGTCTTGCTGCATTTCTTCGGACATGTCGGCGTTTTTTATCACGGCTTTGCGGTCGGACATCGTGGGTTAGGTTGGGGGGGGATGGCGATGGGAGAGAGGTGTGGGTGGGGGGTTTGAGAAGCCTACGTGGGAAGAGTGGGATGTGAGAGGGGTGGTTTTGACGCGTTGATGTGCGGGGAGATGCTGCTCCATGTGAGACAGGAAACCTCCACCTGCGCGAGCGATGCCTTTCCTCCTTCGTCGTTGAGATGAGGATCCTGATACCCGTTCCCTTTCCAATCCCATCCCAATTCAATCCTATGCGAGTCCTGCGATGCCCCTTCCCGTTGCGCGCTAATAACCCCGCCGAGAACCACGCGTCGCGTATGTTCGAATCCCTCTCTCCACATCACCGCTCTCCCCACCACGCCCTAAATCTTCTCGCGACCAAAGACACCTGCATACCTGGCAGCGGAATGGAAATACGGTAGGCTTTCGTGGCTGTTGCTCGTTGAGAGTGTTGTGGTACGAGAGAGCGGATATGTTTGTGTTGTTTCTGCGCACGCTCAACTCCCAACGCAGCTCTTTCTCGGCTTTCTTCTCGTCATCTTTGACGCGTTCTGAAAGGCCGGAAATAAATGGTGTGCGGGCGGTCACGTGGACGTAGGAGAGTCTATCAGCAGTCATCATGACTGAGCGCATATCGATTACCCGGAAGAACCCGGGTGGCGTGGGCGTGGCGCAGGGCCAATTGCATGGACCGAAGGAGGCGCAAAAGGCGTGTAATAATTTGCGTTGCCGTTTTCGTTGCTTTGCTCGTGCTTTCTGCCTTTTTGATTAGGGTCGCTAAGTCAATCGCGCATTTCTCTGTGCCCGTTGTTTTGGTGGGCCTTGACCCAAACAACATACCCGAGGGACTCCGATGGAAACCGAATTTTTTTCACAAACGCCCCCTCTGCGAGACCCCAACAAATATCAACCCGCACCCACTTCGCCCGTCCCTCTCCTTGCTCTCTCCCTTTCCAACCTCATCCTTCGTCAGATTCAACCCAAATCAGACAACCAGCACATCCTTCACAATGGCTGACAAGAAGAACAACCCTTCGTCCTTCGCCGTCGACTTCCTCATGGGAGGCGTCTCCGCCGCCGTCTCCAAGACGGCTGCTGCCCCCATCGAGCGTGTGAAGCTGCTCATCCAGGTATGTCTTTCTTTTCCCCACGGCTGGGCTCAGTCGATGCGGTGTCCCACGATCCCTTTTGATGGGGTTTCGGAGTGGCTGGAGGGTCTCAGGGAGACTCCTACTACCTGTTCTGGGCCGTGTTGGTCGTTGGTGTCCACGATCGTCGCCTCATCTTCCCAGATGCGGTTTTCCCCATCGGATTCCCACTCCGACGAACAAACTCACTTACTTCTTCTTTTTCTTTCCTTTCTCTCCCTTTTACTATCACAAACAGAACCAGGATGAGATGATCAAGCAGGGTCGTCTTTCCAGCCCCTACAAGGGTATCGGTGACTGCTTCAGCCGTGTCATCAAGGAAGAGGGTGCCGGCCAACTGTGGCGTGGAAACATGGCCAACGTCATCCGTTACTTCCCTACCCAGGCCTTGAACTTTGCCTTCAAGGACTACTTCAAGAGGATGTTCGGTTACAAGAAGGAGAAGGATGGATACTGGAAGTGGTTCGCCGGTAACTTGGCCTCTGGAGGTATGGCCGGTGCCTCCTCCCTGGCTTTCGTCTACTCTCTCGACTACGCCCGTACCCGTCTCGCCAACGACAACAAGTCCGCTGGCAAGGGTGGAGAGCGTCAGTTCAACGGTCTCATTGACGTCTACAAGAAGACCCTCGCCACTGACGGTATCGCTGGTCTCTACCGTGGTTTCGTCATCTCTTGCGTTGGTATTGTCGTCTACCGTGGTCTGTACTTCGGTCTTTACGACTCTCTCAAGCCTGTTGTAAGTATCTTGATTTTGATTTCCAGTCCTTTTTTATTACCGGATTCGTTTCCTTCGCTTTTGAGAATGATGATCAATTACTTATCATCTTCTTCTACCCTCCTCGCGATATCACAGGTCCTCACCGGCAACTTGGCCAACAACTTCGGTGCTTCCTTCCTCCTTGGTTGGGGTATCACCATCGGTGCCGGTTTGGCCTCTTACCCCATCGACACCGTTCGTCGTCGTATGATGATGACCTCTGGTGCGGCCGTCAAGTACCGCAGCTCCGCTCACGCCTTCACCGAGATTGTCAAGGCCGAGGGTACCAAGTCTCTCTTCAAGGGTGCTGGTGCCAACATTCTCCGTGCTGTTGCTGGTGCTGGTGTGTTGTCTGGTTACGACGCCCTCCAGGTGTTGTTGTTCGGAAAGGCTTTCGTAAGTATTCATATCGTCTGTGATTTCATACATATCCGCAAAACAAGCATTTTGACTTTCTTCCTCTTTTCATCTCTAATAGTCTGGCGGTTCCGGATAAGCGCTCAGCTTTCTCAAGCAAATACCACTCTCCATCCACATTTACCACAACCACCACAACAGATATCAGCATTGGGCTGTTTAACTAGATTAGCCTCTTGTCCGGGACACGAAACAATTGTACAGCCCCGGAATAATAAATGTTGTCTTGGTCTTGCATTCCTCCAATTCAATCCGCAGATGCCTCACTTTGAAAATAGCTGCGCTGTTGAGAGATTGCGGTGTGGTTCTTCTTTTCGTATTTGTGTTAAAGATCCGCTTGTGGAAGGTGTTTTTTGCGCATCCTGGAACGCAAACGAAGCCACTTGGTGAGTCACGACGTCAAAAAGGGTTCGCTCTCGCATGAACTCTTCAACTTGAACAACCAACCCCAATGTCAACCACAACAGAAGGAGCTACAGCGCAGGCTCCAACGCCCGAGCCCACTCCCGCCCTCGCTCACATTCCGCCAGCACCCACACCCGTCTCCGACGAACCCACCGCCTCCTCAGACCCACCACCAGCACAATCCGCCGAAGAATACATATCCAAAAAAGCCCGCAAACGAGCCCTCCGCGAACAAAAATGGGAGGCCGGAAAGAAACAGCGGTTGGAGCAACGCCAGGAGAAGCGGAAGGAGCTCAAAGCTGTTAAGAAAGAGAAGATTCAGAAGGGTATGCCTTTGCCATTCCCATTTTGCACGTGTTGAGTGTGCGTACGGGGGAATTGAACTGGGGTTTCTCTGGGGTAGGGTTATTCGTCCCGAAACCGCGGTGGAGGCCTGACCAGCAGCCGTCAACGATGGGGGTTGTGATTGATTTGGATTTTGAGGATAAGATGATTCAGAAGGTATGTCTCAAAGCCGGAACCCGTTGAAGCTCCGACCGTCGAACATACACTCACCTCCCGCCGGGGGGGATACAGGAAATAAAATCAACAGCCCAGCAAGTCATCCAATGCTACTCCACCAACAAATCCGCCCTCCACCCAGTCTCACTCACTCTCACCTCCTACAAGGGCGCCATCAAGGACAATCTCACCCACATGTCGCCCGATCACACGCGCTGGCAGACGAGTAAATGCCCGATGAAGATGCTCGAGGATGGGGTGGAGAGTTTGGTGGATGGAGGGAGATTGGTGTATTTGAGCGCGGATGCGGGCGAGACGGTGGAGGAGTTGGATGAAGGGAAGGTTTATGTGATTGGGGGGTTGGTGGATAAGAATCGGCATAAGGTGGGTGTCCGTCCGAGCGGAGTAAGCCAGGAGCGAAGCGGGTTTGGTGCGTTCTAGGAGACCGGGCGTTAGGGAGTTCGACTGGAGCGAACTCCTGCATGAGCGAAAACGAGCCACATTGCGCCGGAGGCGGCAAAACTCCCCTCATTGCAGCTTTTAGCGAGCACCAGCTAGTTTGCAGTTTTCGCGAGCGAAGCGAGCAGCTCCGCCTATCAACCAACACTTAGCGAGCACGTCCCGGCCACCGAGCGACCGACCATTTGCTGCCACTCGTCATCACCCACTCAAATTCCCTCTTTTTTCTTTCGATGTAGGGACTCTGCCAAACAAAAGCAACGCAACTAGGCATCCCCACGGCGCGTCTCCCTCTGGGGGACTACCTTGACATGCAGACGCGGAAGGTTCTGACTATCAACCACGGTAATTCAACCCTGGGTTATGGCAGTTGCCCCGTTTGCAGATACTGATATGTGAAATTCGCAGTATTTGAGATTATGCTAAAGTATCTTGAATTGAAAGATTGGCAACAGGCGTTTTTGGCGGTGCTGCCGCAGAGGAAGGGGGTTAAGGCGAAAGGGGCGGATGGGGAGGGGGAGAGTGTGGGTGATGGGGATGGGGATGGGGATGATATTGTGGAGGCGGATGACGCTGTAGAAGGGGAAGAGGTTGACAATGCGGGTGGGGATGGGGATGCCGCGGAGGAGGCGGATGATGCCGATGAGGGTCAGGCCGAGTGAACGTTCAGACAAAGCCCCCCACTTCCCCGTAAGAGCGTAGTAGTAGAGCGGAGTTTAACTCGTATTCATTCTAGATAGGCTTTCATGTGCAGAAATAGAAGTGATGCCAGCAATACGCCCAAAAAGCTTCGGAATACCTCTCTCTATATACATCTGACAGGTTGATTGTGCCACTTCCTGCCCATCTATGGCTCCGCGCCAACCAGGGTCACCTCACCCATTCCCGCTCCCACGCCCGCTCCCCCATCCCTCTCCTTCACTCCCACTTCCATTCCAACCTCCTCATCCGCGTTCGGTCTCAGTGGCTTGGGCCCCTCCCTCCCCAACCACACCTCCATCTCCCCCACAGTAACCGGCAACCCCCTCCTCGCCCCGCCCCTATACAGCCTTCCAATCTCCCCGGCGATATTCCTCAGATCCTCCTCCTCGGCATCAAACACCTCCCACCATGGCGGATTCGTCGGGAGCGGTATACGGTGTTTGCGCGCGGCGAGATGGATGGCGGCGCATGCGAGGGTGGAGGGTTGGTAGAGAGTGTATATGTTTGTTCGGAGGCTGTTGGGAGGAGTCATGATTAGATGTGGGGGTTATGGGAAGGGGAAGGGGGATTAGGACATTTTTACGCACCCGTCGTTAAGGTAATTCCACGCAGTCTGCGCCAACTGCTCATTCTCAGCCACATCCAGACTCCGCAAATAATTGATCATGAACCCGTGCGGTTGCTGCACCTGGACGTTGAAGCCGAGCATGCAGAGGATGCGCATTTCGCCAGAGAGGAGGCCTTCTTTGAAGTCGTTGTATTGCTGAAATCAGAAATCGTCCATCAAACCTCGAATACGGGAATGGATGAGAAGGATGTGAGTGGACTTACCAACCCGAGATACCCTTCAACCCTCGGCTCAACCCCCCGATACCGATCAAACAGCCAGCTGAACACGTTGATGATATCTCGTATCCGACGCGGGGTTTCTTCGACTTTTGACGCGAGGAACATGGCGCCCATGGCTATATCCTGAAACCCCAATATCCCATCAATATCGCCTGCGAATGTTGCGATTTGAAAGGGGATCACTGACTACACATACCCGTACAGCAGCAACCCGCATACTCGCAACATAATAATACCGTTGAAAAAGCACTTGGGCAGTCGCCATGGATACCTGCGGCCTGCGTGCGATGAGTCCCCGTGATCTTCTACACCCGTATCTCCAACCCGACGCAGAAACGATCGTGATGAATACCTACAATCGGAGCAATATCCCAGCGCTCTGGATGAGTTCGCAGCCTAGGACCCTCAATTCATATTCTAGCTCTGAATACCCAAAAAAAAAAAGTGGATGAGTCTTCTCTATCGTCAATGGGAGTGGGACCGATATGGACCACTACGCACCCTTAGGGATCCCGTCATCCATCGAGGGCGTAGTCTGCAACTGCTCGACTGTTAATACTGAGTTTTGCAGGGAGAGCTTGCTTGGGTCGGCGGGACCGCTTATGACGGCCATGGTTGCCAAAGGTCTGCAAGTTTTCCGTTTTCGAGGTGAGTTCCTTTGGATGTGACCTGAGGTGGTTATGGTTGTGCGAAGGTTTCTTTTGGCGCAGGGATTGTGTGCTGCCGAGGTGAGGACGCTGAGCTGTCATGGGAAGGAGTGGGCGCTGGCGACTAGCCGGTGGGAGGTGGGGATGAGTGGGGATGGTTGCAAGTGCCCCCACGAAGTTCCAACGTCGAAATTTCGAAAAGCTTTCGGCCCCTTCGCCAGCTTTTCGTCTCAATTCTCTCAGTTTGACATTCCCCACTGCATTCACCCGAACGAACTAGACGAACATCCCCGTCGAGTCGGAGTCCTGCCTCCACCACTTCCTCCGAACCCCGTCACAAAGACTTCCGAGACAGGTAGGGATCAGGTACTGTTCAAGTAGAATCGTCTTGGTGAGGGAAGCCGTCACTAACAGTAAGATGTTCGCACGCTACGAAGGACATCCCCTTCATCACTCTCAGAGAAACCTCACAACTCAACCCCATACACACACCCAAAATGTCATCAATATCAGGCATAAAAGCCAGCGCCGACGGCGACCGGGTCATCCCGGCCAGCCGGCGGCCCGACGGCTCCGTGCGCAAAGAACGCAAAGTCCGGGAAGGCTACGTCCCGCAAGAGGACGTCAACCGATACACGAATGCCAAAGTGGAGGCGACGCGGGTGCCTGCGGGGTATGTGGCTGGGCTTGGCGTGCCTTCCTCCGCCGCAGCGGGTGCGAATCCGGGGGCGGATAGCAGTTTGAGTAAGAGCGCGAGGAAGAATGCGAAACGGAGGGCGAAGAAGAGTGGCGGGGAGGACGGGGAGGAGAAGGAGGAGCCCTTGCCACCGACGCCTGCCAACCCTGCTGCGAAATCAGCACCGACACCCATATCAACATCCCAGCCCACTGCCCCCGCCCCCGCCGCGGATACGGAAAAGCGGATCAAAAACCTGCGGAAAAAATTGCGTCAGATCCAAGATCTGGAAACGAAAGTCGCTGGAGGAGACCCTGCGGATTTGAACGCCGAGCAGAAGGAGAAACTGGCGTCGAAGAAGGGTGTACAGGAGGAGATAGCTGGCCTGGAGAAGCAATTAGCGAAAATCACATTATAGATCAGGTTTTATCATGTACGTACATTTAGAATTCTTTGGAACCCCGACGCTGGGTTCGCGGCGAATTGTAGTTACAGAAATGTTTCGGGGTTTGCGTGGGTATCAGTCCTTTGGAACTTGGAAGTGGCATCATAGAGGGTGAGAACCACGCTGAGAATCAACCATATATTGCTATCTAGCCGTCATCTACATCTGTCTACTCCTGTCTCTTGTTCTCGTCGAGGAGCTCTGGTTATCCTGGACGGATTCGGTCAGAAACGCGGCACCTTGTGCTGTGCATCAACTCTGGAGAAGAACAAGGCCCATCGGTTCCGTTTTCATCAGGCGGGAGTGGGGTCGACACACACGGCGTGTATTCAGCTCCACGACCTAAAACCCGTATTTCGTATTCAAGGCTTTGCGCAAACGAGGCCCGCGTTCGATACTGCCATCCAAGCCTCCACTGCGTTTACATGCTAAGCCTACAGGCAGTACATTCCGCTGATCTCTCAAAAGACCATCGTCTATACGCCGCCAAATGAGGTGAGTAACGGTCACAAACGGACTGGGTGAACCGCGATCGTGAAGCAGACTGGGCAAAGCGCGAGGTATCCTGCTGGCAACCCGTATGTGTTTGACCGCCCTTTGTCCTCCGACCCTGCGAAGAAGGGTGGAGGCTCGCTTGCGCTGAATAGCAGCTTGGATGCCCGCCCACCAATGACGCCTCGTCAGGAACCCAACGCTGCCGTGAGAGCACGTCTAGTTCCTACCCTCACGAGGGGCCGAGGGCTCCAAACGCAGCCGATCCTGCCCATCCCATCCGTACAGGTATTCATCATCGTCAAGATTGCTCGACCAATCCTCAAACCGTCGCTTTGTGGGGGGCGCGCGGTTATCGGAAGAGCGTTTTTGATTTCGCGTGTGGGGGGGCAATCATCCCAACGGTCGTCGCACCGTCTGAGCAAATTCCGAGCGCGGAGGGTATTCGTCCTCCCCGTCGTGGTCTGCGGCTGCATCATGCGCCCGTTTCTGATTTGAGGGCGGGTGGGGTTTGATGTCACGCTGGTTACTCGCCGCAGGTGCATGGAACGGCTGGTCCCGTTCGTCGTAGCGTTTCAGTGCATCCGCAGGTGGACTGTGCGCCGCGTCCCGGGTGTCGTACCGTTTGACTGAGTGTGTTGGCGGCCGGGAGGTGTCGTCATCATAGCGTTTCGACTTTGTCGGCGGCGGTTGATCATCATCGTCGAAGTCATCCATCGGCCGTCCTCTCCCCTCCTCTACATCCACATCTACAGCCCCCCGCCCGCCCACCTGCGGTCCATGCCGCTCATAAAAACTCGGCCTGCCCCACGATGGCCCTCCCCCACCCGACACGAACCCCTCCTCGTCATCCCTATAATCCCTCGGCGGCCGCACCCTATACTCACCCTCCACATCCCCCACATCCGTCCTTCCCCCAGTCCTCTTCCCTGCCTCAGACTTCTTCCTCATCCCCCCCTTCAGTTTCTGATTGAACCGTTTATCCTTGGTGGGAGCGAAGGGGTCGATGCTGTTGGAGGGGTTGCGGAGGAGGGCGGTGCCGAGGGCTTCGATGTGGGAGCGGTGGGCGAGCTCATTGTTCGTAAATCCGAGGAGGGGGGTTAGTGGGGATTCGGTGTGGGTGCGAGAATGAGTCGGGGAACTGAGGTGGGGTTGGAGACGGGTCAAAGCGTATTGGAAGAGTTCGACCATGTCGGCGGGGCGGGTGAAGGCCTTTGCGACGTTGTTGGATGCGTTGACGGGGTCGATGATGGACAGCGTTCCCTGTCGCGAGACGTTGTCCACGTTGAAGTCGACGGTGGGGACGTGGATGGGCTCCTGGGTTGTATCACCCGTGTAGTGTTGGAGGAATCTGATGAAGATGGGCCCGATATCCGTTACAGAAGAGTCTCCAGCGGGCTGGGTTTCGAAGATATGTTTATCGTACGCCTGCACGAACGCATTGGCCCAGCACGTTGTCGCGAACCCGCCCAGGCCGCCGGTCGCGGGGTTATCCAGTTCCTGCTGGTTGAGCATGCGTTTAAGCAAGAACGTGAGGCGCTTGACGCGGTCGTCTTTTATCATCTCCTTGACGCAGTCGATGTAGCGAAGCACGTCCGGCAAGCTTTCTTCGGTAGTCGTGGAGGAGATATCCACCATGAGATTGGTTGATGTATGGCGGAGTTTGATGATGGGGACTTTTGCGTGGATGAAGACGACGTCGGCTGAGAGGGAGATCAGTTTGTTCTGGCGCAACTTCACGCGGAAGGCTTGGAGGAGCATCGTGGCGAGATCCCGCGGTTTCTTGGCCAGTTTCTTCTGGTACCGCGGTTTCAGTTTCATCTCATAGCCCAGCAGGATCAGATCCAGGTCCGAATTTGGCAGATTCAGCCCCGTCGCCGAACTGCCAAACATGGCTATCCGCGCACCTTTGTCAAGGTACTGCCGCGCGAGCTTCTCGTAGGCTTCGAGGATGGCGGTGCGGACGGCGATCTCGGTGGAGCGTTGTTCGACCCAGGTGGCGAAATCGGCGATTTCGAGCGAGAGGAGGGACAAGGGGGTGCGGTTTGTTGAGTAGCCTTCTAGCGGGACCCAGGGGCGGTTTGGAGGGACTTGTTTGAGCCTTAGGACGGCGGGGGTGGGGTTGAATCGGGAGGGTTTGCTCGGGACTTTTTTGACGGCGGTGCGGGCTTCTCTTATGCTGTTTTCCGGTGGCCGGTCATCTTTCGATTTTTTCGGAGGTTCATAAAAGCTTTTCCTTTCAGACGCACGAACAGCGGAAGTGTTGGAAAACTCTTTGCGATGCTGTGGCCTCCTCGCCGCGGGGAATTGACCCACTCTGCTGGCCGCTGCAACCAAGGGCAGTCGATTCGCTGGAAACGAACAGCGCCCGAACACCGCTGCCCTCACCAGCATGTTTCAAGGACGCTCACAAGACTTTGCAATGAAGATATTGACCCTGATAAGCGCCTTCACACCCGCCACGTCCAGATACTTGGGAGTCAGAATGCCGGACACCGCAGTCTTTTGAAACGAGCTCTTTTCACCCGGAACAGACAGAGGGGCTCGAACGGGTGTCGCCCGACCGCAGTGTTGTTGTGAGCGAACGAGGTGCGTGTTGGGGAGCCACTTCAAAGCAGAAAAGGAGCAGAAAAGGAGAGTTCTCTCCGCCACAACGCGCCCGTCAATCCGGCGGGACTTGCTGCACTGACAGCATGTGCGCCCACGCTCGGAAAGGCATTGGACCAGGCAGACCCCTCCATCCACCAGCGTACTACGTGAAAGCAATCAAGAATCCTCCATCTCCGCTCCCCTTCCTTCCAAACTCGCCCATCAAAAGTCGTAGTCCCCATCTCATAGCCACCATGTCCGACGAAGACACGCCGCACCACGCCAACGCCGACGAGCCTCTCCCCGACACCCCGCTCACCGCCGGCCTCATCCAGCCGTCCATCTCGCTCCTCGCGCGCACGGGCGATGGCCTCTCGCACGCCTACACGCGGCTCTCGCTCCCCTCGCACTCCCTCACCGACATCGCGATCCTCAAGAACTACACCAACCTCCGCTACGTCGATCTGTCGATGAATGCCATCGCCGATCTGTCCCCGCTGGCGAACTTGGAGTTTTTGCTGAGTCTGGATGCGCATGGGAATAGGGTCGAGGTGGTCGGGAGGGAGCTGGGCGGGCGGAAGTGGTTGCAGTGGGTGGATCTGAGGAACAATGGGATTAGGAACTGGGAGGCGGGCGATTGGCCTATGTGTGGGTGGTTGACTCTTGATGGTAGGTGGCTGGCGAGTGCGGGACAAAGTGAGCTCACCTTAGAATTCAGAACGAAGGGGGCAATACTCCCCTTTACCCGCGGGACTAAGCGAGCACCCGGCGAGGGGGTCAAAAAGTTGGCGAAGGGAAGCGAGCAGCCCCCGAACCACTCGCTGGCGCTCGACCCCTCTTTGCATTCCTCTCATCCCCCTCGCTCGCCCCCAACTCACACCTCCCCTCCCCCCCCAGACAACGCCCTGACAACCCTCTCCCTCCCGACCTTCCCCTCGCTCCTCCACCTCTCCCTCACCCGCAACACCCTCGAGCGCCTGCACCCGCTCGGCGCGCCCAAGCTGCAGAAACTGTACCTCTCGCACAACCCCCTGGGCGCGGTAGCGGGCGTGGATCTGGACGACAAGCCGGCGCTGCAGGTGCTGCATCTGCGCGAGTGTGGGTTGGGCAGCCTGGAGGGGATCGGCGGGAGGGAAGGGGCGGGGTTGGACGGGCTGGTTTATTTGAATTTACGGTGGGTGGGAGCCGCGTTTTTTGGGGTCCACATGCCGCATTTTGTGTCGGAAAGGGGTTGCTGATTGTCGGGGGCGTGTAGGGGAAACAATCTGAGCTCGACGGCCGAGATCGACCGGCTGGCGCATATGCACAGCTTGCGGATCCTTGTTCTCACAGGTCCGTAGCCCCATCCTACCCGTTTGTCCTCGCCGTCTACCCCGCCGCCACTCACCCCCATCCCCCGCAGACAACCCGCTAACATCCCACCCGACCTACCGCCTGGAGATCCTCGCGCGGCTGCCGAAGCTCGAGCGGCTGGACAAGGAGCCGATCGGCGACGACGAGCGGGAGGAGGCGGGGGCGTACAAGATCCAGATGGTTGCCAAGCGGGGTGGGGAGGACGGGGAGGGTGGAGAGGAGGCCGAGGCGGACGCGGAGGGGGAGAGTGATGGGCAGGTGAGGGTCCCGGGAGCGAGGGCGGGCATGGTGTTTTGTGATACTTATGTGGTTTTGTGGTGGTTTAGGGTGAGGAACCGCAGGATGATGATTGAGCGGATGGGCTGTTCTCACGCTGTACATGTACGGCACTCCGCGGTCCCGAACGGGATCTCGGAGAGTCCGCGTGCGATTTTGGGATGTGCACTGCAGAGTATAGACTACGCTACACGACATTCTCAGCGGGGAACGGGGATCCCATCACAGCTCGCGATATACCCACTAGTGCTTTCGTTTCTGTCTCGGTATCATGTCGAAGGGGAGGGAAATAGACGCTTCAACCCGCTTCATAGCAATGGGGAACTAAAAAGCCCGTATACATTTAAATCCCCATAAAAGTGGTTCCAGAACCGCCCTCTGCACCCCTCATCAACACCCCTCAACCCTCCCCTCCCACCTTCCCTCCATAACGCCGCCCTCACTCCTCACCTCCACACTCCGAAACTCCACCTCCACCCGCCACATCCCCGGGTGCACCGTCCCCACAAACAGATCATCCAACTCCCGGACCCGTCGCCACGCCTCAGTGGTCCCATTCCCAATCTGTCCTGCTCCCCCCACGGCCTGCCGCGCCAGCCGCGACGGCGCGGGGCGCGTATACCACCGCACGGCGAACCGCTCCACGTCGCGGCCCCGATCGCCGCCGGGCCGGAACTGCGCGAGGGGGAGCGGCGTGACGGTGATGAGCGGCGCGCCGGGGCCGGGACAGGTGGTTGTGATGGTGTCGATGAGGTGCAGGCGGGAGAGGAGGGAGGTCCATAGGCCTTCTTTGCAGACTGGGGGAGGGAGAGGTTAGCACCGGGTGGGGGGGTAGGCGGGGGGGAGGGGGGTAGCGTACCGGAGCAGAAAATGGGCAGGCCCATGTTGCGCATCAGACAGCCTTCGTTGGTTGGGCGGTAGGTTTTTGTTCCCGATTGCGAGATCGTCGGGTATGCTGAGATGTAACTGTTGTCCATATCTATCAAACCCCGATGAATCAGTTCATTTGACATTTCCATTCGATGAGGGGGGAATGGGGAGGGGGCTCGGACTTACGGAAGGCGGGCTCGGCGGCGTACTCGATCAGCTGCACCGAGCACAGCTGCCGGATCGGCGCCCCGGGCGGCGCAGGGATGCCGAGCGCGAACGTCAGGGTATGGTCGCCCTTCTCAAACCCCTTCTCGCCCGTCCACTAAAAAAAACACACACACAACCCATCAGTTCCCCATCCCTCCTTCATTTCGCGTTGCTCGTGCCCCACTGAATCGGCCCTTACGTCGAAGAACGACCGATCGAGATGCCCGACCCCGCGCCACTCCAGCCCCACGCCGTCGACGGAGACCCGCATCGCGTCGTCGACGTCCACCCCCGACGCGCTGATCTTGAGCCCCCACCGCGCGTACGTGCCGTCCGAGGAAAAGTTGAGGGTGTACGCCCCGTGGGACAGGTCGTACCACGCATAACTATCAAAGAAATCGGGGGGGGGGGGGGGGGGGGGGGATGAAGATGTGAGGAGACACACCCCCGGGATCGGTGATGGAGATATACATATGTGTGTGCAACGTACTCCTGGACACGGACGACGGATTTCTGCTCGGCGATGTTGTCCGGGTCGGTGAACCAGTGGGCCCATTTGAGCTCCGACAAGGGTCTGTCGGCGGGTTCGGAGTTGACGCCCGAATACACCTGGCCTCCATCGTATCTAGAATCAAACGCGCGAGTCAGTTCCCATCGCTTCCCCCTCCCCCCGCTGACTGTGAGAAAATGGGAAAAACACCTACTCCTCACCAACCTCGACCAGATTATGCCCCATCTCGTGCCGTAGCACCACGGTCCCGGATATGTTCGAGCGCGTGGAGATCACGAATTCCCCGCCGAGGCCGCCGTAGTAGTCGTCGTTGGCGATCAGGCTCGGGTAGTCGCATGCGGCGGGGCCTGTCAACGTGCACGCCTTGCGCGCCTCATTCGGTTTCGAACTACGATAAAGGAACGAATGTTGAGATGTATATCTGATGACTCCTTCCGGGGAAGAGGATATGGAGGGGAGAGACAAGACGAACCAGTAGATGCCCCGCAGTTCCGTCCCGTCGCGATAGAGGCCGAACGGGGTATCCTTCGGTTTGCCGCCGACGCCGATCCCGCTGTCGTTGGAGGGTGCAAAGACGGCCCAGATGTTGAAGAGCGGGAGGACGGAGGCGAAGGTTTGCGCGCCCCACATGTCGGAGGTGAGCCGGCGGATGTCGGATAGGAATTTGGGTTTTTCGGAGGGAGTGTACCCGTCGCCCTGGGATGGGTATGATCGAAGGGGGATGAGCGAAGCGGATGGATGCATGGTTGGTTGATTGGTTGGTTGAACGATTACCCCTGCTCGCCCCCGCTCGCGCCATCCTCAGCCTCGCCATCCTCCGCACGCTCGCCCAACTCACCATGAAAACGACATCGATCCGATTCTCCGACGGCCCATTCTTGATAATCTCAAACACCTCCATCCCCTCCGTATCCGCATCCTCCCTCCTCGCCTTCGCCTTCGCCCTTGCCTTCGCCCCGTCATGCGCATCATTCACAATCCCACCCTTACAAACCCGCGTAACAACCTCCCAAGCCTCCTCCTCGGTGGGCCTCACCACCTCCACCACGTCCTCCCCGGTCCTCTCGTCATGACGATCCACATGGCCAGCTACAGCAACTTCACGGACGGCAGCGCGGCGGCGTATCCCATTTGTGGTTGAGAGCGGCTGTGAGGGGCGTGAGGATAGGATGGTGCATTTGTGGGAGTGGGTGTGTTGTGTGAAGTGGATGGCGTGGTGGAGGGGGGGTGTGAAGAGGATTTGTTGTTGGTGTTGGGGAGGAAAGTGGGTGGGGCTTGCGAAGGTTGGTTGGCTATGGGAGTTGAGGACGGGTGGTGAGGAGGAGGTTGTAAGTATATATCAGAGCCATTTGGGAATTTTTGTTTCGCACGTACGCAGTGAGGACGGCGAGTAGGGAGAGATGTATGAGAGATGTTGTGTGCATTTTTTTTTTGGTTGTACTATCGGAAGAGGGTAGTAGGTCTTTTTGCCTTACGCCGATGGAATGGATAGGGAGGAGGAGGACGCCAGGCCCTTTTATACTAAGCAGTGACGTTTGAAGAAGCGAGCGAGTGGACAAGACGGAAGTTGATCGGGGGAGTGCATTTGAGCGCGTCTGTGTTCTGACGGGACGGGGGCGAGAGGAAGGAGAGAAAGCGACAGCGCGTGTGGATCAAATGTCACGTGAGCCCTCTCCCTCTCTCTCTGATGGCCTCTCTGAGAGATGAAGAAGATGAGAATGGCCGCTTCCGCTGCCTCGCGTCTCTCTCTTCTCTCTCTCTCTCTCTGTCGCTGTCATATGCAACTGGCCATCACGAGGGTCCTCCCTCTCCTTCTCTCTCTCTCACCCTCTCTCTCACGCGTTCAACCCGCCCCTTTGCTCTCTCTCAAGCCCTTTGTTCCCACGTATAAAAAACACTCTGCGGACCCCACACCCCCTCCCGCTTGTACAGTTGATTACTGGCATGAGACTGCCTTTTCCTTCGCTCTCTACTCTACCTCCTACTCTCGCAAAACCCCCCCGCTACTTTCCCACCCTCATATCTCACACATCCACCACAACCACCCCATACTACCGCCCGCTCTCACGCTCTCTCTCTCACCCCTCTCAACCACACCACCCACAAGCCAACCACTCCACAACCCCACCACCTCCCTCCTCCAAAATGTCCTCCCCCGCCCCCGCCCAATACGTAACAGTCACCCCCACCCCCTCCGGCTACGCGCTCCTCACCATCCACCGCAACCCCGTCAACTCCATGAACACACTCCTCTGGTCGCAACTCCAAGCCGCCCTCGACCGCTGCGAACAGGATCCCAACATCAGGGGGCTCATCCTGACTTCCGGTCTATCCAGGCCCGTGTTCACGGCCGGGAACGATCTGACCGAGATCTTTGCGCCCATGACGAGCAGGGAGCAGTACGCGCGGTTCTGGACCGTGTCGAACCAGTTCCTGGCCAGGCTCTACCGATCGCCGTTGATCACCGCCGCTGCGATCCACGGCGCGTGCCCCGCAGGCGGCACCGCCATGTCCATGGCCTGCGACCACCGCTCCATCTCCCTGCACCCCGCCTCCTCCATGGGTCTCAACGAGGTCGCCATCGGCATCCCCGTCCCCGCCAAATGGGCCCAGCTCATGGCGACCCTCACCGGGCAAGGGGAAGCCAACCGCCTGTGCGGGTTCGGGAAGATGGTCGACGCCGCGGAAGCGAAACGCATCGGCCTGGTCGACTCGCTTGTCGACGGCGAGGGGAAGGAGGTCGTTGCTGATGCCGTCAGGTGGATGGAAAAGACGTTGAGGTTGCCGGATGTCGGAAGGGTCATCACAAAGGCCCATTTCAGGGATAGGTTGAGCAGGGAGTGGGAGGATGAGGAGTGGTTGAGAAGCGAGGCCGAGGGCGCCTGGGAAATGTTGGCCAGTGACGAGGTCGTGACCGTGCTCGGCGGCGTCATGCAGAGGATGAGTGGCAAGGCCAAGATCTAAGAGAACACACACACAAAACTCTGCTCTTTCAAACTCTCAAACTTGTCTGCCGGGACTGGCCCCACTGTCTTTTTTTCTTTTCCGTTGTCTATTCCTTACGTTTTGAATCCCTAAATCCTTTTTCTTGTAAATACACTCGGAAAATACACACCACCCATCTCTATCCTCCTAATAGGCCCCTGTATCAAACAACCGCACCAAATCCCTCCTCGCCGCCTCCCTCCCCACCCACTCCGCCCTCCCCGCGTCCGGGCTCCGGCGTATCATCTTCCGGTACAACAACCGCAACAAGTCCCCGCGCTTCGTGATCCACGGGTGGGACAGCGCGCCGGAGATGGTGAGCCGCGCGCTGGGGGAGTGCGTTAGGAGGGAGGTTATCAGGTGTTTTCCTGTTGGGGTGGGGTGGGCCGGGTCCAGAGCGGTGAGTCGGATGGAGTCGGATGGAGTGCGAGAGACAGGTTTACCTTCCGGACTAACCCTCTCCCACTCCTCCCCTTCCAAATCGTATTCCGCGCGCTTGATCCGCGTCGCGAGCAGCTGGCCATCGCTATCCGTTCCAAACGGCAGTGTCCCGCTCAGCCTGTTCTCTCCCCGGTCAATTCACCACCCATCATTTCCTCCGTGGGGAGTTTTGCCGTCAACTCACATGGTATAAAGCAACACACCCAACGACCAGCAATCCACACACTTGCCGTACCCGTCCCCGCCCGTCCCGCTGCTCGCCAGCACCTCGGGCGCGACGTAGGTAAGGGTCCCGCATTGCGTGCGCATGCGGGAGAGGGAGGTGCCGAGCATTTTCGCGAGGCCGAGGTCGGAGACTAGGATTCTGGGAGGATGGGGCGATGAGCTGAGCTGGCTGGGGCAAAAAAAGGGGATTGATGATGGTGCGGGGGGCGGTTTACCGGCCGAAGGGGTTGGAAGATTCCATGAGGATGTTTTCGAGCTTTTGGTGATCGGACAGGGAAGGGGGGTGGTGTTAAGGCTTGTTTGTGTGAGTGTAGACAGTTCAGTGCGGAGGGGGACGTACTTACTTTGAGATCCCGGTGCGTGATATCCAGGTTGTGTAGATACTGGCGGGGTTTCAGAACGTCAGTCCGTACGACGAACGAGCGAGGTGGGGGCGCGAGAGGTGAGTTTAGCGGGCAAATGATACCTGTACGGCTAGGAGGATTTGGTAGAATACGAATTTCTGCATGGGTGGGAGAGCGGCTGTCAATCCATGGGCGGAGTGTATACTTCTACATGAGAAACCACAAAAAAAACTCACCGCCGCATGCTCCTCCATCCCGCCGTGTTTCTGAACATAGTAGAACAGTTCGCCTTGAGGATGAGCGACGGAAAGGGGGTTCAGTCGACTGTTCCACACTACACCGCCACACCCACCCGAAAACCCTATACTCGCCTTCGAACTTACCTCCGGTAACCCTCGTCAAAAACAAATACACACACTCTTCAGTCCTGACCACCTCCTTCACCTGCACCAGATTCGGGTGCATGATGTTCTTCAATATCGCCGTCTGCTTACAAAAAAAAAATTCATCAAACCCCATCCCTCCCCCCACCCAAAGAAAACGGCCTCTAACCCCCCCGCAGCCAACCCCACCCACCTCCCGCGCAATAACCGTCCCACTACTCGGCTTCCTCCCCTCCCTCTCCCTCTCCCTCGCCCCCTTCCCGCGCTGTATGACCTTACAAGCCAGCCGCTCGCCCGTCTTCAGGTCCACGCTCAGCCGCACCGTCGCAAACGAGCCTTTCCCCAACTCATACCCGCCAAAGACGTAGTACCTCTCCCCAACAACCCGTCCCTCAAACACGCCGAGCTTTGGGTCTTCCAGCAGGTTCGTGAACACGAAGAACGTGTCGCCGCCAAGCCGGATCTCGGCCCCGTTCGTCAGCGAGACTTTCGTGGCCCCCTCGACATGTTTCCCATCGACATAGGTTCCGTGCGGGGACAGGTTCTCGAGGCAGGGCATGTCGCCGAGGAGGAGGAGGCGGCAGTGGTGTTGGGAGATGGATGTTGCGGCGGTGGGGAGGGAGATGTCGCAGGTGGGTGCTGTGCCGAGGGTGTGATGGGTTGAGGGGAGGGTGTGGAAGGCGAGCGGGCCGTTGAGGGAGGCGAGGTGGCCCCAGGGGGAGGACATTGGGTGGTGCTGAGCGGGATGAGTGGTTGTGTGTTGCTGAGCGGGATGAGTGGTTGTTGGGTTTCGTGGGAAAAGTTGCCCCAGAAGTGACGTTGGGCAGACGACGCGTGAGAAAGCCCCGAGCGACTGACGAGCTCCCCACGCTCGAAGCCCTGCCCCCCCAAGATGCAGGGCCGCCCTGAACTGCAACGACGACGAGACTCCACTTCCACAACTGCAAACGCACAGCCAGCAAAGCTCGTTTCTCTGCTCATAGTGTATCTCGGCCTGTCTGGAAACTCGTTCGGCGCTCGTGCTCTCGCCGAAACTCGTACCTGATTTTGAAGTTAACAGCAATTCTAAGACTGGGGACCAGCGACTTGGCCACGCACGACTCTCTGGTTCACCCGACGAAGACGTTGGCCTCCTTCCGTTCGCATACTCCACCACACCTTTTATCTCAGCTCACTCAGTCAGGTACCCGCCCTGGCCGAACGAACGTTCGGCACCATGAACGGCCCAGATCTAGCCATCCCCAACCAGCATTTAGGCACGCCGGGCACTCCACCCCGCAGGTCCCGCACAAGCTCCCCCGTAGTCCGAAACCGAAAGTTCCGCAGCCAATCCGTCGACCAAAAAGCTTCCCGAGACTCAAGCCCCGCTCTTCGACGCGTGGCTGATACGCGAATAGGGCGACGGGACGTGAGTCCTGCTGGGAGTCGCGTGGCGAACGGGGTGAGAATTCCGGGGAGCCCGACCCCGTTCAAGAAATCGGGAAGGCTTACGAAGTATAGTCATACGTATGTTGTGCATACGACGATACGGGCGTCGCCGTTGTCCAAAGAGGTATGCGGGGAGAATCGGAAAGTTCATATGGACGGACAAAGTGCTGACTACCGCGTTCTTCACGCAGAGTCCCGAACAGAACTTTCGCGGATTTTACAACCTCGCCATGCTCCTCCTCGCGGTGTCCAACATCCGCCTTATGGTGGAAAACTACATGAAATACGGACTCCTGCTCTCGCTGCCGTTCTCGTCCTTCCGAGCTGTCGATTTCAAATGGACTGTCATCAGCCATGCTGTGCAGCTGGTACGTGCATTTCTACGCGTCTCTTTCTGGACGTCGCTAGCATTTACTTTCCACCGCAGATGACCATTCTCGTCGCATACACGCTGCAAATCCTGGCCCACTCCGAGATGCGCAAGGGAGCAACTTCGAGCTATATCACTATGTGCAATGTGATCAACATCGCGGCCGCGATCGGGATCCCTACATTTCTTTCATGGTCCTACATCTGGCATCCAGTACGTTTGCGCAAACCAACATCATCCCCAAAACCCCCACCAGCGCAGCGCTAACAAATCACAACCTACAGGCCTTATCAGCCCTAAACCTAATCGGCGCAACAATCCTCACCCTAAAACTAATATCCTACGTCCTAGTCAACAGCGACCTCCGATCCGAGAGTTTCTATAAAGTTGCGCCCGCCCGCCGCCACGAGCCGACATCCCAGGACGCGTCGCTGGCGGCGGAGGAAGAGAAACGGTTTGATGTCGATCAGACGCCATACCCGACGAATCTGACGTTGGGGAATCTGCTGTATTTTGTTTTTTGTCCTACACTGGTAATGTCGCACCATATTCATCTCATACCCACTCTCGAATATTCACTGAAACTCTCTCCCCCAATCCACACAACAGTGCTACCAAACAGCCTACCCCCTAACCCCCGCATTCCGCCCCACCTTCTTCGCCAAACGCCTCCTCGAATTCATCACGGGCCTAGCAGCACTCTACCTCCTCGGCGGGCAATACGCCGCGCCCACCCTGCAAAACAGTCTAAAAGCCCTGGACGACCTCGACCTGATCCACCTCTTTGAACGCGTCCTGAAACTGAGCATCGTCAGCGTTGTCATGTGGCTGTTGATGTTCTATGTGGTGTTCCAGTGCGGGTTGAACATGGTGGCGGAGGTGTGTCGGTTTGGGGATCGGAGGTTTTATCTTGCTTGGTAGGTGAAACTATCTCATTGGCCAATTCCGTTTGACGTACCACCCCACAGGCCAACTGATGTGATGTCTGATTACGCCCCCCCGGGCAGGTGGAACGCAAAAGACATAGCAGAATACTGGCGGCTCTGGAACACCCCGGTACACTACTGGGGCAAACGACACGTGTACCTCCCCCTCATCGTCAAGTACAAACTGTCGCCCGTGGTCGCGTCCATTGCCGTGTTTGTTATTTCTGCGGCGTTGCATGAACTGTTGGTGGGTGTGCCGACTAGGGCGTTGAATGGGTGGGCTTTTGGGTGAGTTGGGTGTGTGTTGTGTGTGTGTGTGGGTGGATGTTTATATGCGAATGGGGTGTAGGGGTCTGGGACGCTTACTATGATGTTTCTCAGGGCAATGATGCTCCAACTCCCCCTAATCCTGCAAACAAAAGCCCTCGAACCGCTCCGGAAAAAGAACGAGGTGTTGTTTGACACGGTGGGGAACTACATGTTTTGGATCTCGTTTACGATCAGTTAAGTTGCCGCCCCCTTTTCGTAATCCCCAATGTGGGTTTCTGATTCTCCAGCTGAAACCGTGATGCTTTCGTGTAGTTGGCCAGCCGACGTGTATCCTGATCTACTATAGTCATTGGTATAAACGCAACTACCTCTCCAACGCATCGGGGGTGGTTGACCAGCCACAACCGCAGTAGTTGCAGTGATAGTCCCAGCACCACCACGTCGTGTATATAGCTTCGGCCCCCAGACGCTCCTCCCGGCCCCCGCCACAACCGCTTCGCCGGGAAACGTAGTTCCCTTTGTACAGTATATATCCCACTCTTATCCATCTTTTTTGCTCAAAATCCTGTTCATTGACATTCGTACAATAGGCAAATGCTCACATTCGATTTCTCTGACCAGCAAGACTTTGTGCGATGGTTATAACGTGGAAGGGTGGAAAACATCTTTGCAGTAGGGGGCCAGATAGGGATAGTGAAGAGAAATACGCTGAAAGCTGCTGATGAAAGCCCATATGCAGGTCGCAACTGCCGTGGCGCATGATAACGAACCTGTCCCAAGGTTGAACGCCGCGCGAAAAAGATTTACGCCGTCGAAGACGATTGAGCAGCCAGTCCAGCCGGTCCATCCCCACTCCCACTCCCACTCCCACTCGCCTCCCCCTGTCTCCCCAACCTCTCCTGCAAACTCCGCACCTGCTCTCTCAACACCCGCATCTCCTCCTTCTCCCTCACCCCTTCACCCTCCTGCTTTACAAGATCAATCACACCCCCCTCCCCTGTTTTGGCACGTTTGACAACGACAGAGGATGAGGATGAGGAGCCAGCTTCACGTTTGCGGCGTGTGACGGTGAACGAGTCTGTCTGCTGTGAGGTCGATTGCGATGTCCTCGTCGGAGTCGATTTTCATGGCGTGGATCCTTGGGTCTGGTGTCGGTGTTGGTGTCATTGACATTGGAACATTGGAACCGAGGTCAACTGATGCGTAAAACGGCATTTTACAGCACTCGTGCGTGCATGTGAACTTGCGATTGTGTCGCGGGAGATGATTGCTCAGAGTCGTCAGCGCCGTGACAGGGATTTTCTTGCATCCCATTTTGGTACAAGGATGATGGGGCCGCCGGCTGGCCCCCGTGTTCATCCATATGCTCGCGGAACCATTGTTTCTGCTGAAAATCTCTTGGTGCAGCCGACTAGTGTGCACGGATGGTCCAACCCGATTTTTCTTCGCATCCCTCCACCTCCACCGTAAATCGTTGTTGGGGCATCGATTGCCTCGGTAGGTACAGTATGTGAACATAAACCTAGATGCACGAGTGATTGAGTCAGTGCCCGTGCGCGACTGCGGCGGCTGGGGCAGGGGCCGGCCAAGCTCGGACGCGTGTATCCAGCTTTATGTTCACATGCTGTAGGTTGCAGGATGATCGGATATGCCGAATGGTTGTACGTGACCATTTCGTTTCGCAACATGCTTGGTGTAGGGCGATAATCTCGGAGTAATTTGTGCAGGGAGCAGAAATGGTCCGCTTTGTGGATTTCCACGAGATCCCTGCACCCGGCGTGCATAAACACGTAACCGGTTTTGCCCATGGTGCTGTGTAGCACAGGCGGGGCATTCAAGTGAACGGCCCGGCGAAAGCAAAACCAGCACCAATAAGTCCCGGCCAGCTTGGCGGACATGTGAAGCGTGGAGCGCTGGTTGCTCGGAGTTCACCGTACTTCTACAAGCTTGCCCCCTCCTCATGTGTCAGACCGTCCAGATCGGTTGCCTCTAACATCCTTTTGTGCCCAGGGATCGCAGTGATGGTGCCCCGGTTCCAGTCGGTTTTGCGATCGGATGGAGTACCAGGCAGGTGAAGCAGGTCGGCAAGCTGCCTGTCAACCTGTTCCCTAAGTGTCATCTGACGATTGAACTCGGCTTGCATGGGAATTGGATCGCCCGCTGCATTGGCGTCACTCTCGAATCTCCTGATTCGTGTCATTGATTCGTCAAGGGCTCTTTCCATAGTTCCGAAGAGCTCGCTCTTGTTCCTGATGCCAATGAGGAACTAGAAGTGTCACCACATGGAAGGGAATGCTGCACAGCACAGAACAACATCCAACCCACATCCCTACAGGGTGAAAGCAGCACGGTCGGTCAGCCCGCCTAGGGCACCGGGCTCGAAAGGTCCGCCAATCTTTCTCCTTTCAAGTGCTGGGACGTCTGCCGTCATCGATCACCAGTGTTTCAGCAATAGCGTCGTCTCGCGCATGATGTTCTAGGTGTTCTCTGTACCCATCTTCCTAGCCTTGTGAGATCATCGTAGGAACTTTGTATTTGCAAACGGCGAACATCGTCGCAAAGTGGTGTTTGCACCTGCAGCTGTCGGTAACGGTGATTGCCCAGGTAACATGATGTCTCTCTCGGCCTCCCAGGCGATGTTACCCAGTGTGTTTCGCGGCCGCTTCCGCTGAAGCGTCATCCATCTTGATGCGATTATAACATTCTTGATCTGCGATGTAGGTACTGTACGTCGTTGGATTTGTCCCCAAGGCCGAGATACCTGGAATTGTGGAGATCTCTGGTCTGAGGACTCTCCGGCTCTCCGAGGTCAGTGGCAGTGAAACCGGTACCGAACTGAGAGCGCGACATCGGGTCGTAGAAGTGGTAGGTGGTGGTTTCCGTGGGAATGGGAAGTGGTTTGACACCTCCATGTCCACGCCAAAGGGGGGGGGGGGGGGGGGGGGGGGGGGGGGCGGAAAGCGGCCCAGGAGAATCCTGTCAATTGCGCTTGCATGACAGCCGTGAATCCTGTCAATCGCCGTGCCCTCCGAACAGCCACCGGAACGTGGCTTTTTCATGTTAGCCTCGTACACTTTGCCATGCCTCTGAGAATCTATGGTTGTGGCCTTGCGGACTTGGAGGGCAGAAAGCCCTTCACTCATGTGCTTGGGGAGGGCATCTAGGCATGCGCCCCTGAGCTGCGAAAGGCAAGGTGTCTCCAACGGTATACTTTAGAAAAAAGCCCTTGCCTATCGAACGCAATTTCAGTGTGCACTGTATCTGACTTCAAATGGCTGTGAGAGCCTCTCTATTCCGCACGTACAAAGTTTCTCCAACCCCCCAAAAAAGTATCAGAAATACCATCCATCCTCCGTCGTAAATGCAAACCCACGTTTAATCCACATTCACGGCGCCGTGATTGTGGGCGGGGGAGGAGGAGGAGTGGGGACAGTCAAGGCATCTAATTGCCGACACATCTCGGCCACTTCCGGGTCGTCTGAGCGTAGCTGCTGCTGCTGTTGTAGTTGCGGTGGTGGTGATATTGAAATGGACAATGTCGATGCGGGTGGCGATTCGGTATGTGATGGGGAAACATCTGCGGCGGCGGTGATTGCATCGCCCTCAAGGACTCGCAGTAGATGTGTGAATGTCGTGCGAATCTTATCGAAGGTGCAACCAATAATGTGAATATCATGCCCTATTGCCTCCAGCGCACCTCAACAGGAAGCAAAGTCAACATACCTGCCCCCCCAGCACCTCCCGATACCTCACCTCCCCAAACCCCACCCCCTCCAAATCCTCCACCGCCCCCGCCGCCCTCACACACGCCCCCATCAACCCCCTCACAACCTCCCCGCCACCATACGCCTCCACCCTCCCCGGCGGCGCCGTCATCGCGTGGGCTGCTGCGATCCGCACTTTGTAGTTTTTGGAGGTTAGGAGTGTTTTCGTGAGGGTTGTGTAGATTGTGGAAAGGAGGGTGGAGGAGGCGGAGGCGGAGGGGTTGGTGTACGGCGACACGGGCGTCGTTGAAGTCGCAGTCGGCGGGAACAGCGGTAACCCAGGTGTTCGGAGGATATTACTCAAAGCATAACAAGCATTCCACCTCGTCTTCGCCAACCCGGTCTCCACATTCTTCAGAACCACGCTGATCACATCTTTCATCAATCCGTGCTGTTCGCGGGCGAGCAGGTGGGGTGGGCAGACGCGGATGATGTTGCCCAGGGCCCGCGTGCCGTTCGATTTGCATTTTTCATTGTCTTTTGCGGCGAGGAGGGAGGAGTGGAGGAGGGTTGTTAGAAGGGCGGGGGTTAGGCCCGATTCGGCGAGGGTGTTGGGTTGTTGAATATCCGATATGGGTGGTGGTGATGATGCGATTTGTTGTTCTCGTTGGGTATGTAGCTCGCTAACTTTCGTCAGCGCATCCCCCAAATTCGCCAACGCCCAACTCGCCCTAACCCGAACACCCACATTCGCATCCCCCATCAACCCCGGTATAGTCGTCGCCACATCCGTCAAAAACAACACATCCTCCTGCACAGCCCTAAACCCCACATAAACCCCCAACGTCCTGCACGCCGCGGCTCGCACATTGTGGTCGTCATCCTGCACGGTGCCGAGGGCGAGGGCCAGGCAGGCGTATTGGCGTTTTGGAGGGAGCGAGGAGAAGATGGAGGAGGGGATGTGCCCGAGACAGTCGACGGCGAGGGTGCGGACGGCGTAGAAGGGGTCGCGGATGCCGGTGTGGGCGTAGGTGTCGAGGAGGTGGAGCCAGAAGGTTGGGTCTTGGGTCTGTTTTGGGTGGATCGAGGTCAATATCGTATGGTTCGGCATGGAGAAACGAACGGTTGCCCGACGTACCATCACACTCTCATCAGCAGTCGAACACGAGTGCGCATATTGCTCAATAACCTTATATGCCGCAGCTCTAACAGCCTCCTTCGGATCCTCCAACGACTCTTCCATCGCCTTTATCAACCGCGGCCATATCGTCCTACACCAATCCCAAAAACCCCATCAGCCCAGCGCCCCAACAAACCACACATGGAAACTCATGAAACTCACCCAAAAACCTCAACACAATTCCTCGCAACCGCACAAAACACATCCAAGGCCGCAACCCGCACGTAAATATGTTCGTCCCTGTTGAGATACTCAAACAGCGTTTCGAGCAGGGGGGAGGAGGCCGGGAGGGGCATGTGGGCGTCGAGGAGGGCGGAGATGACTTCGAAGGAGGCGGAGGTTATGCCAAAGTCTGTTGGAGGGGGTGAGGATTGGGGGAGCATTGGGTGAGAAGGAGTGGGGAGGCTATATTACCTTCGTGGGTGATCCGGTCACGCACGGCGATGTAGGCGTCGTGGCGGTAGTTGTGGCGGAGACGGTCGTAGGGACAGTTTCGGATGAGGACTGCTAGACACTGCGATTCCATACGCTTGGGATATTAGACAGTGATGAATTGGCATAGTGCATGGGAGCTGGCGCGCGCACCTTCATCTCCTGCGTCACCAGCAAAGGCCACGACTCTTCCCGCACGCATTTGAGCAACCCGGTGTGGATTTCGCGTAGCTGTTCGGCGAGTTTGACGGATAGGGAGATAAACGCCGCGTTCCGATTATCCGCACTGCATGATGCGCAAACACGGTCAGCCCTCGTGCCCACAAGAAACCCCGGCGATACACAACCACACCTCAACCCACCTATCCTCAGCAACAGAAAGATACGTCCTACTCCCATCCAAAAACGCCATTAACGCCGCACACGCCGCATGCCTAATCTTCGGCGACTCGCTATCCCTCATGACCGAGATCAGCGACGGTGCGTGTGGCCCTTCGACGGGGTCGGGGAGGAAGCGGAACCAGTAGGGGAAGACTTGCTTTGTGTGGGCCTGGTGGAGGGAAACCTTATGGTTAGATTTGGGGTTAGAGGACGCGGGGAGTTGGGGATGGGGTTTACCTTTGCGAGGGATTGGAGACAGAGGAGGGAGTTGAGTTGGAGGCGGTTGTCGACGTGCCTGGCAAGGAGAATGCATGTTTGTCGGGTTATTCATGTTCAGCCAAACGGGTGTCCGCAATCCCGGAGGTATGGGAAGTATACCTATTCCGCGGTAAGCCGTTCTCGCCTTCCGACATTTCCGAGTCAGATGGCAACACCTGTGGGCGTTTCGAATGTTGTTTCGATGCTAAATTCAAGTGACCGAAACGATGAGTTAGGGGGCGCGCACCGAGGATTCCAGAATATACCGATCAAACAACGCACCTGCGTTGGGCACCGCACCAAGCGACAAAGGCAACAACCCGTACTTTTGCACAAGTTGCAGTAGCGCAGAGACATCCTCCTGAACGACCGCCTTGTTCTCGTTTGTGAGAAGCTGTATTCCTCGCAATGCCGCGCTCACGACCTGAAGAATCGTAAGCCCCGGTCATGCAGATGTTGAAGAAAATGACGAACCATCCGGTTCACTGGCGACTTGTCCCCCACCTTAAGCCTCGCCTCATCAGAAACATCGACATGCAGATTGCCCATCAAAACGCCCAGCACCTGCTTTTGCAGGTTGGTCGCTTTCGCGCCTGTCTTGACGCAAAGGTTGCCCAGACACGTTAAAGCCATCCGTCGGGCTTCGAGATCTTCGTCGCGTTGGACTGGTGATGTTCCGAGGGGTATGAGGACGGAGAGGATTTGGGGGTGGAGCTGCGGTAATTGGAAGATGATGCCGGGTCAGATGCAACCGCCAAGGTTTGGCAACACGGTATCGCCAAAAATCGAGGTCTACCTTTATGCAAGCCGCTCCGTTCTCGTATAGGACGCAGCTTAGGGTCCGAAGAGCGGTTACGTTCAGGTCTTCCTCTGATGGGGGAGATGGAGGAAGATGATTTTTTCGATGAAGGATGGTGAACAGGAATTCGACGGATGCGCCAACGACCTCTTGCTGGACACTCTCCGATGTGAAGGTAACCTTCATTTGATGGACAATTGTATGAGGATCTGCACCTGCAGCGGGCGGATAAGGAAACAAGTGTACGGCACCTTCTGTTTGCTAAAGAGACAAAAGAGGACGCCGGCAAAGCCTGCAGTCAGATTGCTCCCCACGCATTTCTCTTTTCCAAAAGTAATCAACGATCGCACGCTCTTGACATATGAGAGGGAGGACAGAGAAATGTGGGTATGGATATTATATTGTATTGAAAACGTAGACAAGAAGGGTAGGTCCTATGCTATTTTCTACGAGGTCGTATGATGCCCCACTAATGGCCCCAAATTGCTCCCCATAAGAACTCACCTCTGTTTTGCACTGTTTGAGCGGATAAGGTAGCGAGCGTAGGGCCTCCAGCGTTTCCGATAAAGGTGTCGTATTCCCAGCGGAGCCTGATTTGTGGAGTTCTGCGACGAGGCCCTCGAACGATGTGCATGGACGTCCCATATCTGCTCTCGCTTGGTCGTAGCTAGCTGGCACCGATGGGCTTTCTCAGAGTCTGCAGGTTCCTTTCTCCAACCGCCTTGAGGTGATCTACTGTAAGCTTCGCCTTTCCCACGAGGCTCGAGGGTTTGCTATGTCGGCAGGCTCCTCACTCGTACGCTACTATGATGACTATCCACGCACGGGCGGACCGCTCGTGGGCAAGAGGTACCAACCAGGTTGCGCACTGAGTATATGTACTATGTATATGTGGTTGAGGAAGAACTAGTAAGTCTCCGACACTGACTGGGTTCCCGCTTGCAATGGAGGTGGGGGGAAGAGTGAGTGGGAATGTCACTGCATCAAAAAAGCTGGCGTGAAAACAAATGCAGGCGACAGTCACATGACTGCGTGTGATCCTCAATTCAATGCAATTAAAGCAATTCAATGCAATTCTCAATTCTCAATTCAACAACAAGCGACGCTCTCTGGAAGAGCAACTGCAAACTGCCAAGTAACGATCGGCACTCCCTCCCCCTCCCTCCCTCACTCAGGCAATGGTCGTCCCTCGCAACGTCCTGCCTACTAGGGCAAGCTACTCAACAGCTGTACTCGAGCGGCACCGCCGGCGAACTACAACCGCCGTCGCCGCCTCTACCTGCCTCTTTTGCCTGCACGCTCTCTCGTTCCAACCGAGGAACACTCGAGCAGTTCGAACAGCGGCGTCTTCTAAGCTCCATCCGCTCGCTTCCTCTACAACCCAAACCCACGCGTCAAAGACCCAAAAGGTGCTCCAGGACTGGGCGTCGCGCAAACGACACGCTGAGGATATCGAACAGACGGCGACAAAGCTCGTCTCCGCTGCTGCAAAGGAGAAGTGGTTTGCTACGCAGAGAGTGGATGGAAATGGGGAGGAGGAGGTGATGAAGGAGAGGGTAAAGAAGGAGAAAGTTGTGGAGCCCCTGTTGGGGATTGCAAGGGCTGAGGTAATGTAGAGAGAGACCCAGAGACCGATTAGTGAGGGTGGTGGAGATGGTGAGCGTCAGCGGACGGTTCTTCTGAGAACACGCAGTTAACATCCTTGTCGCGAGCGGAGCGAGCAGGGTATCGCCTCAACCATCGGTCTTCATCTATCCATCGCCTATCAGCGTTCATCCATGCATTGCCCCAGTTCCCGCTTCGTTATTGACACTCTCCCTCTGACTTACAGGACGATGTAACATTCGGCCAACTAGGCATCCCCCCACGCGTCGAAAAAGCCCTCTTTGAAAAATTCAACATCTCATTCGCCTCGGAAGTACAGCGTCAAATGATACCCGCCGCTTTGAGCCCGAACGACCTGTTTGTGAAGGACATTACCGGATCCGGCAAAACGATAGCCCTTGTCACTGCGATCGTCAGCAAATCGCATCCTAAATTACTCTTATCAGCAGCTGCAAAGCAAAAGGAGCTGGAAGATGGGGTGGACGTGGAGGCGGAGGATGTTGTAGACGCAGCGGAAAGTCTCGTCGCGCATAAAGGGGACAAGTTGTATCAAAGAAAAGGAGAGAAGGCTAAGGCGCATTCGCAGCGATACCTGCATACCTTATGTATGGTGCCTACCAGAGAATTAGCGCTGCAGCTAACAGCCTGGATAAAAGACCTCTCACCCGCCCTCCGCCACAAATCCTTAAAGTCACCAGAAGCCGAGATGGCCGCAGCAAAGCTTGTGCAATGCGTGGTCGCGGGTGTCGATATCGATGTGCAGAAAGAACTGCTGAAGCAATGCACACCTAAAATCCTCATCGGCACGCCCAACCGCCTCACGGAACTGTACAACCAACGTGCGTTCGATGTTTCTAGATTGCAGCTCCTCGTGCTAGATGAGGTCGATAGGCTGGTTGAGGCGCGTCAACGATACGATACAGTCAAAACCCGCTTCAACAAGATCACACACCCTTTAGCCGGTGATCTCCTCCTGAAAAGGATCTACAAACACCGCTCCCTCGCCCGAAAAGTCGCGGGCGGGGACATAACCGCTCAAGAAAGTACAAACGAAACCGTCAACATTAACACGGCGGTCATCTCCGACCCCGCGAAACGCAGAATGCAAACCATCGCCTGCTCCGCCACCCTCAACAACAACCTCCGCCGCGAACTCACCAACATGCGCGGGTGGATGCACCACGCCGTCGCCGTCGATGTCTCGGGGACGACCCGTACACCCGATACACTCACCCACCAGGCGATCTTGTTCGACAAGTACGGCCGGCCGATGACGCTGACACCACCCAAGAGATATCAGGAAGAGGATAAACGGGAGACAGAACGAGCGGAAATGGAACCCGCCCTCCCGGATACGGACCCGGCGATCATCGAGACACTCGCAAAGCTGATACACGACGATACCGTCACATCCGCACTCGTGTTTGTGCAAAGCTCCATATCGCAGACGGAGGTGGTCCAGAAACTGAACGCGTTGGGCATCCGTGCGGGGAGGTTAAGCGATAATCTGGATTATGTCGGGCACAGCGTCGGCAAGCATTTCAGTAAAGAGGTCAGAGCGGGGAAGCTGGAGGCCAGGAAGAAGGATATGGAGGCGTGGGAGGCCGAGAACGGACCAGCGGCGGGGGAGACGATACCCGATGGCGATGCACGGCCCCGAAGTCGCCCCATCGCAGAATACGTGGAAGAACAACCACCCCTCACCGACGATCCCGCCCCACCCCCACGCAAACAAAACACGTTCGCCGCCCACATGCACGGCACCAAACAGATCCTGGTCCTGACCGAACCCGAATCCCGCGGCCTCGATTTGCCCACCGTCACCCACGTCTTTGTCCTCGGGCCGCCCACCTCGCCCGCGAGTTATGTGCATATGGCCGGCAGGGCGGCGCGGTTTGGGAAAAAGGGAAAGTGTGTCACGTTGTTGGGCGGGAGGAGGTTTGAGGAGAGGATGAGGGGGTTTTATAGGTTGTTGAGAATTGAGGTCAGGGAGTGAGTAGAGGATGGGGGTGAAGGGGCGATGAGGGAGGGTGTATCGCGAGGAGCGAGGGAGGGAGACATAGATAGATTTGTTGTAGATGAGGTGAGAAACGGGCGTAATTTAACAGCAAGAAACATCACCGTCCCTGTTCTCTATTGGTCAAGTACCGAGCCAAGCGACAGGCTTCCCCCCATGAGAACGGAAACGGCTGCAGCAGTGTGTCGGGGAGCATGTACAGGATGAATGTGTTGTTCACTCGGTCCTATGTAGGGTCGTGGTCGTGCTGCTTCTAGCAGACAGAGCACTCACTGACCTCAGACGGCCCTCAGACGGCACCCCACTAACATACTCCCGTCATACTGAGGAGCTTCCCAGGAAGGCAATGGCGAAGGCAATAAATTCCCTTTGAACCGAGTGCTCTCAGTGCAGAAGTCAAGTCCATAATAACACTCTCCTATAATATATACTGTGCTGGGAAACTTCCTTCTCGGGTGATTGTTTTGCAACAGGTTTGCAAGAAGAAAGGTCTCGACTCTACGTGTAAGTACAGTACATTTACAGTCTACTACGCCCAGCGCATGCAACGAAACGTCACGCCGATGATGGGAGCGCCAATGCAAGAACTTGGCCAGCGTTCCGAACCTGAGAGGTTGTCTCCCTCAGAGAATCCTATGTACAGGCATTCACCTCACGAGGTGAGGTCCCAGAGCACCCTTGACTCTCGGCTTCACGGCCTTGCCGCCTTTCTTCCCAAACCTTTTAACGTTCCTTCCATTCAACTCCCTCACCTTCGCTACCACGTTCGACGCATCTTCATGATCCACCCTAACACGATAGATGTATCCCATCTTCTGCGCACAAAAGTCCGCAATCCGGTCCAACGAACCATAGTTCACCGATTTCGCCAGGTCGCGACTACACACGCTTGTCGGGAACTTGAGTTTACGTAGGTCGGCTTCGAGTTGAGGCAGGACGATGGCGATGGTTGCGTCGATGACTTGGAGTTTCGTGAAAGTTTTGGGGTCGCGGAGACACCAGGATTGGAGGTACGAGGCTTCCAGGCGGGCGGGGTTATCGTCGTCGGCGAGGACTTTGAAGTAGGGGTCTTCGATGATGTCGTCGTAGTGCTGCGGGGGCGATGCGAGACGGACGACGTTAGATGCGGTGGTTCATCATTTGGACAGGAAACGTATGCCCTCCGTGAATGGTCAGATCTCACCTGCAACCATGCCGGCTTAGGACCAGCGTTGAAGAGATTGCTTCCGAACATCACAACCACTCTCTTGTCCTTGGCGATCAACTCCCCGAGGGTCGGCCACGGAGCGCCTGCACTCCGTTCGAACAGCCACTTGCCAAGAATGTCTTGCAAGCCGCCCTGGATATACCTCGCCATCGACGCCGCGTCGCCATCCGAGTCGCCAAAATTCAGCGTGATGATCTCATTCGGGTTGTTGTTCACCCAACTCGCCACAGATTGCAATGTTTGGCGGATATCACCGCCAATGGCGCGTTTGTTTCCGGCCCCATGGCAATTGACAACGGATCCATCGTCAATCTGACAGGTATCGATGTCGAACGACCGAATCCCGTCGCTCAGCTGCTGATCGATAGCGCGAACTTGATTGTCCCAGAGGCAACGCTCGATGGCGTCGGGGACGAGGATGTTGCAACCTTTTTCGAAACCCCAGCAGAGGAACTTGCCCGCTTTGCAGGACTTGGCGAGGGTATGACAGTCGTATTTGAGGTCTTTGCTGCCGGAGTTGTGGGTGGCCGCGTAGGTGACTTGGTCGTATCGAAGGCCACAAAGTTCTTGCATGCTGCAGTGACATACACAGACACGGAACGTTAGGTTTATTGTGGATGTCTTTGGTTCGCGCGCTGGCTACTTTACCCGTTGCAAGGACTAGTCGCAAGAACTCCAGAGAGCAAGGAGGACGCCGCGGCGACACCGACAAGCAGAGTCGCGGTTTTGAACATATCTCTCCTTCACGGCTCAACAGCGGGACAGATCTGAGTGAATTAGGGACTGGACTGGAAACTGACAGGGGCTCATGAACAGTGCTATCCTTTTAAAGCGGGCAGAGAAGCGCCCGATGTTGCGCCTGCATCCAAGTCCATCCAGAGAACGGCGTACGAGCATATCACACGTCGCATCACAATTTGGGGTTGTCTTCCCAGCGTGATGCTTCGCTCAGATCTGTCGCCGTCGGAGCGTTTCTCTATACCTATGGAAAACGGCGAATGTGTAGCGAATGTAACGTCCGCGGAGGACTTGGTGGCACCTGCTGTCAATCCTGCTGTCAATTGTACCCATAAAAACGCCTATGATCGAGTTCCCATGGTATATCCCGCATATCTCGTCGAAATAAATGATAGGGTTAGGGTTAGGATAGAGATCATCCCTTGCGCTTCTTTCCCTTGCGCTTCCTCCAAGAAACAAGGAGAAGTTTGTAGAAGGCACGTACAACCTTTGGAGAACAGCAATCACTTGCTCGGCGTAACAGCACATAGGGAAGGTCCGAAACTACTACTACTCTACATACATGTACATTCTCTACCTACTTATTTGTTTGTGTGTTTCCCACATGGTTCGGCGAGCGATGTTGCCTCGCCCGAATATGCCTATTGACTTTCCGTTATGTTATCCGTGTAGCCCTACCGTATAGCCAACGTATATAGATTGAAATCAACGTCAAGGCTCACCTAATGCTGCAAGGACCTCCTGCTCCATGCTTCTAGTCCATGGCACATTTCCACAGTATGCGAGTATGTCTCCCCCGCCATGATGGTACATAAGGCTGAATCGTCCGCGGTTCAGATTCTTCTTTGAAGGCCGCTTGGAAGGGAGGAGATATCGGATCTCGACGTTCGGTTCTTCCCGCGACTGGTTAACGAATTCGCCAAGTGCTGCCCTTGTTACCGTTGGCGTCCAGGTAGTAGGTCTCTCCATGTGGGCCAACACCCCGAAGCCCCACCACGTATCTGCTGGTAGATGGTTGCGAACAGCACCATCATATTTGGTCTCGACTCTACGTGTAAGTACAGTCTATCAAGCCCAGCGCATGCAACGAAACGTCACGCCGAGATGAGAGCGCCAATGCAAGAACTTGGCCAGCGTTCCGAACCTATTGTATGCGGCTGTCTCCCCTCATTCTCCTAATTCTCCGGAGCGCTCTTGCCCGAGTCGCCAAAATCTAGCGTGATGATCTCATTCGGCAGGTAAACGCAAACAAAAATGGACGAGTCCAAAATCCCGTTTTCTGGCTCTTCCACGAAAGTGGCAGTTATTCCTGGCCATCCGGGCCAAGCGGTTGAAGGTTGAAGCCGTCACCGCTATAGTGACGGCGCGTACACATGAAATCGACAGCGCGGCCAAATTTCGGGCTCGAACAATCCCGCATGCTCAAGTCAAAAGCGAGTAAGCGCCACCCGGTGCACGATTGAATAGCTCACTGCTCTTTGTTGAGAGTGTTTACGGCATCGCTTTCTTTCACGTTGATGCGCAAGCTCGTTCAGTGTCTTGCTCTGTCTGTCACCCACACTCTCGACTTTTAGCGCTCGGTTGAAAATGATTTCTATTCGACGATCACCGGCAGCCCGACTGTTCGCCGCCATATGCCTCTTGCTGCAAGTGTCGCTTGCCATCTGTGCCGTGGACCAGCTGAAGTTCAGTCTGCTGTTGCCAAGGTCTCTCGAGGGATATGGCGAGCTCTGCGATGACATCAAAAATGCGCTCGACCTCTTCGTCGCTCAGAAGAATGCCGTCTACAATACCAACAACGTGAACATCTCGCTCACCTTCTACGATACCCAATACAAAGCCGCTATTGCCGCTGCGGCCGTCACCGACTCAGTTTCCAATGGTGCTATTGGCATTCTTGGAGAACTGGCCTCCGGGATGGCTGGTCCGGTCTCCAACCAGCTGCTCCCGAATCAGATTATGCAGTGTTCGGGCTCTACCACGGCCGCCGGGCTCAACCAGAAACAGTATCGATACTTCTTCAGAACGATCCCCGCAGATGACAATCAAGGCGTGGTGCTGAACCAGATCTTGTCTCGATACGGCTGGAAGCGCATCGGGATGATATACGCAGACACCTCTTACGGAAACGGGATTGCAAACAGGTGCGTCTTGTTTGTTTTCAGATTGCCTTGTCGGCAACGGTACTCAAAAGTGCTCGAACAGTTTGCTTAGCAAAGCCGCGGCGAGCCAGGTCACCGTCTTAGCGAACGAAAAATTCAACACCGATTACTCCAACCTGCAGACTGCATTGCAGAACGTCAAAGACTCTGGAGCTCGTATCATCGTCGTCGTCTGCGAACCGCCAGACTACATGCTTTTGGTTCCCGCCGCGCGCAAACTTGGCATGTATGGGCCGCAATTCGTCTGGATCAGTACGGAGGCCGCTATGGGTGTCGCCGCGAACCTCAGGGCGGGTATCCCGGCAGGGACCTATACCCAAGCGGACTTGGACGCGGTTAACGGCCTGCTCATCAGTAACCCAGGTGCGTTTCGCTCTCTTTCAGATTGGTGTTTACACACACACCCTCATTCAACCTGCTCTTATCACCACAGTCGAGGGACAGGGTGCTCTGTACGACCAATTCAACGCCGATTACAAGGCAAAGTTCAGTAAGGACACTGGGCAATACTCTCTGGTACCGTTCGGCCGTCTTCAGGATGAGGCTTCTGCGAGCGTTGCTGATCCCTTTTCCCTCCAAGCACAGTTCTTCACGGATTGTTTGCGGTTGATGCTCGCCGGGTTGGAAAACGTGAGTACGCTTGACGGCTTTTAGAAAAAAAACGAGGAGATCCTCTAAAGCTCTCCGACTTCTTCATCAGTACCAAACTACCTCGGGGACGCCGTGGTCACAGATTGCTGCCGGGCAGGGGTACCCGCGAGACCTGACAAAGTTGCTCGGACCATTGACACTCGCCGCCTCCACCGGCTTGACCGGCCACGTCGAGTTTGACCGGAACTTTGATCGCGTTGGGACCTACCAGGTTGTCAACATCGTCAAGGGGAGCAACGTCGTCATCGGAGCGACAACAAATGCCACTTATAACGTCGTGTCAAACGGTGTCTCGGCGATCTTCGCCAGCGGGACTACTGATATTCCCACCTCGGAATTGGGTGGGTTGCCGTAGCAGTCGCTTCGATTTTCATCGGAGATCTTAGTAACACCCATGTCAATCTGTTCTCCGTTAGTCTTTTTCCCGGACTGGACGGAGTATAAGGATCCGATTGCGATCGTCCTTATGGTCCTCTACGCCGTCATGATGGGTGTCAACTTTGCCTCGATTGCTCTCGTGTACAAGTGGAGGTCGCATACGCAAGTCAAAGGTACGATCTACAATGTCATTGCATGTTTCTTCCATAAGCGAGCAACTTTCTTTAACAACTTTTCGTGAACCAAACCGTTCAGCCTTGTCGCCGGAGTTCATGATCATCATGGGTCTTGCCATGCAACTGGCCTATGCAACTATCTTCACGTTGATCGGTGAGCAGACGCAGTCAAAGTGTATGGCTCGTCCTTGGCTGTACGGATTCGCTTTTGTGGTCGTGACCAGTTGCTTGATTGGAAAGGTGAGTGAAGTTGTGGACCTCTCCCACATCCATGGCGGATGAGCTAAATATGCGATAATATCTCGTCTCTTCTTAGAGTTATCGTCTGTCCAGAGTATTTGCCAATAAGGTACGTTCCAGCCGGCTCGGCTTCGTGGCTCGGCATTCAGATAAATCTGGCTAATCTGTACGCATATCTCTTCTCTTGCAGCGTCTAGCGACACCCATTGGCATGGCCCAACTGCTTCCGTTAACTGGAATGTTCGCGCTCGGCGAGCTTGTAAGTTCCGTCTCTTTGGGGTTTGCCGGCTTTGAAAAGACTTTTGCCAATGAAGCTTATGCGCCCCAGATCATCCTCGCTGTGTGGACTGGATACTCTCCGTTAAAACCGCAAAGGGTGTCGAACATTACGACAGGTATAAGCAAAGGCTACCGTCGCTTTCCTCGCCCGCTGCTTAGTCCTAACCTTAAATCTGCCGAATAGCTACATTCGTCAATGTCTGTATGTCTGACAGAGGAAACGGAGGATTTGTTGGTACCATCCTCGGGTGAGATGTGGCTCAAGACGAAAGAATCGGACCACTCTCCTGACTTTTTGTCCATGGCTAGGTACAATGCGGTGCTTTTGGTCGCAACGACATGGTTGGCGATCGCAACCCGGAACGTGCCCAGCAGATTTTCTGATGCAAAGGTACCAAATGAGTTCGTTGCGGAGTTCACGCTACATTCTCGCTTAAACTTTCTGTTTTGACTTCGATGTGTCGCAGTTCATTGCTCTTGCTGTGTATTCGGTAAGTGTTTCTTCATGCATTTGAACAGGGTCATTTATGTGACACCCCAACAATTGGCCGACACTCTATATCTTCACAGCTTTTGATCTGGTGCACGTTGATCATTGCGATGTCCTTCATTGGGGGTTCATCGCCTAGTCTCGTGTTTTACATCACTTCGTTCGGCGTGTTGTTCGTGACCACCACAACTTGGGCGGTAAGTGTGCTTGCATGCGCTTGTTGGGCTAACTTGACAATGTCGTTGCTCACAAATCGGCTTCTTCCCGCACAGCTCTTAATCGGCCGTGTAGTCATTTCGCACTGGAGCGAGCTTCAAGCCCTCAAATTCGACGAGAGTACGAACCCCTTAAAGGATCAAAGCAAGAGCACTATGCTCGTCGCACCGGCTGGGGCAGTTAAGAAATCCCACCCATTAGGCGCTCCTTTGAGCACGAATAGTCAGCAAACCGGACAGCCGATAACGCAGCACGGCGATGTTGGGCTCCGCGGCTTGATCGCTCAGTTCCCAGTTAAGGCCATCACAATCTTGCCCTGGCTGTCCAAGTGGGAGCTTTTCGAGGCTGTTTTAACAATCATGCCGGTGCCCCGCCTGTACCTGCGCTCGGTGACGCCCGGCGCTGCCGAGAAGGCCTACTGCGTTGACGCCGCGACCCTACGCGTATCTCGCCGGAACATCAATGGCACGGGAAGCACGGTTGCGGAATCTGGGTCGGAGGACAGGGGTGTTCCTGCATTTGAGATTGAGTTCGGCGGCCGGAGAATGCTCTTTGAAGCTTCCGACGAGAAGCAGTTCGAACAGTGGTATAATCTGCTGAGAATGGCGAGCAAGCGAATGAACGATGGGCAGTCGGGCAGCTCGTCTGTGCCTTCCCATACGGCGCCGCGTTCTGCTGCTGGAGCTGTGTCTCAACCCGGAGTGTGAGGACGGGTGGAAAGAGATCCGTTGCTGTTCAGTTTTGGTTACCCATTTTGGTTTTCATAGCTAACCCCCCATGATCCTGCTGGATATTATGTCGTCGTTCGCGCAATAAAAACATCTCTCGACTGCAAATCGTAACTACTTTACATGCACACCTGGGTGGGGCCAGCAATCCCACCATCTCATTCTCTGACTAGCTAGCTTGGAGAAAAAAAACCGGCAAGAGCACAAAGGGAGAGATATTGTTCCGCTTCACCAGATGCCAAACCCCTGCATCTTTTACTGGTGCCGGTTTGTTGCGAACACGGTCGCCGGATGTCAGACGTTATTTTCTTTGTTCCTCAACGTCTCAATATCTATGCTTCACGGCCAAACTCGAAGGCCAGCCGCGTAAAGTTGATGCACCCTGTAACAGGCGCCATCTAAAAACTAAAGGGGGGGATCATGGTGAACTAAGGAGAACTTAGGGGGGGAAGGCTGCTATTGGGGGCCCGGCGGGGGGGGGGGGACATTCACAACCAGAGGGGATAAGGATTGGGTTCCCAAGGCTGACGGTTCATGTCTGGTCTGAAGCCGTTATATCGCGCATATGTGTAGAGGAGGTAACGGAAGTTGGCGCCTCCTTGGATGTCTCTGTTCACCATGATGGGCTCTTGTCTAGATGGCTATGTCCCAACGTTAAGCATCTCTTTCCCTTTCCATATGAAATCCTCGACGAGGTTTGGACATGCGAATGTTTCTTTGCGGCACGCTACCATTCCTTCCTGTATCCTTTGCTTTTTCAAGGTGGCACGAATATCTGTAACAGACGCCCCTGGCTACGACCGACATTTACGCCGTACCGTCTGGGTCTCCTTCAGCCGTTATTAAACTTAGATGAAACTGTCCGCGCCCTAATGTTCTTAAGGTGATCCAACACAAACCTGCTAAACCTCACCATCACGATGTCCCAAGTTCATTGCAGCGCACTTCACATTGCGCTCAGGAAGCGCACTCCATCCAAGACCCGGTATTCCAGATGCGCTCGCTTTGAGATGTCTGTCGAGGGTAGTTTGGATTTCTGGCCTCAGGAGAGACGGCAATTCAATATATTTAGTCCGAAAATGTACGCGAGTGTATACATAAAGACAGGCTATGTACAGGGTTGTCTCTCAAGGTGTCAATGGCCGAAGCAGGACTTGCATTGTCTGATTTTCAAAGCAATCTCGGTTGACAGACAGAACCCACGGATCTGCCACCAATTATTTTACCGGGAGCTGGCCCTCCGAAGCAGACAGATCCCAGAGGAGGAAACCGGGGTTTCGATGTTGCGAAAAGTGGAAGTGTCGGTGGCCGATTGTGATTGTGCGGAATGACGGGTCCATGCGAAATCGACAGCGCGTCCCTTGCTGACGAGACCGAGAACTCGCAAGTTGCTTGGTAGGTATAGATGCACGTTTCCGGACATGTGTCTTCGGTTGTTTCATACGCTGCCCGCAACTTGTCAAGTGCCAAATGCAAGAACGACGGATGCAACCGAACTTCGAATCCCGTCTGTTTGCAACTTTTGGGTAAGAATACTGGACGGGCGCATGAGCTTTAGGTGGCCCCAGCAATGACTTCGTCGACGGGTGTATGAATCATTGATCGGCCCGGCGTGCGTGTCAGCCATAGAGCAACGTAACAGTCGTTGCCCGTTATCGGAACCAGAGTCTACAGTGTTTGACTAGATATCGAGGATCCAGGGTGTTTCGGACTACGATGAGAACTGCGGTCCGGAGTCAGCTTCACACGTGATATTTCGCTGGCCAACACGACCGAGTTATCTAGCAAGGCCTGGCGTTTCCCATCGTCAACCTTGAAAGTAGGGCCTTTGCATATTGATTTCCTAACTGAAAAGCAACCAGAGTATGTACGCGATATGGACCTGTCTTTCATGAATTCCTCTTCCCTGCGCGCTACACCCATGACATTAGTACCCATTGGGACGCTACACCCATGACATTTGCAAACGCGACACCCATGGGACCCAAACCCCCACACCCAAAAACTCTCAATATACACTGCTTTGGCATTGCCCACATCACCACTGCCTTGGCTTGCTGGTCAACGCCTCCGCCGTCGTCGCCCAGCTCGACAACACATCCTTCAACCCCTTCGCAACCTCCCTCATCTCCTCCTCCGTCAAAATGACAGGAGGCGTCATCAACAAACAATGCTTGTTGGAGCTCGCCCGCAACACCACCTTTCTTTCCAATAACATCTTCAACTCAACATCCGTCGCGAAATCACTCATCAGGTCAATCCCGATCATGATCCCCTTGCCCCGGATCTGCTTGACCACCATCAACCCTTCCAGCTCCTCCTTCAAGATCTGACGGAACTTATCGCCCGTCACCACCGCGCGTGAGATGAGGTTCTCGTCCTTCAGGAGCTGCAGACACTTGAGCGCGACGGCGGCGCAGGTGGGGTGTCCGCTCCAGGTGTAGTCGTGCTGCCAGATGTCGGAGGGGGAGAGCTTTGTGGCCGGGTTGGCGTTGGCGACTTTGTGGACTTCTTCGGTATAGATGGTGGCACCCATGGGGAGGTACCCGCATGTGAGGCCTTTGGAGATGGCGATGATATCGGGGTGGATGTTGTATTGGGAGAGGGCGAACCTGCTTTATCTACTTGACAGTCCATTGCCCTCTAGGATAGGATACAACAATAGGGGTAGCATTGTCCTAATAATCATCATAATATTCATCTTCCTCATCATCATAACCTTCATAGCCTCCGCCATAGCCTTCGTCATTCTGTCCGTTGTTGTTGTTGAAAGCTGCAAATATCTCATCTCCGCGACACCCGTAGATGTGCGAGTATATCGTTTGCGCTGTAAACTTGCTTCCACATCGCCAGCACCAGTGTTGTCCACAGCGACATGTGATATGATCGCAACCGTAGGTCTTCTCGATCGTGACTCCACAAGAAGGGCAATCCCGCGCATTGAGCCCAGGCGCTGTGTTCAGGTAACTACAGCTTTCGCAACGAAATTCGCCCGTCGCTGGAGGCCCATCTTGAGCACACACCTTCTCCATCCATTGCCGAGGCCTCATGCACATCGTACACCATCCATAGTACCACCCCGGATCGTATCCGTTCGCAGGCCGCTGTCTAATAAGCTCACAGGCTTCGCGGTTGTGGCGGGCGAGAACCCGCGAAGACGGAGATCTTTTGCAGAAAGGGCAAACCATATTTGCTGGTGGCAGGACGTGGCCGCGTTGAAGATAACCATACCACGTGGTTACGCAAGGAGCGCAACATTTCACGACGCAACCGCTCCGCCCACAAGCCGTGACCATTGTCTCCTTCTTCATCTCCTCGCAGCACATCATGCACATCCCAAGTTCCGCAGTATGCTTCCTTGCCCATTCCCGTATCGTATCCAGAACAGCTTCGATGTTGTGTATTGATCTGCCACGGTATGTGAGCTGGTATCGGTAATGCCCATTTGCATCTGTAGGGCAAGATACTCTGCGGAAGACATGCCGCATAGAGTACACGCCTCCACCTGAATTTTGCATAATGTCGTAGGCCGGCGGCGTTGCAAGGAGGTTTAAAGCTTCATGGATCGTGCACCGATTGCTGGGCGATTCGACATACAATCGCCCTATGGTCGTCTCTACGTTCTCCATCGGGCCAGTGATTGCATCGACACGGGGACCGACTGCACAGGGCGCACATTTCCCATCGCCATTCTTCGCGAGCAGACCGTTGGCGTCGATGTAACGCACGTTGCAAGAGATACATCTTATGACAGGGGAAGGGAGGTCGAGACGGCAATAGTGGCAACGTGGGCGAACAACCTTGAGATCTGCTGTCTCGATGACAGCATACCGGACTAGACATCTGCTACAATCGTACATGTGACTCCCATCTTCAGGTCCGTCGGTCTTGGGTTTGTACCCGAGTACACAAGGGGCGCACTCTCCCGCTGCTGTGAGCAGAGTCCCGCTTCTTTGTTTTCCACATTTCGCACAGGGACTTTTCCAGTCAGGTAGCCGGGTTCCTTTGAGATTACTTGATACCTTAACGACGACTTCAGTCCGCTTATTCATGAGAAGCCCTTGCAGCTCCCGCACGATGTTGACCTTTTCCGATTCCTCCGCGGTAAGGATCTTCTCCGCTTTGATTGCCAAACGTATGAAGCCCACGGAGTAGTTTCCAGCTACTTCCATGTCAAGCCATTGCCCACGGACCAGATCCAAATATGAACGTGCCCTCCCGTGAAGAACAGCATTGCGGCTGAGGACCGCTAGGATGGCGAGAATCGCTGAGGATCTCGATGAAAAGGTAAGCCCTTTGCACATCAGATGAGGTAGAAGCGGGATGAGATCCCCATCTGACAGCGCTAATGGTATCGACCGCACGTTCGCCTTCTCCTCTTTGATTACGTAAACATTCGCAAGGAGCTTGATCACTCGAGACAGAGATTCCCGGTCGCAAGAGCTGGTGACAGCGGTGAGCTCCTGCGGACGAAACGTCTCCACAGATTGAAGTGCTAAAGCCGGATAACGTTTATCCGCGGGTACCCGGTCGATGGTTTCCTGAATTTCCTCTAATGCATCATAACTCGCCTCAAGCCATTCTCTAACCTGCTGTTTCTGCAAAGTGTTGAGTGTCTGTAGCATCCTAGTGAACTGAATAGCTATCTTGCTTCTTCGGGGGTCATGGAACCGTCGAATCACCTTGCGCCATACAGCAGCGAAGACGTTGTTGTAAGTGAGAGACACAAGCGCTGCTGAGTCCTTGACGATGTTCTCGAATACAGTGAAAGCGATATCGGTATACCCCTCTTCTTCAGCAAATCGCCGCCTGAGCTCCTTCATGGAGAGACCATGTCCATGTATCTTGGATTGGAAAGGCATGCCTGCAATTGCGGTTGCAGTCGCCTCCCCGCCGGCTTCCGCTCCTTCGATTCGCACTTGAATCGCAGGGACTACCACGGTCGCGGTGGCAGTTTTGCCCGTGCGGCGCGGATTACTGTACCGATTGCTTTTCTTGCTGTACACTGGCACGAACGGGAGGTATCCTTGAAGGCTGTTCTCATCCTTAGCTGCCAATGAAGGCAGCGGTTTGCCGTAGCCCATACGGCTTGCCTCGACATGGCCACATTCGGTCCCAAGGATCCTCAAAAGGATACGAATGGTATCTCTTGTGACTTCCTCCGCCGGGCTTGATACGGGGATCGTATGCGCTTGACCGCCCGTTATCGTCGCGATGAGAGCAAAGAAAGGTATGACCGCTCGTTCTTGTGTATTGATGATGGGGCAAACCACGCAACCCCGGGCGGCTGCGAGTTGACAAAGGTGGACCCAATCGAAATCTTGATTCAACCGTTTCAGTTCCCTTGAGTAGTTCGGGTGTCCGTCATCGTTGCTGATGTGATGTGGCGCAGCATCCCCGTACCATATGACCACGGTAGTTCGAGAGACGTCTACAAGCTGCAACACCTCCCAAAGCGCAGTCTTGCATGCTTCCGGTTCGTCGCCACCCGGATAGAGTTCTCCGTTACCGATGAACTCCTGTATTTCGGTGAATGAGGTGCACCAACCAGACCAGGAGGTCACTGGATACTTTGCAGGGAGCGTATAGTCGGTGTACCACATCAAACCAATCCGGTTGAAGGACCCCGTCAGTGTTGCCAGGTTGAAGACTTGAAAAAGGGTATTTTTCAGTGACCGTTGGACTTCCACCATCGACGAGGTGGAGTCGGCGATGATGACGAAATCGAGATTCGACCGGGCCGTACTCATTGTGGTGGAGGTGTAGGACCTTAAGATTACCTCTTCGCCCTGTCCGCTGCTTTAGCGTTTATATAGTCCCCTTCTGTTGACAGGTGTTACTCATCTTAGTCACGTTTTCTTTTCGCAAGTGGGAAAGTTGTGGGGCACGCGTGAAGATACTCAGAAATTCGACAGCGCGCCAAATTGATGACTCACGCGACTCACAGAAAGTTTGAGTTTATCGATAAACTCGCCTGAAATTCTCAACGCGTTACCTTTAAAAGTAGCAAAGCGTTGAGAATTTCCTCACCAATCTTAACCTATCATCAGCCCACGGTCGATAGAATCATGAGCAACACCAACGTGAAACGCATCCTCTTCAATCCGCTTCTCGCCACAAGGGACGATGTTCGTTCCTTCCTCAAAGATCAGCTTCCAGGCACCGCCCATGTATACAAAAAGAAGCTCCAAGTATGGGACGGAAAGTGTTTCTCAGAAGTGGATTATACGAACCGCCCTGCGTCTTTCTTCCTCGACAACACCGACTTGAACGCTATTGGTACCTCCCTATATGATAGGATCAAGAATCACCAGGGAAATCTCAAGGATGAAGAAAGTTATACGGTAGTCACGCCAACGGAACCGTTTATCGATCTGCCCCACATTGCTGGGAAGAACCTCTTGTTCGCTCTTTCCTTGACCGGGAAACCCACCTTCTATGATCTGGGCGTCGGAAGCGTAAATGAGAGCATCATATGCTGGGCATCCGTGACTTCTCAGCATCTCACGGGTATCTGGCACAGCGGCGACAAGTCATCCGGTGGAGTCCTCCTGCATCACGTTCAAATGGAGGAGAACCTTCACAGAGACCCTTTTGTTGTCTTTGTGTCTGGTTATAGCAATAATGCCTTGCATCGCTACGCTCAACAGAATCCAGCGGTGCTGCTTGTGAATCACGAAACGAGGAGCCTGTATCTCGTCCCCATCCCTTTGGACCCTGCGAGTATCGGCACAGACACGACTGTTTGCTGTTCGGCTGTCGGACAACGTATATCCGACACCCACATTCGCTTCACATTCCTTCCGAATCCCCCGACCTGCAGAGGTATGCACGCAAGCGGCCGTATGCTCCGTGGCGCCCGTAACGCCTTTCAAGAGGCGATTCAGACGGCCCGTTCCATCTGTGATCACACCATCGCGACCGCAAAGCAACGTTCCTCAGCGGCATTACTACCTATCCAGCCTGCGTCTGCATCAGAAAGTACCGCGGTGGTGAGAAGGACCGGGGATGCGGGTTTCATTCACATATCGGAAGTCGCTATCGTCGAGAAGGGAACATCCATTCCAGAATTCGTTCGTCCCAGTCATGTGCTGTGGTTCAAAACGGGTATCACTCTCACCGAGTATGATGATCGCGGTGGTAGTAGCATTTTGGCCGATGAGGTTGTCTTTCCGTGTTGCCTGGGGAACATTCTTGAGGGCCGGAAGCTTCTAGCGCTGGGTCAACCTTCTATGGGGCTTCCTGGGAATGTAAGAAATGACACCTTCGATTCCTTGTTTGAAAAGGGAAAGGCCCCGGTTATCATTGTGTCAGACACGATGACCGATCAATGTCGCTTGTTGAATCCTACGGAGCGCATCAACGGGCTCTTCATCATCAAACCAAAGACGCCTTTTGATCTCAAGATCCTGGATAAGGAGGACCTCCGCCATGCGTTTCTTATCGATCTGAACATCAATGCGATCACTTCTCTTGCCGGCCCACAATCGCTGGTGGTGGTTCAACTTGCGGAAAACTTTTTTTTCTACCGCGGTATCCGATGGCCTGGGCTTCTCGAATTCTTGCCGTCGTTCGGAGACGACATCACAGATGAAATTGTATCTCTGGCAGACGCTGATGTCAACCTTCCCTGGCCGAGGCGGGTCTCCATCGGAAAAGAGGGGAACTCTCTTTCGCCTTACTTCCTCGGCACCAAGGTGTCTGTATCGAGCATACCGGACACGTTCGCCGCTATGAGTTTCGACATGATTCAAGAGCGTCGGGAGGACATTACCGACATCTTGACACAACTACAGACCGTCATGGCGGGAGAGGACATCACGCATTTTGCACAGAAGCTGATTGAGACGATGAAGGATAAAATATCGAAGGCCATCGAACCTTACAAGGGACCATACATCGATTTCATGATCTCGAATTTCTCACTGGGGTCAAGGAGCCCTGAAGACATCAAGGCTATGGAGGTTCGAAAGAATACCCTTCATGCGGCCTACCGCGATGCTGAGAAGCAAGCAACCGCAGCTTGTCAGTGGCTGATCGACGGACTCGGAAACCTAGTGTCCACCCGCACATCATCCGCTAAGAAACATGATCTCAAACAGCTGGAGAGGAAGAACAAGGTGGCAACAAACGTGGCTGATGCCAAGACGATGACAATGGATGATCTAAATCACATCCTGGGGTTGCATTGTCGCGAGATCGGTGTCGTCAGTGGCCAAATTGACGGTAACGTCTTGCAAGACATGCTTCGAGAAGTTGCAAAGAACACCCTGTTGGGGGCCGTCAATCACCCTCCGCTGAACAAGAAGCGACTCTCCGCAGCATTGACGGTCCGCGCAGGCACCGAGGTTGCAACCGTCCTCCCACTGGTCAGATCATTCCATAAGGGTCCATTGGCATCGGCGAAGGCTGGTGATGACACCATCTGCATGGCCATTCCTCAATCAGGCCCAAGCCACGAAGGCGATGGTCACCATTCGGCCTTACTTTGGGCTTGCTTCGACGAGTTCGTGAACCTCAAGGACCCGTCGGAGATGTACTGGCCCCAGGCGTGCATGGAAGGTCACATAGCTAAGCTGCGCATCTTGACTCGCAGTACCATCGTTGGCGCCACCGCTGCAAAATCTTTGAACATCCACCCCGGCAACCGAGATATCGGATTCTTCATGATCATCGCATTGTTGCATCTCATGTATGACTACGCGACATCACGTAAGGGGGACATTCCGACCGACTTTTCCGGTCCTTACTGTCAGGTTATGCGCGGGCTATTCGGCCAGCTTCTGAGTATCGCCGCCTCCGGTTCGGGCAAACCCTTGTCCATGGTGTGGCAGCTTGTCCTCAAGAATCCCAAGCTTGAACTGCCTCCCTCGGATGAGATCTTCATGTACACTGCGATGTGTGATCTTCTGCCCCACACGGGTTGGCCGCTGGACAGCTTCCGAAAGAACGTGAAGCTTCTCCTCGTCCGAACCTTGCGAGAGAGGATAACCGACCCGGTAACCGAACCGATGAGGAAGGCGGTCACCGCGATGAAAATGGCGGAGGCCAATGAAAGCCTCGAGACTCGGAACGCTCAGCTGCAGTTCCTTCAAATCGCCGTGGAAGTCGTGCGCCATCTGCAAAAGAGCAAATCAAGCACAGATGATCGAGTTGTAAAGGAGAAAGTTCGCACGGTAGCTTTGCGCATGTTGGAAAAGCAGCCGGCTGATATTGAGAAGACCCGCGGATTCGGTATCGTCATTGATTATCTTCGGACCATCGCCAAATATGGAGGAACCACTGAGACGCATCACAAACATGTCGCCGAAGCCTGCGCCAACATGTACGCTAAACGAAGTGCTCGCTACAAGAAGGCTAAGAACGCGGTACTCACAAGTGGAAAGAAAGGAAACGATTCGGGGGTCGTGGAGGTCATTGGGAAGATGGAGGGCGAAAAAGAGCGCATCTCAGAGACGTGGGGAGTAGATATTGCCAATGTGAAGATTCAAAACTGGGACCCCTATGTCTCTATCAAGGCCGCAGGGAGCGCTTCTAAAGACAATCTGGACAAGGTTTCCAGCGATGCCGAACGTATCAGGATCCCATGGCGTGTGCTTACCGGTGAAGAAGCGCCTGCAGCCGAGATCGACGAAGTTGTCAAGTCGGTTCTTGGAGACTTATCGAAACAGGAAGTTCAGAAGACCACTGCGAACGCCGCAGCCTCCCTCAACGATCCCGACGCCAACAAAGCGGTGATGGTCATTCAAAGTTTAGACAAGCGTCTTGCGCAGATACAGAAGAGTGACAAGGCAGTGGAGCTGGCTGCGAAGCTTAGCAAACTGGAGGTTGCAGATTACGCTACCCTAGCGAACTTCTCGAACCCAACGGCCTTCGCAAAGTTCCTTAGTTTCGCGACCGCTTCTCCATCCGAGACAGGTCGCGAGAAGCTACAGAGCATCATCGAAATGCTGCTAGAAGGCTGGAGGAATCCGGTGATCGCAGAAGCCAATGCCCTGTGCTGCCTCTAGACTGGTGACGGATCTTTTGGACTCCGCCGTGTATATAAGGCGGGCATACACTGCTTCTACTCTGTGAGAACACGCGCATTGCCGTAAAGTACTTCGTAAAGTACTTTTACGAAGGCATGTGGTGCCAGCGTTTTTTGCCCGACGGGCAGAACCGTTATGCATTTGGTGTTCTGCTGGGCCACATTCGGAAGCACCGTGGAGTCTGCGTGTGGAGGATGACAGCAGACGGGAGGGGGTATAGTGGGCGCACAGGCTTGGTGATGGTTGACAGCCCGTTGGAGAATGATGTTGAAATAACAGCGGACCCGTTGGACGAGTGATGGAATGGAGAAGGCGGGGGGTTCAGGGGGGCGGCAGCCTTGTTGAAATAACAGCGGACCCGTTGGACGAGGGATGGAATGGAGAAGGCGGGGGGTTAGGGTTTAGGGTTTAGGGTTAGGGTTAGGGACTTCTCTTTTGTACTTTAGACAAGACTTCTTATAGGACTTCGTCTCTCCTACGGTTACCGTTCATCTCTAGCTATCTCTGCCGAGTCCCGACCACCGCTAACACGAACCGTGAAGTTTCTCAAGTATTGCAAAGATCAACTGGGATCGAAAATCGAAACCAATGTTTGGCCGTAACCGCTGGAACAGAATTTTGGGATACGGACGAGGATCATATTCGTGCTACTACGTTACAGGAAGGGATTTCTTACTCCACAGTGAAAGCCGAGATCGACAGATCACAAGAACGACTTCTGTACCTAACGATAAAGATTTGCAGACAAAGAATAGAAGAGAAAAACGACAAAAGAGATGACGCCGAATATGTGGTGATGCAGTGGCTTCCCGCGTTGTCAGAAAAGGAAGGGCCTTCATTCGGGGTCCTCTTCGTCGCTTCTCATTGGTGGATGCTGCGTTATGAGCCTGAACGTGTATGGCGCCGACTCCTCTTTGCCCTCTGCTTCGACCAATTCAGATTCCGTGGCTTCCCGTGACACGGCCGGTGTGGTTGTTGGGCTTGAATCCCGAGCCGCCTCGAAGACGAACTTGAGCCGTTTCCAAATTTCCACCTTGTTCCACCTTATGTCATATTGGCGGGAGCGTCCGAGCTTCCCGTTGTCTTCAATGACAAGAAACACCCACTCGTAACCGTTTGTCGCGAATCCATAGACTCGGGGGTGAGCTTTCTTTGTGCGTTTGCGAGCTACATGGACCATTAACATGTAGGAAAGTGTTTGTAAAATGATGGTGTCCCCAATTTTGGTTCCTCGGGTCTTGGCTTCTCCAACTAGGGAAAGGTTCTCGAGGCTTTCCCCACTTCGTTCTCCGTATCCCAAAAAGTAATCCCCAGCTCCTGAGAGAGTTAACCCGGTTTCTGGGGAAGTGTATGACGCCGAGATCTCGCCGTACAAACGCAGCTGCTGCATGGTTGGCTCGGGCGCTGTGTGGCGCATCACTTCCAAGGAAATGCAGTCAATATAGGTGCGTGTCAGCGGCTCCGACCGCATATCAAAGTATTTTTCAAGGTCCGCCCATTGAGTTTCTGATAGAGGATATGGTGCACATGAGGGAAAGTCAACAAGGGTATCGGGTGATGTATGGCAGCACAGCACAGCTTACCGAATGACTGAGAGACTTCGACTGGTGGCAGATCCGCTGGCATGGTAAAAGACTCGGTAGTGAAACCGCTGCCGCTAGCCTCAAGAATCATGAAAGGATCATACTCCTTGCCAAAGACGGTTATGAGATCCTTTCGAGTGACGGAGCTCGGTTGGACAGTTTTGGAGACGGTTGCCTACCCAGACATGGCGTCAGAATACAATAAGAAGGGCAACTTCGACGAAGGTATGCTTACAAAAAGATCAAAAAAAGCTTTGGCCTCGGGATTATCTGCCGCCAATTCGTCAAACTTTCTTTTTTTGTCGGCTGGAATTGCTTCGAAACGCTCTCGTGCAAGCTTTTCATATTTCGAGACGACCCCCATGGTTGGTTGGTTGACCTGCGGGTATCTTACAATGGGTTGAGAAAGAATGTTCGTTGAACCCAACGGCGGTGCGGCACATTAGACCTTACAGTGACAACGAAGAAAGACCAGCCTTCACAGGCCTCGTGGGCTTTGTCAAGAGTCTGCTCTTCGTGCTGGTGATATGACGTCAAGTTACCACGCGGCGTTTAGATCTATAGAGACCGGAGAATAGGAGCCGCCCGTAGACCAAGCGTAGGATGTGGTGTTGACAGGAATGGGCCTGCCAGTTGAAAGGAAAGACGTCACGAACATCCTAGATCAGGGTGGAACCCTAGCTGCTTAGTGTATGCACAGCAGCACATGGCAAACCCCGCATATTGATTCCCATTTTGACGAAATCTCCACGAATTCCGGAGAAACTCTGCTGGGTGGCAGTCACTTACGCCATACACCGGGCCCTTGTAGAGCCTCAATGACATCTGGGGAAAAGTCGATGTTCGTGCCTCCTTACCCACTTGAGGTGTGTTACAGGATTCTCAAATGGAACTCACCTGAAACTGGTTCTTCGCAGCGCGAATTATCTAGGGAGCATCGGTGAATGGCTCTTCGATGTTTTGAAAATGGTGCAATAGGAAAAGGGACTGATGTGTTGAGGGAGCCATGCATCGGTAACCCTAACCCTAACCCGACCCGTACTGAAGCGCTCAAAGGTTGGCCATGGCTGCCAGGAGTGAGAACTCCAGCCGCTATATCAGCTCTCTGTCCAGGCGTCTATCCGCAGCTTCGTCAGGCATGTTGCGCTGTGCAAGAAAAGGGGAAAGAAGTTCCACCCTGGGCTGCATTCCGACTTTTGCTTACAGAAGAGGTGTCGGCAGCAGACAACTCGGCTCGCGTCCTGAGCCAGGTCCTCCTTCTTAAACCAACTCGCTGTAGGCTCGGTGCTTCGCGGAGGCTAGTATAGGTTTGGGGTGCCTTCTTCTTTGTATCATATATGGATGCCACAACCAGTGGCGGGTTCTATCCAGCTCTTTTGTGAACAATCCCATGGGTTCTTGTCAAATCGTGCTTGCTGGCCAGCGTGCTGGCAATTTGGCAAACCGTTGAGGCCCAGGTTGAGGCCAGAGCTACAGTATTCACTGTCACGCGTCCACGCGCCGCTGCAAGAATGGGGCGTGGGAAAGAATGAGCCGCTTCAACTTGACTTTCCCTAACCCAAGAAGCACAGTCGCGGCAACATCTTCCACCTTTGGCAAGTCACCAGATAAACTGGGTGGCAGTCAATCCTGTACAGCTGGTCTCAGGTTGTACCGGAGGGCTCTCTGGGGCCAGAATTCCTGCGTAGGTGCGAAGCAGCAACCGCTTGCAAGCTGCAAGGTCAACGATCCGCCCCAACAGCAGGTGCTTTTTTCGCAACCTTCCTTCCTCGCTGCAAGGGTTCCAGCTGCCTTCCTCGTGGTCAGACAGGATAACGGTTGATTTGGCGAGGAGGACCAGCAAGCGAGCTGAAACCAAACCTCAAAGTGATCACGCGTAAGTTCCGCGGGCAACCGGACTTCAGAGAAAGGAGCGCCAGTCAGGATGGATGTGGCAGCCTACCCAAATAAGAGGAGGAGAAGCGAAACTACAACTACACGTTTCTACGCCAATGGAATCACAGCACTGGGCGCTCTCTACTGGGGCATGAGAGTTCTATCGGGATTCAGAACTTGGGATATCAACCAACGCAGGGATGCCTCTCGCGCCTCGAACAAGGTGTCAGACGTGATGGAATGCCAGGCAAGCTACACCTAAACCGAGCCAGGAAGCTCGCCGACTTCGGAGTACGGCCGGCTACAGGCAGGCTACGCACATCACATGGATGCGTGCATGTGTTACCTGGGTGGGACACTATTAGCTTGTCAAAGCCGCTGTTATACGAATGTCCGGTCTTCAGGCCCCTTAACGAACTCCTCTGTCCACTTTGGGAAGGAAATCTTGGATGATACCGGGTTTTCCGAAGGAGCTTTCCCGAGGTATGCCTCGTCAAGTGATGACAGTAGCAGTGTTGAAGCTGACGGTTACCCCAATCTGTTTTCAGCGCTGTAGCGTCGTGCCAAGCAACCCGGTCCATTCAATGTGCGGGGAGGCCAGCCATGACGGTTCCATTTCCTGGGAACACTCAACACGCATCACGTGCCCGGATGCCAACCATTCGTTGCAGCGGGGACAATAAATTGAGCCGCAACAAGAGATTCCTGATACTTCAGTGCTCCGTCGTCGTTTCATCCTGAGCACAACGGTATCCGAAGGAGATGACCTTGCAGCTACGCTCGTATCCCTCTCCTCTAACCGTGTGCCGCCAGCAAGTTGGGGAGCTTGCCCTCCCCGTACTGAAAGGTCGGTAAGATACTTGTTTACGAGGCCAACTTGCCCTTGGAAAAGCTGCTAACTCCAGTTGCTTACAGACGTAGCCTCGCGAGTTTCCTTTGTCCTTCTCAAAGATGACTGCTCTGCTTTGGGAGTCCCGTATGGCAGGATCCGAGGCCTGCTGAACAGGAGAAAGTCTGGCTCTGCGGTGCTGGTGCTGATTTTGAGTGGGGCGGAACTGAGGGAGTTCAAGGCGGCAATGACGTACGCTACGACCGCATCCCATCTGGCCTTCGTGCAGCAGGCTGTCCTAGGGAAGCTTCTTCGGGACATTGGATATAGTAGCGAAGGTCTCTTTACGGAACTTTCACTTGAAGGATAGGATATCAGCCCGGAAGCCGCAAACCGGATGGTGGACAATGATGCGAACTTGCTGCTGCAGGAGCCAGGCGAGATTGAACCCAAGCATGTACCATTGTCGGTTTGGGAGCGACTGGCTGGGAGTAAACAAGTTCCCACCAAGCTGATGAGAAATTCTTGTTATCTAAGAACATCATGCGGGGAGGGAGGAGGTATATGCTGTCCTTCTGCCGAGCCCTTCCTGTGGTGGGAGCCCCAAGTCAGCGGAGCATCCACAATATATCAGCTTGCCACCTACTCCGCCAGTCGAGCGGCAGAGGTCTGCGGGGTTTCCCTGCCGACCTTCTTCAGAAAAGAGAGATCCCCTTCCGCCTGCTCCAGGAAACGAGGGACAAGATTTAGCGGAGGCTACCTCGCGATATGACCACGTCCATAACCTAGCCCCCGAGTATGGTCGAGCTACACCGGACCAGTGGGGCTTCCGTTCGAGGGATTCACCAGAGTATGGCACAAAATGGGTACGTCTAGCGGTAGATGGAGATTGGAGACTGTGTCGTGGGTCTCACAAATTCTTCCACATGTCTTCCAACACAGTTTGCCGAAGACCGGGATAGAGCGGACTTCTTATGTGGATTCCCAGCTGTTGCAGGTCAATATCTCCCTGTGTTTGACATCAAGAATAGACTGACCATGTCCTCATCAATACATGAGAGTTTTGGCGCATTTCGGTTTTCTATCTGGCCACGTGAAAACAAGGTCAGACCAATTGTCATTATCTTCCGCATCAACGCCTGACTGGTGGGGTTCTTTCCAAATAGTTTTTCGTCCATCTATTCCATCCTGTCACTGGCTTACGGCACGGGCAAGAAGTATCCACCCCTCGGATTCTTCCTAACGGACCGACTCCAACTTATTTTCGAGACCTTTTTCCCGAACCGGAACTACTCTTCGTGCACTTTGCTCAAGCGGTTCTAGTCAATATGCGAGGTGCTGGCGAAGAGTTTATTTCGTTGGAAGATAGCGATGACGATACGGAGGAGGAAGTCTTTGCTAGTACAGTCTGTGTCCATATGTCTGCAACCTCACGTGATTAAGTCAGTGTGCATTGCGACGGCCGGCCTGGACGTCATAGGTGGTCGCAGACATATGGACACAGACTATACTGTACGATTGAAGATCTTCATATTCATCCATGGGACAGCGAACAGGACATTCCCAGAATTGTGCGCCGAGATCAGTTGAGGCGTTCATGCGACACATTGTATGAGGTTGAACAAGCTTAGAAATTGCCGATGCATCTTACTACTGGGTTGAAATCCCCTGGAAGAAACGGGTTCGAGAACAGCAGGTGACCGTACCAGTTGATCGTGGCCTCTTTGCTGGCTAGGTCTGAGGAACCTTGCCCTCCAAGGCCCGGTGCCTCACAGCGCGCCCAACTGACGTTAGGATTCATATAACTTACTCAAGCCTCTGCAGAGTCACTGGAAGAACAGGGACCCGTCGGGTCCATCGGCCAATCTACCCGCACCGCATGGATTGCGGATTCCAGAAGTAACCTATATATGGAGATCAACCTACGTATTGAGATCGCGCAAGTGGTGTTGGCGCCGAACTTCCGATCCCACCAAACATTTGGCGATCCCACCAAACATTTGGCGTGTATATCATTCGCTCTATCATTATGTTCGCAAGATTGCCGTGACCTATCTACATCTACAGTAGGCTGCCAGATATCTGGTTACGACGCCCCAAGGACACATCATTCCGAGCATAGCCACCGACTCAAGTTGCCGACCCCCATGCAAATCCTTTCAGCACGACCCCTAGCCCAGGGCAGGACTGACAGCTGGCCGGTGACTTCTGGGTTGCACAGGGAGGCTCAACAACCCGTCGTAACCAGTATCTGGCAGCCTACTGCACATACGCCGGTACGCCTACTCTCCCTCTCATACCAAAGCGGACCTAGACCCTGCCATCTCTGCCCTCCCCCTCGCCTTCTTCGCCTTCCTTCCCCTCGAGCATCTCTCCATCAACTTGCCGCTATAGTAGCAACCCCCAATGCATACAAGCAGGCCTCCCACAATTGCACCAATAATCATGATGATTGCGGGCGTGCCGATTGCGCCATCCCGCCCTTTGCTCACAAAATCCCCGGGTGAATAAGTGCCAATGAGTTTGCATTCGGGGAACCCTGACATGGACTGCTGGGTGCTGTCGCAGCCCCAGCCCACCGGGCACACATCTGTGGCATCCGCATTAGCGCACGGATACCGGATGTTCGCGACACGTTCGTCCACGCATGTGCCATTGTTGATGCAGCGATAACCACAGGGACAGGTGTTGAAAGGTGGGGTTGCACCTTTTACGACGAGGCATTGGCGGGGAACATCCGATCCTGCAGGGTTTGGGGCGATTGCGGGGTAGCCCAGTGGTATCTGACTCCGGGGCTCACACCGCCGAGTAGTAGCCGAACATGCCAGTTCCGTACTTTCGCATCGGTTCACGTCTTCAGCAGAAAATGTGACATTGATGTAACCCATGGGTGCGTCGAAAGTCCTACTGTTGCCGTTGGAGCAGGCCACACCTTGAGGTATGTTCCGCATGCAAACGTTGATATACCCGTCGCTTAACGTCAGGGAAGTCCGACCATTCTGCACAATCGTCGAGTCGTACATCCGACCACAAAAGTATCCTTCAGGACATATCGATGTGGGCGAACGAGAGCACAGCTCAAGGGACGGGTCGGCTTTGTCCCGCACACACGGAAAGAAAATTGTCGAAGAATAGTTGGCAGGAAGTGTTAGGTTGCGGTTTTTGAGGCTGCTGATAGCTTGATCCCTGGTGGCAGCATCTTGGGGCGACAGCGTACAGACATGGTCAAAAAGCGGTTGCGTGGTGGTCACGGCGGCAGGGCTGCAAACTGCTCGAGGGTGAAAAGCGAGGCAGGGGTTGCGATCTGCGGTCGAACTATTCGCCGGCGAGCACGGGATTTGGTAGGTAATTTGGGTGGCGGACATGACCGAGTGCTTTCTGAGGACCGTGATGGAGGCTGGAGTGCAATGCGGCTAAGATAGGGTGAGGGTGCAAGAGCGAGGCTGGCGACTTCGGGAGGGTTCGCGGGCCATTATTGTACGGTGCTTGTACTGTATTTCAGAAAGCTGCTTTGGAGTTCGCCTGCGAAGAGTCGAGACTCGAGAGGCGGGGCTGGTTGGCGACTTTACGTCCGTCCCCTCATTTGGCGGTTGGTTGCACCAGGCTTTTTAGCGTCGAGCGAATGCGCGCAGTGGCTCTAATTTTGGTTCAGCCGGCAGGTTGAATTACGGCCACCAGGGCGAGCTACAAACTTCAAAGTTTGAAAGCATCGATTCTCTATATTTTATCAGTTTCAATTTCACCGAGGAGTTGGCGCCGTGAGTCTGTTGAGGTTGGCAAGTTGCAAACTACCACTACAACCTTAGTAGTACCGTGACCGGCACGGTAACATTTTCGGCACCTGGCCTCACCACATCTAATCTGCAAAATTTTCAGTTGCACCGATAGTGCAAAAAAAGACTCGGATGTGACCAGAAAACTCCTGGCCGATATAGTAAGCTCGAAGGTTAATTCCTTCCTTTCTGATTGGCATGGGCCAATATTGACAGAAGCGGAGATGCGTCGGAATCTGACCGTTTACGACCACTATTTTCGTCCCCGCTGTGTCGAAGATCGACCGACCCTCCATCGGGAAATTGCGCTTCTATGAGGGCGAATTAGTAGGCCGCGCCAGAATCTCTCTCGCGGGCCTCTTTCGGCCCCATATCCCGACCCCGCCGGAATATCACCCCGCGGGAAGAGAAATAATGGCCCAGCGGCATCTCGATTCATGCGGACGCGAGATTTGCATGCAGCTACTGTACAAAATAGATGTACAAAACAGCTAAGAGAGGGGGCAATGGAATGGGAAATGAGGCAATGCCGCCATCCGGGAGAAAAAAATCCACCAGGTTTCCCGTTGGGAGGTGCTGACCTCGGAGGTGAGCATAAGAAGCTGGGACTGCGGCCCCGGACCCACTTGGTCTCGCAGGCATTGCTATTCGATCGTAACGTCCCAGCCATGCTTATGCGCGGCCTCCTCCTCGTTACCTCCCTGGCTCTCACGCCAGGGAGCTTGGCCCAATCCCCTTGCAGGTTCGTTACGGTTCTCAGTTCTTGATCAACAACATTAGGCCCGTCATAACCTTCTTTTTCCGTTGCTACCACCATTTAGGACGTACACTGTTGCTGCCAATGATTGGTGCGAGAAGGTTGCTCAAAGTCAGCACATTACCTTGCCTTAGCTGCTCGCTTTCAACCCCGGACTCAAGTGCGATGCAATTTCCCCGGGGGACCGCCTATGCGTTTCGGCCGGCCCCATGCCGCCGCCTCCCATGTTGCCAGCCAATCCGGACGGAACCTGTCGTTTCAAGGAAGTTAAGGAAGGGGGTTGGTGCGAAAAGATCGCGACTGATTGCGGTACCAGCTTGGCGGCATTCATGCGTGCCAATCCAGGACTCGATTGCCAAGCGCTACAAGCCAATCAACGCATGTGCTGCGGTTTGGGCGTGAAGCCCTCTCGTGCACCCAAACAGAACCCCGACGGAACCTGCGCCCCTTACGATGTACTCGCAGGCGAATCCTGTTCCGGGATCGCCGCAAAGTTCGATTTGACACTCGCACAGCTCGAAGCCTACAATCAAGCCACGTTTCGATGGATGGGGTGTGATAAAATCCAGGACGGCGCAAGAATCTGCCTTTCCACAGGCACGCCTCCTGTCCCCGCCGTCGTCGATGGAGTCGAGTGCGGCCCACAGTCGGCCGGCAACAAGAAATGCCCTCTCAACGCCTGCTGCAGTTCCGGAGGCTACTGCGGAGTTACTGCGGAGTTACTGCGGAGTTACTGCGGAGCATTGCCTTCCGGATCCGAACGGGTTTCCATGTCTCTCGAACTGCTTCATGCCACAAGTACCTAGCACTTGCGACGGTTCCAACGTGAAGCGCAAGGTCGGGTATTACGCTGGATGGTAAGCGATTCCGGGAGGATTCTGCGGTACATTTCTGTTGGATCTCTTACCTATTGAAACTCGTCGGATGTATAGGGGAGCGGCACGCAAATGCAGCCCGTTGGCGCCAGAACAACTGGATATGACGGGGTTTACTCATATGATTTATTCCTTTGCAGTCATCAAAAACGGAGTTATAGGTTTCGAGGACCCTGCTTTCGACGAACCGATGGCTCGCCGTCTTGTGGCAAGGAAAGCTCAATTTCCTCAGACACACATCCTCATCGCGGTCGGTGGATGGGCGTTTTCGCAAGATGATCCCACGAAGTCACTTTTCTCGGAAATGATAAGCACGCGAGAGAAGCAAGACCGCTTCATCGCGTCGGTCCGAGAGTTTCTCGACAAGTACAAGTTCGACGGAATCGATATCGATTTTGAGTACCCAGCTTCAATCGAAAGGAACGGCCCGCCCACGGAGACTGCCAACCTCTCAGCTTTTATGCAGAACATGCGATCCAAACTTCCGTACTGGAAAGAAATCAGCATGGCCACTCCCGCTGGATACTGATTCCTGAAAGGCTTCGACTTGAGTGGTCTTAACACCGCAGTGAGTCGTATGAGTGGTCCAGAAGAACGGCAGCTCCTCCCAAACTAACGCACGATGTGTTGCCCGCAGTGTCGTTCATCAACATCATGGCCTACGATTTCCACGGCCCGTGGGATGCCACTAGTGCCGGTGCCTGGGATCCCGCTCATTACATGAAGGCTGCCTCCCAAACAAGCATGAAAGAAATCGAGGAGAGCCTCGCTCTCTACATACGCGCTGGCATCCCTACCGACAAGCTCAACCTGGGAGTGGCGTACTATGGACGCAGCTTCAAGTTGGTCAATCCGGGCTGCCAAGGCTACGGTTGCGCGATGACTGGCGGTGGCAGGGCCGGAAAATGTTCCGGTGAAACCGGATATCTTGCGCAGTTCGAAGTGGAGGAAATGATTCAGCAGTCGGGTGTCCGGCCTCAGCTGGATGCTGCCACCGGAACCAAGTATTTCACCGCCAACGGCGACCTCGTCACTTATGATGATCCGGAAACGTGGGCGATCAAGTTCGAATTCGCCAAGAAAGCTTGTATGGGGGGCATCATGATTTGGGCCACCGATCTGAATACGAATCCCGTCACCATCGCCGCCGCCGCGAGAGCGCTTCCGGTGCTCTCATCAGTCCCCATCACTCCGCCAAACCCCACGACTCCTACGATCCCAATCGGGCAAAAGAACTACATTTGCAATGGAGACAAAAACATTTGCCGGTTGCCCATTCCTTGGATCGCTTTCAGGGGCCAGCATAATGCCGGCATGGGGACGGGGTCGGTGGGCATAAGTGCCTTGTGGTCTTGCCATAAGGCCACACAGCAAGGTTTCGTCGCACAGCTCAATAACGGTGTCCGGTGGCTCAATGTCGACTTGCTTCTCAACGGGAATACGTTAACCAACGGTTACTACCTGCCGAGACCCGTCTTGAGCGTCTTTGATGGGCCGTTCTTTGCGCAGCCAATCGAGCAGAGTTTGATTGAGGTGTTCAAGTGGCTCAAGGTGCAGGCTCTCGGAACCTTTGTGGTGGTGAGTAGTTCATGGGCTAGAATACCTTTCCGACCTCCACCCGACTGATTCCCTTCTCAGTTTCAGGCGGACGATCTGAATGCGGATGCCTCCGTGGCCGGCAACGGCGCCCACTACTTTGGTCTCGTCAATTTGCTGGACGTTGCCATCGACAATGCATGTGCAGCAACAAACACATGCGCCATGATCCTGAAGAACGACGACAAAACAGGCATAGCGGACATTCTCCGGGTTCCTCTCGAGACCCATGTCACCAACAATAAGAAGATCATATTCACAACATGGTACAGCAATGGAGGCTACAAAAACGTCGTTACCGCCCTCAGCTCGTCGACGTCACCAACTCGGCGGGTAACAGAGTGAGAGCGACGGCAAACCTCTATGAACACAATTGGGAAGATGGTCCGATGAAAGGCGATGTCCCCACAATCTTATCGTGGCAGCGCCAGGCCAACAAGTATCGCGCCCCCTTCGAATTGAACGCCTTCGACGGAGACGCAAGAGGCAAATGGGAGACGGGAAAGGATTTCGATGATGACACGTTGAACAGAGAGGCCGATATATTCCTCGGTTACTTTATGGAACGCCTGGACAAAGGGCAACCCTTCTCGCATTTGCTAACGGACTATGATGAGTGGCACCAGTCAGGCGCAAACACATTCATCCGAAAGATGAACCAGTACAATCTTGCCCTGTACGATTATTGGATGACGCCACCACGACGATTCTTGAACGATCAGTACGGATTTTGGGTCTTTTGGGAAAAGGATGCTACTCAGGTTCACCGACGTGACGAATCAATCCTCGTGAACCGCACACTTGCCGACGTTTCGGGAGCCAAGCCCTCCAATGGCTCACCCCGTCCCAACCCGATCTCCGCTATCGGCAATGCTAGCCTTGCTACCAGCAGCGGCGAGGTCCTACAAGATTCGTCTTTCTACATTCGTCAGATCCACGACACCATCACGCGTTACGTCAAGGCCGGAATCCCGATGCCTCTCTACAAGATCGTTCATCCAAAGGACGCCGGTTTGCCAGACGGCGCATTCACGCCCTTCCCGATCACGCCCGAGCTCCTCCTTCCCGGCCTCAAGATCCGCTACAAGAATCCGGCCAATGCGACCGTTCACAACCTCCACACCTCCAAGCGTTCGGAAAGTGTTTGGTTGCGACTCCGCCGGCAAATCCTCAAGAAGAGTTCTCGGTTCGCAGCCGTGTCCCGGGCCATCGAGACCCGCAAAGGAAATTCCACCGTGCCGAAGCCGTCGCAATTCGTCAACGCTCTCCTCAAGGACGACACCAATGCGGACTGAGAACAGCATTTGATCGCACTCGGCCGCTTTTCTATGGTTTTCGCTCGTACTTTGTACCTTTTGCTCATTTATTTTCATTCTCCTTCGTCACTCCTCCGTTTGCTTTCATTATAGACTTTCCAAGGCTAGCGCGAGCACTTTAGACTGATGTTCCGTCATAGAAAACTGTTTGTGATAGATATTTCTCCTGCTTCTTACCCTTTTTGCGTCCCGTATTTCCTCCCTTCCCTTTTTTTCTGCATCATCATAAATCGCCTTTAAATACATTCTGTTTCCCATCGAACTATTCCATCCCCCATCCCAACGGATTGTTCGCTCGCACATTTCGTGGACGCGCAACATTTAGGGTTAGGGTTAGGGTTAGGGTTAGGATTAGGGTTACAAGACCCCCTGGGCTGGGTTTTATTACTCCCGGCCCCCGCCACAACCACTTTGCCGGGAAACGTAGTTCCCTTTGTACACCATTTGTATCCATCTTTTTTGCTCAAAATCTTGTTCATTGACATTCGTACACTAGGCAAATGCTCACATTCAATTTCTCTGATTAGCAAGACTTTGTGCGATGGTTATAACGTGAAAGGGTGGAAAACATCTTTGCAGTAGGGGGCCAAATAGGGATGCGCTGTGGTGAAGAGAAATAATATGCTGAGAGCTGCTGATGAACGCCCATATGCAGGTCGCAACCGCCGTGGCGCATGATAACGAACCTGTCCCAAGGTTGAACCGCCGCGCGAAAAAGATTTACGCCGTCGAAGACGATTGAGCAGCCGGTCCAGCCGGTCCATCCACACTCCCACTCCCACTCCCACTCCCACTCGCCTCCCCCTGTCTCCCCAACCTCTCCTGCAAACTCCGCACCTGCTCTCTCAACACCCGCATCTCCTCCTTCTCCCTTGCCCCTTCACCCTCCTGTTTCACAAGATCAATCACACCCCCCTCCCCTGTTTTGGCACGTTTGACAACGACAGAGGATGAGGATGAGGAGCCAGCTTCACGTTTGCGGCGTGTGACGGTGAACGAGTCTGTTTCTGCTGTGAGGTCGATTGTGATGTCCTCGTCCGAGTCGATTTTTATGGGGGTTGTAGAGCGTTGGGGGAGGAGGAGGCGGCGGCGGGGGATGCGGGGGGGTTGGGGCGTAGCGGGGTTGAATTCTGCGGCGCCTGCTTCGGTTGGGATGTAAGGGATGATGTCGTCGGCTTCGAGGAGTGCTGAGGATAGATTAAGTCAGTAAGATTGTACAAGTCGGTCTAGGCGAAAACCTGTGAGGGTTACGTACAACGGGATCGGTACTTGAAGATGAAGGTGACAACTGGTTGCTTGTTATCCATGTACTCAGCTTGACACGTAAAGATTGGTGGGATCTCCTCTGCTTCACCTAGACTATAGGACGAAAACGTTTAAAGCTCCAAAAGTAAGGTTATTCTCGTTCGCTCCGTCAACATACACACTGCGGTGACTAAGAAAAGCGTCCTTCTTCTTTGAGATGTTGCCGGCTGATAGATCAGGAGGCGCCATTGGCTCGGTGGACCGGACATTTATTTGCCTGTCAGCGACCCTCGTTATTTCCACTTTGATGGTACTCAGCTCCTGCAATTTCGAGTTCAACTGCGGTGGTGGGCCATCATTTTCTTCAGCGGCTTCTGGGTCCAATTTGCCGAAACGGAACGGGTATAGCTTTGTCCCGCTGCGAACACCTTTCTCCTTCCAACCGGGCGGCGCGATGACCGATTTGGTCGAGGGGACCCCATCCAAAGATGCAGTGCACAGATACTAAGGGGCCTTTGCTCCGGGTTCTCGCTCGTCAACCTGTCCAAACTCCGGACCGAGTGTGTAGAGAATCTGGTATTCCTTGTCCTCCTGCGAGATGATATAACAAGTGACAGTTTGCCATCGTCCGAGACAGTCGTCTTGTATTCCTTGAGGTTCTGGTTGTCCACCTGAACGTGCACTTTCAAGCCGCGGTGACTAGGCATAGCTTCGAGTGTGATATGAAGGCGAAGTGGTCGGTTGTCCGTGGCCGTGAGACGATGCAGACGGTTCCCAGGGACCGGTGGACGCACGCGAGAAGTGGGAAAGGGGAAAGGACTCAACGGCGTCAACGCTGTGCTTCATCAACAAACGCATGCATTAAAACTCCCTCCTCCTCACGTGCTGACGCGACAATTAAAACCCGGTGAGCCGCATCTCGCAGAGGGCGAAGACGTGGTGGGTCAATCAGGACGACCAAGCGGAACTCAACCAATCTCACTCAAACCCCCAATTCAGCAGCTGAGTGCAGCAAACAAGCCGTCGCCATGGGTCTCTCATTCTCAAAACTGTTCGCGGGGCTGTGGGGCCACAAGGAGATGCGAATCCTGATGGTCGGTCTCGATGCCGCCGGTAAAACCACCATCTTGTACAAGCTGAAGCTCGGCGAGATTGTTACTACTATTCCTACGATCGGTAAGTTACGGCACTACCCACGGTGAACTTTTGGGGGACTCTTGATGCCCTACTTCCAGTAGATACGGTTGCGCGGCAATCTGGGTTACACTTCCCCAACACGTGGAATTGGATTGCTTTGTGCACGAAAGCTGACAAATCTTACTCCTCCTTTATAGGTTTCAACGTAGAGACAGTAGAATACAAGAACATTAGCTTCACTGTGTGGGATGTAGGAGGTCAAGACAAGATTCGCCCACTGTGGAGGCACTGTAAGTTGCGCGGTAGACATGGGACTATGGCCGTCGACTAGCGCTCGATCTTTCAGTATTCATTTACTAACGGCACATCCTTTTCAGACTTCCAAAACACACAAGGAATCATCTTCGTAGTCGATTCCAACGACCGGGACCGTGTAGGCGAAGCCCGCGACGAGCTGCAACGGATGCTGAACGAAGACGAACTCCGCGACGCCGTCCTCCTCGTGTTTGCCAACAAGCAGGATCTCCCCAACGCCATGACCGCACCCGAAATCACCGACAAGCTCGGCCTGAACGCGCTCAGGCAGCGTCAATGGTACATCCAGGCTACTTGTGCTACAACTGGTGATGGGCTGTACGAGGGATTGGAGTGGTTGAGCAACATGCTTAAGCGTAGGGCTTAAGGATGGAGAGGAACCCTGCAACCCGTTTGAGGCTTCCTTAGCTTCATTTTCACGCGGCGGATGTGACGAATGTTCCCGTGGAATGCTTCTATTGACTCGCCGTGGGGGCGCCCCCCCTCCTTCCTGCATGTAACTTGCGGTTTACATGGATGTATATGACCATGTCATCGCAAATCTCCTCTTTCCTTGTTTTTATACGACGATCAAGTGCCAGGTAGACTTTTGGAGAAAATTTCTTGTGACCTCTCCGAGCAAATATAACGTATTCACATTCAAACAAGCTTGACTGGTCGAGATTTGACTCGGGGTGATGTGATGAAGGGCGCATGGCGATGAGATACTAGGCGAATGATCCCGATATGGGTGGATGTGAGTTCTCTGACTTGCGTAGAGCCTGCCCCTGGCCAAATCTAGGCCGCCTTATCGCCGGATACTGCTGGACATCACGAGACATACCCGGGGGAATGAATTTCACCTGTACCCCTCAGTAAGGCTGCAGTAGGATGGCAGCCGAACTTCCAATGCAACATACAAAATATGAACGATCGCACAGAACGCAGAAGTTTCATTGACCGCTCGTGATCGGATGTATTTAAAATCTCTTCTCAAACTTCTGAAGCGCCCACCTTCAGTTCTCGGACACACTGATCACGGAGAATCCGAACTTCAACCCTGGCACGGCTGCACACCAGAATAACCCTCTTCGTCTACTGCTCCCCGAACACAACCAAGCAATGATCTAAGCTGAAGGAAAACAGAAGAGCAAATAATCATGAGGAAACCTCGTTCACCCAGGCCGTTTCGAATTCTGCTCTCTGTCGACACCGCTCATGGATGACTAGCCCTTCCGTTTGGATCTTGCTTTCCCATGGAATCCATGATACCACTGGATATACTCGTAAGGCAGCGCCAGCCCAGCGGTAGGCGTATGCCAACCGCTTTGCTCTGTGTACAGATTCCAAGTTTGCGGGCAATCTGCCGAGATACTGGAGTACTGCCACCTGTGCCAGTCACCAGACGCTTGCCATTTGAGATGCCCCTGAATTCAGATGTACCGCTGCCGACGTCTGGTCCAAGTGCCACGGACTGAGGTGTTCCGCAAATCCATTTCTAAAACAAACCTATCCTGTCATCAACGCATGTCAAAGGTCACGACCCGTTCATCGAGTAGCATAGGATGCGGTGGTTGACCGGAGCCGTGGAGTGTCCAGACTACTTCGAGCCGTGAACATGACAGCGAGGCTCACGCAGTGCATACCGAGCGAGGGTCATGCCAGCGCAACACATTCGCGTAAACCTCCAGGCCGATAGCATCGAAGATTGAGAACGTAATACAGTATCTCTCGAAAAGCTTTTTCCCGCCGCTGGGACAATCTTTTCTTTTTCATTGCACTTTCATTGTGCAACGTAACTATGCCTTTCATTCGAAGGCAAAGGATGAGTATGACACCCCAATCAACCTCACAACCATCTTACGCCGATGGCCACATGATCGGTGTGCAGTGAACGGAACACATCCTTCCTGCTCCGAAGAATTCTAATTGTGAGTAGGGACATCCACAAACCACGCTCAGCTTTGCGTACAGGGCTAGCATCACGCATTCAGAATGGGTATTTGAAAAGAATGACAGGTATTTGACAGCGCGACTGACAGCTGAAGGAGCGGTTCCAGGCTTTCCGACGAACAAAAGCGCATTTGAACAAAAGACGACGGGTGCACAGAGTGCGTTACATATACATGTATCCTTGGGAACATGCGGGTTGGGTTACGTTGCAGCCAAACTTACAGGTTGTGTGCCCATCGATTTGAACTGTGTGGGAGAATATGTCGCTCACGTTGGCCGCCACCGCTCCCTCATGTTGCGGGAGGGCCAGCTGCAGTCGCAGTTGTCTATAAAAGACGGCTGGTCCCCAGGCTCCTCATCCCGTATTCTCATCCCTCGCAACTCAAGCTGTTGCTGCAGGAAGTTACGTCCTGCATAATTTCAAGGGTAAGTGGAAGGTTTCGTCGCCGCAAAACCTGTTTGATCTCTCGATTACCTGTCACTCGCATATTCATCACAGTATACACAACGACGAAGCATCTTATACTAGACCATCTCTACCAAGACTTCACTGAATCGCAGCAGAGAAACGCAACGAACCATGCGCTTCTCGGTCGCCTTCCTGTTGTCGTTGCTCGCCTTCCTGGTTACCGCCGTCTATGCCAGCCCTCTCTCCGAGTCGTCCGTGGACACTGCCACCTGTCCCTCGAGAAACTTCCAAGTCGTGGGTTACTTCTACGGTGAAACCAGCGACATCCCTAATGTTCAGTTTAACAAGGTCACTATCCTCAACTTCGGTTAGTATTGCTTTTGTTGTACTTCCCGCGCCGTCGTTGTCCTTCCAGATGCTGATGTCATTCCAATCGTTTGTGTGCGGCAGCTTTCGCGACTCCTCAGGCGAATGGTACTTTGGAGCCCGAATCAGGGTCTTGGGATACCCTGGTCGCACTCAGAGCGGCTGCGGCTGCATCTGGCTCCAAAACGAAGGTGGTTTTGAGTATTGGAGGATGGGGTGGTAAGGCTCGCATAGCTCATCTGCTATGGGTTCGCGAGCAACCGCTAGACTCTTTGAATTTTTTACAGGAAGCACCTTCTTCAGTGTCATTCCTAGAAGCCCTCAACTCAGAGCCAATTTCGTACGAAGCGCCTTGTCCCTCGTCAGGAAATTCAGGCTAAACGGTGTAGACATTGACTGGGAGTTCCCGGGAAGCGAGGGAGCGCCTGGCAACACCATTGGTAAGCCTTTATGAAAGAAAGCATTCGTCATTAATCTGCTGACCGGAGTTTGTCTCCAAATAGATCCCTTCGATGTTGACAACCTGCTCCTCCTGGTTCGAGAGCTTCGTGCCGCTCTCCCCAAGGGGCTCTTTGATCACGGCCGCTGTTTCCATCGATCCTTGGATCCGCAACGGCACGGAAGTGACGGATCTCTCTGCATTCGCCCGAGTCATGAACTACGTTTACCCCATGGTGTACGATACCGTCGGCGAATGGACTGAAACGACCGGATCCGACTCTCCCTTCTCCTTGTTCCGCGGCGCTATCAACACCTGGACAGGCCTAGGCTTCGCTCCATCTCAAGTCGTGCCGGGCATCCCCTTCTACGGCAAAACCTTCCACGGCGTACCTCCCACCAACAACGGTCTCAACCAACCCTACAACGGCACCGTAGACGATGGCCAGCCTTATAACACCCAGATTGAGGTCGTCAGCGGTCCTGGATGGCAGCGTCATTGGGACACTGCCGAGAAAGAATCCTTCTGGTACAACGCCGCCGAGGCATCGTTCACCACCTTGCCTGACCCACGCTTTGCTCGACAGCGCACCCGATACGCGTTGAGGAACGCCGGCGGAATCATGTTCTGGGCTATTAACAACGACAACGGTGATCTCTTGAATGCTATTCATCAGACGGTGGTCAGGGGCTGCATTCCCGAATCTACTGCTCGTGGCGATGATGATGTTGCTGTTGAGGCTCAGGCTCAACGCCGTGTGCCCTGCAATGAGGTGGACTGCCACCAACGTGGGCGCAACCGTATCTTCCGATCCCAGTCGGCGTAGAGAATGAAGTAGAACTTAGGTGGAACCTTCACTTTAGCCGGTACCCGGTTGTCCAAAGTCTATGTACCTCTGTGATATTTGGCAATGCCCTTCGATCTCCCCCACTCTTGTTGTTGTATTCGGCCACGCCATGCCCTGCTGGTCTGTTGCTGTTTGCTGTTTGCTGTTCTGTTCGGCGCCGCCTTCTTCCCCTTCGTTTGCACATAGACCTACTCCCGTTGTACCTCGGCAAGGCCAGCTTTCCTTTATAATGAAAATATGCCTGGTGAATGATTGTGTTGTAGTAGCATTGAACCACATGACGAGCGGTATAAGATCAGTAGTACATCGTGAATATCGCACCCTCGACTGCTACTTCTCGGACATGTAGCGCTGTCGAGTTCGCGAGGCGCTCATGTCCTAACGGCTGACGTTACCAAACGCGTCGTTGCGTTCGCGGGTCAACTTCGCAACGCGTTCAAGTGGATGACCCGTTACGAAACTTTGTAAGGCATGGATTGGAGGGCTTTCCTCAGTCATTTCTGAATCTGGCACCATATAGCTCAGACAAAGCGAAAGCGTGGGGAACCGAGAAAGAATGGTAATCTGATCTGTTATGTACACGAACAGGGACGTCAGAAGAATAGCAGAAAAACAGGTGGCGGAAATGAAAGAGGAATGCATCACTATCTGTTTATCTACTTGTGCTGATGTGCTTCAAGTGACCGCATACCAAATACTGGTGCATCTTGTGCTGTGCATATCATTTGAACCGGTGAATAACGCGAATTTTCACTTCTGCTGGTGTTTACACAAGGAGACCCCCGAGATTCTGATCCTACGCCAGTTCCCAACCGGATGGCGAGAAGAAGAAAACGGGTGTGGGAGACCCTGAGTAGCTCGTCATCCGGAGCCATCCCAGCCTTTGCACCTCGGATTCTCACCATTTGTTTGAGATTCCAGCCATTTTCCCACCATGATTGCCGTCCACGCGAAGGTCCACCAGCTTTGATCACCCCTTCGCCCTTCATTCTCCTGCTGCTTTTCCCGGACTTTTCGTGCAGCGGGTTGCCGCGACGGAGGGCGACACTCTTCCCACACCTTTCTTTCCATGGCTATCACACTGCACATGCACATCCGGGACTTCCACAACCCTCTCGGCCAGTAGCTAATGCAGACGCGAGCTATTTCTTGAGCTCCTCATTTACATCGCCATAAATTATATTATACAAAGGGTGATAAACGGTCTGTAATCAACCGAGCCGCATCGGAACATTATTTATATTTAGTAAACTTTCTGCCTAGCCCCTGGCACTCTGGATCCCATTGCGGATCTAGCTCACTTCCACGCTCAGCATTGTGGCAAGTGTGTAGAGAGGGTAGGTTGCGCGGGTATGCAGGTGTAGCGGTCCATTGTGTCGCTGTCCATGGTGTCGTCGTTCTGCCTATGCAAACTGCACCTCTCCAAGAACTGCCCCACCAACTGCCCCATCGTCTCTTCCTTCCCGATTGGTGCAGCGTCACTATCAGTCTCCTTCGCATCCTCGTGGGCGTCGTGTCGACGCAGGACGCGGTTCGCGAGCTGCGGGTTGCAGAAGGTGCAGAAGCTGCGGAGGGAGTTGCCGATGGTGCGACCAGCCGGCGAGGATTTCCGACGTTGGTTTGGGTCGTGCGAGCGTCTTTGACTCCGCGCCACCCTGCCCCGCGACTTCCTCACCTCTCGCTCCTCCTCGTCGTCAGAGTAGTCGCAGTGGAGGGTGGCAGTGGGCCGGGTGGCGTGTCGATGGCGCGAGTGGGTTCGGGCCGTCTGCTTCTCGATGCGCACGCCCTCTTGGCGCTCCCACTCCTCCCAATGAAGTGAGGCTGTCAATTTTGGTAGTGGTACCTCCACCGGCTTCCACTCCTTCTCGGGGGTGAGGACGTGGACCACCGTCGTCTCGACCGTATTTGTTGTCGTTGTCGCAGACGTCGCAGTCTTCGTCGCGGCACGCTCCGACGTCATTGTTTTTCCTGAGAAAGTGAGTGGATACTGAGAAGATGCTTGAACTCCCTGGATGCGAAAAGGTCAATATGTGGGTTGCGGGATTGGCGGACTTTCCTTCCTCCTATCACCCGAGATATATATGTGATACTGTGCGGTGTGCACCTCCATTGCAAGGGTAGAACTTTCGTAACCCCAGCGGCCAGTTCTTGCACTTCCCCACAAAATGCCCGCGGGGAACAAGCCATTCCCCTCACTTGTCCTCAACTTGTGCGTAACGCGGAGGCTCGGAGACGCGGAGGCCAAAGCCTCGAAGCAGGCCTCGAAGGTTCGCCGCACAGGCCGCACCCGCATCTTGCTGACGAGGCGACGAGCCGTTGCTATTTCCCACGACATGGTTACTGGTGGACGCCTGGGGTGCAGGACAGGACCGCCCTAGAGTTGAAGAAGCTACCCCAACTACAGTACTGTACATATATTGGTTTTTACCCGACCCCCAGGCCGTTCGCGGTTCCCGCATTTTCCCAGCACCCACCATCTTCAATACGTAACCCGTACTGTCCGCCAATCAACTGACCATCGCAACTCACAGAGACGCCCTCGCCGCAGAGGGTTCGGCATGCCTGTGAACACTTCTCCGGCATATATCCGACGAGCTGGACCCGAAACTACTACCAGAACCCGACGCCGCGAAAGCGCCGTACTTCCAGAAGAACAGCCCGTTACTGGGCAGTAGGGCGCAGTGGGCAAGGTCGACGAAGGAGGTCGAGGAAGCGAACGTGGCGCCACAAACAAGGAAGGCATATGCCGAATCGACGCAACTATGTTCCCAATCAAAACCACGACGATTTGGGAAGCGCTGCGAAGCGAGCGTGTTGAGAGGAGGAGGGCAGAATGGATATTGATGATTGTGCGGTCGTTGAGGGGGGACGGGGAGGGGGATGCGGTGATGATGGACGTTGTAGAAGAGGGTGCTGCAGCTTCGTCGGTGAGCAAGAGTCGAAAAAGGGTATCTGAACGGGTTATCAACAAGATGATGGTTTACTGTCATGCGCTGTTCCTCTATACAGCACGGTAAGCCCGAAGTTCTGCCAAGATTCCACTCTCGCCTCTGCACCCTTGTGTTTTCCTTCCCCTGCTTCGACGCCGGCCGTCATGAGCCACAGGATGATCATTTGCGGACATGGCACTGGCCAGGATGAAGATGACGTGGGGATTATCTCCTATGACATTTGTTGACAATGCAAAGGCATTTTGATGTGGATCGCGGCGGACGCAACTGATGCGGCTTTTCAAGAGTGCAGTGGCTTTTTGTCTTGGAGAAGTCTGATTGCTCACGCTTTCTTGTCAGTTACGCCACAGCGTGGATGTTGCAATCGCTTTCTTCTTTCCAATCCTCATCAATCATAGGGTTAGCTGGCCACCTCGCCTTGCTCGTGATTTCTTTCCGTGTCCGCTTCGTAAACGAGGAACGAGGAGCCCCTCTCCTAGCGCTTTTTAAACGGCGAGAGTAAATGTCTGATCCAAGATAGACATGAATCAGCCAGGTCGGAAAAAAGAAAAAGAAGGGACTGTATATGCTCCCCCACCGGGAGTCGAACCCGGGCCACGTCGGTGAAAGCGACGGATCCTAGCCGTTGGACCATGGAGGATTCGTGAAACACTTGATTCCGGAATCTGCTGAGTTCCCAAACAGAGTGCTTGAATGTGCAAGGGGCGGACATCAAGCCGTTGGTTTTTTTGGAAATGACCCGATGGACAGGTCAAAGTCGTTGGATTATGTGAGGGGTGGATTCAACCCCATTCATGCTTGCGAGCGTACGGTGATCTTGTACGAAAGAAGAAGTTCAGATTGTCCATCAAAAAGCACTTCTATATGGTATTCCAAAGCATACGGAAAACAAAGGTCCCGGCACCTATATATACTCCGTTCAACCGTCCGGCAAGATAAACCGAATCAAGCAAGTAAGGGGATTAGCGGTATGAAAAGGGTAGAAAGGTACAAAACACTGATCCCTAGAGGATATTCCGGCGCCGATGCGCGTAATGAAGGGGGGCCAATTAGGATATCTAGAGAAATCAAGTAATATGTAAGATGGAAGAACGAGAAAACAAGGGAGTCGAAGACATCATCCCGTAGGTGCTTGCTTGATGTGGTGCGTTTCATGATCACCACGCGTGTTCGGGCGACCCGGCAGAGCTCAGGCGCTGCGCATCGTGGCGCTCGGGGTGGTATACCTGCGAGGGCAAATGCTGGTCGCTAGCATTTCCCCGAGCATTCAATCTAAGATCGGTCGCGGAGGAACTGAAAGGTCCATGGGGCATTCGGGCGGCGGCTAACTCTGTAGCGAATGGGTGGCCGGCTCGTTGTTCTCGGTCGCGTTTGCTTTGCGATCCGAACCTGCTGAGTAGATTGCCCATGGGCGACGCGCCGGACGAGCCCGCGGAAGACGGAGGGTGGTATTCAGCGGTATGTGGCCGCCTTCCCGAGCTGGCGTCCGAGTGTGAGCTGCTTGGCTGGGTCTGCAATGTCAGGCGGGGTGCATATGCCTGCGCCGAGGCGGGACCTGGTCCCGAACGCATTTTGCCGGAGTTCCGCGTCAGGGAGTCCATGGCTGCGGCGACGCCTGTGCTTCGCCTGTTGTGTTCTTCGATCTCTTTAGCGACGACCTCGGGGTCGGCTTTGATTGGGATGAGCTGCATGGGCCGTGTGCGCTCTCTGTTCTGCCCTGCTCGGACGAGGTTGTTAAGCCATGTGACCATGGACAGTTGAGATTCGGCTGCGAATTGAAGGCGCATTGCGACGGATTGCAGAAGGAAGGTGAATTTGTGGGCAGGCGTTGATGTGGACGGTAGGAATTGCGTGTTTTCGGTTAATGGCACGCGTAGTGTCAGCTTTGGGACCTCCTAGGATTCATATCGAAGGGAGAAAATGGGTAAGTATCGGTCAGATGAGAAGTACTCAGTGCAAAACGGACATACCCTAGACTTGAGAATCCACAACGCCCCAGCATCGATGACACACCACCGTTTCTTCCATCGGCCCGTCTCCCAGCTCCTCACGTGCAGCTCTCCGTCGTAATCCGGGGCACCAAAATGTTTGAGCCCATCAACAATCTCCTCGGGAGGAATATGCTGCGCCATCATCATTTGCTGTCGCTGTTTCGCATGGGAGACGATGCGTCTGGGTCCGCCATTCCGCCCGCCAGAAGGTGGTGACGTTGTCTTCGAGATGATTGCGTGCAGTTGGTCGTTTGGTGGGCTGGTATTCAGGTTTCCAACGTTGCTTTGCCACAGTGGAGGTTTCAAATCATTCTTCGGTGGCGGTGGTGGAGGTAGTTCCGAGTCACGGTAGCCCTGTTGGCTGTGATATCCGCTCTGCAGAATGTTGTTGTTAGAAGGGCTGGGACCGCTGTCCATCGGCCGCGTCAAAGGCTGGCGGCCAAAAGAGCCCATGTTCCCAGCATTGCTATCCGAGCGCTGAGAGGGGATTGGTGGGGAGTGATTCTCCTTTCCTGAACTGGCAGGTTCGCGTCCACCCTAGAGGAATCAGTTCAAGTCAGCAAGGTGTTACGAACCTCTCCGAGTGCAAGGTGAGATGTACCTCGTTGTGATGGTTCAACGAGTCGCGTCTTGGTGCGGGTGCAGGTTTCTCAAGCTGTTCATCGCCTTGTGATTTCAGCCGTCGTTGCAGGGTCAGCACGCCTCCTTCGTTGGCGTAGTAGTAGTCACTCAGAGTAAAGTCGGATGCCGGTTTGCGAAGATCGCGGTCGATGACAGTCGGAATCTCTTCACGTGATGTCTGCGGCACAAGATTTAAGCACAAGAAAATGTGAGGCACATAAAGATCTCTGCTGCACGTACTATTGTATCGTTCAGATCTTGTAAATGCTCGTTATAAGGAATTCTCTGCGACACAGATCTGTCCATCGATAAGTGATTGGCTGCTTTGCCGGAATCAGTCGTGTCATCCCGCGTCGTGTTCGTAGGTCTCTCCTTGGTGCCATTCAGTGCATCCCTCGTCATCGTCGATACGGAATATCGGTGTGAATCAGACTCAGCAGCGGGTGCCAACGGTACGTTTTGCTGCAGAAACGAGGAAGTCCGTTGCGGGGTGATGATGGAGGTGCGGTGTTCCGCAAACGAGGTGCGGTTGGAGGAGATCCGGGATTGTGAGAGTCTGGAAGAGAGCTGATCCACCCGATCAGCATACTCCTCTCGGAGAGCAAGGATGGAGTGGAGGATGTTGATGCGGTCGTTCAGGGATTCCATGCCTAGGTCGCGTAAGGTTGATAGGTTCATTTCCATCAACCGAGCCCCACCGATTTGGTTTTCTACATGAAATCAGAGTAAGTTGGGTTATGTTGATGGCCATCGATGGCATTGCACGGGAACATGTCTACCTCTGAAAACGTCGATAGCGGATGCAAACCCCTCCTTCACGAGCCACTCTTCCACTTCTTGCGGACGCCAATCTTTGGGATGCCTCACATGATTTTTCGACTGCGCCGAGGATGCTTTTCCTTCCTGAATAACGGGTTCCCGTAGTCCGGCTAGGACTGATGCTGAGTAACGATAGTCGCTGTGTGATGATGACGAGCGTTTGCTATGGAACGGGTTAGATGTTCGTTGGGTTTCGAGAGGGGCGCTAACTGCGTTTACGACGCTTTTCACTGGCGCGGGGCTTTTGGCCCCCTCCGGAACGACTGCCGCTGGTGCTGTTCCTGGTTTCGCCGTTGGTGGTTCGTAAGAGACAAAGTTTTTGGGAAACAGACCGGTTTTGCCCGCACGGTTACGACCCTATACAAATACGAGAAAACTTATCAGTCTCCTCTCAATATCTCGCTTCCCGAGTTGCCTCACGCCACGGCCGACATATTCCACTCGCGGCCTCCTTCTTCACTGTACCTTCCACCAACCGTCAGAGTACAGCTCGTCCCTCTCCATAACGACAATAGCTTCCCCAACTTCGAAGTTTATCTCGTCCTCTTCTTCCGGCAGGAAACGGTGAGAGCCGTATACTACGAACGGCACGTCCAGCTCGTACAAGTTGAGTTCCGGCTCGCGAACCATCTTCGGCGGCGTATAAGGGCGTTAGTATTGGGGCTGCTGTATGAATGCTTCGCAGTTGTGCCGTCGCTACGGAGCTGACCGTCGCCGACGATGCCCCGCCGAATACGAAAAGAATGGGAGCTGCCGAGATCTGCACAGAAGCCCGGTTTCGCGCGATGCAGCTCTAAGTGTGAGAATGGTCGAAAGTCAAGACCCCCTCGCGGTCACGGAGGAGAGCGTTGAGTGGAGGAAGATGTAGAAACCACTGGAGAGAAGGTTTTTTTCACGGTCACCCCTATGGACTCGGAGGCGAGCGGGGAGTATGGCGGCAACGAACACCGAAAGGGGCTTGGGTTGAAGGAGGCGGCAAAGGCTACTCCTACGGTCTCCTTTTCCGTCGAAGCCTCTCCTTGTGTGAGCAGCTGCGAAGTTCACTCCAACCACTCCAACCTGCTTCAGTGCTTCCGGTGCACTACCCTTCCGAATCACGCATGATACACCCCATCAATCCCAGCGGCCTCGACTATTGTTGGACGTCGATGCACATATCGCTTCAAGCCATGCAAGTGCCAATGATAGATACCAAGTCCAACTGTACGAGTCTATACGACGCCGCCAGAAGGAGATGCTGCGTTCCTTTGATCGCGCTCGCGACGATATTGACAGCTTCGATGACAATCTCGCATTCAATATGTCCACCAGCATCAACGGTTTGTCTTTCTGATCCGCCCTACTCCCCCATCCCGGGTTTTTGGTCCACGGCGGCTTTGATAATAATGCAATTGGGCGAGGCTCATAAAGAAAGCTGGCCAAAAAGCTAACGCTGCGCAGCCAGTTTCCCACAGCACAGTTTCTCGAAGTTTTTGGTGAGTTGGAGCTTTTCAAATGTTGCACCGGAGTCTCACAGGCGCTCTGGGAGTCTGGGATATGGCCGATCATGGATGATGGTCATGATTCCGTCAGTTCCATGCCCAAAAGTTTGCAAGTGCCAGGACGAGCGTTCTCCGACCGGCTCCGATTGTTATAGAAACGGGTCTGGACGATGCTTCGGTGAAGACTCAGACGGGCCCAAAATCACCTGTCCACAATCGCTGCCGGAAGCAGGACGGATTTTTGGACGAGTCCCTTCTTCGAAGGACGGTCAGAATGTCTCCACTGGACGGAGGGCAGTTCGCTCCGGCCATGTTCTATATTCACGTTTAACGTTTTCCTTACCAACCCCAGCCCCGTTTCTATTTTTGGAATCAATCCCGGGGTGGGATGAGCAGACCATCCCTTATTGATAGCCCAGTTTAGATCACTTGAAAAGCACAAAGATCGTTCTACATCCCACCCTCACTCTCAACATAAGAGAGTAGAACGACCAGTTTACAAAACCACACAGAAAACGATCACAACACTCGTTCTTCAAAAGCCATGACGGAAACATCGCAAGCCAGGGCTGCTCAGCCTGAATACACCGATTCGCAGAAGGAGGAGCTTGTGACGTATGTATCCTGTAGCGTCACGAAAACAGGTGTTTCTGTCGGGGGTGGTGAGATCCGTGATGACTTACCGTCTGTTGCTTTGCCCTTGGAATTTTAGCAAGATTTTGGATTTGCAAGAAGCCTTAATGGGTAAGCCCCCCTTTTCTCCAATGTAGCGAGCTGGGGAAGAGCATTGGCACTCATTGACATGGCTTTTCTATCTATATCTAGCAACCCTCCAACGCGTCGAATCGACCCGCAACGACCACAGCCGGCTGACGGCCGAGAACCAGATGCTGCTGCAGTACGTCAATAACCTCATGTCGACGACCGGGCCGCCTGTGCCGCAGCGGAAGTAAAGGCCCTTTTTGGGGTGTACGTCGGGATGTGAGGAGGATGTGGGGGGAGGGGATGGATATACCTGGGTCGACAGATGTGCAGAACACTGGGGCAGCCAGACGAGACGGCCCGAGTTTTTTTTTTTGGCGATGTCCGTAGAAGGCTTTTGGTGGAGAGGAAGTTATGGGGGGCGGAAAACCAGATGGAGATGGGTGCGGCGGTATACATCTATCAATCTGTCAATCAAGATATGGAATGCGATGAACCAATCAATGCTTCGAAGCCCATTCTGCATGTCTTGCGGGACGGGCAGCTTTTCCGCAAAACTCCACACAAACGATGAAAAAAGGATGTGGCCATCCTCAGACGACAGCAGAAGTTATATCTTCTCTCTCATTCTTACTCTAAATCTCAAAAAACTGTAGATATACACGAGAAAAAAGCACCATCAGCAAGAGAACCTAGACTAAAGCTGAACAATTCAAGCAACAAGAGAAACCCCTACAGAATCTGAACACTTTTATGTGTTCGGGGAGAGGCAGCTGTGTAAATCTTTCTACGTCTTGGGGGTTTCTTTATAAGGGGGCGGGGTGAGGGCAAGTAGCAGGCGGGAGAGAGGCAGTGATCCACACTGTGTTGGGGGGCGTCGTATGGGACGCGGGTTGCCGTGCGGGTAGGTTTCGACGTGTTCGTTTTGTGGATGGATGTTGGCGTACCAGGAAATGCCTCCCGGGTCGTGTGAGCGGAGATGCAATGTTTTTTCTAATGCATCATGGTTTTCATGGGGTTCACGGCACACCTGGAGAAGGGGAAGAGAAGAAGGTCAGGCAAACGCCATGATACAGGATTGACCAATGAAATCGAAGGAAGTGCTAAGTTATGGGAAAGACCTACATCCATATCCTTGTCTTGTACAACTTGAACAGTTCCCGAACGAGTTCACGGAAATCGATGCGGCGGTCGGCCACAAAATAAAACGTGAGTTTTCGCCTATCCCTGTTGAGACAATATTACGTGCAGACAGCAGTGAGTAGGTAGTCATCGAAGGCGCCGAAATATTGAGCGCCTACGTCTGATGAGTAAGTCCCACCACTTACCACTGGTACTCAGCATCAACAACCTCCATCGGCAGTTTCTTCTGCCTAATCTTCGTCTGACACACCGCCACCGCCTTCGCCTCATCCTGACTCTTCGACACCAGCATCGTGACTTCCGCAGGCACAGCAGCCCTGTAGATCCGTTTCGGGTGCACTTCCTTGCTCGGGTTATGCGAATCCGGCAGGGACTCTGCAAACTGCGCCTGGAACATCTGCAGCTGCTGCACATTCAGCACGTTATCATGGATGATCTTTCCGAGATCTTTCCCGCGGTCGGCTTCCACGATGACCAGATCGCCGCGTTTGACGGGAAGGATGCCTGCGTGCGCGTCCGGGGTGTGGAAGAAGAAATCTTTGCGGCCGGCTTTGAATTCCACGATGTAGAGGGGCCACGTGTAGGTGAGACCGCCGCCGCCAGCGTGCATCTGCAGGTTTTTACCAGCTTCCACCCATGCTTTGGTGCGACGGTTCGTGTTTTCAAAGTAGTCGTCGATTTCGTCGAGGAAGGGTGTGCCGGATTGCTCGTTTATGCGCATGTTCTGGAGACCGGCGGCGATGTAGTCGGGATCTATCGAGGAACCGTACAAAGGACCTGCTACGGAGTGCCGGCGCCTTGCGAGGTCATAGGGGTTGTTCTCGCCGTGTGGTGGTCTAAAGTAAGAAAGAGTTAGCATACGAATAGGACCACCGAAAAGGTACAGCGTCCGAAACACGCACCCAGCTATAAGCTCCTGTCCATAATTCTGGTATAAACCAGGGGTATGAGAGAACCGACGATCCTGTCTAGCCGTGTAAGCAGTCGACTGTGCGCCATGGCGGTCGCCATTCGAGCCCCACGTCACGCCCGATTGCACAGACGCCCGCCTGTGCGTGATGGAAGGAATGTCCGGTTCTACTGGGACTCTCGATCCGGTCCCTTGCCACAACTCTTTCATCGCGCCGAAATCTGCAGGCGGCGTCTCTGGGCTCGCAGCAACCTCGGCCGGATATGTGTATCTGCTCTGCTCCTGAGCAGAAAGGAGCCCGTAGATCTCAGAGGACGATTTTGAGCGGGATCGAAAAGTCGGGACGGGGTTGTAATCATCACTGTCATCATCGTCGTCGCCTCCACGCAGAGGTGCCGTTGTTACGTGATTGCCATCACCCGACTTGGAATCAGAGTAGCCATTTCCACCCAATCCACCCGCACTCATGGAGTCAAACGAGAAGGAGTAGCTGCGGAACTGTCTTGATGGGAATGCCGCACCGGACACAGCAGCTTCAGCAGGGATAAACGTCGGCTTCCCAACAACCGTCGGGCTGCTTTGTGCGTTCGGCGCACCTCCCTCGTTCCAACCTTGCGCTTGAGTGGTTTGCCACCTAGGCCCGGTTCCTGTTCCATTCCAGCTGCCGCTGGCACCGCCTGCTCCTCCCGTCTCTTCCAGAGCCACGCTCAACCTACGCGCATACTCTGTGACATTTTGCGGGACGCTCGTGGTGCGTGTCCGTAACGAGTGTGGGTGCTCTTCATCTCCCTCACCACCTAACCCCTCATCTCTGCCATAGTACGCCTCTTCATTCGAGGAGCTTAGTTCTGGAACGGAGGATGAGGCGATACGTTGTCCGACTGCTTTCCAGGGTTCTGCTTGACGCGTAAGGGAATTTAGTCGGGAATCTGGACAAAAAGACGGCATATGACAGTGAGCCAAACGAAGGTCTTGCTCTCCCTCCCTCCAGCCCCCGAACGAGCTCTCAAACGCACCATCAGAGTTATTCCTGTTAGCCCATTGTGGTTGACCCTGCTTAGTCGACCTAGCCGCGGCAGATTGCGCGACATGGGCCAGCGTGGATCGACCTGCTGAGGGCCCCGTTGGCGGGTTGGCTCCCGAAGGGGAGTAAACGAGTCGCCCTTGAGAGCGCTCCTCGGGACTGGCTGACATGGTTCTTCTAGCTGCCACTCCGGTTGTTGTTATGGGAGGCGGCTGTGATTCGGGTGTGGTGTTCCTTTTCTTTTCCCAGAAGGGCAGGATCCAGTTGTCCGAGGTGGTATTAATCAGTGATGTATGTACAAGTTGAGACGATACCGGATAACGCTGCGAGGCAAACGAATCTTTGGAGTTGAGTTGCAGTGACGTGAGACGCAGATGCCTGCTGTCTTTGTCTGTCTGTCTGTCTGTCTGTGTGTTTCGCACCACTGGTTTGTTGTGCGATATTTGTGGAGGGGCGTGCAGGGTTCAATTGTGAGCATGCATGCAGGCAGTGACAGCAGGTGAGCCATCCCCCTTGTGCTGATTATGGCTCCTTCCCCGCTTGATTCAGAAGAGAGACACTTGGACCCGACGCTGTGGCTGCATGAGACACCTCAGGGGCCAGGGAGGCTCTGGGCGCCTTCTAACCCGGATCTGGGCATTCCATGTCGATTCCCTAATCAAAATGCTTCCCGAGTCTAATCATTTTGCTTCACGAATCTTTATCTCGTATCCCTCCGTGTCTCTTCATGTCCGAATATTCTCTGCTGACATAATCACATCTATGAACCCTAAAACCATGTCCAGGTTCCAACGCGTTTCCGAGGAGTGATATCCAGCCCTAATATTTGCTTCGTCGTTGGGGCTTGGCGAACAAAAAAAGACAAGAGGGGCTGCCTTGTATTGCACAGTTCAGCAACGCTTCTCTGACCTCCACATGAGCATGTCGGGCATTGATTTGGTGGTTGTTTCGCCGTCCCCGGCTGAGCCAGGCCAATAGTTCATTGCCAAACGTGTCTGGGATCACTCATACTTTGCAAAATGGGTTCTACTGTATACCACGCCAAAAAGAACTACTATAAATCTGCCTATTCCAAACTGCTTGCAACGGCATTATCAGACATACTGTATATGTAGCTCGTCAAGCGTTGAAGGTACGAACAATCCTGGAGATCCGTTCGCGACAAATGGGACATTCCCGCGAGGTCTGTTCAAGAAGCTTTCCGCAATCCATGCCTACAGATAAGCAGTCAGCAACGCAGAACCCAAAAAATGAACAACACATTTCGCAACAACTTACAAGTAACAAGATGCCCACACTCCAAAAAGACGCAATTAACCACCTTATCACAGCAAATCTTGCACAGCATCGATTCCAAATCGTTTCCACCCGACTGCCCTGCCCCCGTGGCCGTAGACCCTCCACCAGCATTCTTATAACTCTCGTCGGCGGCAGCCTGTATCTCAGCCTCCACTTTCGCAGCATCAAGTAACCGCTTCACTCGCGTTACCAGCTCGGATTTTTCGAGGACGTTGGCATGGTCGACGAGATTTTCGGCGAGGATTTGTTTGAGGGTCTTCACAGAGAGGGTGCTTGGGTCGGTTTTGGTCGCGAGGAGTGATTTGAGGGATGGGGGCGGTGGGATTGCCGCTGGGCGTGGTTGTGATGGGCGGTTTTGCTGTTGCTGAGGCTGCTGTGGTCGTGGGGCGTGGGTGGATGGCGAAGCACGTTGCTGTTGCGGCTGGCCCGGATGGTTAGGCATCGGCGGGACACCACCCATCCAGCTCGGCATCCCGCTCTGTGCAGTGTTCGCGCTCGAGTACGGCATGCCATTATGTGAGGTATTCGTGTTTGTAGTAGTGTAGGTATATGACTCTCCATTCGGGGTTGGTCCAGGATGGGAGGTAAACTGCCCGGTCATCTGCGCCAACAGCTCCGCAACGCCGGCCGGAAGATATTCGGAGCCTGGCATACCGGCATAGCCTGGAGGCATACCGGGTGGTGGCGGCGGCGGGGCAGCAGCCCCGGTGTATGGATAATGAGGAGGCGAACTCGATGGAGGTCGAGGTCTCGCCCGCCTCGCTTCCGACCGCGCCCGTTCATGCACCGCTTCTGCTTCCCGTCTCGCCCTCCTGGCCCTCTCCTCAACGATATCCGCATCCGTTCGTGCTCGAGCCCGCGCCTCAGTCTCCCTCCTTTCACGCCGCTCGCGTTCTCCTCTCTCCGGAGTAGCCTCCTCATTCCTATTCCGGCGTCCGGCTGCGCTCGAGCCACGACTCGACCCTGCCCGTGCCCCTGGGTATTCCCCCGCATCCTCATTTCGTCCCTCCTTCTTCTTATCCACAGGGGCGTAGTTCACCTGTGCCCGGAACGCCTTTTCTTCGGCCGCCCCGATGACTGTATTTGCTATGAGCTTCACGAGCTCACTCTTCTCTAGCAGCCCATCGCCTTTAAGGTTATACGCCTTGATGTACTTTTGTAAGTCTTTCGTGGGAAGTTTATAGAGTTCCACTTCAGACATCTGGCCGGCTAATTGGGCACCATATCAGCAGGTGCCATTGGGCTGTGATTCAAAGATTACTTGACTTACTCGTGACGAAAAAGACGCAGTATGTGCAGACATGCACGGGGTTGAATTCCCCGAATTGCGGGAGCAAGAGCTTCTGATCGTTAACGCACGATGGGCATTTGACTGCGGAAAACGGCCTCTAATTGAGAATCGGCGTAATCTGGTCGAAGAGACGCGCGAGAAGCATACCCACCATCCCCACAATAATGGCAGTTTGTTTTCTTCCTCCAAAAGCCATATTTCGTCCTAGGAAAGTGATCACTCGTCAGTCAGCTCGTTCCAAAAATCACATGGATATTCTGTCACTGACCCACAAGCACACTCGCTATAGTCCCCCTTCGGTTTCAATTTGGGTATCGGTCTCGTCAGCGGGTCATGTCCTCTCCCAACAGGCCCAGTCCCGGGTCTCGAGCGGCCCCCACTACCTGCGGGAGAGGGCTGGTATCCGCCAGCTGGCGGTGCGGTCGCGGCAGGACCGTTCTGGTCGCTGTTGTTGACACTTCTGTACATAACGGCTGAAGAATCGTATATTTGGAGGCGGGGCGATAATGGACAATTGGGAGATAGATAAGATTCGGGTAAGTATTGCAGTTCACAGTGGTCCGACGTCGGGTATATATAGTGTAGTCGGCCTGTTGTTTTGGGTTAGTCAGGGCTGTTTAGCCAGCTGCCAAGTTGCTTTTAGTGGTTCTTGACATGCCCACAGTCGCCCAGAATCCCCAGATGACGCGACCCCAAGCACACTCCAAGTTCCAACGAGCTTTTGTGTTTATTATTGTCACGTGAGGGTTTATTGGGCGTCCGAATCTTGCGGACATCAGGAAGGCGAAGGCGCCCATGTATTAGCGGCCCGTTTGGCAGGTTGCTAGAGCTCTCATCACCCCTTTTCTTCCAGCTCAGCACCACGGGTGTATGGTACAGTATTGGGATCTTGCGATCGTCAGTATCGATCATGCAGGGTCCCACCGGCCATTGTGCTCCTCGGCCTTTCTGTAGGTTACATCTACTGGCGTTCATCCGATACGCAAAACTGCCCGATCAGCTAGCTGTACATGTATGTGCTACTCGTTCGTGCATGTTCTGACCCGGCACACCTTTACACGAAATCCGTGGCGTACGATGCATGAAAAGTGTATCTGTCCGAAAGAAATATGCGAGTATCGAGCGATCAAAGTAGTACATAAGTCCGCCGGTCCGCGGATATCTGTCCAAAAATATCCTCAGATACACTGTAGTAGATACGACATGGAGATTGTGGTGTATGCCGACAGCATCGGCGCGAAGCGAAGTGGCAGCACGCCCCTGCGGCCCTTGAAGCTGACAGTTTCACAGATGAAAGCGGTGCGAGGCTGCAAGCAATCATGTATTCCGACATGTATACATATAGCCTCACACAGAGATCAGTGTATGTACCAGTTCACTGACAGAATTGGGGTTTGAAGACGATGAGGGTTTCCGAGGGAGCCTTCCTGCCTTCCTATCTTGGTAGTCCATATCAGCGGTTGGCAAAGAAAGCGCTGTGGGGCAATGGACGGAGATGTCTGTGATTGACAGCTGGACAGTGGGCGGGCCAGTCAAGGCGGGCGTCCCACGTCATCAGCGTTGGGAATTCGTGGACTCGTGCGAACTTGTCAAAGCCATAGAAGGCTTGCCAAGACACCACACAACATAGCGAACATCCCTCCATCCCCCCCGGCATCTCCCAAGGTTTCATTGCGTTCCGCCCCACCCCCGGGCTACATAAAGCGCAAACCTCAATCCATACTCCGTCGTTTTGTCCTCGAAGCCTGATTTCCACTTTCCGTAAGTCGCGGCAAAAACGGGCGCAGCCTGAATTTCACAGATCACACCCTAAAACTTCTGGCGAATACCTCCACAGTCTATCAACCTCTTCCAGTAATTGGCCAATATGAGGCTACTCGTTTTCACGCTCTGCGTGATCCTGGCTTTGGCCACCAGTTCACTTGCGAAAGTTCACAAGTATGTTTGGCCGGCGGGAATTGCACTGCAAAGTGTGTAGCTAACACCCTCCGCAACAGGATGAAGCTGAAGAAGGTCCCGATGACCAAGAAGAGTCTCTTGTCAGAATTCACACACGCCCAAGCACTCAAGCAAAAGATTGTCTACTCCCACATCACGGGCGCAAGCAAGGAGACCCGCGCGGCTCTCATGTCCCAACTGAGCTCCGATGTCGTTGCCGAAGGCAAAGCTCACGGCATCCCGCTCACCAACTTCATGAATGCTCAATACTTTGGTGAAATCACCATTGGAACCCCGCCCCAGACTTTCTCTGTCGTGCTCGACACCGGTTCCTCGAACTTGTGGGTCCCATCTACCCGTTGTAGTTCGATCGCTTGCTGGTTGCACCGTCGCTTTGATGCCGGCAAGTCCAGCACCTTCAAGGCGAATGGAACCTCTTTTGCGATTCAGTACGGCAGTGGTGCTTTGGAGGGTATCATTAGCAACGTAAGGGGAACTTGTTCCATTCTTCCACTTCCCCCAATCCCCCGGATGCTGACTCAGCCGAATTACAGGACGTCCTCGGAGTCGGTGATTTGAGCATCAAGAACATCGACTTTGGTGAATCCACCAAGGAGCCCGGAGTCACCTTCGCAGTCGGTCGTTTTGACGGCATCTTCGGTCTTGCCTTCGACAACATTGCTGTGCAGAAGGTTGTACCCCCGGTCTACCGGATGATCGAGCAAGGACTCTTGGACGAGCCCCTCTTTGGAGCTTGGTTCGGCGATAATGCGGACGGCGGTGCCGGCGGTGAAATCACCTTTGGTGGTGTTGACAAGTCGCACTACACCGGCGACATCAGTAAGTGACCCTTTCGGTTGTCATCCTTTTCCTCAAAGCTCGCACTGATCCCATAATTCCACTTTCTCCACAGCCTGGGCACCGGTCATCCGTAAAGGCTACTGGGAAGTCCAACTCCAAAACGTCACCCTGGGCAACGAGAACCTCGGCGTCTCGACCTTCCGCGCGGCCATCGACACTGGCACATCCTTGTGCGCTATCCCCGTCGCTGAAGCCGACGCTATCAACAAGCGTATCGGAGCCAAGAAGGGTTTGAACGGCCAATACACCGTTGACTGCAACACCGTTGCGAGCTTGCCGGTGCTGAAACTTCAGTTTGGAGGCCGGGAGTTTGAGTTGGAGGGCAAGGACTACACCCTCAATGCTGGAGGGAGCTGTGTGTCCGGATTCATGGGGATGGACGTAAGTCGCGGCCTGGATTTGACGGATGTTTACAGACAGGTTAGAGATAGCAACAACATCTAACAATTATATTTATCCTTCGCCGCGAGACAGATCCCTGCCCCGGCCGGACCACTCTGGGTAAGTGTAGCTCCTCTGCTTACTGCCATCGGAACCATGTACATTAACACACCCTACGTCCTCTCATACTTCTCAGATCGTCGGCGACGTATTCCTCCGCAAATACTACACCATCTACGACCACTCCGGACCGCGTGTTGGTTTCGCTGACGCTGTCTAAATCCCGAACGCCTCATCACATCTCACCCCTTGAGCCTTGACAACATCTCGCATCTACATAGTACTCACTTATCCATGTAGACATGCCATTAGTCCCGACCTCTTTTCATACGCGGCTTGTCTCTGTACCTTATCTTATGGGAATAGTCAGGATTGCGTTTTTTGAGAGTGTGCAGTATCTCAATAAGGGGCTTTCGATGCAGAGAGGAGAGCGGCTTCATTGGACAGCTGCCACCAACTCAAGTCGATCGCCATTCCAAGGATTGACGGAGCCACTGACAGATTATTCAATGGATCTCGCAGAGTAGCTCTAGATCAAAAATCTAGCGAAGATTTCCAAATCATCGCTTGTTAACATGCCGTTGAGGGGCTCATTCCGAAAGGTTCATGTGAGTCTCATTCAAACACTGTCTGGATCTATCTATCCATGGTACTGTACATATCCATACCTCTCTGCTCCGCAATAAGTCAAATCCGTAATCTGAACTAGCGACGGCCATTCCCGGCCCTTTAATCCACGGCTGGACTTGTCTTCTAGCCCACATTAAAAAGGTTTGCCCACTCGTTAGATATTCCCATAGACGGAGGAGTAGGGATTACGAATACATCCCGACGTCCGAGCGTCCCCATAGTTATCCCGCTTTCCTGTTTTGTACAATTTCGAACATCAAATATGATTCTCGCCATTGCATACATATTCATGCCATTGCTGAATGACAAGTGAACGCCAGCTAGATACATATCGACAAAACCACCACATGGAGCGGTATGCATACCACTGAGATTCATCGCTTAACCCTCTTCGCCCTACTCTCCTCATCATCACCATCCGCCCTCTCCGCCAGCTTCTTATCTGACACCGGTTTTTTGTCATCCGCGTCATTCCTATACCTCGATTCCCGCTTCCCATTCTTCCCGCCATCCTTCCGCCCCTCATCGCCCTTCGCCAGGCCTCCACGGACAGGCGACGGACTAGGACTCTGCCTACGCCGACGGCGTTTCGGGGAGGGTGACCGGGACGGCGAGCGAGATGGGGACCGGCTAGCGGACCGTGAGCGTGAGCGTGAGCGCGAGGAGGCTGAGCCCGACTCCGATCCAGACTCAGAGCCAGAGCCAGAGCCAGACCCGGATTCGGAGCCCGTGTCGGAATGCGTGTCGTCTGCTGGCTTGCGTGAGTCGCGGCTGGTGGAGCGGTGTCGTCGGCGGTCGGGTTCCTTTGTGTCTTTTGATGCGGAGGGCTTTTCACGGCGCGGGGAGACCGAGGCACGGTTGTGGGTTCCGTTTTCGGGAGCAGTGTCGCGGGGTTTCCGGTCGCGCGCTACGTCTTTGCTTACGCTGCGGCTGCGGCTACGACTATGACTGGGACTACGACCGCGCTTTCGCTCGTCGCGAGATGCACGACGGTCGTTTGTCCGCCCATCATCTCGCTTGCGATCAGAGTCTGCACGGTCATCTCGCGAGCGGCGGCGACTGTCCCGTGTTCGCCCAAATTCATCGTGGGTCGTATCGCTGTCATACCGCCTCTCCCGGTCCCCGTCTCTGTGCCGATCGCCGTCTCGGCCCCTACGTCTGTCATCGTCTCGGTAACGGTCGCCGCCATCTCTCCTGCGGTCGCGGTCCCGATCCCTCTCCCAAGTATCATCTCTGTACCGGTCGTGTTCGCGCTCCCGATCACGATATCCTCCTCGTCGGTCGTCAGATCTGTAGTCGTATCGATGGCGGTCATCGCGTCGCCTGTATGCATCTCGGCTTCGGGACCGGCTCCTGCTCCGGTCTCTATACGAATCACGCCGCCGGTCGCGATCCCGGTCCATCTCTCCACTTTGGTAACGGTTTCCGTACTCTGGTCGCCGCGCAGGAGCCTCGCCAATGCGCGACGAGGCTGGCGGTGCGTTCTTCCGCTCGGCAGCCTCCTTCTCACGCAATTTTCCGAGTTGAGCTCGTATCTCCTCCTCCTCCTGCCTCTTCTTCATGATCTCCTCCTTCTTTTGGTCCAAAAACAGCTGCGGTATCCCCCCTATACTGTTTTGCGCGCTGACCAGTAACCCCCACAGTTCTTCCATGAACTTTGGCGCATTCTTTTCCAAAAAGCCGGACAGCTCTATTTGCATCGTCCTCGGATCCGGTTTCTGGAGAGAATGGCAGGGACTCCAATAAGTGGGATGAGAGACATCCAGCAAAATCAAAGTCGCACAAACCTTTGCTTCAAGAAGATTGAAAACAAACTCCACCAGCACATCATCCTCAAACCCTACCAACTCCACCACCTTCGAAGTCACCCATGGCCGCAGCACATCCAAATTGACCTTTTTGATGTCTACCTGAGCGAAAGCGAAACCATTGGAGGGCGAGTTTCAGCTAATTGCGTTGCATTGAGATACAAGCACTTGGTGGCTGGCACAAGGAGGATCTTTGAGATCAAAACTTTTCTTCATACGAGGTTGCGCTAGCCACAACCCCACGCTCATGCCGGTCCCGCCACCCAGATACAACTCCAGAAAGTGAATACCAAGTCCATACCTTCTCCTCGAAGATTTTGGGAAACTTCAGGGATTTCAGCAGCTTTTTTTGCTTGTCGCCGAATCGACTGTCTTGGTCGGCGCTTGTGCCCTAGGATGAGGAGGAAGGGTCAACTCAAAGCGGGAATAGGGCACTCATATCGGCCGGCGGGTATGGAGCTCCAATGTATGTACAAACCTTGAAGAATCCTGCGTCACCCATTGTTGCAGTGTGCGTGAAGATCTGAGGATTACTTTCAGCTGGCTCAACAGAGCCTGAGGATCGGACGAGCAAGAATGCGTCCAGTAGGTTAAATGCACGTGACCGGCATCTGAATTGCTTGCAGGTTTTATTCGCCGGGTTTTGAAAGGGAATTGCTAAAACGACACCCATATGAACGACTTTTTGGGTAACTAACCTACCATAACAACACGCTCCGGCTTTCGGCCGGTTAGGGCTGGGTGTTACTAGCCCTAACCCTAACCCTAACCCTAACTGGGGCACTTAACAATTAGGGGTGTCGTGGCGACACCCGGTGTCGTTTTGGCATTTCCCTTTTGAAACGAACCTACGTCCTGAGGTGGTATATCAGCAAGGAGTGCACAGCACAAGAACTCAGGACAAATCAGCGATGCATGGGCAGCCCTACTATAAAATCATTATGACCATCTTCCTTCCTACCCCGTGGTCCAGCCCGGTTCCCAGTATATATATCCGCTACATATCGTTTAGATAGAACCGTCGCTACCACTAACGACCTCGCCCCGCCTATATCCTTCCTTCTTCCCGGGTATTGCAAACATCTTGTCTTCGATAGGGAATGTTGTGCTGATGTTTTGGAAGGTTACTAGTGCGCTGAGGGGAAGAAGACCGACGGGGATCTCGATTTGGACTGCGGAAAAGAAGATCATGAGGTCAATAGGGGACCAAAAGGAATAGTAGCGCTGCACACACGTACCAGGAAACCCAGGAGGCAGGTTCTTGTTCAAGAATTCCTTGAAAGCCCCGACATTCTTGTCCGCGCCCATGCCAATCAGATCCAGAAGCGGCCACAGGGTCTCCACTTTCAGCGGAAACTCATCGGACTGAATGGAGATAGGCGGCGTGGGTTTCGCCTGCACCACCGTCGGGAAGAACGAGTAAGTCGCCGCAGCCTCCTCTGAATCTTCTACAGACTGCGCGGCGACCGCAGACGCGCCGTGGACGATCGGGGCACCGTTGTACATCCAAAGCGTCGCGCTGCCCTTTTTGACGCCATGCTCGATTTTCATGGGTCTACCGACATGGAGAAACTCATCGAGCTTGCTTTCTGCAAAGAAGTCGTCGTAGGAGACGACGGAATCTGACGGTGGAGGGTCCAGTGTCGGCCGGAAGTGAGCGAATTTGCGTATCGCCTTCTTGGCGTCGATCTCGCCTTCTTCGGCTGTCCATTCGCCCGTCTCATATTTGCGAATGAGCTCGTCTTCTTCTTCCTTGGTCGTGGTGGCTGTGCGATCGTCACCTTCATCCGATCCAGCTTCGGTATCCGATCCAGACGCCTTTGGTGGCTCTTTCTCCTTCTTCGGCTCCGGTTCTGTTTCGACGACCGGGAGTGGATGCACCTCGAGATGTTCTGTGCGGGTCTTAGTGACGCATTCAACGGCGTCGACCGACCATACCGATGTTTCCCAGGGGCCGACGCGTTCGTTGCGATCGATTTTGAATGTCCAGAATCCACTCTTCGTCCGAGATAGACTGAAGCGCGATAGATCAAACTCTGGTGGGGTCACCTAGACAAAGCGAGCCAAATAAGTGAGTTCTTCCGCATAGCAGAGTAGCCAATTCTTCTGTATTCAGGGCACACTACCATCGTCGTGTTCAAGCTTATGCTGAGCTCCTCTGCAATCTCATCATCTCCAATTGTGAAATCCCGTGGCCACAGCTGTTGCACTAATTTCCGTTGATGATCGCAGATTACCAGCCGAGAACCTGAGGCGCCACAGAAGCATGTGCTGCATTAGTTCATGCCCGGACGCCTGAGGAAGAAAAGATTACCATTATCGCACACACGCTACCTTCGCTTTCCTCTGTGAAGACAATTGAGATATCGCCTCGAAGCCACGATAGGCTTTCAAATCCAACGAGCGTGGTGTCAATGCGAACGTTCCGTCCCTTCTTGAAGATCTTATAAGTGTCCGATGGACATATTGAGCTGACAAAGGGGACATATGATCCAAACGACCACCGCATTTCGAGATAGAAGTTGTTCAGGTCCTCAGATATCTTCCAAAGCACATCCCTCCCAGTCGTCTTCAACCAGTTCGCGAGTTCAGCGCGTCGTTTCCGAAAAATGAGCTCCATAAGCTCACGGTCACCAAAGCTGGTCGCTTCCTGGAATGGCGTCCATCCCTGTGCATTTCTCACGAGCGTAGACGCCCCAGCCTCCAATAGCAGCTTCGCACATTCCTTCCGCCCGAGAGAGACAGCGAGGGTGAGTGGAGTTTGACCGCGACATTTCTGGTCGAGCGACGATCTATCCGCGATGGTGGTCAGGGCCTGTCGAAGGCCGTCAAGATCGTTCTTGAAGACTAGGCGATGGACGGGGTACGTGTCGCTTGTCATTGCGAAGTAGGCGCTCCCAGCGACCCTTTCCCAATAGCCAGTCTATGCCAGGACGACGTTACTGTGCGTGGGAATGCGTCTAGAAGTGAGGTTTAGAATTGCAAGTTTCTGCCACAGCGGCTGGGACAGGAGAAGTGGGGCGTAATTTTGATGACGATGGCAGGCGCCGATTTGCGGCTTGCATGAGGGCAGCATGAGGGCTTTCCCACGCGTTGCGGCCTCCCACTCCTGATTTCTTTCCTCACTTGGGTCGTCAACGCTCTCCCAACAGCGTGCGAGACCGAGTCCCTGTTCGTCCATCGCAATGGCACCTTGTTCATCTCTTCCCCTGCGGATGCGTCTGGATTCGCCGCATTTGAGGGCTTTCTGGCGTCAGGTCCTTCACCCGCACAAAGGCGCAACGGACTTTGGGGTACAAATACGCGGAATGGCGATAACTATGGGGGCTAGTATTGAACCCGTTGTCGACCATCTCAGCAACCATCTCAGCGACCATCTCAGCTTTTTCTGGTGAAGATTCCTGGCCGTACAGTACCCACACGTGCCAAGTGTATCTCCGATTCATCTATCATCCTTTCTGAAAGCTCTCGTTATTCAATCCCAAAACCCAATCCCGACTCAACATGGGGCATTCGCACTGATGTACAAGATGCCCTAGTCACGAGGGCAGCCGGAACGGGGTGCATGTGTTCTTCTCAGAAGGGAGTGATCTTGAGTTCCTCTCGAAGTCTGCGGGCGATGCGCGTCAGATGCGCCTGTTGTTGTTGAATCAGTTGAATTGCCTCCGAGAATCCGATTGTTGCAAGCGCGTCCATCGATATCGCGAGGGCATCAGATAAAACCGGCGTTCCTTCCCAACAACGGCTTGCTACCCCATCTCAAGTCAACAAGTACATACGATTGGACCTTCAAGTACAAGGCATCTGGAAACCGACCACCAGCCAAATCGCAGTCAAGTGGAAAGTGAACGAAAGCTGGTCATCTTGCGAGAGTTTGCACGTCAATCCTTCGGTGATCACCGCACCGCGTTTCCAAGCAAAACAAACCATTACAAAAAGATGGCAGCAGTCTCTGGTATCTCGCATTTGACGCTCGCGGCGCCGACGCCCGAGTTGCTCAACCAGACTTGCGCTTTCTACGCTCGTCTTGGTTTCAAAACCGTAGCCGCCCCTAACGAGGGCGAACTGTGGCTTCATCTCTTTGCCCCACCAGACGCCACTGTGCCCGGCGGTGGTCTGACCCTCCGTCTTCTTCTCGAAGTCGACGCCAAACATGACGCCGCAGGCTTCGCGGCGGACTGGAAGAAAAAGTCTGAAGCGCTGCGACATGGAGAAGCCGTCACTGCTCACGGAGCATGCTTGATCGTCTCCGACTTGACGCAAATTCAGGCCTTCCTCGACAAGTTGAGCCATCCTTACCAGCTCAAGCGCCTCAGGTTGAACCAGGCCACTGCATCCTTGGATTCCGGCTTTACAGCACCGACCACTTCCGCAATCCACACCATCGACCCCATCGGAAACCTGCTGACTTTCAGCGACACTGCGTCTCCCTTCGGAACAACAAGAGCCAGTCCCAATGTCTCCCGACCCAAACAGCCTGTCCGAGCCGACTCTGAGTCTGGCTCCCGCCTCGACAGCGTACCATTTGGTCAGTCCATGGATGCGCTAGGAGGGAAGAGGAAACGCATCGGAATCCTGACGAGTGGAGGCGATTCATCTGGAATGAACGCCGCTGTCAGATCCATCACGCGCGTGGCGTTGCAACGAGACTGCCTGCCTTTTGCTATCTACGAAGGATACCAAGGTCTGGTCGATGGTGGAAAGTACATCAAGCAGTTAGGATGGGAAGACGTGCGCGGTCTGTTGTCCGTCGGAGGAACGTCCATCGGTACAGCCCGATGCGCCGACTTCCGCAAACGAGAGGGCCGGCTGAAGGCTGTTTACAACTTGATTACAAACGGCATCGATGCTCTGATCGTCATTGGTGGAGATGGCTCTCTGACCGGTGCCGACACGCTCCGTGCGGAATGGTCGGGTCTCGTTGACGAGCTCGTCAAAACGAACAAAGTCAAAGCGGAAGACTGCAAGCACCTGCGCGAGGATCTTACCATCGTTGGTCTCGTCGGGTCCATTGACAACGATATGTCTTCGACCGACATCACCATCGGTGCCGTCACGTCTCTCCACCGTATTTGCGAAGCTGTCGACAATCTGACATCTACTGCTCTCTCACATCAACGTGCCTTCGTCGTGGAAGTCATGGGTCGTCATTGTGGATGGCTCAGTCTGATGGCTGGTATCGCAGTCGGCGCTGACTGGGTCTTCCTGCCCGAACGCCCGCCACCGCTCAATCACGACCAATACGGCGATGATTGGGAGACGGAGATGTGCGATATCATCAAAAAGTACCGGAAGATGGGCAACCGGAAATCGCTCGTCATTGTCGCTGAAGGCGCCATTGACCGCCAGTTACGACCCATCAAGGCTGACGCGGTGCAGAAGGTGCTCTCGGAGCGGCTGGGTCTGGATACCCGTGTGACATGTCTGGGACACGTACAGCGAGGTGGAACGGCATGTGCGTATGACAGGTACCTCGCCACTGTCCAGGGTGTTGAGGCGGTGGATGCCGTTTTGCGGTCCAAGCCGGGAACGCCCGCACCTATGATTGGTATCAACCATAACAAGATCACCAGCACGCCATTGATGGAAGCCGTCAAGCTGGTAAGTGCCAAAGGGCGGATTCTCTATCGCGTTGGCGTTTCACTAACGTAAACCCCGCGCGCGCTTAGACTCAATCAGTAGCGCAAGCCATCCACGACAAAGACTTCGACAAGGCGATGGAACTCCGTGACCCCGAATTCCTCGCCATGTACGAGGCCTTCCTCCATTCCACCATCTACTCCTTCAACCCCACCAACCCTCTCCCCGAAAAAGACCGTCTCCGCATCGGTATCATCCACACAGGCGCACCCGCGGGAGGAATGAACGCCGCCACCCGCATCGCCGCACGTTTATGTCTCAACAAAGGACACACCCCACTCGCCATCCGCAATGGGTTCTCGGGACTGATCAAAGACGAGGTCAAATCGCTAAGTTGGGCGGATACAATCGGCTGGCAAGTCCGCGGCGGTTCTGAACTCGGTACCAACCGCGACCACCCACAACCTCTACCCGGCGGCCCGAAAGTTTCCCCCAAGGGAGACGGTGGCTTCATCGACCTCGGGTTGATTGCCTACCACCTGCAGAAACACGACATCAACGCTCTGCTCATCATTGGTGGCTTTGAGGCGTATACAGCGCAATTGACGATGACGCATGCCAGGGATATGTTCCCGGCGTTCTGCATCCCGATGATTCAGCTGCCTGCTACTGTGAGCAATAATGTGCCTGGGACGGATTTCTCGGTGGGCAGTGATACGGCGCTGAATGTGATTGTGGAGGCGACGGATAGGATTAAGTTGAGTGCGAATGCGAGTAGGAAACGGGTGTTCGTGGTGGAAGTTCAGGGAGGTAGCTGTGGGTGAGTATTGTCTTGGCGTTAGTTTTAACTATCGGCCGATAGGACACTGTCATGGACTCGAAATTGACCAAATTATGGGCGCATCAGGTATCTCGCAACGCTTGGCGGGCTGACAACCGGTGCCACAACCGTCTACATCCCCGAAGACAAGATCAACATCGCCACCCTCCAACGCGACATCCAACACATCATCAAACGCTACGCCGACGAAGACCGCCGCAACATCCCCTCCGAAGGCCGCGTCATCATCCGCTCCGAAATGGCATCGTCGACCTACACCACCGACGTCATCTCCAAAATCCTCCGCACGGAAGGCTCAGGCCTCTTCGACTCCCGCACCGCCGTCCTCGGACACCTGCAGCAAGGCGGCGTCCCCTCCCCGCTCGACCGCATCCGCGCCACCCGTCTCGCTGTCAACTGCATCACCTGGCTCGAACACGCTGCGTTCGACGCCCGTGCGGAAAACTCCGATAACCATATCCCCGGCACGTCGGAGATTTACACCCGCTCACCGAAAACCTCGTGCATCATTGGTATCGTCGGCGCGGATATTGCATTTACACCCGTGCTCGAGTCCCTCGCGCATGCGGACGTCAAGAGCCGCAGGGGGAAGGATCAGTGGTGGATGGGGTACACTAAGCTGATTAAAGTGCTGAGCAAGTACGAGTATGAGGATCTAGCGGACGAGGAGGGCAAAGTCGACCTCCTTAAGAATCGGCGGGACCAGGAGCCGGACAGCGTGAAGAGGAGGGGGACGATTGCGAGCCCGACTAGCCCGACTTCTAAGAAGGGAGACGAATAGCATCGTGGGTGGCACACTAGGCGCGCCTCTGGGACTCGTGGGCTTAGGTGAAGTGAAGACAACAAGCAACATCGGGGAACAAATTCTCATTCTCATCTGTATCTGTAACTTTGACAACATTCTCCTTAAAAAAAAGTCTGCGCATATCACAAAAATCCCAATTGAAAACGATATGGAAACAGAAAAAAGCATTCCATCCCTCTGTACAGCCTATCGACGCAACTCCCAGTCCCCTCCCAGACCTTGTAAGGCAATCACTCAATCCTCTTCCCCATCGGCGCAACCGGCGTCCCCACTTCCTCCATGTTCACCACATACGCGCCATGCGACCGCCCGTCCCCCGCATCACCGGATCCTCCTCCCCTTGCATGCACATTCACATTCACATGCTCACTTCCAGCTCTGACACCCATATCACCGCTTCCCCGATAACTCCCCGGCGACCGTGAACTCTCATCAACAATATCGACCTCCACGCCTGCCACGGTCGTTGCGATTTGATGGTGTCCGTGGTGAGATGGTGAGGTTGGCGATGTGGGCGATGTGGGCGATGTGGGTGAAGAGAGCGTTGGGGAGGTTGCAGAGTCCAGGTTGTCAAGGTCGCGGAGGTAGCGGGAGTATTCCAGGGTTGTCATTTTGTTTTGGGCTGTAGGCGGACAATCGGTGGGATAATGAAGATGAACATTGGGTTAGAACTTCAGGGACTGCATATGTCTGTGTGGGATGGCAGAGGGTGCGTACCCAAGATCATATGCAATCGAAGCAGGTCGCCGATAAAGAGGACGAAAATGGCGGCAAGGATGGTGTGCACCATCGCTATGACTTGGATTCCCGTCATGGAGATTCCTGATCTGTCAGCTAGAAGGACAGTAGGAATATCTCATGAGCCGTCTGATTTTTGAAGTGCTGTCTCTGCTAGTTAGGACTGCTTACACATGTCCACAAGGTATCCGTCGATGGACGAGTAGCGAGCGAAGAAAACGGCCAGCGAGACGCACAGCGTTGTCAGGCTGTAGATAAACGCTGCTATGAGGGTGATGATGAAGAGTCTGAGCTCGTCAGTTGAAACAACTGTCCTGGAGTTCAGCCCGTAACTGGCTAGCTGGGCTGCATATCTACCTGTAATTGCGCTGTCCGATGCACGAGTTGACGAAGAAGCAGTGGTGGTCCAGCCGCTCTACGCATTTGTCACAGTACTTGCAATGCAGAGATGCGTGGGATCTGATATGAGCGTGATTGTGCGTCAATGCAGATGATGCGGATTGCAATCGATTATGCGCACGCCGCCACTTACACAAACACTCGACACAGCTGACAGTAAGGTCGTGCAACTCCCCCCTCCTCTACATTGTCGACATGTCCGACATCCACAATCTTGTCTCGTATCCCCGGCGACGCCGCCTCCACCTCCGTTCCCACCCTGCCATCCCTCTTTCGACCCCATCTCCACCACCGACTCCATTCCCGCCGGCCTCCGCTGGCCCTACCTCCCCGGTTCCGTCGAACGCTCTCATCTGCGGGATCGATAGCCATCAGGGCTATCCCACAGGCTATCATCACGGCGGCCCACAAAGCGGTCCATACTGCAAGAAAAATGCGAAGGCCAATAGGTGAGAGAGCACGGGTGTAGAGGGCGAAGAAGCAGAGGGGAGAGAGAAGGCCGTAGATTGTGCCGAGGAGTTGACGAAGGGTGTATGGAGGGTGACAGCCGTTGGTGTGCCGACTGTGAGCTAGCGTGAGTGGTTGTGGGGCGGTCAACATTGCTATATATTGCCGTTCTCTTGCTGTGCCGTCGCTGGTGTGTCTTGTCGCGAAAGACGGAGGGAGTTGGGGGTGGAGCGGAGAAGAGAGCGACTGACAGCATGATTTCACGCGTTTCCTGTCATTCCGATCGTCACCGTCTCCAGCGTATTAAACACGGTTAGCAACACTCAGCGGTCAAGTTCCGCAAGTTCCCACTTCGCCGACGTCCAAGGGTCCAAGTTGTTCCCAGACACACCTGTCGTCGCTCTGGTGAGACCCAGTGACAGAAGGAACATCCCGGTAGAGGTCTTTCGTAAACGCACCGTACTGTAACTACTGGCCAAAAATTCAGGTTGAGCTCCTATCGGTATGTCCATCTTCAACCGCCGGCTTGCACGAAAGATTTCCGGGACGTCTGAGCCAATGCTTATCCCCCAGTTTCTCCTAGCGTCCCTGTCTGCTTGCATCCCTCGTCGACCGCACGCGCAACCGAATTCTTCCCCAATGTCCGACGAAGGTCACTTGTAAGTAGGCCCGTCACCAGCGTGTCCTGGGAAGCCCTTCACGATCTGACGACTGCCTCCGCGTTTCTTCACCAGTTTGGAGGTTGTGGACAACCGGACCGGCAAAAAACACCTCATCCCCATAACAGAAGACACGATCGACGCTAGCATCTTTGCACAACTAGGACTGTCCATATATGATAACGGATACCTCAACACCGCCGTGTGTCGGTCCGCTATTAGTTATATTGATGGGGATAAGGGCATCCTCAGATACAGGGGCTACGACATTGAAGATCTAGCAGAGAACTCCACATTCCTCGAGGTGTCATACTTGCTGATCTTCGGAGATCTGCCCACGAGAGATCAGCTGCAGGTTCGAGACGGATAGCATACTGTCAATGTTTCTCAGACTCTGTTTCTGATGGTGCGGTATTCATCCCTGCAGACATGGGAGACTAGGATTATGCGGCATACGTTCATTCATGAGAACATGATTGATTATTTGAAAAGCTTCCGCTACGACGCGCATCCCATGGGAATGGTGACGTCCGCCTTGTCAGCAATGTCAACATTCCACCCCGAAGCAAGCACCGCATTACAGGGAGAGCACATCTACGAAAATGAAACCATGGTCAACAAGCAGATCTTCCGTCTCATTGGCAAAGTCCCAACTTTGGCCGCATGCGCATATCGGCATCGCATCGGGCGCGCCTACAACTCCCCCAGCAACGAATTTGGATACACAGAGAACTTCCTGTATATGTTGGACAGACTCTCGGAAAACAACTACGTGCCAAACCCGAGGTTGGCACGAGCGCTGGATGTCATCTTCATTTTGCATGCCGACCATGAACTGAACTGCAGCACCGCTGCTATGAGGCAAATGACGTCTACCGGCGTCGATCCATTCGTTTGCTTGGCCGGTGCCGCTTCTGCCCTGTACGGACCATCGCATGGAGGAGCTAATGAAGCAGCTCTCAAGATGTTGGAGGAGATCGGTAGTGTTGAAAACATTCCGGGATTTATAGAGGATGTAAAAGCAAAGAAGCGTCGTCTGATGGGCTTTGGTCATCGGGTATACAAGTCATACGACCCGCGCGCAAAGATTCTGAAAAAGATCTCGGACGAAGTTTTTGAGATCATGGGCCGGAATCCATTGATCGACATCGCCGTTGAACTGGAGAGGATTGCTTTGAGTGACGAGTATTTCATCAAGCGGAACCTGTATCCCAATGTCGATTTCTACAGCGGAATCATTTACAAGGCCATGGGATTCCCGGTGAGTCACCCTTCGTCTCATCAAATAGCCTGTCATCCGGTCTGACGGAGTTTCACTGTTAGACCGACTTCTTCCCGGTTCTGTTCTGTATTGGAAGGACCTCTGGATGGCTTGCCCACTGGCACGAACAACTGCAGCAACCCATTCCCATTTTCAGGCCAAAGCAGGTAAAGTGACGAGAAGTGGCGATGGTATACGATATCTTGTCACCACAAAGAGAAGACGCAAAGCAGATTATGTACAATGATTATATGCTAAGAATTCCCACACCTTCTCTCTTCCACTTGATACACAAACGCAGAGTTACGAGGGCGCGGAACCGAGAGCGTATGTCAACCTTGCAGACCGTAGCGCAGCGCAAAGCCCCAAGATAGTCGACCAGGGCGTAAATGCAAGGAAGAACCTTCCTCCCGACACAGAATAGAAAAGGGCCGCCTTCAGCACAGGCCGACTGGGCGAGGATGAGATCACGACTGGGTATAATCCTCGCTCCTGCGGCACTGGATGTACGGAGGTTCCGCATAGCGGTCGACCGATCCGCGATATGTAGCGGTCGGTAGCGCTCGTAGTCCCCTTCGACCCCGCCCTACCGCCCTGCCTTCCGCCCCCCAATTCCGCTCTATTCCCTCTTCTTACTCTCGGACCACAGTATTTTCTCGTATTCATCCGTAGCCGCGGGCAGCCGGGCAATGACATTATATAGCTCTTCCATTGGCTTGATGTCCGTATATCCCGTTTGTTGAAAACTGAGGATCTCGTTGATCACCCCGCTGATCATTTGCCGCTTTGTGAAATTGATCCTGTGCTCGATGTTGTCGGGGTTGCCGTCCTCCATGTATGTCACTATTTGGAAAAACAGATGAGTTTCCAGATATAGAGAGAGCGAGGACGGCTTGCAGATGCTTACAATCGATTAGATACACCCCTGCGAATGTGGAGGGGTCGAAAAAGATGTTGGAAAAGAGAGAGAGTAAGCTTCATCATATCGCGCTGAAAATCAATCCAAACGCACCACTATTGTCGGCGTATGAGTTGTCCAAGAAGAGGTTCCGGGGAGGTTGATAAACGTGAGACATCCAAGTCAGCGGATGCGGCTACACTGGAAAGACCCATTGATCATGATCATGCCCTTACATATATGGTATACACGGCCTTGAGACAGTCTTCATATGCCCGCGGTAATTCCGATATGAGCCTTCCGCCGTCATCAGCTTCTCCATATCGTTTAGTTTCTGAAATGGACCCCGGCCATGAAATCAGTCTTTCGGCCATTTTGCACGTCCATAAGGATTCTGACTCTCTTCCCTAACCTTTAGATTCTTGGCCCCAACTTCCTTGAACGTCTGTTTTAGCCGCGATACCGCCGCCTTGTTCAGTCCGGCGATTACGGCCATTAATGTCGAGAAGTTGTTCAGTTGGAGAAGATGCTAATGAAGACGAGAGTTAGAGGATAAGCATCAAGCCCGCCGCCATCAACACCTGGTTCGGTCTTGTATTCCTTACCGTTGCGACGTCGATCAGGATCGTCATTCGCTTTGCTCGCGCTCGCGGCGTTTTCATCTCCAGAACAGACTGGTTGGCGAGAGGATGAGCTTCAAACCGCAATTCCGGAGGAAAGATACGCTGAAAGCCTACCTTGGCCGTCCAACACGCCACGGCATTGAAGCGCCTCGTCAGAGCGGTGATGTTAGGTGCTCTTGTTGCTGCGTCCGATTTACTCCATGCTTGGTTGAGAAGCTCTGATGGCTGTTGATGGGAACATCAAAATCTCGTGCATTAAAGAGATAGCCCCTGTCACAGAGAGAAAGGCACGCAAACTGACCAGGATGTCAGCCAGGAAGGCGTGCTCTATCAGTGTCAGCTGTTGAGCAATCTCTTCTACTTGATGGGAAAAGACGGACATCTTCCGGGGATCCACGTCGCCCGTGTTCATGGGTGACTGTCAATATCAAAGAAAATCCCGTGATGAGAATGACGTCCAGGCAGCCGAGAACGGCAGCAACAGGGAACCACAAACCTTGAGAATGAGGTGCTTGACCATTGCTGGATGCGAATTGTCTTTCTACGCGAAGATACACGGGTGAATGACGGATCACATCACCGTGGTCGAAAGACCTCGAAACTTACTATCTTCACCAGATTCCTCCTGATCTGCTTGGCCAGATTCGGGTGATCCACCGCCAGCACGTCTTGCACAAACCCGGCAGTCTCATACCACAACGGAGAAACCTCTTTCCGCTTGGATTCCTTCGTATTTACGGACAACAAGAAGTCATTTGGATGCCTTTTGACCCATTGCAATAGCACGTTGCAGACGCGGAGTTGGATCGTCAGCCGGAAATGGTCGTAGGATGCGAAGGTGGATTTGCGATATCGAGGCGCATGGTAGCGTTCCATCAGCTTGAGGTTCAATTTGGATCCCGTGGTGAAAGATTGGTAGGTGAGGAGGAAGGTTTTCACGTAGTCCAGATCTGCAATGCATTGGTCTTAGTCAGCGAGGTTTTTGGCAGCTCATCCCACATATTCGCCAGTCTTACATTTTACAGTTCCTTCCCCGAGCTCGTCAGTCAGCTTCTCCACCAGCTTGTTCAGCGATGCGGATCCGACAACCATGGTTCCGTCGTTGTCTTTGATCATATGTAAGTTGTTCTCTTCCGGCTCCTCCCATATGTTCGTGTCCTCTGATGTCGTCGCCAATGGTGTACTGGGAGCATTGGGACTCCGCAGAGTTGCGTTGTCCAGTTTCACCACAAGTTTTGTCCCAGGTGCTACACCCTGCTGTTCGAGTGATTTGTCCGTCTGCAACTCTGTGAAAAGGAAGCTCATCAATCTCAGTTCCTGTACAGCGGACGCAGACACGGAGCGACGGACCTTTGCCATCTGCTGTTTGAATTCCCAGCACATGTTTCCGTGCAATCCCAAATCTACGACATATGAATGGCAGTTTTGTCTCCAAGGGGCGTAAATAATCGAGGTCAACATCGATCTTGACGTCCGAATCAAGGTTGTTCGACAAGATGACCTTCTTCGGGACAGCGCGATACTTCAGCGCATCACCCGGAGCAAGGTCCTTGATTCCCGTCCACACCAGGTCCTTCTCGTTAAGCCTATCGCCGGCCGGTGAAAACAAGCAATATACTTCTTCGGCGCTGTCTGGATTGTAAAGGCCGATAGTTTCCAGCAGGGTTTCCACGGTCGTTTTGCCATCCACATGTATCCGCAGTGGTTCTGTGTAGTTCAAAGCTACCTGTTGGTGTTCTGAGAGATCGCATTGGATCAGGACGAGTTCGTATTGTAGTTTGTACTCTACATCCTCCTATAATCGATCTCCTAAGTCAGCCCATGTCAACCTATCAAAAAGGCCTCTACGCACACGCACCGTTTTGATGGTCTCATATGCCTCCAATGAATCCGACTCCTTCATCCAAATCGACTTGGAAGGAATGTAGATTCCATAACGACCGCCAATATGCCCAACCTCGAGCTTTCTGTTTTTGAGCTGATACTTGATCATTGCGATAACATCTAACGAAGGTCCAACGATCAGCGATGTTCCTTCTCTACATCACCAACGGGTAATCACCGTAGCTCACCAGCAGCTCGCAGATTTGGTAGCACTTTCAGAGCGATCTTCTGATTGAACTCCACGAGATAAATCCGCAGAAGAAACTGGTTCACAAGCGCCCTGAATTCCAAGTGGTTCCTCTGACGTTTTCCACACATAAGCAATCATTGTTATCTTTTAGAGCCACTGAGTAGGAGCGGTCCTCCCCATACCTCTGATGTCAGATCATAAGAGAAGAGCGTTCGACCGTCGTCCAGCCATAATGCCAATCGCGGGTAGTACAGGCCGTACTTTGCATCTTTCGAGTGTTCGCCTGGATTTGCAGCTTTGAGCTGTGCGACCGCCTCCCTCACCGTCACGTCAAACCCATATTCGAGTGATTGTTGGGTGGGAGATGGTGGAACCGAGATCAACGCCGTTTCCTTGTCGGCGACATGCATCAACCGCACTTCGTCCTAGCCAGAACGACCGTCAGCCTTCTTTTGATGCAGGGCTAATTTTGCCAGATTCTCGCCCATCATACCCCTTGTAACAGATCGTATGTTCCCAGCAGTCTTTCAGATTCCATCCATATCCGCACACCTGGAGACTGTCGATCCAGCTTGCAAAGACGATAGCCCAGCCTATTGGGCTCCACAGGAAATGACCCACTCGTTGCAACAATGAAATCCGTCAAAATGCTTTGTATAGCATCCCCAACGGTGTTGTTGGCGAGCACACGCAGATGCACCGTTTGCCCACGATGCGTCACAAAAAGCTGATATGTTTTGGGCAGATAGAGTGAAGTTGCTGACATCCATATTTGGAGGTCATCCATGCTGCATACGCTCGACTCTGCATTTCATGAAACGATGAGGCATTGCGAAACATATCTCTTTTGGGCAATTGCACGGCTCACCATCATCCTCGTCACCCGTGTCGCTAGTAGGTACTCTCCGAGAGCTTCCCTCCGATGCGCTTGGTGGTTGACCTACAGATTGCCAGAGTGTTTTCAGCGCCAAGGTTTGGAACGACGGTGAATCCGGGAGCGCCCCACCTGTTTCCACAAAGCTGCCTTTCGATCGACCGATTGTCATGGATTGCGGCGAAACATTCGACCCTTTCGGCGATGGGTTTGTTAATGTGCGTGAAAATTCACACGGCCCTTCCGAGCTTCCACCCCTTACCAACTCGCGACCTCATTTGGTTGTTACTTTCATGGATTGGGTTGACCGCATTCCTGGCTTTCCTCAGCAAAGTGCTCCCCCAGCGCATAGAACCAAACTGGGAACTATCGGACCCGGCTTCGGAAGGATCCATTGAAGTCCGTCGGTCCATTGAGGCCGCCGTCTTTGGCGTCTTCGAGCTTTCGTGAACAGAATCGACAGAGGCTGTAGTGCCAGCGCTCTCCAGCGGTGAATCTGTGGACTTTCCTCTAAATATCGAAGCAAAGGAGTCTACAACGGTGATGCTCAGCTCCATGCCTCAGTTTTCGCATCTCAGCCTTACGAGTTCCACATACCTCCTCTTCGAAAAGTATCTTTCAGCCGAAATGTTCCTTTTTTTGATGTCCCAGCAGGTGCCCTGGCTAGAAGATCAACGCTGGTACTCCGGGCATGGGTCCCACCGAGGGCCTCTTTATGGTCACGGATCCCAAATCCCGCTCCATTCCTCGGATCTCTCGACGCCTTTCCTCCAGACATCAAATTTCCTTCGGAATCGCCCCGTTTCATAGCTACGTTATCTGCAACAAAGGAGGGACTATGCGTTAAGCCCCTCCGGCCTGCGCCGTGGGCTCGCCTTCCATGACCGTCATGTTGTCCAGAACGCATGAAGGAGTTCACGGTCGAATCGACATGACTCATGTTGGTAATTTCGTGAGGGTTGTCTTCGTGGATGTCGTCGCCAGGGCTGCCAAAATCATCGTGGTGGTGCATGAAGGAGGCCACGGGCATGCTTCCAAAGGCGTTAAGGGGCCGCCGACTAACATTGCAATGTACATGGATTAGAGTGACGAACGAAACAGCTATCTGGCCGCGATGTCTACAGCCATCCAACAAAACTCTGCCGGACCTCTTGGCCGCGCATGTTGAGTTCGGGCGTGAACCTCAACTTTCGATTGCATCGTCGGACTTACCCCTGCGTATGAGAGTTCATCGTGACAATAATAGAGGCCAGTGTAGGGAAGTACTTTGTGCAGATCCAATAGTGCCCGAATACTTTGGCAAAACGGTGCGTAAGTAAAATGGGGTCGCTTTATTTGAGGCTTTCCTTCGGCTGCTGTCCTGATATCGCAAAGTTGCGGACGAAATGTGATCCAGGGCATGGTCGCAGTCCGGGAGTACGCTCGCGCGTTGTCGTCACCAAAACCGTTAACCTTATTCGAAACAAGCACCGCAACAAAAACATCCGACACCCGTATCGTGATCATGTCTCTCGCATTCAGTGGCCAAAATCTTTACAAAGACGTCAATCTGTCCTTTTCACCTCTTGTCCCCGCCCCGACAGCGAAAAAACATGTGGAAGTCTGCTACAGGAACCGAACAAAAACCTGCCAAGCCATCGGACGACGACGATTGGGATACAGGTACGTATAGCAGTAATTTGACGTGTGTGTGTATTGGGATCCACCCTTTCGCTAACGTCATGAGCGCTTTCATAGACCCAGATTTCGTCAACGATGTGTCAGAGAGAGACCAGCGATGGGGGAATCAGAAAACCATAGATACGCAAGGCGCACCCAAGACGGAGCTGACTATGGATGGTATAGGAATTTGCCCAGCGGCGGACCTCTCTGAAGCATAGGCTTACACTGTCTCTCAAAGAATTGCGGAAGCAAGTAATCGAAAAGAACGAAAAGGCCGCAAAGGACGAATGGATCAGGCGCAACGGGAAAGACGTCAAGGAAAGCTATGGCGTCGGCAAGAACGGCAAAGTGTGATGCGGGATAGGAATTTCGACTAGCTCACGGGGTAGTCCGTAGGGATTGGGGGTTTCTAGATCTCCGCTCGCTGAGTAAAGCGCGCGATCCTGTCAATACACTGTCACTACGAGCTTATCGCAACTTAACCCAAGCCGAAAATTGATATACAGAAAACTATGTACAAGGTGCTTCTATGAAGACGGAGTCATTGTGAACCTACTCCAAGAGGAACAAATATCCCAAAGGAGCAGCACCTCAACGCCGCCCACGCTATCTCACAAAACAAACAAGAACTTCAGATCCTCCTCAGACAATTTGGCAAGCGCCTCCATATCCTTGCCAACCGTAGATTGAAACAGCGCCTTTTTCTTGTCCTGAAGCTGGAGGATACGCGACTCGATCGAGTTTTCGATGATCATCCGCGTAATCTTAATGGGTCTGTATTGGCCTAGACGATGGATGCGATCAAACGCTTGATCTTCCACCGCCGGGTTCCACCACGGATCCATCACGAAAACCCTGTTGATATCCACAATTAGAATCCCAATAACCATAGGAGGCATGTCAAATCCAATAACCCATGACTTACCGACTAGCCTCCGTGAGGTTCAGCGCGACACCTCCAGCTTTCAAGGACACCAAGAACACAGTCACGTTCGGGTCGGTCATGAACTGCTTGATGACGGTATCTCTCTGCATCGGACCCATTCGGCCGTCGAGCTTGACGACATTGAATCCAGCGCGGGAAAGACGCCATTGAATGAGATCCAAGAAGGCGACGAACTGAGAGAAGACGATGGATTTGGCAGTGCTCTCCTCCCGTTGCAGCGCTGTAAGCTCTTCTACAAGAGCTGAGTAATAGAGGGCGATTAGTACTTTGTGCGAGAATCAAAGTCCTCAGGTGTTGCAGATAAGATCTCGTACCTTCAATCTTGGAACTACTCCTCCAATTTGCCATGTCGATGTAGTTGACAATACTACTCTTGACGGTTTCTCCACCACTCTTCGGTATGACCTCCGGCTGAGTCAAATCAATCGTCATCGGTTTGTAGCATACCGGGCACGTCGGAGTATCCTGATCAGGCGCACTCTGGATATACTGTCTAGCGTCCTCTCTGCAGAACGTGTGCTTGCATTTACTCATGATGGGGTCTTCGGCCTCCTCATTGCAGATACCGCAGACCATGCGTTCTGTGGCCGTGCTCGCTGCAATGGCCACGCGGGTGGTGACGAGATCGGGGTGGTTGACGGCCAGGCGCATCCGAGAAAGTAGGGAGAAGATGCTGGCGTAGTTGTTCAGAACGGTGTCGGCTTGTACATATGTTGAGAATGTCCGCGTAGACTCGGAGTATAGACTCTCGTAGAGCTCCTCTTCTGCTTCATTGAACACATCTCGGCGGACCGTTACAACACGTGGCGGGAGACCGAGCTCCTCCGTGCGTTCTAATTTTGTTCGACGAAGCATGATTCGGTCTAACAAGGCTCCAAGCTTCTTGAAGGCCACCAGTCCCTCTCCCTGCCCTCCAAACTGCTGAATCGGCTTCAGAATCTCAGCGTTCCACCAACAGAAATGTGAATGACTGATATGCCCACACCCATCGCAATGTCGTCGGTCCGTAAAGCTCCACGTCTGCATCTTGCAGGGACATCGCTTGCAGAAGTAGTAACTGAATGGATCGGCGTTCATGAAACGAATAAGGGAATACAGCTCTCCGACACGATTTTGCAGCGGCGTTCCTGATAGCGACCATTGCTTCTCTCGCTGCAAGTTGAAGACGGCTCGAGCGGTTGAGCACGACCTATCCTTGATCGCGTGCGCTTCATCCAGGATGACTCGGGCCCACTTGACGGAATGCAGAAGCGAGGGCTCGTGAACTTTCACACCATTCCGCTTTGCTCCATAATGCTGTTTCCGATACGCCTGCTCGACGATCGCGTACGTAGACAACACGATGTCGTACTCCATCAATTCCTCTTTCTTTGTTGGGCGATTGGTGCCATGGAACAACATCACTTTGAACAAATCAGGTGTTGTTCTCTCGCGAAGTTCTGCAAGCCATTGCATGATAGCGACTGTAGGCGTCAGGATCAAATTTGGCTTTTGTCGTTTAGAGACTAGTAGGGAGATCATTTGTATCGTCTTGCCCATACCCATTTCATCTGCCAAGATACCACCCGAGAAACGGCTCTCCTCTTGCTCCTTCATCCAGAACAATCCCTCCTGTTGGAACGGCAGCAGCTTCACTCTGACATCGGCAGGCTGCTCGGCTTGCTCGGGCTCAATGACCTCCATCTCTTTCTCCAATTGGTCCCACACTGTCAAGAGTTCTGGGTGGTATTCATAGATCTGTTGCTTCCTTGCATCAGCCTTCGCTTGCCGACGAGCTGCTGCTGCGGCACCACGCTGCGGCCTGCGTGTTGACGCAGGAGTGGTAACAACAGTCCTGACTGCCGCATCCGAGTCCTCCGCGGATGCAACTTCGTCGGCGTCCGAAGCCGACTCATCGCTACTGGTCATTCCTTTGAAGTCGCTGTCGCTTGCATCGTCACCGCTGGAAATTATAATAGGCGCTGTCCTTACCGCGCTTGCTCGCCGCTTTCGCGTCGCTGAGCTGGAGGCACTCGCTCCATTCGACGTAACGGCTGTGGTAGACTTGCGTCCAACAGATGCACGTTTTCGCTGGGCGGGAGCCTTCGCTTTTGTGACCTTTTTGGCAGACTTCGATGGTGAAGTCTTGGTTACCTTCGATGGGCCGGGCATCGACGTCTCCTCTAGGAAGTCATCGTCAGAGCTCGCTCCCAACTGGATGGAGCTCAGGACGGAATCGGCTTCGCTGGCGTTGCCATCTACTATCGCTGAGGAACTCTCATTGTCAGTGGCAAACTCGGACTCCGACTCGTCAGCCTCGTTTTGCACAGGTACAGCTCGCGCTTTGCCCTTGCCCTTGATGTCGGGCACAACGGCACGACCAGTGGGTCGTCGGGGCGCTGATCTGACGGCCGCAACCGATGCGATCTCACTCTGAGCGTCCTCGTCGGACGTGGGGGCCTTGCCCGCGCCAAGCACCTGTAGCATGTCGGACTTGATGTTTCCTAGCGAGCTTCGACTTCGAGTCAATCGTCGAGGAATTTCCGCGACGACTTCCATCGGTGGGGTCCGTTTTCCGCGAGTCGTAATCGCATCAGTTGAGCTTTCATCCGGCAACTCGTCGCTGACGATTACATTGGCGACCCTCGCGGACAGTCTTGGAGTTCTGGGGCCCGTGGAACCGATAGAGCGAGAGATTCGTCGGCGTTTGTTCGATGCTGCGTTCTCAGTGTCGGAGTTTGTCTGCGGAGCGTTAGATGGTATGAGCGTGAGGTTCAGACGAGAAGGGACAGAAGCAACTTTCGAATGACCAACAGTACCTCTTCCATCTGCTCGTCGTCTGTGACCGCGGCTACGGACGTAACAACTTCAACCTTGACCTGCGCGGCGGAGCTTTGACGAGTTGCCCTTCTCACCGGCGCTGGCGTGGTGGACTGAGTACACGAGCGTGAAGGTCGAGGCCTCGAGACAGCCGGAGAAGACGACCCGCCTTCAGCCGTAGTATTTCTTTTGAGACCCATTCCGTACGTCCAGCGGAAGTGAGCTTAGCGGACTTCACACAAAATAACGGGATAACTGAATGAAGACGGAACACAAGCTACCAAACGAAGGCACGAAAGGATTCCTCGCCGTTGCCTTCTGGTCTACCCCAATGTACAACACCCCGTTGGCTATGAACAGCGTCCAAGCTACTGCTTCTATCGGCAAGCGGTTTCTTTAGATCCCCGATTCCTCTCAAGCAAGCCAGGGTCTGTCTGACAGTTATAACTTGTGCGTTCATCCGCGATTTTTCATCATTGAGTGCACAGCCACCGTCATAGTGGCGCACGTTTTTCATTCAGAGGATTTCAAACCGTGGGGTCTCGATTGATTTGTGTCGAGGCGAGAACGTCGTCTCGCACACCTCCTTGCATATCATATATCAGGTCTAATCCCGTGCATGTGTACTGTACAGTACATCATACATACATAGTCAAAGTAACGACGGACGAGATAATTGAATAGAAGTGATGCACTTGCGGAGAAAAACCGTCACTGTCCATCAACGTCATAAACTGTTCCCGCCCAGCTGCATCTCATGCAACGTTGTCACACTTGCCCTTTCTGGAAGTCGGTGGGCGGGTCGGCCTCCTTTCCCTTGAAGGCGTGCGATGGAATACAGTACACAGCACGTACATATATCAGCTCCCTCGACTCGAACTCCGAGAGCTTTCCTTCACAACGTCCGACCATGCGCATCCGGATGAAAGCTGCAAGCACATTGCTCTCATGGCTGCGTGGCAGACCTCGCTGCAATGTTAAAGTGCATTGTGCCAGGAGATGTGGCCGGTTTTTGACAGTTGTTGCCACTCCATTGCGACGGATCTTTGCGGGGCGATCACTTCCAACTTCCGGCTCAAACCGGCTGCGCAGCCTTGTGCGCAGCCGCCCGCAAAGAACAACAAGGCCTTCCTTTCACTCAAACGTGTACTGTACAGTATGTGTTTTATGAAACTATTGTATTGCGATATTTGCGATACGTAACGTACGCCGCAGAAGGCGGAACGATCTATGTATGAAGATGCCATCTATGAGGAATGTCTAACCGAAGAACCTACGTCCGAGAAGGAGAAAGTAGTCGCGGGGGGAATTGGGGACGGGGGAATTAAAAGAGACAAAAACTGCGTGATGGTAAAAAGTTCCAAAAACCCTATGGTTGAAGGTGAAAAAGACAGGAGAGCAAAAGAGTATTCTACAAAATGCCGATATCACTCGTATTCGAGTCGTGGTGACGAAAAAGATGAATCTAGCATTCGTCGGCGTGCTCGACTTGGTGATGTTGGTACATGTGCATTGTAAGGCTCCTTGTGCTAGCTCCAGCGCCCGGAGCGGGTTGCACCCTCGTTGCGGCCGTTGGGGTTTGTTTGCTGCCGATGTGAGTGGTGTGCACCGAGGCTTTTCGGAGGGCTGTGTTGTTGGCCACAGTGAGTAGCGTTTGCTCGGGAACGACGGTGGTGACTGGTGCGAAGGTCATGTTTGTTGGTTGAAAGTAAGCTTCGAGAAGGTTTGTGCGGAAAGAGTTTTGATGAGAGGCTGGTATGGGTTTGGCTTTTGAATCGAGGTGCGGTAGGTGGGATGCAGTTCTCACGGCTTGTTTTTATGCGAAAAGCGTCGAAGGCAAGGTTGGGGACGACGGGCAGGACATGAGGCAATTTGCGCGGTGGAGCGCCTATGTCACTAACGGTCATGCTTTGGAGGCAAATCCACCCGTCCGTGGCCGCCTTAGCCGCATTTCGGAGCGCCGCCATATGCCAAAACTGGCGTGCGTGTGATCTTGGCTAGATTTAGTAGCAATAGCCAAGCCCTGTGAGCGTAAATTGGGACCCAAGCCGCCGATCATCTCACAGCCTACACCGAGGTCAACTGACTAAATGACTTCACAAGGATTGCCTAATTTAGCACACCAACCAGCCATATACCGAATCATCGGGCTGTGGATCCAAGCTCAGATCTCACAGACAGAAGGCTGATCGTGACAACATGAACACGTAGTACGTATATTGACAGCTTCGACGGCCTCCCCCGCCCACCCACCCACCAACCATGTTAGGATGCCCACCGTCAGGACTCAGGAGCTGCGATGCCCCGGCCTCTTGAAGATTCCTAACCGGCTATAGCGCCTCATCAACGGCGGTAAGCTCGGAGACGACGGGATTGCTGAGCCCGTCGACGGATTGTTTTCTTCAATTCTGTGGCCATGTTCTCCGTCGCGTTCGTGGCAGTCATGTCTCGGAGATGGTCACATAGTCCACATTCGGCCAAGAGAGGTCCGCCGGAATGACTTTGGTAATCGTATCGGTGGACGAAGTAGACAGGGCGACTAGGTCTGATTCTAATTATGCGTTCTGTCTATTCGAAACTGTCGCTCGACCAGACTTTCACGTGCGGTACTCACACGCCGAAGATATCGCTCAAGTTGCATTGCTTCTTCAACTATCACCAACCCTGCTCGATCGAATGAGCTCCCTCCCAATGAGGGTATTGACGATCTTTTGTGATATTGGGGCGAAGCGACGTGGTATACACACACTTCCTAAATGCAGCAGGGGATGTGCTTGTAATGTTGAAAGGCACCGGGAGATATCGGGGCGATTCGACATACCCACAACGGGAAGTCCTAATCTGTGTTAGTTTCAGTTGCAGAGTTGAGGCTTCTCATATGTACATATGACTGTTCTATCTGCTTGAAGGGGGTGCGAGATGGAATGACAGTGAAAAAAGTGACTTGTGCCAAGCTGCGCCACATCCGTCAGCAAGGCCTGTTTCCCTTGGAGCAAATTCATGGCCAGGATTGTCATCTCACGTGAAAATGATGACTGCCGGAGCAGGTTGCCGATAAAGCGCAAGTCAAAAATGGGTTCTCGGTCGTCGTCCGCAAAAGACCGATATCGGTGCTCGGTAAAATGTCGCAATTTGGAGCCGAAGTCTGGGTGACAACAAGTACTACAACAATGCCGAACACCCAAGGCGAGGCTTGCGCATCATGTGAAGTCGACGTGCGAGCCTCTGAGGCCTCTGACAGCACCATTCCAGAACCGGTCTGCTCATCAGGCACGCTGACTTGAGAAGCGAACCCCACAGATTGTGCAATGGATGCTTGGTGTGCCACAGAAGCAACTGGAAGTGGGGCGTTGTTGTCGATTGCACTGCCGGAGGCAGGACAGTACTCATGTAGACTTTCTTCAGCTCATGTAATGCATCTCCCCTCCTACACGAGCCCTGGAAGTTCATGCACAGAAATGAACGCCCGAGGAGTTTGGTGAAATGTGAGCAACAAGAGTAGGGCTTTCTCCGTTTGTGCAGCCTCCCGGAATTTCCTTGAAACAGTGCCCAAGAACCTTGAGCGACGAGGTGGTAGGTAGCAATGTAACATCACTAGATAAGGACAGGCTCTCATACTTTCCCAATGGTGATGAACACGAACGCAGCAGCATCCCACCGATTACTTTGACGGCTTCACAATCCTAAATGCTGCCCGCGTTTGCTCACCCACATTTCGCCTCTACGCTGTACATCCTGATGCTCCTCGTCAAGATCTGCTCGTCTCTTCCGTTGACCGAGAGGAGTCAATGGACTCCCGCTGCATGCCCATGTCCAGATAGGTTTGTAGAGGGGTGGTGCGGTTGATGACCTGGTTCCACTAAACTCGGCTAGGTCGAAATCGGAACTCGCTTACTCAAAACTGCGTTCATCCACAAGGAAATGCATTTTTTTCCCCGCCGTAATGATATCCATCCCTTGATGCGATTTGACAGAGAAACAAGATCCGCCGTCGGCCAACTGCGCCGACGGACGTTAGCGCGACTCTTCGGATCTACATTGCCACGACTAGGTTCGCCGTGCCGCAGACACCTTCGCCATTGATGGATATGTATTCAAGAACGGAAAGGTCGGCGGCCTAGGAGCGCAAGCTGTTGCCAAATCCTATGCGAGATCATCCTTCCGCTGCTTGCGTCTGGTCTGCCATCCACTTCGTTTACGTTCCGATTCTTACAGTCACCTCCACCGGATGCAGACACCGCACTGTTCCTTTGGCCCCGATATTGATGTTAGTGCAGTAGCGTAGTGACTGGTATTTCAGCTTTGGGTCGGTGAGACCAACGTGAAAGATGCGAGTTCCTCGCCAGAGGTCTAACTCGCGTGAAGTCAGAAAGCCCAATCAGGCAAAAAAACACGCGCCGCCGTGGAACAGCGGTCTCTCGACTTCGACCACGAGACTCGCTTTCCCTTTTCCTTGAACCGCCCTCAACAGCAGAGCGACATTGCCGCGGCAACAGCACCCATCGCCGCTCTATCTGAGGACCGTGCTAAGGTAGGTCAGTGAGCTACTTGTAGGGTAGACACAGGGCTAGTCGGCGTGCTTCTCTGGAGGTGGACCGGGCGGGCCCTTTATTTCGGTTCTTCGGAACGGCCGTCTCACTTTACCTTTCTCTGTTGTTCAGATCTCTTTCCCACGACAGCGCAAAAGACCGCAGCGCCTCGGAACAGTTCGAATACCCTGAGAAACCCACTATCGCAGGGTCTGGAATGCAGAGGCATCCCATATTCACTCAACGCGTGGACTTGTTTAACCGTGATCTCCATCTCAGAGCCGATATGACAGACACCGACCCCAATGCCCCGGCCGCCGCCGACAGCGAAACCACAACGCTCAACCATGCTTCCTCCTCCTCCTCCCTCGGCGGTGTGACCGTCCCCCCTCCCGTCGCCTCCAAACCGTCCTCCAAAGCCGCCTCCATCCTCGGCGTTGCCGCAGACGCCCTCACCAACCGCCACATCACTGTGAGCACCTCCACCACCTACCCGCCGTCAGACCCACACAACGCTCTCCCCGCCACCTCGCTTCTGATGTCCCTCCTCAACCGCGGCGACGACAAGCATCGCTTCATCAAGACGCTCGTGGCTATCTTGCGCGCTCGCTTGCTGCCGTTGGTACATGGCACCGAGACCCGCGCTCACTCGAACCCCTGGCTCGTGGCTCTGTGGAAGAACCTCGGCGTGCCCCCTATGTCGGTTGTTGCGCTCGTTGGAGTTGTGGCGCTGGCTTTTGTGAGGAGACTGATGAAGAGGGAACCATTGCTGTTGACGAACCTGGTGGGCGTGCTGTATCCGGCATATCAGAGCTTGAAGGCGGTGGAGAGGCCCGAGCCGGATGATGACGAGCGGTGGTTGACCTACTGTGCGTATTTCAAATCTCTGACTTCTCACTGGTGGCATTCCTGCTGTAATTACCTATGGACAATCCGCTCACCATTTGCAATCGCTACTCTATAATTATAGGGTCGGTCTTTGGCGGTTTCACCCTCCTCGACACGCAATCCCACAAATTCGACAAGTACACCCGCTACTACTACCTCGCCAAAATGCTTGCGCTACACTGGTTGTACGCCCGCAGTGGCTCCCTCGCGGTCTATCGCCAGGTCATCAGGCCTTTCTTGGTCAAGTATGGAGGATACGGTGTCGTTCACGCTGCCGACCCGACGTCCATAAATGGTACGGCGGGTTTGGTTGTGGAGAACCCGGGACCGTTCAGGAAGGATTTGTGAGAGGTTGGGATGGGTTGGGAGATGGAGACGGCGAGCTCGTTCGCTGTAGCATTTCGTGCCGCCTTCATTCTGTCCATCATCAGATACCTTTTTTCGTTGCCCATACATTGTACTTTACCTTTCCATTGCCCTCCTGTGTCTGACAATCTCGATTCCTACATTTTCAGTCGTTCACTCTGTCCTCATGCTCAATGGACGTGAAGCAAACATCGTTGGCCAGCAGTTCACGTGAGCTACCTAGGAACGCAGGTCCATGTAGAAAGCCGGTGCGTCCAATTGTTTCATCAAAATTCCCCGCATGCCCTCTCGAATCCCCACACTTGCATTCAAGCCAACAGCACAGCTCCATTCCTCTTCGTAGTTGGACATTGACCGCATGAATTTAGTTATGATACAAAAGCTTACGCCTTCCTAGCCTTCAACCTGCGCTGGTAGAAGTCGAGCTCCTTGCCCTCAAGAATGTAACCGTCGCAACGGCCGGATTGTCCAGGGCGGGAAGCAATGCGAGCTGTGAAAAGCGATGTATGTGAGAAAATAAGTCTCACAGAATAATAGAATAGCAAGGTCGACTTACCAAGAACACGACCGGCAGCGAACTGCTCAACGAGACCAGCCTCAACCTTAGATCCCTCCTTGCGAGCGTCAACCTTACGCTGGACGTGGTTGGAACGCTTCTTGGTAAGAGGGTCCTCAGCGGTCTCGTCCTTGTTGTGCTTCTGGGACTTGCGACCGATGGCCTGGGCGTAGTGAGCCTCGTACCATTGACGGAAAGGAGCAGCGTCAATTTCGATGATGGCACCCTTCACCAGAGTGTTGGTACGGACAAGCTCGTTGTTGGAGGCGTTGTACACGACACGGACAATACGGGCCTTGCGGGTGGAAGACTCGGAACCCCACGCAAAGTTTCCTGAGAACGGGTCACCATATGTCAGTCGTCGGTTTCAAGTTTCCGTCGCCCACCTTCGCCTCAACTCGCCATCCATCTATTCTCCTCTACTCACCAGTGTCGAGACGGAGAGCCCTGAACTTGATGTTTCCACCACGGACACGAACGGCGTGCACACGCTTCACACCGATCCTGGTGTTGGCAGCCTGACGACCGAGCTCGAACTTTCTCTTCTTGCGGATCTGGGCCCTCTTGGCACCAGTGTGCGCGCGCTTGTGGCGGCTGTCCCGGCTGATACCTGGAATATGGAGAGAGGGGGTCGTTCCATTTGAGAAATGGTGTCCCAAATCGCCAAACTGAAAAGGTTTCGCTACGGACTAGCGCACTGGCTGGAAGATGGCCGAAGCCTTGCCCAACACCCTCAGACACGCCATAACCCCTCGCTGTCCCTCCCAGTAGCTGACCACCTATCCTCCCACAAATCGGTAACGGGCATGCCCAGTCCGCCAAGCATCATTTTCCCACCACTCCGTTCCAGTTATCTGATAGAGCTGCTCCTATATGGCGTGGCGGCGAACCGAATGCCTGCGTCTCGTTGGATGTCGTTCACTCGGTGCCGGTTCCGTTTTCGATATGCGCTGATTCGCCATCCCATTCCCTCCGCATGCCCGACCCACCCAAACATCCATCCATCCGTCCATCCATCCATCGCTACCCCAAATCGTCCCCACTCTTTCGCTTCTTCGTCTTCGTCGAATTCGTGCGTGCGTGCTGTGTGTGCGTGAGGGGTCTGTGCTTGCGTACTTACCCATGTTGAAATCGGTATATGGATGACGGAAGGGAAGATTGAACGTCGGATGCCTTCGGTTTGTGTGCTATGAGCCCGGCGACGCGCACCTATTAAAACTCGGCCGAAGTCACATGATCAGCGGGTGTGAAGCAGAGATGAGTTTTAACCACTGCCGGCTACATAGGCCAGGCTCGACACCGCCATTGTGGTAGCTTATCTAGTAAGTTCTCTGAAACAGGCCCAATAAGAGCAAGTTTGATCTCTGAGCCCAACGACTACAGAGTGGTCCTCAATTCCTCGCTTGCTCAAGGACATTTCCTCAGGAGGTTGCCGATGTGCTCAGCCATAAAACGCCACTCGCACGCCGTGTCCCAGTAGGTGCAATTCCCACTGGGTATCATGTCCACGCCGCCGCTGTAAAACGCCGGCGTAGAAACCTTTGGTCCTTCCTTGTTGGCAGTCGAGCAGAAGGAAGTTGTCGTTCCTTTGAATCAAACGCTTGCAACTGCCACCTATGCTGTCCATGCAGTATAGACGACGACGCCTATTTGCAACAGAATGACTATCACCATATCTCTTCGCTATGTCTTTTAAAGAAGAGTCGGCTTCATTGATTCTTTTCTTCACCGTGTTCATGGGAGAATATGATCCATGTCCTGAAAGATGTGCTTTTCGCTGCAGTTAGCCTCCTGTTTTATAGAAGCGAGCGATTGATTGACATTTTCGACGTTGAATATGGAGAAACTCCGAAAAGCACCTTGACCAAATCATCGGTTTTCCTGGCCGAAGGCAAAGAAGGCAGGACGCCGAATAATGCGGCGGCACGCACACATTCTGGGAGCAGTTATATCAATGTACGTAGTGCCTTTCCTGTATAACCAGTCCTCATGTTGATTGAGGCAAAGTCATATCGGAGGCTCAGCACCCGTTCACATCCAATGCAAAAGCTAGCATCTAATCAAATGAAGGGAGTACTTATATATAACATCTCGGGAAGTTCATCTAACACCTAGATTACATACACATCTATACTGATGAGGCAGCGACGAGGACAAGGTCCAATGATTTACGCAATAGCAGTGAAAATCTCCTTGAGGATCTTCGGAATGTCGCTAGTGTTGAGCGCCACAAAGGCTTTGCCGGGAGGCATATTGCGTGTAAGACTAAAATCGCAGATGTACAGAGAAGAAAGTCAACAGCCATCATCCAATGCGAAGCTCCACACGATACAGCATCTTACATCTTGGCCTCCTCGCCCAGACTTCCAATGAACAGCACAGCGGCATTGACTTTCGGGTCCGATTCAACGATCTTCGCCAGCGCCGCGGGCTGGATGCCGTATCGCCGTAAATTGGCGTCAGACATGACGAGGGTGAAGTAGTCGTCCGCGTCGTCTTTGACTATGTCTTTCACGGCCCGTTCGGTTGCCTTAAGCGTCGTGTCTCCAGAAAAGCAATCTGTAGGGATGAGAAGAATTTGAGTTGCGGCTTGGAATGATATGCAGGAAGGCGCGTGATTTGTCTTACATTGGGAATGCGCAGACATGGATTGCAAGACCCGCAAGCGTTCCATCTCGTCCGCTGGCGGCTGTCCCGGCGGTACAAATACGATGCATTCTGAATCACCCGAATGACCAACAATATCGTACACGTATTTGTCCCCCAGGGACTGCAAGCTTTCCATGATCTGAAAGGGTGATGAGAGCAGTCAGAGAGGTTCATCCAACATAGAGCTTCCATGGGATGAACACCACATACCATAAGAGCAGTCTCTAAACTCCTGTTCAATCGCCCGTCGTGTTCATTGTAACTGTACATGCTGGCGCTGACGTCAAAGACAAACTTCAGGCGCTTGGGTTTCTTCTGTATCGCGCCGTGTTCGGGCGTTTCCTCTCCGCGACGCTTGTATATGGCCGTCTCCCCAGTCAGACCTTGAATATGAGGAAAGCAGTCGTGAGCCACACTGCGACACCAAAAAAGGCCAATACGGGTTCACAATCACATATACCTTCCACGATCTTCGCCTCATCCAGCTCCCCATCCGTCTGATTCTGCAACCACGTCCGCTCCTTCTCTCTCGCCTGCACGCCCTCCAAAATAACCCTCAACTGCCTAATCTCCGTGCGGACATTATTGTAAATATCCCTGTACACCGTCGCTTCATGCGTCGACATCTTGATTTCCTCCAACCGTTTCATGAGGGCCTCGCGCCCCATCTTGCGCGCGGCTTCTTTGACGTGCTCGGGAACGTCGTTTTTGACGTCGTCGGGGAGGCGCACGATTGGTTGCCCTTTTTTGTGCAAGCGGTAGGGGCCCGCCCGACCGCCAATGCCGGCTGTGTCGCTGCCGCCTGAGCCACCGGCCCATCTGGGAAGGACGCAATTATGTGTTAGCGGCAGGGAGGTAATCCGTTATGCTGCTCTTCGGGGTGTTGGATGCACTTACTGGTTTCCGCCGACGTGAGGTTGGTCATCCTCTTTTCCGTGCTTCGGGCCAGACGCCTATGATTGGGAATTTATATCAGCTGGGTGTAAGGATGATTTTGATTTGGTGGGAAATCACATGAAGGCATACCTCTGGCGGCGCCTTACTCTTCCCCTTCTCCCACTTGATCTCCAACTTCTTCTCCGCCCCACCCTCTCCATCCCTCTTCAATGCCCTCATCCCCACCGCGCGCACATTCAACCCATGCTTCTCCAACGCCGCAACCAGAACCTCAAAAAATTCCTTCCGATGCACATCAAAATCAAACACATTCCTCAACACCTGGTCCAGCGGCTCATCCGGGAACCGCTGCATATGCTTTAACAAATTCATCAGCTCGCGCAATGAGTACGGGTATGCGACCAATCCATCGTCGAACGCGCGTCGCAGCTCGCCAAACGCGCCGACGAGCTGTGAGAGCGTCTCGAGGTCGACGTGCGGCGCGAACTGGCGGAGGAGTTGTAGCTCGGACGCGGCGTCCGGGTTCTCGACCGCGTGGCATGAGAAGACTTCGCCGATGGCGCCGAAGAAGTCGTTGCCGAGGAAGGGGTAGCCGGGGCGGTTGGCGAGGACGATAATCTGGAATTCGGGGTGGAGGATGATGTCACGCGTGGGGTCGATGGAGGTGGGGTCGAGTGGGGCGGGGCGGATGCGGCGGCCGTCAGCTAAGGGCATCTCGCCGGTTTCTGCTAGGCTTTTTAGGATGCTGGTGATGTACACGGGCGCTTTGTCAGCCTCGTCGACGATGAGAACGCGACCTTTCCTGGCTGCCCGAACCAACGGACTGTCCTTGTAGATGATCACCCCATCCTCGACAAAGGGCTGCACAGTCAGCGATTGCACGGTGGTGTCTCGATGCAGCTGGACGTATTCACGAGGCCGGCCTATCAACTCCAGGAAGCGGTCCGTAAGGCGGTTCTTGCCCACGCCTTGGTTTCCGATGAGCAGCAGGTGCTCGCCGAGGGAAAAGTCGATCGCGATCTCTCTCATGATTCGCGTGTGCACCTCATTGTCGAAGAACCCTGGCCCACCTGCTGTTGTTTGCGGGATGAGGGCTCGTGCCTCGGCGTCGTCGGCGCGCACAGTATATCTGGGTACATGAACGTCGCCGAAACTCACAGTGGATAGAGAGGTGGTGATGCTGTGGATCGTGGGCTGTTTGACGGGTGAAATCCCACATTCGATCAGAACGTCTTCCAAAGCTTGGCGCGCCAGTTGCGGGAGGAACGGGCTGAGACAGGTGCGGTGAATAGCGGTGTAGAGGCTTTCGTCGGGGTGTTTGGCTACCCGGCGACAGATCCGGAGTAGCTGTCGAGTGGACAAGGAAGCAGATTTCGCAAGCACGGTTTCGTGCCCCGAGCCCCCGCCCTCGGCCAGTTGCCGGAACTTGGCTGCAAAGTTCAGCAGCTGCTTCAGCGGTCCTTGCGGGCATCCCGTCAATGTCTGCAAAAGAGCGGCTTCCTCAGCAAGCGTCATGGAGCCCACTTCGATGAACTGGAACATGGCGCCAATCTCCTCGGTCAGCCAGGCGAGATCCTGCTTCTGCGCCTTGTGATGCAAAACGACGCTGGACGTGGCGATGATCCGGAAAGCGGGGTGGATGCTGAAGACTCCAGCCGCATTGAGCTGCTCAGTCGACTGGCCCATGCGCTCTTTAAGAAATCCAAAGTTCTCCGCGCTCGTCAAGATGGTACCGTCAGGCAAGAACGCTTCCCTATCCTGCACGAGACGCTGCAGAGCCGCGATAGTGCCGGCACGTACCCAATGCAAGCCATCGAGCACTGCAATCTTTCCCTCTAGCGCCGCGCGCACTAGGCCCGAGTTTTCCCAGAACGTGCTGCCGTCGCTGCGTGTGCCGCGCCGTTGCAGCACGTCCCTCGCTGTCATGTCGCGGTACATGTGCAGCGTCTCGGTTTCGAATCCAAACAGTGCCGCAAAGCGCATGATGGCAGTGGTCTTGCCGCTGCCTTTCGGGCCTACGAGACACATGTCTGCTCCTAAAGCATGGGCTTGCGCGATCCGAGAGATGACATCCCTGTATCGCGGCGTGTGGACGAACGTCCCGCCATAGCTTCCGATGCTGTTGGATGACAGCGGCACGGGCTGCGTTGCGCCCATCTCGATCGGGACGATGACGGACCCGTTGGAAGAAAGGAACCGCGCTGACCCGCTAGATACGTCGCTCAGTTCGTACTCTGACAGCTGCTGGGCGTTCTTGGTTAGCTGCAACTCGAGGTTGAGCCCAAGCTGCTTGGCCAGGGACTGGAACGATTGCGTCTGTTCATTGTTCAACGCATTTCCGATCCAAGCGGCTGGCCAGAAGCGAGGCAGGATGAATGCACCGGCTTTTGCTTCATCAGGGAACACAGTGAGGAGATCACTAATGCCGCCCACCGCAGTTTGCGGAAAGTGGGGCAGTAGTCTAGAATCCAGACCATCTCCGCTCGAAATCGTCACCTGATCCTGTATCTCGTGCGTGTACTTTATGCTCCGTATCACATCTCGCAGTTTGGCCAGTAGTTCACCGATGGCTGCCAAATCTGCAGGTGGCTCCGCTGCCCCGACAACATGCGACCGACCCTCTGACCCATCGTAAGGCGATTCGACATAACGAACCTGGAACCGACTTCGGAAAGGCGGGTCCAGCGGGTTTCCTGGATAAGGAGGTACCGGTACGCCCAAAGCAATGACCCTGAAGTGTTCGCTCGCCCGCACCAATCGCCAGGAATCTAGTTCCTCTTTCGAATGGTCTTTGAGGAGCGCGTCGTAGCGCGAAGGGTGCACGATGTGTCGGCCATCCTCGAGGGACATCTCTCGGTTCTCCAGCAGATTGTTCAACACAGGCAATACGTTCCGTTCCGCCTTTTCGATGCCCTCAATGACCAGCACGCGGCCTTCTATCGCGGCTTTGACTGCCACTCCATCTACCCATTGTGCGGTGAGACCTATTGCCCCTGACTCTCGGACGATCTCTCGTCGCTGCTTCAGGTCTGACTCTGCGGATGTGTCGCGATGCAGGGCGACGTATTCGTGCTCTCTATCGGTCAGGTGGAGGTAGGTCAAGGCCAGATGCCGCTTCAATGGACCTGGAGGACTGTTGACAGGATGATTGAATGAGTACGTTCAAAAACGACTCAATGCGTTCGAAACGGATGGCTGTACCTACCCAATCAAGAACATGTCCTGACCAAGAAGATCTTTCCTCATCATCCATTGGAGATGTTCTAGATTATCCTGCCGGTCCATAGACAACAGAGCCTCAATCGGAACATACTGGGGTTGGCGTGCGGGAGTGATATTGATGCAGACATCTCCAATACAGACCCGCTCTGGGTCAGAATCACTGAGTACTGCAAAGTCATATATGAGTTGCCAAATGGTTCGTTTCAGTGGTGAGAAAACGCGGCGCAACGGGAAGTGGAAACACACCTGCAGCGGTCGTACTGAATAACCTACTGGACCCTGACAAATGCGAACGGACAAGATCTATCCTCTTGGCCGAAGCCAACCGGACGGACGACATTTCACCACTTGCGCGAATATATGCTCTGGAGGTAAAGAAAGACGGACCGCTTTGTCGGAGTGAAAGAGCCTGAGCTCGCGTGCGAGAAAGCGGTGCAATCCTGTGCATCGACACCCGCTGTAATGAACTATAAGAGCCGCCCTCACTACCCGCACGTTACTCTATTACGCTCTATTTATCTACGGAAGGACCTTCCTACTGTATGTGCATGTGCGACGGGCGAGTTTCTTCCCAAATGGCCGTTGGCTGAGCCCGGTTGAACTCGAACTGTTCCTTTCCCGTGACCAAGCGGGTTGACGCGTTAGCACATGCGAAGGAGGAGAGACGGGAACTCGCAAACCCGCCGCCCACTGCCGCGTTTTGGTTAGACTCTTCAACTCAGAAACAACAAGTCTGATCGTCCGCCATTAGGCACCGCTAATCAAAAGAAGTACGCATCCGCCCTCGCACAGTGAGTCTGTCTCTTCATCAACCGTCTTCGAAATGGCCCTTCCACACTGTCCAAGGAGAGGGGACTTCCACAGCTTCCACTTCACGAAATGTTGTCCCGACACCGATGGTCTGCATGTGCTCATGCTCATGTTCGTCCACGAGTAGAGCGACTGTCAAGTGACTTGAGGATTGTCCCCGGGCAAGCAGTCTGACGGTCGATGCGTCGGCGACCCCGCATCGCAGTCCTGTGAACTTTTCCTGAAGTCTCCATGCACCCAAAGCTTTTCGCTCATGCCGAACCCCAAAAGATTCTTCATCCCCTTCCGGAAGCACTCTCCCTTTGCTTGACATGGTGTGGAGGTGGAGCCCTTGCAGCGGGTTGTCAAGACTCAAGCGGGTGTGGCACTGGTGATGGGTGCCAAGTGCGTTTTGCTCCCCACCCTCAGCACCGCCTTGTCGCACGCACACTTGGCACTGTGGCCGTCCGTCCAGTCATAAAGTGATGATGAGTCACGCGTGCACTGCCTGCCTGGGGGCGGCGAGGCTTCCTCCCCAGGTGTCCCGCTTGCTCAAAAGGCACCCACCACCCGCCCCTCCACCCTCCAGACTCAGGCAACTCCCACACAAACGCATAGCTACCATCGGTAAGCACTCCTCTCGGTGGCTCCACTACCAGTAGCTATTGGTAGTAGATGCTCATACTGGTTTTGATTTAGGTTTTACAGCCGCACCACTCGAAACAGGCTCTCATCTTCACGATCACAACTACTTATCACACCTCGTCACACTCCATCTGGAACCCGTTCCCTCAAAATTCCAAAGCAACAGCTGTTAACACACATCATGGGTCTCGCAAGCAAACTAGCCGCGGGTGGTGCTCCTCCTGGTGGGGCCCCTCCTGGTGCGTACGGACAGCAGCAGCAACAGCAGTATGGAACCCCAGGTGGCCCGCCTCCTGGTGCCTACGGCCAAGCTCCCCCAGGTCAACAGCCCTACAACCCACAACAACCTCCTCCGCAAGGCGCGTATGGTGGTGCTTACGGTGGTCAACCTCCCGCATCAGCACCGCCTAGTGGACCACCTGGTGGCTTCGCACCTCCTCCCGCTGGAGGTCATGGTCAGTATGGAGCGCCGCAACAAGGTCCCGGAGGGTTCGCACCGCCAGGCGGTCCCGGCGGCTTTTACGTCCCGCCACCGCAAGGGCAATATGGTGGCGCACCTCCTCAAGGACCATATGGTGGAGCACCTCCTCAGGGCCAGTTTGGTGGACCGCCTCAGCTCAATCCGTACGGTGGAGCACCCCCTCAAGGTCAATACGGAGCACCTCCTCAAGGGCAGTACGGCGGAGCCCCCCAGGGTCAATACGGAGCACCTCCTCAAGGGCAGTACGGCGGAGCACCTCCTCAAGGACAATACGGCGCTCCTCCGCAACAGGGCGGAGAGATGGGCGTCTCACGGAATCCCCCGCATCCACAGGCCGCTCAACGTGCCTTCCCAGTTATTCTGAACAAGCTGAACTTCATCGTTCAAAGCAATCAATTGGGCAACTTCTATCCCCCACAAACGGTTCAACAAATCGCAGACAGGGTCTCCCGCTCGGTGGACTTTGATTACCTCACCGCTCAGTGGAAGCTCCAGACGCCGGAACTCGCGTACGACCTTGCATCATTGGCGCTGTATGACATTGTCATTTACGCCGACGATTCTGGATCCATGATTGCCGCGGAAGGCGGAGAGCGCGTGGAAGACTTGAATCTTATCGTTTCGAAAGTCGCCGAGATCTCATCATTGTTTGATCAAGATGGCATCGTAAGTTATAATTCCCGTTGAGATACTCCTGAGCGTCGTAGACGCATGCTAACCCTCCCATTCTTCAACAGAGCGTCCGCTTCATGAACAACGACCAGCAAGGCAACAACATCCGCACCGAAGCCGAAGCCTCCAAACTAGTCCGTTCCGTCAACTACATGGGCACCACCCCCCTCGGCACCAAACTCGACGCCAAAGTCATCCAACCCATCATCGTGGGTCCCGCCCGCAATAACTCCCTCCCTAAACCCATCCTCGTTGTCGTCATCACCGACGGCGAACCGGTCGGCGAACCCCGTTCCCAGATCAACACCGTCATTAGCGGCGCTAAACAGGCCCTCGCGTCGACCCGCTATGGACCCACCGCTGTCGCGTTCCAGTTTGCGCAAGTCGGTAAAGACGCCGGCGCGCAAAAGTTCTTGGCGGCGTTGGATAACGACCCCGTTGTGGGCAAGATGATTGATTGCACGTCTTACTTTGAGCTCGAGCAGCAGGAGATGGCGAAGAAGGGTGTTAGCCTGACCCCGGGAATGTGGTTGGTCAAGTTGATGGTTGGGGCCGTGGATAACACTTATGACGAGACAGATTAGGTTGGGCTATTCAAATGGGTTGGGCTAGTAGGGATTTTGGCAGGGAACGTGATGTGTAGCGGCGTCATGGAATGGTACAAGCAAGGTACAGGAGAATTGTGTATCTATCATCTTGAATGGGTCATGATTTGGTTTTGATTTGCATTAGATGAAAGTTGTCCGCTGTGAGAGATCGCGTGAGCTAATGGGCTGCGCCACCTGTCAGAGCACATTGATGTGGCCGACATCCTGCGAATAACTTGACGGCTGGACAAGTGGAAAGTTCCAAGTACGGACTGCGTGACTTTCATTACTACAGTAGCTCTGGTGCTCTTTGGGATACAGAACTGCCACTTCACATGCAGACACCGTACGAGACGAAACGAGAAAGATAATATCGAAACCGTTCTATGCCTTTCACACAACAGTGGGAACAGTCATTATATACGCCGTTTTTCTTCGAATGACACGCCATTTTGGGGCGGGTTGAGCGACTAGTTATCGAAGTTCTTTTGATGCATCCTGCTGCTGCTTGAAGTCCAGCGTTGATGCCAAGAACGTGTGGTGTGATTCTAAATTTAGGATGTGTTCATGTTGTGATAAGCTCCTGCCGTCGACACCTTATATGATGGCGTGCTTGTCCGCCAGCTTCTTCAAGTACTTGGCGTAGATGCCGTAGACGTTGAGTTCTTTTATTCTAAAATCCTTGAAAGAGTAAGTTCCACAACCGAATGAAAAGCCGAATGAGAAGGATACTCGGACACATTACCGGTCGATGAACTTGTCCTCGCCTATAATCATGTCGGTCACTGGTTGACGTTGCTCATTACCATCGTTCTTGACGAGCAGTTTTGCCCATCCATTGTCCCGCGGGTCGAGTTGCGTCTCTTCTTCCAGTTTTTCCGGGGCTAGGGTCTGCGATTTCCGTGAATGTGAGCCACCGGCAAAACATCGCTCTCCAACTGCTGATACCTGCAGAAGACCCCAATTCCACCCAGACGGCCCGGATGTGCGTACCTTGATCATATCGAGGTACGACGCCACTCTTTCACCTTCGCCCTCGATGATAACAAATGCACGCGAGCCGACGCGCACAACCAGGCCGAGCTGCAGCTCGATTGCAGGGTCGCGGACGAGTTTGCGCTCTAAGCATCAAGGGGAAAAGAAATGAGTGGAGATTCTTCTACCCAGTGTGGATGAGGGCTCCAGTATGACGGAATGGGAGCGCAGGAACTTACTTCCAATGGAAATCAGCGGCGACGTGGAGAGCAGGAGCCGTTTCCACTGCTTAACTTGAACGGGTCCCTTATCACCCTCAGCCGCGGGGGGGACGCTCGCTACAGGTTGAACGATAACAGGCGGGACGCCAGCAGCAGCCGTAACCACGGGCATCGCCGAAATATCATCACCCGCATCTTTCTTCCCAGCAGCCGGCTTGGCCTGGTTGTTATGGTTGACTAAATCAGCGATGGCATTTTTGAACAGCGATGAGATTCGGCTGTTGTGGTTCCTCACTCTGTTCTTTTCGAGTTGGTTTGCGGGTGATCGAATGAGAGGTGTTTTGCCGTGCAGAGATTTATCGGGGGTGGGCTGGCCGGTTGGTGGAGATTGGCATTGCTGTCCAGTGGTGATCACAGATCCGATGGCCGACTTTTCAGCAATGAGCTGAACTTTCGTCGAAGATTGTCGCTGCTGCTCTCTAATAAGGGCAGATCCGACTGCCGGCTTGTCAGCACTTGGCTGAACATTCGCTAGAGGTTGTCGTTGCTGCATGCCGTTCCCGGCAGCGCCTGAAGCTCCAGCTCCATTTCCATTGCTGCCTTCAGCGGTGCTGGTCGTAACCGTCGGAGTATTTCCGCCAGATGCCGGCGTCTTGGGAAGTCCATTCTGAGAACCGCCACTGATGCTGCCGCTTGTGGGAATTCCATTGCGCGCGCCCGTTGCACCCGACGGTCCGGCGGTCGAGGTGCTTTTGATCGGACGGAATGTCGGTGTTAGTCCGTTTGTAACCTGTGCGGTTGCCGGAACTGGCTTATTGACGGCGGTGCTGGGACCACTGGGTTGCGGCGGTCTAGCTTGATTAGCCGTGCTACCAGCTGGCCGAGCGGTGGACATGGTGGAAGCTGTCCGATGTACAGAGATTAGTGTTGATGTGATTTCGTAAGTCTCACAATACGGGATCAAAGCGAAAGATGCGCCCGGAAACAAAATGGAAGTCATACCTGACGTTAGAGCTGGCCACTCATTAGCGATCGTCACAGTCAATCTCTGCCCTTGCGGCTCGTTGGCCCTCATAGGCACCGGTTCGGGCTCGTCGTCCCAGCCCAGAATCGCACTGTTTAGTCGTTGATGATATGCAGCAATCCTCTTCTCCATCTTTGCCTGCGGCTTCCTCTTCGACATGCTGCTCTCAGGCAGGAACCGTAGCTGTTGCTCGGCACGGACCTCTTCGGCTCGCGCCTCGCGCGCACGCAGGGTGGACTCGAACTCTACCCATGAGCCGCGGTACTCTTCGATGCATTTCCTGCAGCGACGGCGTTTGTTTCGCCATTGAGTCCTGAATACGGGATGGTAAGGGATGAAAACGGTGAATGTGAGCCAATAGCCTTTGTCTTCAGAGCCACATTCGCATGGTCGCACGGAAAGTGGAAACTCTCCGGCACATCAAACTTTCGACAGCTCCAGAGTCGCTCGCAGTGAGGCACATCTCCAGGAACTTACTCCGAGTAACAGTATGGCGGAAGCACCTCGTCGCATCCATAACACTTTTCAGGTCCACGGGCGTTCGGAGGGTTCACTATGGCTGCATAGATCCAGGCGGGGTCGAAGGGTCGCTTGGCCTTTCCGCGCCTGACGGTCGCTTGATACCTGGACATGAATGATGTTGTTCTTGAAGGGACGGACAAGGTGGTGAGCTCGGCTCGGTTTATCGATACAAGCCTACCAAATCACGGACGGGTTGCGGTACCAAGCTTCCACCCTTCCCCCGCTCGCCCCTTCCTACCTGAGAGGAAGCACTGACGGGCGTGCTGTCGAAAGACTTGTTCACGCTTGGGACGGGACGACGGGGCGCAAGTGAGGGAGGCTCGTCTCAGGCTACAGGTCGGAAGCTAGATTCTGGTTGCTCTTCCTGGAGGTTGAGAAAGACGCCAAGTTCCGCTCTCAAGTCCCTATCTTTCGGCGTGGATCTGGAAATCGAGAAAGTGCGGAGAGAACCCAAACGTTGTCCGATTGACAGGAGACAAAATTCGACAGCGCGAATCTTCGATTTGCTCCGTACATTTCACTGCTTTTTCCCCACCTTCGTCGTAGTTTTAATCATATATGGTTTGGGAGCGGCCTACATATATAACGATACTCGCGCGCACTCTTCCGGGTTGAAATATACTTTCCCCAGTACTCTTGTTATCGCAACACATCCTCGGTTCCTTCAGATAGCATGTTGGTTGCTGCTTGCTGGTTACATCAATGCATCTCACAATCAATTCATACGGAACATACGTGTTAAAAACTATTCACTAATCAACTATATACGCTCTGAAATGCTGCAATTCCTTCCTCCACTCCGGTCCTCCATGTGCCATATGCCACATGCCAACTCGTAAGAAAAGAAACCTGCACGCCCCCGCGTGAGCTATGCATTTGGGTCTAAGATTAACGAGTGAAGCCGACTACCGCCGTTATCTTTCACACCGTGACACTGCTTGATGTAGAACCTTATGACTGGGCGGTTCAGTGGAGTGCTCGACAGCCAAATGCTCGTAATCGTCGTGGGTCCTTTGCGGGGGTGAGGCACAAGCATTCGAAGGTGCTAGTAAGCACATGGTTGGCGTAGTACACTGCGCGACCTTCCAGAACTTCCACACATGCTGGTGCCGCATCCTATACCTCGCCCTCCACTCCTCCTACACAGTCGTATCCGGCGGCATTGTTCGGAGCCTGGGATGTGGTTTGAGAGGGTTGTGCTGGGGTGCGAGCAGTATTGGTGTTTGGCGTGCCGGTTGACATGGTCGGTTGACGATGATGATGGGGATTGTGAAGTTTGGGTGTAGTGGGTTTGGCGGTGTGGGAGCGTGGTGTGGGGGATGGTGTGCGTTGTGAGAGCTTTGTGACGAGTTCGGGGCGGGTAAGCAACTTCCTCACACGACGGTGCCGCTAACTGTCTACCCCGTTCTAGACCGCTCGACCTGCATAGCGCTCGCTGGCTTACCTCACGTGAAGGTCAACAACGTAAGGGACTCCTCCCTCAGAACCACCACAGCCCCGGCAGCAATCTGCTGTACTCCCAAAACATCGCCCTGCCCCTCGAAGCCTCCCTCATCCAAGTCAACCACATATTGATCCGCCACAGTTGCCCCCGCATGGGGCAGTTGCGCATACACGTACATCCGCTTCGATTCGACGATGAACATGTAACGCGCATCGTGTGTGAACGCCATGAAGCGCTTGTCGCGTTTGCTCGCTTGCACGAAGCCGAAGGCGTTGAACGCTGCCGCCGGCGTCAATGAAAGGTTTGGTGTCCCGATGGTGTAAACTAACGCGTCGATGTCGGATCGGAGCGCGACGGTTATAGGTAAGACTCTCGGAACTGCTGGTATGACCGGTGGCGTCCAAGCAAAAGAAGTACAAAGCCATTCGCGCCCACCGGTGAGTGACATGTGCGTTGGGCCTGCGTTAGCATCCAGACTGTATCGCATCAGAACAGCGGCATGGCCCTCGAAATCAACTTCTTCGGGCCGCTCGCTCATGATGTCCTGTGCAGCGTACGGAGGGATGTCGGTGTCAACAGCGCTAGATGTGTACTTTTCCAGAGCGGATGCGAACTCGGCTATTACGTTCGGGTCAAGAGTTTCTTCCACATCATCGTCATTCTCATCGTCCCACAGGTGGGTCCATCGACTGCCTTCGTTCGCCTTTTGTAGGTACAGTGTAAGCATTCGGTTGTCCTCCAACGTCCATAGACAGTCTGATGGCACGATGTCGTCGAAGATCTTTGCGTCGAATATCGTTTCCTCCTTTGGCGGGAGAATTTTACATTTAACGCAATGTTTCATAAACAGGCAATGAACCTCGCTTTTCAACGTGACGTGCGGGAGACGGACAGTAATCGTGATGTCAGATTCCGTCTGCATCCACTTGTAATCCAACTTTTCGTCCCGGTTGGGAGTTGGTGCTGATGCCCCGACACCTCGGGGAGCTGACGACGCGGCAGCCGCATCCACTGCCTGCTTCAGTGCCGGATTTTCGTAGGGAGTCGCTGCACCGACTACAAACCCGTTCCCATCTGGTTCGATACTGGCTAAAAACGGCGCACTGAACCCTTCCACGGTCATGACCGTCCGCGGTTCCAGCATCATCCCCACGGGTGGGTCCTGAAGGGTAACCGAAAGTAGGCTCAGAAAGAACGACAACCTCTGATGGGTCTCACTTCGCTGTTTGTCCCGAAACGATGTGGTGGTGTGGCCCGTAGGTTCTTCTGCTTCGTGTTCTTCCATCCGGTAATACATGATCAGGACCCGCCTATCGCTCTCGAGAAGTGCATCCACCAGAATGGGGGTTCCCCGTAACCCACTGAATTGCCCAACAACAGGAAATTCGTCGGTGCTTGTATGCTGCAATATGGTGATCGTTCCACCGCCATCACTAACGATGAATAGTGAGCCAGCACGTCGCACTGATGGATACTCTCGCGTGTCTGTGGGACCAGTCGGGACTGGAAGTTGGTACACTTTGCGGAGGTGAAGATCTGCAGTGGCCTGATCGTTGAAGGTAAGCGTTCTATAAATATCAGATGCGCAGGGAAGTCTTGCGTTCAGCATACCTCATTATACAGCACTTCCACCATTGTGTAGTTGCCGTCCACATAATATGCACCATCGGTGCCAGGAAACGCGAACAAATGGTTGAACTTGCTTCGCGCTTCTAGTTTCCGAAAAGGATCGTGCGCTAAGGATGGAACCTTGCCCATGTTTATACTCGTCGGAAGGCGAATATGCCGCGGCGCACTGAAGGGGCCATCGATCTTAAGCTTGTAGCCGTCAAACCTTTTTGTTGTGGAAGTGCTCAGCAACGACTTTTGCAGTTTTCAGACTGATTAATGAGAAGTGCGAATACCTGGGGTCCAGGAGGCCGCGGTCCACAGGGACCTGGACAGTCTGGATGCTGTGCAGGGCAGGCATCGTGCACATGCAGTTGAATAGTTGCTGAGTGGGTCTGAAAACGGAAACGGTGGAACCGACGTCGAGCACACAGAACGGACTTGGGAGCATTTGTTTGGACGCGTTTCGAACAGTGCGATCCGTAACCTTTGAGGTCCTTCTTTCATGGGGGCGCCATCCTTTCCCACAACCAAGAACATTTTCACCTTTCCTGCCAGTTACAACTGCCTTGCTCGTCTATTCAGGCCATCTACCAACGATCACCCTAATGGAGCTCGCGATCCAATCCCTCACATTTTCTGCATCCCCGTTGGCCCCAAATTAGATTGCAGAACGTCCTGCGGACTGGCGGCGGCTGTGATGCTGATGTGACCTTGCTGAGCCACCTTTTTAACCTCCTCGATTACCGGCCCTAATACTCCAATAATAGTGTCCACCTCCGCCATCGCCCCATTGCCCAGGTCACCACATGCCAGCTTCTTCACTACAGGATCGATAACTCTGTACCCTAGATATGACGTACAAACTTCCAAATGTCGCGCGGTGAAGGGATGCGTCCACATGTGCGTGTTCATCGCTGGGCAAAGAATCACTGGTTTGGACGTGTCCCACGCACGGAGGACGCATGTGAGGAGGTTATCAGAAGCGCCTGAGGTGAGTTTGGAGAGTGTATTGGCGGACAGCGGTGCGATGACTAGCACGTCAGCCCAGGCTCGCAGCTATAAGGGAACAGATGTCAGCTTCAAAAGATGAATCAGCACTGTATCATGAGTGTTCACCACTTACGTCGATATGTAAGACTGGGTCTGACATTTTAGTCCAGGCTGCCCATTCTTCGGCGTCGGTGTAGACTGGCACCCCTTCCGCCTCTACCACTGTACGATCGAAGAAGTGAAGGGCATGTGTTGTGGATATGACCTTTATTTCTATATCGCTCTGTATTGGATATAGAGTGCATGATGACCAGCACCTGGGTTCCCAAACAAAGTAAACCTACTAAACTATCGGTGTGTATTTGCGCAAACTTACCGCTCCGGCCGTGCTCCACCAGCCAAATCCGAGCCCTTCAAGGCCGGACAAACATACTAACCCCACTGCCAGTCACGACTTTCTCGATTTCCATTCCCCCCTTTCCTCTTTCAACAAACCTTATGCAGTTCCTTGAGCTTCCGCACGAGGATAGGAATTTTGATGCTCGCCACGCTTCCGGACGCGGCAAGGATGATGCGTGCCGGACCGGGCAAGCGGACGGTTGTGCCGTTGGCGTACTGCATGCTGCTTTGTTCTGCGTATGAGGAGAGTGATTTATGCGTATGACGAGAGTGTTGGGAGTAGTTGGAGTACTAGTATTGGATCTAAGACTGTCTATGAGGACGAATGCGTTGTTGGTGTTGGAGACTGAGAGTTGCGGCCTTCCGCTGGTCTTTCCGACGCCCAGCCGCCCCATTAACCTACAGAGCCTACAGTACCATTAACTTCGGCCCCCAGAGTCACAGGTAGAAATTACACAAAGTTCCCACGGCAACCCGTACAAGACCAGGCACTCTGCCAACTACCATAGCCGTCTACCCCCTTTGCAGCTTCAAACCGTCCGCGCGAGGAACCGTTGAGGACCGTATATCAGCGATCTGCACAGTTCTTAGAAGTCAACACCATGAACCGCCGAGGAACACCCACAGCGCTCAAGCGCCTTATGACAGAATATAAAGGTATGGGAAGGCCGCAAGCGGCCGAGAAGAGGGAAGGATAGAGACACTTGCCTAACCTTTCAACACTCGTACAGAGTTGACAACAAACCCACCAGAAGGCATCACTGCCGGGCCAATATCCGAAGATGACTTTTTCAAGTGGGAAGCGCTTATCGCGTACGTTCTCCGCTTCAGCAACTGCGACTGTAACAATCGCTCTCGAGTCTGATTCCTGAGTCTTGCAGCGGCCCAGACGACACACCTTACGAAGGCGGCATATTCCCAGCTATCATCACGTTCCCGAAAGACTATCCGCTATCACCGCCCGTCATGAAGTTTACATGCAAGATGTTCCACCCAAATGGTAAGAGGCGACCAGGTGCAGGAAGGTGTTGACTCAGCGCTCATACTTCTTCTTTCATTCTGTGTAGTGTACGCAGATGGAACGGTCTGCATTTCTATCCTTCACCCACCAGGGGACGACCCCAACATGTACGAACATGCGTCAGAAAGGTGGAGTCCTGTGCAGAGCGTGGAGAAAATCCTTATCAGCGTCGTCAGTATGCTGGCAGAGCCCAATGACGAGAGTGGCGCCAACATTGAGGCATCGAAGATGTGGAGATCTGACAGGAAACAGTTCGAGCAGATTGTCCGGGCCAACACACGGGAAACGTTGGGTCTGTGAGGAAGAGACGGCTGTACATAGATTTTGGATTGTGACATACGACAGTATTTGCTGACGTCCAGTTGCGCCTCGAAAGATGCGTGGCGTTGCCAATGTGCTGCATATTGTGTCCATACATTCTGAGCCCGAAAATGAAGCATTTATTCGGCGTAAGTCAGTCCCTAGTCGAGGAATGAGCTTTCGCGAGCCTCGAAGCGAGGAAGCGATGGCCGCTCGTTTGACAAGGCGAAGAACTCGCGTTCCACAGCTCTATGTGTATTGTACTTGCTAATCTTCCAACGAATATCCTAAATTGCACCTATTCCTAAAACTCTTAGTCCTACACGAGGCCCGCGAATCGCAATGCCCTATCGATCTACATCAAGAACTTAAGAAAACCTAGGAGGGGAAGTACAGCGCCAAATATGCCATTCGGCGGCACGCTCGCTTATCGGTGAAAATATCGTCAGACACGAGGAGCTTCCGCAGTTCAGCGAGTTGTCCCCGGTTCTTTTGATCACGCTTTTGGAGATAGATGGGACAGGTGTCAAGGTAACAGCCTTCTCGACCCAGGAAAATTCGCAACGCACCCATTGTAACCGCGCGGATTTGTGCAAAGAGAACCGATCGTCGTTCGCCACATGTCGTCCTATCGCATAGTTGATATCGTATGTTCCTGCATAGTGCACGTTGATGTCACGTTTCCTCACCAGTAACCTCTCATCCAAAAAGCAGCTGTATACAAACCAGGACCCGGTATGAACCCGTTCGACTGATGTCTCTGCATTAGCTATTGGATGATGGTGTACGCATAGACTGAACACCCCAAATGAAAAGGATGACTTACTCCTCTCAAAGTTGCCTCCAGGCCGCTCTTCGCACCACCGCTATCAAGTAACGGCCGCACACTCCCTTTCGTCTTCTTCAGATCCTCTATGAAGGATTTGTGTTCGTAGTGGCCTAATGGCGGTGCCTGCAAATTCCGAGGGTAAGAGCGTGACGACCGAAAGGCGGAAGTGTCTGGGTACCTGCTGTTTGACATCGGGAAACCGAACCCCTTGCCGGATGTATACGCCAACATTCGACGTCGGTTTGGCCAGAATGGCTGTTGTTAACGCTGTGCTCTACGAGTCCAGGAGGGGAGCTGCGTTAGGAATGCTTTCCTGCTACTTTGAAGTATCTACATTCTCTTCCGACGGAATTTATCCACCTCATATTCTCCAGGTCCTATAGCGCCAGTCACCGGCGGAAGGGTTTGGAACCGTTCCGACCGCGGTCCATGGAATTCTGCGGGGAGTGATATGTCGGTACGAGATGAGTAACAGAAACCGTCATGGCCAGCAATCCAGCTCATATGCTCTTCGGCGCCTGGCGCCTGGTCTTGCGCAGAGTCGGCCGCCGTGCAATTCAAGCGCACATGATGCATTACCTTTCTTGACGTCCATCTAGCTTGTTTTGTGAGGTGACAAACTAAAATACGGAGGCAGCGATGCAGGGAGAATTTCCTGGGATTCTCCCTCTTCGTCTCCCTCGTTGGGAATTTGATGAGTTCCTGAGTCGGCGCTTATTTGAGGTAAGCTTGCGTCCGGGTGAGCCGATTTTCGACAGCGCGTCCTTACCCGTAAGCGGGAGCTGCGTCGGGGCGGAACGTACAGTACGGTAGGTTGAACGACGTGGAGATTAACGTAACATATGATCAGAATGAATACAAGTGTGCATATACAAAACAAGAGGAAGCCAGACGAACATCGGGCACAGCCTCCACGCCATTGTCTCCACCTCCATCCGCCCTTTTTGTCGAGGGCTTGCGTTTGCGCCTGCGCCTGCGTTTTTTCTGTTTGCTTTTTCCAGTAGTATTGGCCTCCTTGTCAATTCCTGCTCCTATTGTTGCGCGGTCTCTTTTCTTCTTCCTGGTCCGGGGTCTGCGCTCCTTTTGCGTCTCCTTCGGCATCAGTACCTAGCGGGGGGAAGAGATGACTATTTGCACCGGGACAGACGGAAAGGACCACATATCTCCCACTACATCATTCCTGGGCCAGCCTCCCACTCCGATGCAGATTCGCTGTTTGACACGTTCACACTGGACGCGGATATTCAGCTGCCTGGGAGTAGGGACATTCACTCCGCACACGACGGCGTTTCCCAAGAGCAGACTGTCGCTCTCGGATCCATTCTCATGAGTCTGGAGTAAATTTGGATGAGATGAGAAAGTGTTTTGGCGTATGTAGGTGATGGGGTTGACAGAGAGGAAGGCGAGGGGAAAAACCTGTGCATGTATATTTGAGACCAGAAATTTGACAGCTCGTACTAGTGGCCCGCTCCCTACGCTCGGCATAGCGACGACAAATTCTCAACTATGGACAGTTACGCAATGCAGCGGCCCACCACTGAAGCTTGACCGGAGAGCAATGTCCCGACCGACGGCGAGGAAAGCGATACCGACAGAGGATCAACACAGTCCAACAAGCTACCCCGCTGTGAGAAAGTAGCGCCGGCATGTTTCACCTCCGACCTCTCTGGTCAATTGCGACTCCCTGAAGGCCAACCTCACCACGACCTCATTAAAGAGTCTAATTATGACGACGCTGTTGTGGTCTCTTCTGCCATGCTAGCTCGGGCTCATACCAACTTCCATTGCTATCACGCATCTGCAAAAGAATCGACGAAGCATTTGAGAAAGCTTACCTGTGGGGCTGACAGAGAAGCTTCATTAGAACTTGGTCATCTGTTTGCGGCGAATAATTTACAGTGGACCAAATTCTTCCAAGCATCGGCGGCAGTCGACAGCGTCAGAGCGAGTAAATGAAACAACAAGAGCACTTTCAAAAGAGATAAAACACGTGAGCATGACTCATTCCGACCATTTTTCGACAGCGCAGCGGCCAGTGACGTGGGCATTTTTTGACAGCCCGCTCAGGGACCTGTCACTAGTTGCCGCCTGTCAGTGGGGGCCCAGCAGGCAAGGCGGGGGAAGTTGCAGGGAAGCCACAGACATGGAGTGGCGGGGGAAAGGGCGAGAATCATCCTTCGCTGTCTCTGGCGTCACTGAAAACACCCACTTGTCGCACATATCGGGATTTCTGGGTCGAGATGGAGCTGACGAATATTGGCGGGATGGGAAAACGCACGCTTGCCCACCAGAGCTGCTCCATCGGGCCAAAGACATATGCGGAGGCAGATAACTGACAGTGAAGATGAAATAATCTCGAGGACTTAGGATATCCGTCGCTCAAAAAGATTGCTGTGGAGGTTGCCGCGGGGAGGAATGAGGAGGGACACGTTCACCTTCGGATCCGACAACAGTCAAACAAAGCGTGGAGGCTAGGACCGCAGAGACGCAGCGGTGAGTGTAACTGTCTGTCAGTCCAAAAGCATCACCGGGGCGTCATGTTATGATGGTCCAACGCTGTTTCCGACGCTGTGGTGGTCGTTTGCAGTACATTTTTTGTACCTGTGCATGGTTTCAGGGTTTTGCAAGCAAATCGCTGATCGATACACAACAACGACAAGGGAACTGATGAGGTTTTGGCCGTGGGATTAAGGAAAAGATGCTCATATGTAAATCCGTTTTGCCATGTGAGGTATGACCACATACTCATAAATGGCAAGGGATGGTGTAGTGTGTGGGACAGTGGTTTCCCAGGAGACGGGTGGAGGGGAGGAGGGGGTGCCTTGCTTTCAGCAACAGAGCTGGGCTGATGTTCCCATTCCGGCCGCCGGACCGCGCAGAGGGCGACTGGCAGGAAGCGAAAATTTCTTTCCAAACGCTTTGATTGCGACTGACAGCTCGCCCTACCTCCGTTGCTCACACTCCGCATTCATAATGCGAGCTTCCTCTTACTCACTGAATCATTATCAGCCCTCTTTTCTCATCGCTTCCAGGCAGCGGACTACAACCGCTCCCAAAGGAACGGGACCCAGCCAGCGCGACACAACGCTTAGTGCCTCTCGCTGCACCCTCGGGGGCTGTCCATTGTTTCCTTGTGTGTCCTGCTACTTTTCCGTTTGCTGTTGTGCTCAATTGCCCGTCCCTGCCGTGCCCTTGTGCACCCTTGTGCCGCACCCTGCCACAAAAAAAGACCTCCTTCTGCAATCAATATACAGCGAGTGACCCTTAGAGCCCATCCGAAGACCTTAATAGACGAGAGGCCCCTGTATGTGTGAAAATCGATGCAAAGAGGGCGTGGGAAAATTGTCGCTTTGGGCTCTCGATTACCTTTATAACTGCCAGGATACTGCTTCCCTCCCTCTTTGCTTATCACGTCTTCCTGCTCTGTCTTCCAGAGCTGTCGTCCATCTTGCCTCACTTCGTTGTCAACCAATCTCGGCTCGTGCTCCCCCGCAATTTTCCGTCTCTCCGCCGCATACGACACTCTCGCGCGTGGGAAAAAACCAAGTACCTCGTATCCTCGCGGAGCACCCTGTGGACCACAGCCAAAGGAACATATCCCCCGCTTGTAGCGATTTCTTCGCCGGCGGAACTTGGATCAGTCATCCATCCAGGTAATTACGCAGCATGGGCTGGGTATATGCGGACTGCCAGCTCTGCAATGCCATGGCCGCAGCTGTTTAACGCCCATCCCTAGAAAACCTGAGGGCTGCAGGCTAACGTCTTCCCCCACGACTCGTAACTTCGTTCTTACATCGGTCTTCACGCATAACATTCTCTGTTCAGTACGATCACCACCAAGACCGTGGCACTCAACCTTCCACCGCTGCTGCAGTATCCTACAATCCTTCCAGCACTAGCTTTCAAGTCTCTGTGCCGCAGGTATGCGTTAGACCTTGAACGCCGTTTCTCGCACGCCCAAGTACTTTGTTGATCACGGTTTTTCTTCATCCTCCACGCTTACCTGCTGCAGAGCCCTGTACCACCAGCTGTTGAATCGTCAGGGATTATGAGATCTAGCATGGCTTTCCTGGCTGGCCGCTGCTCCCAAGGCTATACCATCAATCTCCTCTGCGACTCTCAGTCTTATGACGAAGAGAGATCCGTTTGCAAACGTCGGTTCTCATGGCAAATGTCTCCTTCGCCTCCATGTCATGTGAACAACAACGGCTGCTCGCCCGGTTATCCAGGTTCGGCCACCCCTACCTGGCCGTGTGCGAGTGATTGCTGCTACTCGGACAAGGAATCATCGCCTATGGCACTGGAGGACGCATCACCATCTGCTATCGAGAGAGTGGATGTCTCTAGTATGTCGAGCTGTTGTGCCATTCATATATATTCCGCCCGAGAACGGCAAAATGCATGGGAGTTTTCTGACGCTATCTTTCCGACGTTTCAGGCAGCATGTACCTGGACAATTTGGCCGCTCTGGCTGTTGCATCTGGCCTCCGAGCCGAAAATCTTCGAGTTTCCGTCGACTCTTCCTCCGGATGGTCGTCCCAAGTATCGCCTGCCAGCTTGGCAGTCGGGTCCGTCAAGCGAGAAGCAGAGACTCCGTTTGCGCGTACCTCAAGTTCCTCGGAAAGTATCGAAGACGAAGTGTCAGGAGTGGAGCGATCTCCTACCCCTCGCAAAACGCGTCCGTCGTCGCCGCACCGACCACACATCTGTCGAGAATGCAAGAAGGGTTTCACCACCAGGTATTGATGCACAACTGTCGTCAATCGTATTTTGCACTCCTAAAAACATTGCACCTCTCTCGATCTCCAGTGGACATGTAGCCCGTCATATGAGGTACGCTTCGTGATGCCTTTGTCGACATTTGGAGATCTACTTCTAATTTACTCCGGACCGCACAGAATTCACACAGGAGTGAAACCTTACCCATGCCTCCTCCCGGATTGCCAGGCTCGCTTTTCCCGCCAAGACAATATGATGCAGCACTATCGCACCCATCTTCTCAAGCTTCAGAAGAGCACCGCTTCTACGACCGGATTCGTAGTTGAACTGAAGAACCTCAAGTCTTTGGCTGATAAAGGTGTCAAACAAGCCGAAAAGCCGTCCTCCTCCGTGTCTACCCGATCAAAGAGGAAGAGGCAGACCGTCAAGAGCAAGGTGAACTCACAACCCACGGCACCACGGAAAGCTCGAGCCAAACCTGTCCAAGGTGGATCGGACCAAAGCGGGCGTTCCCCGGAGGGTAGCCAAAGCGGATACCCGTCATTGACTGAACATGTCCGCCCTATCATGGACATGACACCTCCTCCGTCTGCACGCAAGACCCGTTCTTCTGGCAGGGAGGAGAACTCGCGTGGTGTTGATACTCCCGTACAAATGTCTTCCAGGCGTAAGACTGCGAAACGCGCAAGGAAGGCGCGAGAATAGGAAATCCAGATCGTACTGCGTACATCTGGCGGTAAGCAAACCATTCGTCCGTAGAGTGGTGGGTAATTACTGAAATTGTGTGTCAAGGTCATATTGTATTTTGTAATGTATATATTTTCATAAGAGCGATGCTAGGTAAGGTCATATGAAGATTGACGGCTTCGTAAGAACCCTTTGGTTTGGCACCTTCGTTTTCCCTCCATGCAACCACACTCGCATTCCCGAAGACACTTCCTTCTGGTGCATGCACATTGTCAGCTTCTCATGGAAGTATCACAATTGGATGCTATCGAACCTCGGCCGCCGGCTTAGCTTGCCCATTAGACCCGTGGTGCACAACGAGGCCGAACAAAGGGGCCGAAGAAGGAGGCGCAAACTGTCATTTTAGGACTGACAAATCCGAATGGCGGAGGTTCAACCCACAGATTCTGTAGGTCACGTCTCAGCCCCCGTCGCTGGCCAAAATACCCTTAACTTTAGGTCCTGGGCCCAGGACATGTAGAATAAACCCCAGGGCGGACTTCTGACGTAAGCTCCTCAGAGCGGAATTGACCTTGAATGCTGTCAATTCTGTCACTGTTTTTGTCGACAGGAGTCAAAGACACTGCACATCCCTGACATCATGTTCTATGAGGAACTTCCCGAATGACCAACGATAAGAAGGCGGAGTCCATGTTGTGCGATGACCAAAGCGTTCGATGAGAGGAGAGAATCCCCGGGGCTTTTGCGAGCAGAATAAAAGCCTCGCTTGTTTCTCGTTCTCTTCCCTACACATTTTCTCATCTGCTTGCAATAGCATGATACATTTTTTCATCGACAGTAAACTTTTCCACTTCTACACAGCTTCTTCAGACCATCTCCAAATCGTCAAGAATGCTCTTTCAGGAAATCCTGGAAGACGACTCGTTCCCGCTGGACGGCTTCCTCAATCTCGCTGCTCCGGCGGCCGAGCAGGAAGAATCGCTGGCAACCAGCACCTCAACTACCTGCCATGAAGACGACGACATTCACTCTCGTGCCGACTTCCTCGAACAAGGGGAAATCTTCGATTTTGACGAATTCGTAAAGGCCAAAGGAATCGTCCTCAAACGAGGCCGCTCGCAATCGACTCAAGGCTCGTCATCTTCAAGTGCCGCTGCGACCAGCCATGGCTCGGCACTCTCAACCTTTACTTCCGCGGCAGCATCCTTTGCGTTACCTCTCAGTGTGCCTCCGGCTGCGCCTGCGAACTCCACTCAATTCATACCCTTCATGGAGCCGAGTTTCACAGGATTCATGAACTCAGTCGCACGTCAGGAACCGGCGTTGCCGTTCTCCGCCTCGCCTGACGCAATCATAAACGCTAGACACCTCCCCCAGTACGCCACGGCGGCGGACCCATACCAGGGTCCGTCCGCTGTCGGTGCTACTGCGTTACAGCCTCCAAGGTCAGAAGTGCCAGCCTGTCCCGTACACACGATAGGCCGACAAGTTCCTCAAGGCCTGCTCGGAAGTCGCGCACATGGCAGTACGCCTTACCATCGGCCAACAACCATTCGTTCCGGCCCTGACTCGTCAGTGGGGAGGCAAACGGGCCGCCCGCTTCACGCCCAGCCACGTAGCACCCAGCCTACATCTACCGACTCGTCAGTGATGAGGCAGCCGGGTCACTCACATCATGCCGAGCCACGTAACACTCGGCCTACATCTACCGACTCGTTAGTGGTGAGGCAAACACACCGTCTACTTCATGCCCAGCCACGCAACAGCCGACCTACATCTACCGGCACGACAGGCTTGCAGGCCCTTTGTGGGCCTCATCGGGAGGCATCGACGCTCCGCACCCTGCCTCGCACCACAGCTGTCTTAACGTATGCAATGCCAACTATGCCGGCCTCTTCCGGCTCTCGCCGAGACGTATCTGCGAGTGGCCCTCAATCGCGCGCTCCCCGCTCTACATCAACCATCACGACGGTAGCGCATGCTGCTCGACCTCCTTCTGGTCGTCGACAAGCGGTGAGGGATTCGTCCGGAAAACGACCAGTTGGAGGAATCCTGGCAGCGACACCTTTCCAGAATTATGTCATGGCCGGAGGTGACCCTCAATACTTTCACATCTACTGGGCCAATGCGCTCGAATTGCAGCAGCAACAATTTCAAGCGCGACCGTCGCATCCACCTCCGATGAGAGCGAGTGTCCCAGCTCCCGCCCAAGCACATATTCCTACGCGTACGGTGCACAGCATTTCCGCTGCTCGCCTGGATGTTGACGCCCAAACGTACTACACATTTCCGACTTTCGGGCGAGGATCGTCCAACGCTTCGTCTACCAGCCCCGAAGACGCAGCCAGAAAGCGCAAACGCCCGGCTTCGGGGGCAATGGAGGAGCCACGCTTGCCAATCTCAGCCAACCCGGTTCCGCTAGCTACCAGAACACCTAAACGCGCACGCACACTCGTGCCGTCCTCGGAAGCAGGCCCGTCTGGATCGTCCTTGACAACCGTCAGTCAAAAAGGGCGGCGACTCCCGCAGGTTCCTCACGCTTGCGTTCCTTGCCGAACCCATCACTTCAAATGCAATGTGGAGCGCCCATGTGAGACATGCTCGGAGCATGGATGGGCGGCCTTCTGTTTTGACCTGCCGCACAAGCGACGCGGTCGCCCCCGCAACTCTAAGACGAAGACCAAGACAGCAGGGGCCCTTCCTCCACCTTCCCCACCTCCTCCGCCCGGTGCCTCTGGTTTTATCTGTGTGTAAAGACCTGTACTAGATATAGTAGGGAGTCTTTCGGTTCATTTTGCTCGAAAAGTTTTCGTCGCTGTATGCACACTGAAGTTCAATAGTATTAACGGTTTCAAACGAATTGACTACTTGCATAGTTTATTTCTAAGGGTGCTGGTATGGGAAAAGGGAATGCCGCTCCCTAAATCGAAAGCTTCGGACAAGCCTGAGAGCCGGCCGTCACGGAATCAGCGTATCAAGATAATGGTCTGGACCTCACGAGAGGACGCGAATGCATTCTATCGAAAGCAGCTGGCCATCAAAACGCTGAACAATGCTTGACCTGGTCGCACACCTCACTACTCAGGCATAGCTACCATATCATATCAAACTGGTAGAACGGACGGTGGAAACTACGTCCGGCAGCCAAACCCGAGCAATTCAGGCCCGACCGAAACGGCATCCATGCCTTCAGTGCGTGACCAAGTGCGTAACCAAAGCGGCCATTGCGGCAGTGGAATCCAAACTTCGAGCTAATGAGACGGGTGCAATCAGTGTTTGTTCTGATTTTACGGTCATGCTATAAGTGCGACTGGCTGTTCATGATTGTTTCTGGGGCAGCTTTAATGACAGTTACGCGCTGTCGAAATCGGTAGCGAAAATCTGCATCGCAACTGCACCATCTTTGATCCGCTGATCAACCTTCCCACAGTCGTCGATGCTCGCTTCTTACACGCAACGACGCCCTTTATACTGTATGTAACCGTATGCGGTGATCTGTTGATGTTGCAAACTTCTTCACATCGACTCGCAAACTTCGTCGGACCAACCGTTCACGGCGATAATGCTAAGCTTTCATTTCAAATGAGCTGTGCAGCCAGATGATTTATTTACAGAAAGCTGTACTGCGTAGTTCTCAAAGTCGAATAGTTTTACGTTCTTTACGAGCCAACGCTGTTGGGTCACTAACCAGTTTGCGGGCACACCAGCTCTCTTTCGCTCTTTGATAAGCGGATCCTTTCAGTTTTAGGATATTTGCATTTGAAACTTTACACCGTTTGGAACTGTTGAAGCATGGTGAGGAGATGGTAGAGCGGACGGCGAATGGTGGTTCAGGTTCAATCAACAACTCCACATCGGCAGCACGGGACAGTTTCGACTTTACTTTGATAGACATATGTATTCACATGGCTGTGCTTTCACAAAAAATCAATGCAGCATCAAGCATCCACCTCCATAGCCTGAGCCCCATTCGTGACAGCCTTCGCCTGCTTCAATGTCACTATCTCTTGCGTCAAGGTTTCCTTCTCGCTAAGCAAATCCTGATACTTCTGCTGCAACTCCCTCTCCCTCGCATCCAGCGTCGCCACCAGCTTCTTCTCGCGCTCAACCCTCCACGGCGCGCCGACTTCCTCGAGGTTCTTCAATGCAGCGAAACTCTGTAGTTCGATAGACCTTTCTTCAATTTCCCGCCATTTTTCGATGACTTCGCGGCGAAGCTTCAGTGCTCGAGCTTGGTACCCGCCCAACACAACGTTCAGCTTCTTTTCGAGCTTTTGCGCCCGGCCGGCGTCTCTTTTCATTTGCTCGCGGTGAGTGTCGAGTTCGATGGTGTGGATTTGTGTCTTTTCTTCTGCAGACATGTGGGCCGAGCGCTTGAAGGACCCGATAGCGTGTTGACCTTGACCGCGAACGAAGACCCACTCATCGCTCAGAGTGTGGTGAATCTCATTGAAAGAGTCTAAGCTAGAGTCCAATGTCAGATTCTCCAACTCCTTGGCAATCAGCTGGCTTGCTATCTTCTTGTCCTCAGGCTCTAACGGTTCCAGGGGCGTGACCTCAAAGCCTGGTGGCAACTGTCCGACGGCGGGATGCTCGGAGGCATCGTTCTGCAGCATGGCCAACATCTCATTACGCACCAGCCTGTCAATGTCATCGATGTCCTCAGCACCTATGACAACCTCCGGCTGAATGATGATGGGACGTGGCAAGTCTCGCTGCACCGCCTGAGACCTTGCCTTGAGTTGGGCTTCTTCGGCGGCTTTGCGTGCAGCGAGGCCTCGTGCCTCGACCTCAGCCGCATCTTCCTCGCCGTTATAGGCTGGCTTGGTTGCGCCGTCCTCGTTGGGCGATTCTTGACTCTCAGGCAGAACGATTTCGAAATCATTCTTGGGCTTAGGCAAGGCCTTGAAATGGTCGGCAAGCTGTTGGCGAATGAGGTTCTGCCGTTGACGTTCTTGGCGGGGTGTCTCGTCGAAGCCCCCGAAATCGGAACCTCGCGGTGTGTTGATGCCCATCTGGTCGCGCAACGGGGTCCTTCCAAAAGCAGGGCCGCTCCCGGACCGAGGTGTCATTTGCACGGATGACACGCCATCCCGTGGTGTGAACGGAGCAGCGAGGGGGTTGGGGGTTTGGATTGCTGTCCGCTGTGGGGTAGCACCCTCGAATGTTAGGCTTCCTTCGAGTTCGAGATCACGGCCGAGCAGGGGGGTTTGCGCCATCTCCATCGCTCTCAAATTCCGGGCCTGTATCTTGAGTTGATCACCAACCGCTGGTGTTCTGGGTGTCCTCAACGGCGTAGGCGCCCGGAAAGCAGTACTGTAATCGCCCAGGAGACTTTTTGAAGCCCCAAACTCTTCAGAATCCACCACAGCTCTGGTATTTTCCCCCGCGGTTCCAATTTTCACCATCTCTTCGAGCTCAGACTCTCCGACTTGTGGCGAAGGCAAGACCAACTTTTTCCTCTCGGAGAATTGCAGTTGTTCGGCAGCCTTCTTCGCCTGTGGTGGAACGTAGTCACCCGCCTCCTTCTTCGTCTTTTGCCGTTTTGCATCCTTCTTCCGCTCACCCTCCTCAATCTCTGACCGGCGCTTGCCCTCCAACTTCGACAGCAAGATATTCGTTTTGTCACGCTTCTCATTCTGCTCCCGTTCCATTTCCTCGTTGACATCCCAAAATCCAGCAGGTGCCTTCTTGTGAAAAGGGATGTCGGCATTGTAATCCATCCCATACTTCTTCCGCTTGTGGCGGACTTCAATTCCAGCCGCCTTCAACTCTCTCCTCTTCTGCAGCGCAGCGAGACGCCGAGCTTCCTCCAGCTGCTTCTCACGAGCCTTCCTCTTGGCTTTTTTTCCTTGGGTATTGGCGAGACGGGCTCGGGCTTCGGACAACATTTCCTTCTCATCTTCATCCATGTCTACCGGATCTGGCCGGGCCGGCTTGGCTTCTGGATCTGGGTCGATTTCTCCCGGGCGTAGCCGGCGTACGTCATCGCCGGTGGGTCCCGCGTCCTAGTAGCGAGACAACAGATTAGCATCCAATGCGATTCCGTAGGAGTATCTGCTGCGGAAGCAACTTACCCCGTCGCCTTCTTTAGCCTCCGCTTCATCCAACAGCTTCTGATACCGTTCCAAGCATTGCGCAGGCGTCCGTCCGACAATAGGCGCGATTGTTCTCCATTGAGTAGGCATCAGTTTGGCCAAATGTAATAACTTCTCATCCTCTTCTTTTGACCACTCGGTCTTTTTGATAGAAGGATCCAGCCACTCAAACCTGAGGGAATGTGTCAGAGATGCCTCCATGTGCAAACGAACTACGGCGGCTTACACTTACCATCTTGCTTTGCATTGCTTTGGACTTTTCCTTGTCAGGAGTGACGAGATACGTGCCCACTGGTTTTTCCCATACTTCATTACCGCCGCCTGAATAACGAAAGCGTGTAGGTATCAGTGAAGACCGTACAAGGACGAGTCCCATACCCTCTCCATATGAAGTATACAGTGCACATACCTTGAGGATCTCATCCTCGGTGTTCTTCCACACCCCTCCCTTGATGAGGATTCGCATGACGGACAACAGCAAACGATAACCACGGGAGAAGGGAAGAGACGCCGATCTCTAGCAAGAACAAGACCAACGAGGAGGTAGTTGAAGAGCGTTCTGGTTGGCAAGAAAACGTGCCAGTCGAGTACTCTGCGAAGGAGGGATCTGGCGACTGTTGATTGGGATTCGGGCACCAGGGGTATTCATTCGCGCCGAGAGAGGTCTGTGCGGGGGAAGCCGATGGGGAAGCAGGGGAAGCACTATGCACGAAACGTCACGTGAGTTTAATATATTATATGTATGCAGCTTCTTCTGCTGCCCCTGCAAACGCACCTTACCACACCCACCAGCAGCATCACGAGCTCTCAACTCATAGCAGTGCTAGTAGGGCTCGTTGAGAAAAAGAAACCCAATCGCCTTTCTCCGGTATCTCTTCTCGATCTCGTTAACGATGGCGACAGCGCAAAGCCAGAAGTTGAGTCGCGAGGACTTCAAACGTCAGAAGGTGATCGAAGAACAGCGTAAAGCGTAAGTGGAAAGAATTCGTCTGCTAGTGCCGGTTCAGCGTAAAATACTCACGACAAACTACGATTCTAGTGGAACATTACCAGCAGAAGTCGATCCCGAAACTGGCCGCGACATCAATCCCCACATCCCGCACTACATCTCCCAAGCTCCGTGGTATCTCGATATCAACCACCCCACGCTCAAGCACCAAAAATACCACCCGAAAGAAGAGGGGGCAATAAATGACTGGTACGCGCGAGGAGCACGGGCCGGACCTGCCGCCACGAAATATCGAAAGGGTGCTTGTGAGAACTGCGGTGCACTTTCACATAAGACCCGAGATTGTGTGGAGCGGCCACGGAAAACCGGGGCGAAATGGTCCGGAAAAGATATACATGCCGATGAACTTGTGCAGGATGTGCACCTTGGGTTTGAGGCGAAACGGGATAGATGGAATGGGTATGATCCTACAGAGCACATCAAATTGGCGGAGGAATGGGATCTGGTGGAGGAGGAGCGGAGAAAATTGAGAGAGCAGCAGGTCAAAGAGAAGGAAAAGTTGATGGCCGAGGGGAAAATTTCAGTTCCCGAAAAGGAACAGGAAGGAAAGGAGAAGGAAGCCGTTGCTGCCGGGCCGGCCGATAGCGACGACTCGGACGATGATGAAGAAAAGTACGCGGATCGAGCCGATATGCCGGGTCAGAAACTCGACACAAAGACTCGAACAACAGTCAGGAACTTGCGTATTCGTGAAGATACCGCCAAGTATCTTCTCAACTTGGACGTGAATTCCGCCTACTACGATCCCAAGACGAGATCTATGCGTGATAACCCGGTCGAGGACGCCGACCCGCGAGACTTGACCTATGCTGGAGACAACTTTCTTCGGTGGACGGGAGACGCCCCAAAACTTGGACAGTTGCAAGCGTTTGCATGGCAAGCAGAGGAGAGGGGAAAACCTGTTCACATGCAGTCGAACCCCACTCAAGCGGCCCTTCTATACCAAGAGTACCAATCGAAAAAGGGAGCGGTGTCGGAAAAAGTCAAAAACTCGATTCTTGAACGATACGGCGGAGCGGAGCACTTGGCGGCCCCACCGAAAGAACTCCTCCTGGCGCAAAGCGAAAACTACGTGGAATACTCGCAGACGGGTCGGGTCATCAAAGGTCAAGAACGCGCTGCCGCCAAAAGTAAATACGAAGAAGACGTCCATCCTCTCAACCACACGACGGTATGGGGAAGTTGGTGGAAGAGCGGACAGTGGGGTTACGCGTGTTGTCACAATACGATTGTTGGCGCGTACTGTACCGGCGCTGCAGGAATTGAAGCGGCAAGGGCATCTGTTGCGCAGTTGACGGGCGGCGCCGCGGCTAATGAAGATCAGGAGGCGAGTGCACCAAAAAGTCTCTTGGAGCAGTATGTTGCGCGCGCTGCCAAAGAAGGGCCCAACGGCATGCAAGCGCAAGACCGCCTGGACCGCGCGAAGCAACAGAAAGGGCGAGGAGAACGTCTTGGGGAAGGGGAGGTATCCCTCGACGAGGCCAAGCTGAGCGAAGCGCTCGACGCTGAACGCAAACGGAAAGCCCGCGAAGCGCTTGGAAAGGACAGGGAGGAGGATGAAGGGCGCACGAGAAGTGCCAAGAAAGGGAAATATAGCAGCAATGTGGAGGTCAAGGATGTCACGGAGGAGGAGTTGGAGGCATATAGGCTGTCGAGGAGCAACGCCGCGGACCCGATGGCGAATTACGTTGACCGCGATGATTAGGTCGGTGGTGCGTACCCATTCACCTCCAGCCCTCCAACCCTCACCAAACATTCTTTGGTTTGTTGTATATAAAATTGAATTGAACAGTGGTCATCAGTTGCGGATCTACCTTCGAACATAGCTCTAGATTAGATTGTTTAGGACTTGGTTTGTGGTTGATGTGGCTTGGGTCTCCGAGAGCAGGCCATGGCGGTTTCTGGTGCGATGTGCGGCAATCATGTGAACACTTGGGTAAGAGCCGCCGAGATGAGGACAAGCTGGCTTTGTGCTTCAAAGCCATAGCCAGTAGGGCGTTTCACTAGCCCCCAATAATCGAAAACAGTAACGGCAGATAATCGCGAGATTAGCGAAACTGCGAGCGCGTTTCGCGACGCGTCCAGAGTTCGTGCGCGCAGGCTCCCCCCAATCACGTCCCGATGATCTGTCGGGCTTCCCGATTTTCTGGGGCTAGTGAGGCCCCCGTTCCCCAGTTCCGCTACTCCAGGGTGTAGAAAAACAGGATTCTCGGGGGGAGAGCAGCAAAAAGGCCTCCAGCGAACCTGGGGTCGTCAGGACCCTGGGGGTGTTCCGCCTCCCCGCCCGCACCAACAACGAACCCCCCTCACCGTACACCCCCCCATTGCCCCCAACACCATGTCGTCTGCTGACGCTGGACCCTCTACTGCCGGGGCTCCCGGGGCCCGCAAGCCCCGGGCAAAGAAGCCAAGCGCGAAGTCCGCTGCGGGGAAGCAGCGGGCGAACGCTGCATACGCTTTTTGGGACAACGAAGAAGAGGCTCTCTTGGTGCATTGGCTCTCTACGGGCGAGAACTCCAAGGCCCTGCAGCATCGCGACACCCCGGACGCCAACGGGGTCAACCGCTCGAAGAAGGATAAGCGAACGGACGTGATTTGGAAGATAAAAATGTTCATGTATGAGAACCGAAAGGACATGACCAAGACTCGCATCAAGAACTAGCTTGCACAGTAGGATAAGAAGTTCAAGGAGGCCCAGTTTCGATTCAATCAGACGGGGGAGGGTCTGACGGAGGAGGAGAAGAGGAATACCCCCAACATACAGGCCTGTATCGTCAAGATCTTTCCATATTTCTTTGAGCTCGAGCCTTATTGGTCCTGCGCTGGCACGACGGCCTTGCACTCGGTAGGGTCTCAGGAGTCAATGGCCGCCTCGTCAATCTTGCCCTCGAACCTCGCCGCCGGGCTGGTCTCGGGGGCCCCGCCACAGTCACCTTTGCTTTGTGAGTCGCCGGACAAGGCCGGGACGCCGGAGGACTCGGAAACCGCAGGGTCCCATGAAACGCTGCAGGACACGCTGTCCGAGACGCAGAACCCGTCGGAGGCGCCACCACAGACGCCACCAGACACGCAGGAGCAGCTGGGGTCGCAGCTTCACTCCCAACTGGGAGATTTTGCGGGTATGGAGTCGCAAATGGCCCTGGAGGACATACTGGAGGGGTCCACGGCCGGCGATGGGGAGTCCCCAACCGATGGGGGGCCGTCTAGCGGTTTGCAGAGTCATGATGGATGAGCTGGATGAGCAGATACTTGAAGAGAGGCGGTTGGCCATAGAGGAGGCCGGTCAACGCTTTCACTTGGAGCTTGAGGAGCGCCAAGAGGCGAGGGAGGCAGAGCTCGAGGAGCGGCGGTTTGTCAGGAAGTCCGCGGAGCGACGATTCCAGCTGAAGCTTGAGGAACGGCGCGCGGTCGCCGAGAGACGCAGGCTGGACAGCGAGCGCAAATGGGATTTCAAGATGAAGGCCCTCGAGATGAAGGCCAGGCTGCGGGACACCAAACCCACCGCGCAGTAGGCTGGTTTGACGAGCGCGCCCCCCCCCCCCTCCCCCCCCCCCACCCTCCGCACCTCTACCTCTGGCGTCGTGGGCCCCCTACTCCCGTCTATACCATGCATGGATTTAAAGGTGTTCCGTGGTAACTCGCATATGTCAGAAATATGACGCCTGTTGACTCTATGTCCCCCCGGGACCAGCTCTTACCGTCCCTCTTACCTGCTTGGCGGGCGTCTGCCACGCGTCCCAGCGGTAGGGCTCGCCGGTCCCCCCACACCCCACTACCCCCACATGTTTCAGCCCACACCGTCCGGTGCTTGCTCCTCCGCGGTCTACATCCACCCATAAACGTCGGGGTGGGCACGCCTCCCCCCTCGTCTCAGCGCACACAGCTGTCAGTAGCTTGCGCGTTTTCAAACAACCCTGCGGTCCCAGCCCCCTCTATGTCCAAGCAACTTGCCACGACGGGCGGAGACTTGACTCCGCCGCCCTGTCATACGGAGACCCGGGCTTGCGCCATGTGACGGCGCACCTCCTAGCTCTCTTGTAAGTGAAGAGTGAGGGTCCTGCTCGGGGTCCTGCTGGCCGTTCTGATGACGCTTGCAGATATATCGAACTGCGGGACATGTGCGAATGGGTACCGACGGACGAGATATTCAAGGCCATTGCACGATCCGCAACGACTGACTATAAGGTGACCCGGGACCTGGCGATCACGCGTTTGAAGTCCTTGCCGTCTGGTACGTCAGACAGTTCGTTCCTTGTGTTGTTCCTTGTGTGTGGCGGACCCCACTGACCCCGTCTTCCGATAGCGCGCCTGCTTGCCACCCCAAGGTGCGCGGCGTCACACCACCAAGATGCACCAGCTGGCACGGGGTTGAAACTCCTCACGGCCATCGAGACTTGCATGGCAACCGCCGCAAGCAGTGGCAGGATCACGGCGCAGGAAGTGATCGAGGTGGGGAGTAGCGACTCCGAGGATGTTGACCCGAGCTACCGTCCTGCAGGGGCGATCGAAGTGGTCGAGGTGAACTCGGATGAGGAAGAGCCTCAACGAAAGCGACTCAAGAAGGGTAACGGGCGCGCGACAACCCCTCCCCCGACGAGCAAGAAGGGAGCCCGCAACTACTACTCGAAAGCGCCGGGTAGGTCGGGTCTGACCCACGCTGAGAGAGACACTATCCCGGGTGCTCCCGTCGCCCCCGCTGCTCCGGTTGCCGCTCCCGTCGCTCCTGTGTGATGAGGTGCTGCAGGTGTCACCTTAGTGCGGGGAAGCGCGTAGGGCATGAGATCACGTGTAGCATAGATTATATTGGAGTTCTACGCTATGGGGTGACTCCCGAAGGGAAGAAAAGCCTTCGGGCGGCGCCCCAGGAGGTAGAAACGCTAGAATTCTTTCAATACATTGAGCGGGGACAGAGCTAGCCTCTGGCAACGGACCTAGCATTATTACATGGTAGCACCACCCTTCAAGATCTCTCCGGCAACCTACGATGAGCAACTCTCAGGCGGGTGCTAATACTGCCGTCAGCTATGCGATAGTTAACAATGACCGCTTAGAGCTTGACCCATTTGAACACCCGCATCGAAGAGCGCAACGATTCGACGGCGACCAACGCCAAGGCAACCGCCCCGCGGAGCATAACCGCCCCTTGCACAGGCGCAGGGGGTCCCCCCGTGGTTGCACCTGGAAGGAGGCACTCCCGCTCACGCTCACCTCGTCGTTGTCGAAGCCTGGACCCCCGACGCCGGAATCGGACGCCAGAGCGATACAGGCGCGGACGACAAGGTCGCAGGAGCATCTCCCCACCCCATCGAAGGAGCCGCTCAGCAAGCCGCTACCGCAGCCGCTCCCCGGCGAGGACCCGAAGCCGCTCCCCCATGCGGCGCAGGAGCCGTATCCCAGCCCGACAGGAGAACGGACAGGCAACAATCCTCCAAATCCTAGCCCAGCTGGCCAACACCACCGCCCAACTCCAGCAGCGATTCGAGCGCCTGGAGAGGGACCGCCCAGATGACAGCCTCTTTGCTGGAGTACAAGTTAGCCGCGAGGACCATTTGGCAGCTAGCGAAGAGCGTAAGCGCAAGGCGGCCACCGAGAAGGAGTTCCGAGCCACCTTGGCTAAGATGCTGACCGAGTTCGATGGTAAGGCTAACAGTAAAGACATGGTCGCCAAACTGGACGAGTTTGTCGACGCCCACCTACGCTATCTGGAAGCCACCGAATTCAAAACGGAGGACGGGGATGTGAAACACTTCGTAGCCCACTTGCCGGGAGACGCTGCTGAGTGGTGGAAGCTCAAGGCTCGCTCCGGAGAGTCTCCCGCCACCCTAGAACGGTTCCTGAAGGCACTCAGGCGCAGGTTCTACCCCGCCAACCTCTGTAATTCGGTTGAGGCGAAACTGGCCGCCCTGAAGTTCAAAGACAGCATGTCCGACTACGTTTCGGCCTTCAGCGCACTGACCAGACAGATCGCTATCCTCCCCGAAAAGGAACATCTCACGCCGCGACAGGAGCGTGAATACTTCCTGAACGGGCTGACCTTCCACCAGGTCGGACGTCGCATCCGTGAGCAGTGTTACCAGTTCATCCTACAACAGGGCAATGAGGACAAAGACATCCCCATCAAGACCCTTAAGGAAGCCGCCCAGAGGGCCTTCCGCATCAGGGGTTATGCTGATGGGATCGCCCGCATTTCGGAAGACGGCAAACGGATCCAACCCGCTACGGCCACTCCGGCCCAGGCTCGCGACAAGCGCGATACGCCCCGCACCTTCAACTCCAACCGAGTACCCCTTGGAAAGGAGAGGAAAACTTAGCGAGGCGAATGTCACACTTGCGGCAGCAAGGACCACTACGCCCGAGCGTGCCCTAAGAACCCGGACCGACTCAAGATCTCGGCGGCGCCCGCCGAGGCCTTCGATGATGACAACGACGAGTTCCATTCGGCCGCGGAGGAGCCCCCGAGCCCCGCATACTCCGTTGACAGTCAGGATTTTCTCCCGGACGTGTCGGCGGCATCTTCTGCCGCATCCTCATAGACACTGGTTGCAATACCATGCTCATCGGCGACTCATTAGCCCAACGCCATGATCTTAACACGTATGACTGTCCCACGCCCCTCGAGGTGCGCTGGGGTGACAAAGCCGGATCATACGGTGCCACGCAGATGATTTGTGCCGACCTCTCCGTCTTCACAGAGGAACGAATACCTCATAAGACCCCTCGGGTCCCATTTGTCGTGGCCCCGATCCGCGCGGATGTTATCCTAGGGCTACCCTACATCCTGGACCTTGACCTCATACGCTCATGGCGCGACAATGGGTTCCCGGCGCTTCAATTTGAGGCTAACGCAACCGTACTAACTTTCCGCGCTAAACCTACCACCCGCTGATGGCAACAACCCAGCGCTTGCGCGGCCCGGTTACTCGAACCTCATACGGGCCCTCTCCCCCGCCGTTTCTACCCAAAGCGCGCGGCCTTAAATGAGGAGGGCTTCCTCACGACCAAACAATTCAAGCGAGCGATCAAGAGGGATAAGCATGGGTCTCACGCACGGACACGGAGGTGGACCTGGCCACAGACGACGCCCTCGCGGACGTCGCCAAAGCCGAGGATTGGCCCCCGATGAACTCGACAAGCTACGGCAGCAACTCGAGCGCCTATCATCCCGCGGGTGGATCTCCCACTCTAAGAGCCCCTGGGGGGCACCCGTGCTGTTCGCCCCGAAGAAGGACGGTGGCCTCCGCTGCTGCATCAAATACCGGGCCCTCAACAAGATGACCCATAAGGACGCCTCGCCCCTCCCGAACCTCAACGAGCTTTGGGACCGCCTTGTCGGCATGAAGGTCTTGACCGCTATCAACATCCGCGATGCCTACCGTTGCATCCTCATTCGGGAGGAAGACCGTGAGAAGACTGCCTTCCGAACGCGCTTTGGCCACTTCCAGTACAACGTATTACCCTTCGGGCTGACGAACGCGCCCGCGACGTTCCAACGCCTTACGAACAAACTCCTGGGCGACAAGTACGATTCATACCTCATCTCTTACCACAATGACATCCTTATTTTCAGCCCCGACATGGACTCACACATCGGGCATGTCACCGAAGTGCTCAAGACCCTCTCGGCTCACTGCCTACACGTGAAACCGTCCAAATGTCAGTGGCCAGTGGACCAGGTCAAGTTCTGCGGGCACATGGTTGGTAAGGACGGCCTTTCCATTGCCCCGGCCAAGGTCGAGGCTGTCCGCGCTCGACCCGAACCCACCAGCGCCCTCGAGCTCCTCTCCTTCATGGGGCCAGTCAACTATGTCAAGGAATACATTCCGTATCATGCTGACACAGCCCTCCCGCTGACCAACCTTCAATCCGGCACCCACCCGTGGCAGTGGGGCGCCGAGGAACAAGCAGCATTGGACACCATCAAGGCGCACGTCGCCGATGCCCCTTGCCTGGCGTTCTTCGACCCCAATAAGTTCCCCTACGTCTTCTCTGACGCGTCGGGCTTCGTTGTAGGGGGCTGGATCGGTCAGGGCACGGACGGCGACTTTCCCATGCCGAATCCACTGCCCACCACGAAAAAGGGCCTCAATAACCTTCCGCGCCTCCTTGTCATCTCATATGACTCACGCAAGATGGCTCCGGCCGAAACCCGATACACCGTGCACGAACAGGAGCTCCTCGCATTGGTCAAAGTGATCTGCGCTAACCGCCACTACCTCATCGGTCGCCAATTCCGTGCATTCGTTGACCACAAATTCCTCATATACCTCCAGAATCAGCCTCATCTCTCCCGGCGCCAGGCCGGATGGGTGGAGTTCCTTCAGGACTACAACTTCACTATCCAATACCTCCCCGGCGAGTTCAATCACATCGCCGACATACTCAGCTGCACCCCGCTGTGCGTCCCGAAGTGCGCCAGCTGTCAGATTAAGGTCGAAGTGTTCTCCATTGTCACCGGGACACCGCTACCGGACATCACCGGCCGCCTCCCTACCGACGCCGAGTGGCTCACTGC